ACCCACCCCCTAGGACCCCCCCTTCTCCCCCCGACAATCCCTCGAAAAACCTCTCCGAAATCTTTTGACCATTATAACTCTTTTAATTTCATTTATTTGCTCGCCGTTTCTACTCAGATGCCGTTTTTTGTACTCAGGAAGTGTCCCATCTCTCATTTCATGATGATTCTATCCAGTACTAGTAAAAATATAAATGATTCCAATTCGTCATCGTGGCAAAGAACGGCTGTTCGGTCATCATTGTTGTCGGAGTTGAGTGATACAGAGAGTGTCGTCCACCTAGCCACAAGTCTAGTAGATTATCGCTATTTATTGTTCACGTTGGCACATGTATGGTTGCAGTGTATTTTAGTTGCCACGTATATTACCTTGAGTTGTATTGTGAGGACCTCGTTACTGAGCCCTGATGATCGATGTTCGTTGACTTATATTTTTCTGGCGATCTCGATGTTGTTGGAGTATCTCTGTTGCTTTGTCCCACGGAGGGGTAAGGTATGCCCCTCTGGTTCTATCTAAAGTTTTTGGGAAGGTCCCATGCACGTTTTTGGTGAGTGTGACGATGAGTGCGTCGCGGACTCGAAACATTTCAATTGTATAAAAACAAAAAAACGGTGTGTAAGACCATGGCACGGCTTCTAATTGAAAAATTGCACTTTAGTCCGCCCTTTCGGGTGGGAAGGTTAGTAGGTCGGTCTCGCAAGGATGGACAACGCCGCCCCTTGTGCGAGTTTGCGGCCTTCTTCGTTTTGCTGTCTCTGTGGGCGCCTCTGCGAGGCGCTCGAGATCAGGCGGAGTCCTGTTGGCCTTTCTGCTCTTGCGTTTTTTTTGCCGGATAGGTTGTTTACCCACCGGAACGCTGTCAAGAGCCGACTAAAAGCCGGGCTGCCAAAAAAAAACGTGAAAAAACAAACCAAAACTTTGGGTCTTGTTTCTACTTACTTAAGGCGTATTAGGGGCAAATAGCTCAGTGGTCCGCTGCCTATGGACGCGGATGCTGTATGGCTGAAGAGGTTGGTGCACTTTGTGAATCCTTAAAATGTAAACCCGGCCTGTTTTAGTCGAATCATGAAAGGAATGAGAGCGCGTGCGCGTTGTTGTTGTTCAATCGTGTGACTGATCTGGTTCACCTTGTTGCTCTTCTTCTGTCGCTGTTCTGTGTTTGATCAGGATCATGGTCCTGATCCTCTTGCTTATCATTTTCATTACCATGAGACTCAGAAAAGTCAAAAGTGGAACAGCATAAGACTCGCGAAATGCATGACCTTCATACTCATGAAATTTCAGTAGACCGCTCAGATTTGGGGCTCTTCTGATTATATCGCACTTGATAAGATGCAAGGATAAAAATGTTTTTAGTTTGTCCTCGAGAAGCAGGGCTGCGTGAAAGCTTCGCTATATTACAACTATAACGTCATCCTTTACTTAGAAGTTTCGCACGATTGAAGTCAGTCTGAAAGTTTGCGATTGTGCGATGCATTGGCTCTATAGTATCTTTATGGCCAGATGAACTCGACTGCCATGTTGACATCGCTTGTGGGGGCTCCCTCAGGAAAAAGTATGAGCGGCCTTCTTCCTTTTCACGACGATTTCTGTGCTCATGAAATATGATGGCTGTCGTGCTAAGTAAGACTGATATACGTGTTCTGTCAGTGGCTCGGTTTTGACTCCGATGACAATCGGGTTCATTTCTATATCTCTATTGAGGCCGAAAATAATTATATTAGATACGCATGATGTTTACAATACAAATACATGCTCAGAAGATGGACGGAATGCAGTGACGGGTTGACTGATGCAAATCAACGAAAAACGGCCCAATTTGTGGGTGGCGGAAGTTGTTTTTTGTTACTGGAACATATTGCCTTAATAGATTGATTGGCAATGGATGTCATGTAGACCAGGAACGGTTTCATCTTGCCGGTGATGATGAATAGTCACTAGAGATGTACACATGACATGTAGCCCGGGAGGGTTCGAGTCACTTGTGAGCACACGGTGTGTTCACGTGTGTTGCAAAGGCACGACTGAGGTGTGTGATGAAAATGAAAGAAAGTTGCGAATACGAAAATTTGCATGCGTGGGTCGTAGACTATAAATTTATTTTGATTCCTTGCAGCGATGGCATAGAAGTGCGGGTATGCATGATTTTCCTGATGTTGGTACCTACATCAAGCATGAATGGTCAGACAGTAATACTGAGTGGTTAAGTCTATTGGAAATTTACCATTGACTAATGTGGAAGTTTTTCTGTTTGTTGAGACCTAGACGCTAATACGAAGCAAGGCTAAGCTGAATAAAAGGCAAAGGTCGCCTTCAGTGGTTGTTGTCTCGTGTGTTTGTTTAAAAAAAAAAAGTTTGTTGCGGTAATTTTGTTTAACTGTAGTCCGGTGCAGTGGAGCGCAAGGTGTTGTAGTTAAGTTGTTCCGCTTGCGTAAATAAAGCAAAAGCCTGCCCCGTCATACCTAAGTACGCTGTTTACTAAAGTTTTAGCTGGTTTATCGAAGGCAGTTCGGGTTGTCTAAGTCTCTCTTTCAGTGCTGTTTCCTGTTATGTTGGTACTTTCCAAAACAAACGTAACCGTGCCGCTTCGCTATCACAATCTTTGCGTGAGATCCATCGTGTAGACCATCTATGACGCCCTTAAGGCAGTCTGCGCTGAGCTTTGTGCGAGATTAATGGCATTGTGTTGTAAGTATATCTCTCCTGTTTGCCTTGCAGCATATCGGTCCAAGAATGTGCTTTTAGAGTCTCGGTAGTATAAGCCGTCTCTCCAAGGGTCTGAGGTCTTGAAGTGATCGCAATTTCGGCTGGCTCGAAAATAAATTATAATTTTTGGTACAAATATATAAAAATGTCGTCCTTGGATATGCAAGGTGTGTCGCCGACGGCTCGGGTGCATCTGGACAAGGTCCGTTACGCACAGGACGCGATCAGTCCGCATTTCCAAGATGGGCGTCATATCAGGACGTTGCGCGACACATTCTGCGACTTGTTCGTCAAGGACGATACGAAGAATTTTGAGGGTATCAATAGCTGGTTTCGGGAGAACCGCAGAGTGATACGCGTTGTGGAGCACCCAGTAGGGTCCGAATGCTACTACACCATGGATAACCGTCGACTGTGGTGTTGCAAGGCGGTCTGTGAGAAGTTCAACGTTCATGAGTCCGACGTTAGTCTGCTGGTGAGTCTAGATACCGCAGCGCGACACGGGCAGAGTCAGTTCGAGAAGAAAATGAGCACGGTGAACGACGGAAGCGGAGTGGTAGTGTGTTCTCGAGAAATGCAGCAACGTTGGATTGAGAAGTCCTTTGGACGAACTTCCACTGGTTGTCCGAGTACCATCGAGACACATGAAAGTAGATGTCGTTGCTTCCACATTCGCCTTGGTGACACCGAGCGGTCCCCAGGAGTGACCGAAAAACAGCTCTCACGGGCAATTGTGCAGGCATTAGAGCCTTCTGTGTTGCATGCAGTGCGAGAGAAATATAGGTTTCAGGACGTGTGGTTGGAGTTGGATAGTGTTCATGATCCGCCACGTGACGTCGTCGTGCTTACGGCAGATGCCTTTGTTCTCAATCGAAACGCCATAGCGGCGTATGAGGAACTCGTGCGGCGTGTCCACGAGAGCGAATTGCTTCAACATGCGAAGGTAGCGCCAAGGTCCCTTCGGCAGAAGCATCAGGCATCCGCGTGTTCGAGGCGCACTTCGACAAGCGTGTCTTCTCTCGACGAGGCGGAAAAAATGATGTCAACGTTGAAGATAACGGCGGCTGCTGACGCAAAGCCAGATTCTTCAGTGAGAAATCCCAGTGACTTATTCTCCGCGTTCGCACTTCCCATTGACGCCCACCGTGACGAAATCGTGAATAGAATTATTGCAAACGATGTCACGATGATTCGTGCCGACACGGGCAGTGGGAAAACGACCCGACTGCCGCTCTTTCTTCGTGCTTACCACCAGAGACGAGGCCTATCCCCCGCACGCATTCTCATAACTCAGCCGCGCCGCGTTGCGACAATCAATGCCGCCAAGCGTATGGCTCGGAGCTTAGGACAAAAGTTGGCTGGTGTGGCGGGGGATCATAGCGCTCCTGATTCGTCAGGAAATGGAGCTGCGTCAGTGGTCGGCTACATGATTCGCGGCCAGTCTTCGGGCAGACTGAACGAGCTTGAGATCGTTGTGTGTACCACTGGTTGGGTCCTGCATCGCATTATATCCAGCGACCCAAGCTTTTTGAACACGTTCGACTATGTAGTACTGGACGAGGTCCACGAGCGCACGGTGGAGAGTGATTTTCTCGCTCTCATTGCCAAGTGTCGCTGTGCTGGTTCCTCTAGCTCCTCGCAGCATCGTGGCTCGGCACAAGGATCGCGCGACTTTTTCCAGGAACAGCCATGTTCGCGGCAGACGCGCGTCGTCGTCATGTCAGCAACTGTGGACTCAGATGCATTTGTAGAATACTTCGCGAGGCCCTTTCTCGGCTCGCCAGGAGCTTCCGCGGCTACGTTTAGGCCCGCGTGTCGGGTTGGGCAGTACGAAGTAAAAGTTTCCAGCTACAACAGGACGGTGTTGTTTCTGGATGAAATCGCAAGTAGCGCACACAGAGAAAAGGTCGTTGAGAGCATGCGAAAAAGAGGGACGGATCTTGCCACTCAGCTCCCGGCTGATCTAGAAGATGCCTTGAAAGGTTTGTCGTTTTCCCAGAAGGTGCTTGACGGTGTTCGTAAAGTCCTAAACTTGCCGCGTCCCGAGCTGGCGTGGGAGGTCAGTTCAATCGTCGAGGAGCTTGTAAAAAAGCTCGGCCGTGGGGGCGAGAGTATTCTCGTGGTTCTGCCCGGGCTGGAAGGTATCTATCGCGTATACGAGCACCTGCAATACGCAATGCCTTTCACGGAGGACTGGTCTCAATGGGAAGACGACGTTGACGAAGATGCATCGTCCAAAGCCAATGCAACCCCCTCTCCCTCAGGAGACAGGAAGCGAAGTCGAGAAAAGAAAGAGATGAAAGGATCGTTGAAATTTGAGGCTTTTATTTTGCACAGTAGCATTCCGATAGAAGAGCAGGAGCGGGTGACGCGGCGGGCGCCCAGTGAGGACTTTTGTCGGATTTACTTAGCGTCTAACATCGCGGAGAGCTCCTTGACACTGCCACAAGTGCGAGTGGTAATCGACTCAGGACTGCATCGTCAGAACGTCTATAATGCGGAGCGGCGATCCAGCTCTCTCGAGACTTGTTGGGTGAGTCAGGCAAGCGTGAAGCAGCGCACTGGCCGCACGGGACGCGTTTTTGAGGGCATCAGCATTCGCTTGTTTTCCGAAGCGTTTTATTAAGGCTGCCTACAACAACGCTCCATACCCATAGCCACATTGGGTTTGGTGACATTTTTTGCTCAGTAGAGAACAAATCACTCGTCAAAACTCTAGTAAAGTATTCAACCCTCTTCGCAACAATAGTATACAACCGTGTTGATTGTAACCCTATTCGCAACAATAGTATTCAACCCCTCCTGTAGTTGTTCAACAATACATATAGCTGCGCAATGCGAGAACACTCTTCAAGCTCTCGCAAGCACCTCTTCTAAGTCCGCAAGAAGAACATGTCTTCTTACGAAGTTCCCGTGATAAGCGTCGCGCCGCTAGAGCGCATAGCTTTGCAGATGATCGCAATCTGGACGCAGAAGAGTATCTTTCCGCTAGGAATGAATCAGGTGTCACCACAGGATCTGCTCAGCGAGCTTCCGACGCCACCCGCGAAGGACCGCATCCAGACAACGTGGGAGGCTCTAGGCGGAGTCTTCGCGATCTCTTCCCCGACCGCCACCGCCAGTTTGACGATGATCGGACATACCGCCCTTCTGTTGGACCTGGAAGTGGAGCTTGCGTGCCTGGTGCTGTGGGCGTGTCTCATGGGCTGCCCTCTGGACGGGCTCGCCCTGGCTGCTGCAGCTTCCTGCGACGCGCCCTTCCGAACAGAAACAGGAAACTTCGGCCTACGGGATGAGGAGCTAACGCGGCGCAACAAGCAGGTCATGGCAGTGTCCCAGCACTTTTCTCAGAAGTTGTGCAGCGAGCACGTGCTACAGCGCAATCTGGTGGCAAAGATTTTGGTAGACTTCAGCGAGGCCAAGAACCGAAACTCCTATGACGACTTCTACAATGGTGGTGCAGTCGTGCCATTTGGGATACACCAACGGCGACGGATTTCGCGACTTGTGAACGAAAAGTTGCTGCGTGATTTTCTTCCCGAATGGTGCTCGGAACACCATGACCGTCCGCACCCGAGGCGTGTAGAAGCCATCTTAAACTCTTTTCGAGACTTAGTGGAAAAGGTTTCACAGAATACGGTTGACTTCAAATTGCTCGAAACCTTGCAGCGCGTGAAGCATCTACTTAGAGGCGAAGGGTCCGCTGAATTTTGTCGTGAGAAGAACTCTCATTATCAGTTCCAAGAAACTTATGAATTAGCCACGACTTTCGCAGACACCAGTATCGAGGCCATTTATGGATTGCTGATTGCGGCCTACGGTCCGAATTTCATTTCACTGCGGTCCAAACTCGAGGAACCACGGGCAAAAATTATTCCTGTGTCGGGGACTAGTTCCACCACAAAATTGGCGAAGGCACGGGACATGCGCGAGAAAGTTTTGAAGGAGCGCCGACTTGCGGTTGAACTTAGCCGTGCATCGTCGTGTTCGTCGGGCGCGACGACAGTGGTTTTGGAGCCACCGTATAACGCGTCACAGACGGGCTTTCCTACCGGCGATGCCTTTACGCGAGTTCAGCCCCTGCTAGAGGAGAAATTGCGTAAGATGAGCGGCGCATCGAGAGTAGAGTTGCAACCAAAGAGTAGCAGGCAGCTCATCGCGTCATTTATCAAAGATGACGGTGGAAACAACGAAAGAGGAAGTCGGCGTCTTGGCGGCTTCAGTGGGAGAAGCACGACGACAAGTGCTTCCGCACCGCAAGTGGAAAATGATGATTGTGGGGACTTGACGGATGATGAGGAATCTCGTAACGCGGAGTGGCTCAAGGTCATTCGCAGCATTCTTGCGAACAGGAAAGATGGCATTGCGTGGGTTGTCGATGTGAGCAAGGCACAGGAATACTTGCAGCTGAAACGTGAGATTGGGTTTCATACACCGCGGAAATTGATTGACTTTCTGCATTCATTCGCGGCTGATCATTTCTTCAACGTCTCGGGCAAGGGATACTACGCAAAAGTAAGCTTGAGAAGTACAGGCATGCAATTGCAAGTGCAAGACAGTCTTCTGCAGAAAAACTTGCGACGCCATGGCACCCGAAAAATTTTACCGAAGTTGCGCAGTCTTGGTGAAATCGCTCTTGTCAGGGAGCCCGCAGGCAACTGCACAGGTAGAAAACATGTTTATGATTTTGGCCAAGAATGGTGCTTAAGCATCATGATCATCATGATTTTCGTTTTGATTATCCACGACTATAAAAGTGTATGTTGACGGCACACAACCCCAATTCTTGCAACAGGTGCTTCTTACAGTTCGTCTCGCTCTGAGAAGGGCGGATCTACTGTTGATTTTCTAAAGCGAGGCTTACAGTATTCTTGCGGATTACTAGAACTTTTTCGAGGGCGAAGAAAGGAGATCACTCTGGACCAGCATACAACCGCGTCGTGCAGTTCTTTCTCCGAATGGCCGCGGAGTGTTGCACCAGTTTCCATAGGTGGCGCGACGTCGCCCTTTGTCTTTAAGTGGAGCGTTAGCTCCACTTCATTTTTCCGCAACCAAGCCGGCCGCGTATTGAAACACTGGGAGCCTCAGCTGTTGGATGCGGAGGACGCTTGTGGTAGCGTGTTTGGTGGACAGGGCAGGAAAGGCATGCAGGACGTACCGGCATTTGCCGACAACAAGCCACTCTTTTCTCTCCTGGGGGCTTATTACCTCAGCGACGGCCGTACGTGTCCGCTAGGCGGCACGTCCGAATGCCGTACGTTGTTGCGGGAGTGCAGCAGCAAGTCTGCAGGCCCGCAGCAGGAGATTGTACAGGAGGTGCTCATTAGCTCGTCCTCGTCTGTAGGGAACGTGATCGGGAAGCAGGGGGCGACGATTAAGCACATTCAGTCGCTTTCCGGTTGCCAAGTCGAGACTCCCAGCACAAAGGGCAAAGGAAGGAAAGCCCAGTCGCAAGATTGTATTACCATACGCGGAACTCAGCAAAGCGTCGTGGATGCTGTAGCAAACGTTGTCGGCTTGTTGCTTCAGGGTGCAAAGGCACCACTTGTGATGATGGTGCTAGATGACAATATCCGTGCCGCACGAGGCTCCACGACTCTCCAGAACGAGGACAAGGCGGAGGAGAGTCTCGCGAAGTTGTTTCCTTCGCCCGCTCCCGGGGCAGTTTACGGGATCTACCAGAGCGCAGCCGTAAATGTTGACGCAGCCGGAACGCCGACAAGCGCTGTTCTCTCCGGAGTGACCGTGTTCGAGGTGGCCAACTCAAATGTTCTAGCGGCCTTGCTTTTGCTGTTTGGCAACCACCGCATTGAAACGCTAGCCGTGCGAGACGAGGACTCCGAAGACATTGTTCGTCTTCAAGTCGGCACGGATCTGATACTCGATTGCTGCGTCAGCGACCCGACTATGGATTACATTGATAAGCTTCGTACTAGTCTCTCGCGTACCTTTTGTAGTTGCGCTTCCGGGTTGCCTCAGTTCAAAACGAACTTGAACTTCGCAGACGAATTGCAGAATCTAGTAAGTAAAGTACAATCCACATCCGTTCAGCAAATGCCGCTAGAAGCTCAGACAGTAGACTTCCGAATTTCTTCGTCCGACAAGAATCAGCTACTCGGGTGTTGGAATGACTGGGACGACCAAGTCTGAACCTCAACCTACAGTAGCACAGGTAGACACTTAATAGATACGCAATGAATAAAGACGGCGGAATCGTCTAGCTTTTCGTTCGTTGTGCTGGATGAGCGAAGCAGTCGTGGTAAGACCCTTGATAGCTTAGTAAAACGGAAAGACAAGTAGAGCGACCAAAGCAGATCTCGTTCCGCCTCTTATAAAAATTTGTTTTTTTTGGGTCACAACCAAATACTTTATATCTTGATTTATACTCGTTGCTTCTCTTTTGGTACCATCTTTATGAATCTATCCGATTCCACAAAAAATACGCTATGGTGTATAATGTGTCCGTCCAGAAACCTTGTGTAGTGTGTCCTGCAGCACAGATCCCTATCATTCCCGAGACTTCTGTGCAGAACTTCTGAACTTCGTGTTTATTCGCCCTTTCCTCTACGTCCCCAGCCACACAAGAGAAAGCATGATACGACTGTTTGTCGATAAATCAAAAAGATGCAACATGATTCGTATGAGTCTGTTACTGTTTTCCAAGAACAGTTCGTATTCCCATGTTAAAACGCATCTACATCAGCAAAGAATCTAGTGACTATCAGGTGCATGTAGTGGTAGGTGCCATGACGCGGCAGAAAGGCATGTTCCGTTCAACTGACGTTGGTGATATCTTCAAAACGCTTACTATAATCACATGGCAGGTGGGGAGGAAATACGTATCCAAAGATGCAGGATCGACTGATATGATGTGTGTAAGAAGAGATGTTTTGGCTTAGATTGTTTTCCAGCTTCTTGCGTTTATCAAGAATAGGTTGGATTTTTGTGTAGAACATGAAAACAGATTGTCTGTTGCTCTCCTTCGCGAGGTACAAGAAGATTGGATGGCCTTATCTCTGACAGAAAGTTCAGGACCAAAGGCGACATGACATGGCATCTGTTGCTCTGTCACTCATGGACTAGGTTCCTCTGTCTTGTGACACCAGTTTACATCTCATTCAACATTGAGAAGGCTTGTGTTGCGCCGGCCAGATGTTCATTGTCTGAAACAAGTAGTGCCTAATTGTTATTCAAAGTGTTACGAGCAGATTGTGTATTCCATAGGTCGCGACGTTGTTCATCCGAGATTAGATATTACATAAAGAGATACCGTCATTCGCTTCTGCTCTTAATTGTCAGCACCGTAGGAAAAGAACGGGAGCACACAGAAAAACAAGATGCGTTTGCGGGTGGTATTTGCTGAGCGTGCTGCGGCGTATATCGCGGGCCTCATCGAAAAGCTGTTTGTTGTTCCCAACGGCTTCGACACCTTGATGGTGACGTTCGAGCCGCAGAGGATCTTTCTTGTTCTCGCAGAGAAAAAGGACGAGATGTTTTACGTAGAGCTGCAGGCCAAGCACCTGGTGACAACCTATAAATGCATTTCGGCTGACGAAGATAACCGAATCATTATCACGGTCCCTGCGTTCAACCTTGCCAATACGCTACGCCCGTCGCTGGGCCAGGACGGGAAACCGGCTCGCGAGCACGTGGAACTGCGTCTCACTAAAGATGCAGACAAAGGCAATCTACCGGCTTTAATGGTATAAGTACTTACTTTCTTCGGCTCTTGATAATTTTTGGGTACTAGAGCGACGACCGCCTGGTAAGGAAACGTGATTTTTTTTTCGGAAACAGACTTGACTGTTCAGAAAACATGAACAAAACATTTCTACAGCTCTTAACCGCAACCTCGTGTTTGTTACATTAGAAGTGTGATCGTACTATTCATAGAAGCATAGGTAATGAACTCCAGACGTGCTATCCCATACTATCGTATCCTAGCACACTTATTCTTGATGAAGCATCACCAACTCCAATGATGCGAGACCCCATCACTTCCTGCTCTGCAGATCCAGAAAACAGTGGTGAGCACCGGCATGCGCCCGAAGACGCTGCTACCGTGTCGGGTGGTGCAGAATGTGGAAGAAGTGGTTACGCTGCCAGATTCCGAACACCCGGAACATTAAGGCAATATCACCACTAATAAGTCATCTTCGTGAATAGTAATCAATTTCGGCATGAAGAGGAATTACACTTGGTAGTGTAATCCAGAAGATCCTCCTCTCGTGGGAAAAGAAACTACAGATGTGCACTAGGCGCACTAGGAAGATGAATCGTGGATAACTCTAAGAACGCGTCGACGTGTGTTTCAACTCGATTCCGGAACTGAGAAATGTCCTGGACAAATTCGGCAAGCTCGGCGTCGACAAAGTCGACATTCTCGTGAAGAAGGATGCCGAGGAAGCTCGAGTGGTTGTCACAGCAATTATGGGCGGGGCGGCCTTCGGAGGGGATCTACAGGAAGAAGGGGGTAACGCGCCGGGTAGAAACCTTCGGCGAGGACAGGCCGCTTTGAGTCACAACCCGCACATGCAGGCGGGAGGTATGGAGTTGAGTGCCTTTTTCCGGTTTGCGCACAACGACGATGCGCAAGCGCGGAAGCAGTGCCGCGTGATCCTCAAGCTGAAGACAATCCTGGCGCAACTTGCACGATTGGAAAAAATGCCCGGAGAGCACAAAAATATCATACTGAAAGTTAGTCCAAGAGACATGATCGTCTACACCTTGCTGGAGGACAGTGTTGGTGTCGTTACAGCTTACCACATCGGCATGTTGTCATAATGCGGAAGCCTTTGGGACAACAGAAGTCCTGGTGAACAAGTAGTAAAATTTTCTGTGTCGTCTAGTAGTTGGCACTTTTTTCGTTTCGACGTCGAGTCGGCCGCTTCGGCATACACGCTGACAACAAGAATGACGATGGAAATTGTCGAACGTTGGCTGCTGAAGAGTTAGCTTTCACGACTCTAAAGTGCGAATTCTGGAGTTCCTTTCACTGTGTCGAGAACGATATGACCTTCGATTGATGAAACCGGACACGGACTTACCGAAATCGAAAATGTTGGCTGACTGTTGTTGTGCTCGCTATAAATTTACACAGTCATCAACAAGGACCGCTAAACTCGTGTACTTTCGTGCAGTCGTCGTGCAAGAACCACGTCCCGTCGAACTCGTTGTGATACATACTGATCATGCGAGTCGCTTTCATGGAAGAATATCAGAAACTCGCCAATAATCATACTAGAAGCAGGACGAGTTGCTCATCTAGGGTCTCATACGTTTCTTGGTCCTTCGTGCGCATATCATTTTGGTCGCGACTTGATGAACCTAGTGTATCTTCAAACGTAAGAGCAATGCGCAACTCCATAGCTGCACTGGTGGCAGAAGGGTCCGCTCCCATGGGATGTGGCCTAAGTCACGCTCAGGCTCCGTGTCCCTTGGTTTTGCAAGGCGGCGCCACAACACCTGCACATCCTTCTGATCTCCGGCAGCAGAATGAGGCGCTTCTCAATTGCTGTCTTCGACGAGGCAAGAAAGCACTGCCTACGGCTTTTCATGAACCCGAAGGGTGGCCTGCGACGTGTCTTAATCTGTCGGCAGATTGTCGTCAGAGGAGAACCAATTATGGCCTTGGAGGGAGTAGTACAAGCAGTACTAGGCATCAGATGCTAGTATTTGGCAAGGCAAAAACGAGCAAGACGACACATCGTCGGATCATGCGACGACTACGAGTCCACACCAAGAAGAGCACAGTCTTTGCTGTCGAGGACGGTCTTGCTGGTCTCTCTGCTGCGGAAGAAAAGGCCCTTTTGAAGCGGGAAGAAGCGCAACAGTCCCCGTACAACAATGAGGCGATGGACGTGCGAGGTGTGGAGACGGCACCTGATGGATCTTTGCGTCCGAAGACACGGAAAGCGCCTTTGGAGGAGAGGCTGCGGGAGATCCGGCGCTTGTTTCCGCCGTCGCCTTCGGACAAAGAGGTGAAAAGCGGCCGGGACCTGCTTACCAGGTTCGTGGGGGAGCAGAAGCGAACGGTGGAGAAAACGTTTGGCAGCATGCAGGAAGCCTTCTCGATGGAGGGCTTAGAGAAGCTAGTGCGCTACGCTACCATGTTCATGCTGAAAAATCAGACGATGCAGACGGCCAACGAAAAGATGGACATCATTATGAATCCGGGGAAGGATGGTTTCGATATCAAGAAATTGATACTTGAAGGACCGTCGAAGCCTGAACGAATTCGGCCTCCAGTACACGTCACTCTTGCGCCGGCTTTTGAGGACATGCCAATGAATGGCGTGGTACTTATCCGCTAGAATTCTTTGTTAGTGACGAGAGGAAATCTACTGCAGATCAAGTTGATCGTTAAGTAAAAATCTTCACCACTTCGGAGTACTAGAGAACTTTTCTTTCTCGGAACAACACGAACTAAAGAAAGACTTCAGCTGCTGCATTTACCCTGTATAAGTAGATCGCTTTAACATACACAAAAACCTCAACATTAACACATCAGTTTGCGCGGCCTCCCTCTGTGGATCTGGTATGGGGCACTCCGCCGTTCTCATGGAACACGCCGATTTATCAAATCAATCCTCTGGCCGAAGGCGCTTCGTTTTACTCGACAACTCGCGGATGGCCTGGTACGTCCGGGGGGCCGTTAGGAACGCTGATGCCGCTCCCGGTCGGTCTAAACACGCAAGTGATTGAGGCGCGGAACTACCAGTTGCCACGAAAAGACCCTTTCGCGCATCGCGAAGCCGCACACGAGATCCCTCTTCCGTTCGTAGATGCAAGCCAATCGCGATCAAGACCCGACTTTACCAGCAAGCAGATGCGTGGGGATCAGGGACTAGTCACGCACGGAATCAGTCAAGCTCATATTTTCAATCGCAAAATATACGACCCTGACATTTTCTAAAGTTAGTACCACTATGGTCCCCACTCCGACATTTAGCTTCTGCGGCCCATAATCGCCCATTTTTATCGAAGACATATTCCTTTTTATTCTCTCACTTCATTCACGCAGAGGACGCGAGAGGCTGTCCCTGGTATCCTGGCACCAAGAGTGTTTCCTCTTGGTAGAAGTGGAGGAAATCGTTGTTTGGAATAAGGCATCAAAAGCAGAACTTTTCCCAGGGTAATATTCGGCGATTTCTCCTGACGATATAATTGAGAGGCATAATCGAAAAATTGTAGAGAAGGAGAAAGATTTGTTCGTTGTAGATCGGCCGCTTTTTGTGGTACAACGGAAATTCGGCTGCAAAAAAAGGGCGTTATTGCTTACATCTGGATAGTGGTAGAAACAAATAGAATGTCGGTTCGGCAGAGCGATTTTGATTTCTCCTCGCAAATAAAAGTGAATCAGATTAGAAGAAGTAGAAAAAATGTTGATGATTTCTGAGTCAAAAAAGTCGAAGCATGAGAAATATCTGGCATGAATCGGTTGCGCGTTGCAAGATGTACCACTTGAATTAGCGACTTCATAGTTTTTCTTTTTTTTGCGAAGCTGATTCACGTCCACGATCGACCACCATGCCTTCCACCCGGGGTCTCCGCAGCCCCATGGGCAGAAGCTACTACGGCGGCAGCTCGATCGACTCCGACTCTTTGATTTCGCGGCGCGCGCGCGACGTGGAAACAGTCATTCAAGGAACGGGCGACGTCGGCAATGCGGTGGAGCGGTCAGCCAGTATCTTACTGGATATATCTGGACGACGGAACATTCAGCCTCGACACTATCCGAAAATACCGCTGTCTCGTTTCGTCTTGTACGAAGAGTGCGAGGCGCGGAAAGAGGAGCGTGCGGCGCGTCTGAAGCGGATGAAACGCGAGCGTGCAAGGAGGGAATTAGAAGAGAAAGAGCGGGAGGAATGGAAGTAGGACTCTAATATTTTGTTTCCTGCTTACCTTCGAAGTAGCCTTTAGGCAAATTTGAATTTGCATTTTGCAGGAAATATGCAAGTGTACTATCTGTGTCATGTTGTACGCTCATGCAGGAAATAAAAAGTATTTAGTGACATGTCGTATCGAAATCGGTCCGAAATCGTGGTCCGTCCTTTAGGCTCCTTTCTCCGCATCTTTCACCGGAAAAACCGAGTTTTGAACCGTTTTCGGAGGCCGAAATGCGTGAAGAATTGACAGCTCGGGATGAGGAAAGGTCTGAGTGGCTTTTCTCGCGGCGTAGCGCCCTGCCGGCTCCCGTTCCTTCATGTGAGCGTTCCAAGACAGTTCCGACCGCGGAGATGGCAAGGAATAAGCACCAGCTTGATCCACAACGCTACACGGATCTTTCGTTGCATTGGGGACCAACACGTGACGCGACGGGGACGCTCATGCACTCTGAGTCTTTGGCCCGCTGGCAGCAACATGTCCAGACCTTCCCGAACACTAACTTATGTTGAGCAAGAAGTGATGAATTAGCAATGTGAATAAATGAGTAAGCAAACGATCACGCTAGTACTTCACCTTTTATTCCGGCACGGCTAGGGGACTCTCACAGAGCCTGCCACATGAATTCGCATGTGGGCGCGCATCGCACAGGCTTATTGTCCACTTGCTAAGATTCCGTAAAGCGGCCTTTTTGAAGGACATACTTGATTCTAAGAAGGGGAGCATCTGCTGCCGGCATCAAAGATCGAGAGCCGTTGCCGCGCAAGTACCTGTGGTCGAAGGAGGACGGATTGGCAGGTCGCGTTGCTAGTTGGGATGCTGATGAGGGAAGGAAGTTTTGGCGTGGTTGGTCGGCTCACAGTGAAATGGCACACGAAGGCGTCAGTAAAGCTGGAAAAAGGGATGCGTTGGAGCGAGCTAAGGCAATGCGAGAGAAATACGGCGGGCTTACCCTTGAAAAGGCGCGCATTGTGGTTGCATCGCTCTCAAAAAAAAAGGCTGATGCATTCACGTCCGAGGAACTTGAACTGTTCGAGCGAGGTATTCTTTCCTTTAAAAAAAGATTTGTCAGTCCTGTAGCATGCATGCAGACAGCAGAGACTTTCACTTAATTATTTTGATTTTCATATGGTAGCACGCATGTGCTGCTCTTCCTTTTATCATCTGCAGTAGAATTTTTATGGAAATTGGCCATCTCATCTTCAAGAAATAACTTTATCATCATCCTTATCTTCAGCCAAGAAGTATTTGATCGAAGTCCATCAAGAGCGCGCGTCAACTGCTGCCGCGGCAGCATCTGGGAGCAAGCGCATACCACGCAAACCTTGGGATGCGCGTTGGATCCATGCGTCACGGTCATTCGGAAATGAAGAACGTATGCCACAGCGACGGCGGTGCTTTTCCTCCTTTCCTAAGAGACCCGAAGCATATTTAGACAAGATGTTGGGCCGCATGACCAGCGTCACCGAGAAGTTACTAACAGCCGATGAGAGAAAGTTGAAGGACGAATTCCTAGGAAAAGTGAATGCGCTAGCACTCAAAAAGGCTGAGAGAGAAGCAGCACAGGCGAACAAGAAGAAAAAATGACGAAAATTCGCGGGACCGCGGAAAGTAGTTGTAGCATCTGTGGGCGTACTACTGCTACCACCTAGAACGAAGAGGGGGAATCGCGCTTCTTCTTTCACGTTAAGTAGAAATCGCTTCCATGTGCATGATGCTATTGACGTATATCAGAGAGACGCGGCTGCGTTTGCTCCGGCACGCGAGAGGAACTCTGTGATGGAACAAGTAGTGTAGAAGTGCTTCTCCTACAACCGGCATCCGCCTCCGCCAGCTGATGTCGGAACTTCGTCACGCACGCAGCGAAGGCTTGCACTCTTTCGTCCCGCTGGCATCACTGCTGCACCAAATGGCCATGTACGTAACTCCCGGTTGTTGACGGCTGTCTTCATGTACGTAGCTCCCGGTTGTAATTGGCTTTCGGATGTTGTCATGCGTATTTCGGCGTGGAGAGAACTGCCATTTCCAACGGCAATCGTGCCAGTAGTAGCGAAAAAACAACCAACCATGTCTGTGCATCAACAAAGACTGGGACCCACATGATGCTTAGTACAGCCGCGTCTTATACGGATTTCTCGCCAGCAAGAACAAAGTTCCAGCCAGGCAGAGGGCAGAAGCATTTGACACTACGAATTGTCACCTCGGGAGCACGCTTCAGATGGAGAGCTCCGCCTTTTCCTAGGGTTACTTTTCATGGCTCTGTTTTTGGTTTAGAGACGGCCACTTGATGGATTGCCGGTGCTTTTTGATGGCACTGTATGTTGTCGACTTGTTTTGTAAGTCAACGCAATCTGAATTAGAACAAAAACCATGCAGTGACACTAAGAAGAGAAACTAGAGAACGTCCGCAAAAGCTTAAGTAAGCTCTCTCTGATGGGAACCGTATGAGATATGACCAAGATAGCAACTGCTGTGACACAAGGAAGACACCAGGATTGCCATGTGAAGGGAAGAAGTGTCCATGAATCGGCCATTAAAGTTGAGAGAGATGAGAGATTTTCGAGTGAATAGTCTCAGCCATTTTGAAAAGCGAAAAAGTTTTAGTACACTAGCCGAAAAAGAAAGCTTGTTCTCTAAGCTCCAAAAAGCTTAAGAAGAAAATGAAATGAGCTGTAAGTGGATGAGCAGGATCCTTAAAAACGGTTATTTAGACTCCCTGATCTCAGGCGGAAGCTTTTTTTCTTAAGTCTCCAAGAAGTGTAGACTCGTAGAACTGATGTTGTGGATATTAGAAGATCTTCGCTCTTGATAACTGACTGGCTGCGTGTGTAAGTCGGTAAAAATGTTTCAAGAGGCTAGTCGGACTCAGACCTGCGCACTACGTGGCGATTCACCATGAGCATACCTGGATGAGGTCGTTTGCAAAAAGGCCCACCAGGATGATTCATTTACCAACGTAGATGGTAAATGTCCGAAGGACGAACATGCGCGTGCTCGATGATGAGCATTTTTCGCGCGGGCGTTTTCGCGGTTCTGCTCGTGGGTGCGGTCGACACTTCGGGTCAAAAATTGTTGCGTGTTGAGCGCGATTCTGCAAGCGAAGTCATCGGTGGAACGAGTTCTCGTACGATAGAACTGGAGATCTTCGGTTTTATTGGGGGCGACGCCGTCGACAGTGGTCGAAGCAGTCTCGCGGGAGGGGGACCGAGAGCGGCGAGGGGCAGCTTTTCCTCCTCGTTGCTTCAACAGGAGCTGGGCCGCTCGTCAGGAGCCGTCGGGGCGAGTTCTACAATTGATAATGCCCGCGCGGACCAGGGCGACACGCTTGAGCAGACTCCAATAATATTGCCTACCTCGGCGGCCTCTAATCAAGAAAACCTTGCTGACACTGAGAAGAGAAACAAGCACGAAATAAAAGTGAGAATATACGGCGCAACGCACGTGCTGCACCGCATAGAAAACGTGCAATCTTTCCTACCCGGTCGTCGGAAGAGGCGAACATACACTCGCGGTCAATCGATCATGGAAACGAGACATCCTCGAGAAAATCGGGATTCCTGGCAGGAGAAGCAGAACTTGGACGAGTGCTCTTATTACCGTGGACCGCGCGGACAGCTAGCGGTGCGCAGTCGTGACGGGTTAGTTGTCGGTGGGATGTTTCTCGACGGTTCGGACGGATTTCTCCATGTACAAAGCGCTGAAATGTATGGCCACTTTCAGCATGATGATGGAACTGACTTGGCATCGACAACGTCTGGGAGTTCTAGCTCGTCGGAAAGCGAGAGCGAGGCAGAAAGCAGCGATGTCGATGAAAGCAGCAACGGTACCCGCGACCGTACGTCGGCAGCACTCGCTCACGCTTCAACAGACCCGGGCGTTGAAAATAGCGGAAAAAATGCTAACAAGAATGCGGTAGAAGTATCGGCAAGAGGAGATGCACTACTAATGCGTTCAGATTTAAGAGAGACTAGTAAGAGCCTGCGCAGACCGTCATCGTTTCTGGTAGAACATGATGTGCAGTGGGCGAGTGCAGTGACTGAAACAATGGATGGTAAAGCTGCTGCGCCGGCCGAGATGAAAGCTATTCTTGAGAACAAAGCGAGGCGGCATGGCAATGTGCGTGATGACGAGCCGCCTAGTGCTTTCGCGGATCGCGGTCCAGGTAGTATGAAAACGGCTGAAGATGATAGTAACGCGGATGCGCTAGCTGCTAGCGCGTTAAGAAGACGTGTAGCCGTCACCAGGTATCTTTGGGGAAAGGCGGACCAGAAGAGGCCGGCGCCTCCGTCGTTCCTTCAAGAAAAAGCAGAGCAGGAAAAGCGAGAGGAACTAAGAAAAGCGGCGATTCACCAGCATACTAGAGATGCGGTGCGAGATGTCTTCAGCACTACCAGTAGGACACATAATGATTTTTTGGAAGAAAAAGGAGGAGCTGATTCTCATGAAGCTGATTCTGGTGCTGAGCCATCCGACGACATCCGAAATAGTCACACAGGCCTCTCTCCTACTCAGGAACAACAGCAAGAAGAACCGGATCGACCCAGCAAAGCACAGCACGAAAATCGGCCTCAAAGAAGTGGCGCGTTTTATGCGCGAGAATTAAGGGTTTCCGAATTACATCCCTCACTTCCATCCTTGGCTCCTTTTCAAGGGGGAAATAGGTCAAGGATGTTCTGAAGAATGCAACTCGGCAACCTCTAAGAGAAGACCCATCGCAGACCAATCTGATTGACAAAAAGGAAGTTTCATCGCATCGAACAACCAGCATTCAGACGACAAGCGTGAAGCCTGCTCTTGCACACGCAGGAGATCTTAAGGTTACCGACCCGGACACTGGTGACGAAGTCATACTTGACTCCATCGCCGGTCTGCATGACGGATTTGGTGACCCCGAAGCACCATCTACCATCTCTGATGATTCCTCGCCGGAGGCTTTTATGTTGATAGAATCATATCTTCTAGGGTGCAGCTGTAGTTATTTCTCGGAGGATCATTCATACTTCATTATTGTAGCTCTCGAGGGATACTGGCTAAGGTCTGGGGTGAGATTTTCGCATAAGCAATAGAACTGCAACTTAACGGCTTTCATTGTTGACGCAAAAGCCACGGAGGTGTATGGGGCAGGCAGTTGCTACTTAGGAGACGACGACATGCACGAGGTGCGCGTCAATCTTGTTGGTGATCGCGCATTTACCGACCGAGTTGCAATTACGGCCAACAGCAAGGATTCAGTGTCATTTTCGACGTTCTTGTACCTTTACTAGAAAACGCCTGATAATCTTTTTGTGCAACGCCTGATAATCTTTTTGTGCATACCCATAGAGTCGTCGCGGACGTCTTTCCCGCAGCATGGGCGCCTTTATTTGAGGACACACTAGTTTGGGTTTTTCATCATCTTCGCTGATAGGTTGCTTCTACTATTATTAGCTAAACTGTGTACCATACGCCTACAGTGAATACAAGACTAGTGGAGCGTTAAGACTATGGGTGATCGTCGTCTGAGCACTAGACTGCTGGCTAGTTGTATGATCATGTAGAGCTGCTAGTTTCAAAAAGCCTTATCCTGAAAATCGAACTTTCATCATTCTGGGATCGGATAAGATTGCTGGGCACTTGCTGACACTGACGCTATGGCAAGCAAGCTTCGTGTACGAGCATCAGTTTCATGTGCGCTTGTCCCCGGGCAAGATAACGGTGCTCAAAGGCGATCCGACGAAGTCACTAGACCCGATTGCTGGATGCTTGCCGGGCGACGCGACGAAGACTGGGATTTCCGCTGACCCCATGTATCAGAAGCTGCTTTTAAGGCTGTCTACAGCTTTTTTAACATTCCATGTACCTAGTATAGCATACCACACGGGTACGGCGCAAGAACGGAAGCACGACTCAGTTGAATCCCCGTGAAAGTTAGGGGGACCACGCAAGGGCGTTGTCATCAATGGAGGTAAGAAAGTGAAATTACCGCTAAGAGTCGCAATTCCAAAATCAGGGTACGAGCCTCAGGGTTTGCCGGACGGCTCGATGACTACACACTTAATCACAGGATGTGATGAATCCACTGAGATGGTCGGTCTTGCGCAAATTATGTGCTAAAGCTTCCTCGCCATTGTGCAAATACGTAGATTCTTTTCACACGTATACTACTGCTTTTGCTTGATTTATTTTTGTGATCTGATCCTCGATTATCTACGTTCCTTAGAAGTATCCCTTTATTCGTCGAGCTCGATCACAATGTCCTTGCAGATGCATGTGCTTGAGTTTTTTGGTCTGCTCATTTTGAAGATCCTGCATAGTGCGACCACGACGCAGTGCTTTTTTCATACTCTCTGCGCGCTACTGTCAGAAGGATGCGACGGGAGTGTCATTGTGGACGGGGGCTACGACATGGCACACCGTAGCACACGAAATAGGGCATAATCTTGGCGCAGAACATCCCGTTCCCTCATTGACGTCGAATGTGACAGTCGAAACATACGGTGGCGTCGCGACAATAAACGCTGGTCTCATGGGTTACGGGGATGGTCGACATGAGGGCGTATTTTTATGAGGGCCAAATGATCCACAGAGTTTAAACTGCTAAACACATTGGAGCCCTGAGACCAAGACTCTGGTGAGGTGAAGAAAACTGAGCTTTGCTAACAAGTACAACTTGCCCACGACGATTCGTAGGCTACTTGTTTTAATAACTCGCCTGAAAGACATTAAGTAGACCTTTTTCATTCTGTGAATTTTTCAACGACTACCAAGAGACCGTTGTGCCGAATAACAAGCGCATGTGTATGGCTTTCGACCAGATGGCAAAAGCAGCGAAGGGCACGCGATTCGGTGAGTGCATTTACCAATACCATACGGAGCCTGGCATGAAGTGCTCGAGGCTAAGTTACCTCTGCGGTGCAGACGCCTACTGCAATCCCTACACCAACAAATGCGAACCAGGTCGGATCATAAAACCTGTAGCGTGTGGTGGTCAAGGCAACGTTTGTCAAAACGGACGAACAGACTTTAGCTTGGCATGCGATGGGAAATGGGACACCTATTGGTACAGTGATTGCACTTAGGGTTGTGAGATTGTGGATGTACAATTGTGTACTTAATCTATTTTGATTCCACGTTTTGTATCATCTTTTTTGAGTGACTTTCTTCAAAGTAATCATGATAGACAGCGTTTGATCATCAGTATGAAACCTTTCGCTTTCATATTATCTCGCCGCAAATTTTTATTATCGATATTGGCGAGGAGCGCAAGGTGGACCGGCTAGACCTTTTTGGAGTCCTCAATGATCATTTTCCGCGTCGCTGGCGATTTTGGGCTTGCCCTAACGAACTTAGTGCTGAGAATATGAACTGTGATGGCGGCGAGGTAATTTACGACCGAACTGTGGAATACATCGACTCGGTCTCACACATTATGGGCTATAGATAAGAGGAAATTCATTACGGAATCGTTGCCGTAATTTGGCTTTTCAGTAGCAAAAAGACGTACGGGAAAGGAAACCAGTATTGAAGTGGTGACACGAGCCTTCCTTGAAACGTAGGTGCTTCTTCCTTCTTCATCGTGGGCTACTACTACCGGGACTGGTACAAATCGTTGGGTGCCATGTATAGCTTCGCGCTGACTCCATCGGTGCGGCGATGGCGGTACTTCACATTGGAGGTTCTTGATAGCGCACCTGTGAAGCCAAGCCGCTTTGAGTCCGGTGGAGCACCTTATTTACGGGCTGTCGTTCTTGAGCAAAACTCTGTCGTTTGATGTAAAGAATACAATATGATCTTTTTATGTGGAGTTCTGGAACCCTTACTTTAACACTGTCATGAATTCATCGACACACGACCACCTCTTATGTCACGACTCATTCGTCGTCCTTGTCTGTGCACGAACTAGTAAGTACCTCCTTTAAATTTTGCGGCGCCTGAACTCGAGTTTCCGTGGTGTCCGGATGGACCGGAGGGACAGGGGCACGGTGACGCAACGCCGGAGTCTCGCACGGTAACGGATGAGGAGGCAGCACAACGAGACTGCATTGCATTGACGGAAGTGAGATTTCGCTTGCTGCAGGATGATGGAGACACGTACATTATGTTGGAAATTGAAAATGTACTTCCATTCCTTCGGGAGATAAACAAGGGTCGACTTTATCTAGCTGCTAAGACACAAAGAATGAAGATATCTCTACTTCACTTGTTCGGACTGCTTTTCAATGAATGTGGTGTTCTAATACTCGCCTCGGGGCGGGTACTGCAGCGAACTTAGCGCAGCATAACACTTCAAGTGGTAGCGGGGGTCACAGCCAGTCCGTGTCCGCCTTTGAAACTGGTAGAAATAGCAGTGTTTTCGATCCACGACTACCAGCTTGTGCCGTGTCCGCATGGTCGAATTGGACTGAATGTACAGATGTGGAGTGCGATTCCACACGACATCGTTCACGGACACACCTACCCCATGCCATCCACGATGTCGGAGATCCGAACTGTCTCAGACTACAGTTGCAGGTGCAGCGGGAGGTAATTCTACATTTAACTTGTTGTGAATCTATAATTTTAGTTAAGCATTTACTCACTAGAACGTGGTGACTGTCTATACTGTGCTTCGACGAGTGCCTCATGTGATTATGTATAGCACCTAATTATGAATTATGAAGTCGTGCAAGTGAAAGTTTGCACTTCGGCTATTCCTCTCCTGTACATGATACGCTGTTCTGAATGCTCCTGCAGCGCTGCAACGAGGAATGTCCGCACCGATTCGTATCGAATCTAGTGGGCCCGAAGCCTCTTTTATCAGAGGAAAATTTTGCATTTGCTGCTAACCTCGAAGGCGTAAAGAAGTTGTTGAAAGGCTTACGCGGGTGGCAGCTTTCTCTTCTCGTCGCAAGTTTTGTGTCCCTGCTGGCGTATTTAATATACTATTGCGTGGGGAAAGGCGGAGAACGAAAGTTAGGGGTTTTTTTTTCCAAGTGTAATCTTGACCTTGCGCACAGAATGAATAAATTGTAATGTCACTTGACGAGTATCATTTCTACATTAAATTTGAAAATTTTCAACGTTTTTCTTCATGGGAACCAAGGCCGAGGCCAATGCCTCGCAGTAGATGGCCGGCATTTATGATGAAAATGATATAGGCTTTTAGACACTAAATCAGTGTCAAGGTAAGAACCCGGAACGTTCGAGAAAGGACTTCAACTTTGCTGGAATGAACCTCGAGGAACCCTCAAACCACTAATGAGCACGGCACTTTTGGATTCGGGTGAAACGGGTGCCAAGCCGGACGCTGCACAGCATTTCGACAATGGACAGACATCAGTCGGTGCAGATGGTGGGAATAATAAGCCCAGTAAAGCACTTGAGGAAGACGATGGCGGGACCCTCGAAGGGACTCCAGATCGGGTAAGCGGGTTGCCTCAGATTGACGAGAGCGGGGAACAGGATTCCGCTGAGGGAGAGTAGGAAGACGAAGGTGCACCTGGAGCCCACATTCAGTTCAAGAATTAGGGTCATTAGGTTACAGTAATGTTGCCTCTTTCGATATTTGTTTTTGTTGTTTGTTTGGTGCTCCTGTGTAGGCGGTGAAATATAGCTTTCTTCTTTGTCGTGCAACTCTGGTGGCTAATTCCAAGAAGTGTAAACGAGATGACAATTTGTTACTTGATCACGACTTGCAGAAAAAGTCTAAATTGAAACAGGTAACGCCATTGATGGTATGGATTCATAGAATTAGATACGCTACTACTGTTTCAGCCGTATTCCGTATTCGTGAAATTAAAACTCAGACTCTTTTCTCATTGATGACGTTCTACCCGCTTTTCGATTATAAGTAAATTCTCCTCTACGATAAATCTACTGGGGGGCAAAAGTAAATTATTTTTATAGCTTTTATAGCCAACTTCATTCTGACTATCATGGATGGTTATTTTTTGGAGTTAGATAGACTACGTCTGATTTCTTCTGACTGATTGTGCATGTTTTTCTGTCTACTTGTATGTTCATCTTCTTGCTTCTTGTTTTTCGGGGAATGGATTCGGCTATCATGATGATATCTTGTAGGCCTTGTAGATTGGCTTCGTTGAGGATTGTCGCGTATGAATCTCAACGAAGTGAATCTACGAGACCACAAGATCGGAGTTATCGCGGCAACTGTAGTGAAAAAGGGTACTCCGTTCGCCTGTGCCGGGTGACAAGGATGAAGAAGTTTGACTTTGTCCTTCGTTGCGATTAGGCATTTTGGGCAAAAATGGCAACTAGACGGCCATTCACAGGCCCAAATTTTTTCAAAAGGAAGAGACCAGGAGGCCATTGATACCTTCTCAAAATCGCAAAAATGACTTGACAAGTTGTCACCGTCATCCATCAATTTGAATTGTAATTTCATGCTGTAGAAAAACCGCGCGATATCCTAGTCTTTTAGGGGGGGAAGTTATACATGATTCTGGAGGGTTCGTGCCTCCCAGAAGGAGGCAAGAGACGAATGCGGCGTGTCTTAGCGGGCACGTGGACCACGGCATACCGAGGCCTGCTTGTGTCCTTCTTGATTCGGCATCGAGTCGAAGCGGTGTCGGACCGGAAACTTCTGCGAGTAGAAGAACAGCTGGATACTGGGGAGCAGGAGTCACAAGATGCTGGCACTTCCACCCGCGCGATATCGACACGAGGGAGGAGATTGGAAATTGAAATCGACCACATAGGGCATGCCAGCGGCACATCGGCAAGGTCGACGTCTTTTGTGGAAGAAGGTGTAGATTATGCGCGCGAGGCGCAACAGCATGGAAATATTGTGGTTCGAGTTCCCGGTGAGAACGCGAGTTTCCAGTTGAAGCGTGTGCCGCATGGTCCGTGGACCCAAAGTGGTGTAGACGCAAAGATAGAAGAACCCGGCACTGCCCAGGATGACGACTTCCTTTTTTATGATGTTTCTTGACTAGCAACGTGCTATTTACTAGGACTAACGGAAGAGTGAGCGACGGTATATTTACGCATTCTTACTTTATCTTGTTCCTTGGTGCTAGATTTGTTCATTTGTCCGGAAAGCAAAAGAGAAAGACTGGTCAATGAAAAAGTAGCTACAGATTGGCCAGTCGGAGTCTTCCATCTAATGGTGCTACCGTGGTGCAACGGGTCATCTCGTTGTCCGAGCGACTGATAGTACCGTAGTTGCGGGCATGCTCCTGCATGGGAGTGACGGTTTCCTAGCGCTAGATGGCATGACCTTTGAAGAGACCAGTGAAACGAGAACCAAAGAACAAGGGCAGAGAAACTCTGAGGGCACAAGCAGCCCTTCAGTAGAATTAGTTTCGGATGGGACAATTCGTCGGGATAAAAGCGTCGGGGCAGCGAAGGAGTTCGTGTTTAGGGCACTCTACTTTGGTTCACTCGTGCTTCCCTCAATCTTCATGTATTTTGTAGCGGCTTAAGCCCTGTAGCAAGCCGTATTAATCTTGTATCATTATGATCAACGCGTCTCAAGGGGCACTGACTATGAATCCATGTATCGAAGATCTCCGTTCTTAAAGATGAGAGCTTTCCGTCACCTTCATTTGCATGTAGAAGATATCTAAAATAGCTGACGCAGAGACAGGCGATCCTGAGTTACCGAAACGCTGGCGCCCATCGTCATTATTCGAAGATGCAGGCGCTTCGAGGGAGCTCGACACGGTACAGGAGACTGTCGAATTTGATGTTGGTAGTGGAGAAACAAGGGCGCGAAGAGGGACTATGTTACAGGCACGAAAGACACAGGCGCAAGGGCAGCAAGCTCGACAAGGCTTCTTGTTTCAAGAGGATGCAGAGTGGTCACAACAATCTACTTCCCCCATAACCTAAGGGCGGTTTTTTATTATGTTTGTAACGTCTAGAGCATACCGTATCCAACGAACTACTTCTAGAGAAGGAGCATGCCATGTGAGTGTAAGTTTTTCTATGTTGGTACGACAAGTCTTTTTTTAATCATTCCTTTGTAATTGCATGATAAGCATGAAGAAAAACAAGCTCTAATAGAAGCCCGAGGGTGCAACAGGAGCGGCTAACTTAGCCGGTGGCGAGTCACTTATTCAAGGGGCGGCTTCGGTTGGATTTGGAACCGGCGCGAGGAAGTCTGCAATTCACAGTCGGGTCACTGCAAGGCGGTACCGCTTCGGCAATCGAAGAATAAGAAACGCAGGCTCTTACAAAGGACCTCCGCATTCTCTCGTTGAAGACAAAGCGGCGCTAGGAAAAGATGTAGACGTGCGAAGACAAAAGTCCGGTGCTGATAGCCATGTGGAGATGAAGAAAGTTCGCATTCGCGATCAGCATCTGCAGGAGCAGACATCACAGGCATCCTCTACCTCCGCGAAAAGAACAATGAATGAAACGCAGTCGAACAGGAACAGTAACAACACAGGCGGCAATAGAACAGACGGCGTGAACCAGACAGACGCGAATAAGACAGAGGCCGCCAGTCTCGAAGTCAAAGATGCTTCAGGCAACGTCACGCGAGTGCGAGAAGTGGCGGGGCTTCACAACGGGTTTGGTAGCCCGCTCCCTCCGAGTCAGTCGGATCAAGGAGAAAAAGGCCCAATCGCTTGTATGGCTTTCTGGCATGATTAACCGCATGAATTAGTAAGTGTAGTAAATGTTACAATTACAACCCGGGCAAGATGATCGGAATGAAAACTTTGTTTCATGCTTGTACATAGCGAGCTTTATATATAAGAAAGTTGCTATAACTTCAACTACCAGTAATTAGATACAGATCCTTTATTGAGTGAGCAACTTCTGTATCCATTTTCGTTATTCATTTTGAAGACATTGTGAGTTCTTACGAGCTCATCTGGTTCCGGATTTGCAGTGTAGCAAAATGACTTGTATCTTCATCTCTTCACTTTTGACGCAGAGGCGACGGTTGGGTATGGGAGCAACAAGTGCTACAACGGGGATGACGACCTTCATCAACTACTGGTGTACTTGATCTTACGAAAAAACAATCTGCTATTCACTTTGCGGGCCAAATGTGCTCCGATTCTGTTTGATGAATTAGATGTAACACAACTTTTATTTGGTTGTCGATGGCTCTTTAGAACTCATTTACTTTGAGTTAAGGTGCTCAGGAGCTTGCGTAATCGTATAAACTAAAAGTAAAATGAGTGCCTGAATAAACAGTGAGTTGAGTCTGGTGTTTCGCTGATACAGTGTAGGAAAGCTGCCTGGTGAGAACGAAGATTATGTTTCTAGTATGGTAGCAGAGTAAGCTGCTCCTGATAGTGGGTGGCAGATTATGTACTTAGTATCCAATGCAACACTGCTATGCCTACTAAAGGTGTAAATCTTAAAGTGGTAGTAAAGAAATATCGAAAGATTTCAATTTTGTTTTGCATCTAAGTGTGGCTGATCGGTCGTTTACTAAAGGGGCCGCATCGGATTCCACCGACCTGGCGAGGAGGCTTATGGCGCTCAGTTTGTGGCAGGCCAGCTTCATTTTCGAACACCAGTTTCACATTCGATTCGGAATCAGCGACGCCACAATTCTGACGGGTAATATCATGGTTGTACCAGTACTAGTTTTTGAAACCTAGGGAACGTTGGCAGTACGAGGTCGTTTTTCAGCCCTCATAATGTCGAAAGTATCGAAGGAAAGCCGCAAGAAGTCAAATTTCAAAAAAAAACAAAAACAAAGGTGACCCGAAAGAAGTGGGTGCTGGCGATTTGGCAGGTTGTCCTGACAGTTTCGGTGATAATAATCCTCTTACGAAGAAGCTAGACGCATTATGGCCACCCGCCGGCTCGGAGTATCGAAGGAAAACCTCGGAAGATGGCGCCGCCTTCTTGCATATTTTTACTCTCTGTTACGGTTAGATTTTCGTTATCCTTTTTGATGGTACTTTTATGCCCGGCGACTGCCAGATATTTTTAGGTGCCGATGATCCTCTTCTAGAAGTCCAGGCCACATCGGCACTTACGAGAAAAGTCATTCCATATGTTGAGTAAGGATTTTTTACTGGTGCTGGCCCTGCCGCAACCTTTAGCCCGTCAAGCTAGCCTAGCTAACCAAAAGAAATGCTAAGTGCTCTAACCTTATCGTTGCAATAAAGGGAGTGTTGGGCTGGCGGAGGTGGAGCATGTTTGTGACCCAGTGCCCCATGGTATCAGCTATTGGACGGGAGCAATGACGTGGCATACTGTCGCCCACGAGATCGGTCACAATTTGGGTGCACAGCATCCTGCAGTTTTATGCTTGTAGACTACGATCTAGCTGTTGTTTGAAGATGGTCGCATCTAATATACACATTGTTTTTACCTCCGTTAAATCTATATCTAAATCTAAAAGAGTAGTAAAAGGCTGCTGTAGTGTTCTTGAAACGTGGTGCTGATGACCTTTGGTTTTCTTCAGACGAGTTTTCTTCTACAGAGTTACAAGTTGTCCCCTGGTATACCTCAGTTGCTTCTCCCTGATGGTGCTAGTAGTGCTGTTACTGGCCGTGCTACTTCCGGTTTAGGGAACTAGTGAAATCGTTATTTTTAGTACATATAGCTTCTTACACTCCTGAAGAAAATAAAGAAAAATGTGGATCCTTTTCATGTCAATCGGGTTCAATAGCGACGACGAACGCAGGCATCATGGGTTACGGAGATGGGAGATACAACGGCGTTTTTCAGTTTCGCAACGACTACGGCCAAGCAAATCATGATAAAATTACGGTCATTTCTTATATCATTGATATCGAATCAGGATACCAGTTCGGTGGTCTCTTTGCATATCTTTTCAATGGTCATAGAGCAAAGAAGAGAAGAAGTTTATCTTGGTTGTGTCACTAATACTAATTTCATGTTGTAGCACCGCGCGATTTCAAGAATCGCTATTTTGCATTAGCTTGGGGTTCTGGGGAAACCACGTCTACAACTGACTCTCGTAGAATCATTCGAAGAGGCGCAATTACCTTTGTGTAGAGGGAGAGGAATTGCGTGTTTGGAATTATAATAGAGCATGTTCTTGGACAGTGAAGATAAGTAGCTATCGCTAACATTATGTGCGGGTTGCTTCAGGGGCTGGCAGCGGCAACGGCAGGGTCGCGTAAACGAAACTGCCTTGTGCACTATCACACGACGCCTGGTATGAAGTGCTCGCGACTCAGTTATCTGTGTGTTATGGCTAGTTTCTGTTGTTCTCTGCTGTCGTCATAAATTCGTCGTGTCTCGTCAAGGGTGTCGATGCCTTTTAATCAATAATTCATGTATGAATTATGGAGCAGTTTACAGACCAGCGTCATCGACTGCTATGATTGCATAACTTATAATTGGCAACAACTAGGATTTGTGCCGCAGAGATGCCGCCTTGCCAATCAATTTTAGACTGGTTCCTATTTTTCTGTCAGCGTCTGCATAAAGCCTGTGCTGTCTGTGACAATAATGCCATTTCTGTCCGAGAAGGACGCACTTGATAAAGAACTTCAACTCGCGGGTTTTGAGTTAGCAAATATTTTCTGTTGAGACTTGTAGAAACGTTGCTGCATATAAATTTACGAAGTTACACACTGTTTTTATGTGGCTTCTAATCTTGGGGCTGACGCATCCTGTAACGCCTACTCCGGGAAATGCGAGACGGCGCGCGAAATTCGTTTAAGGCTCTCGCTAGTCCACCTTCAGAAGCATTTTGAAGCTGTTCCACGATTAGGAGAAAAAAGCCTCAAGATGCGTCACAAGATGGATAAGGGTGAAGTTAAGGGTGAAGTTCTAACGCGTCCCACGAAGTGCACGAGTCCAGGGACAGTCTGCCAGGCGGGCAAAACGGACATCTCAAATGCGTGCGACGCAAACTTTGCCACCTTTTGGCATTCGGATTGCACGTATGGCGACACTTGATGCTTTGTAGTGTACTAGTTTTTGCTGTTAAATGTTTAGATCCTTGTGAAGTAGTGTTCGCTATGTTTACCAGTGCTATAAGTAGTGTTCGCCATATTTACCAGCGATGGAGGCCTAGATGGAGATGTTTAATATGAGTGTGGACCACATGGATTCTCTCATTTTGCGGTTCCGCAGAATATCATGATTGATTTGGGCGGAGAGTTCAAAGTTGACTACTTAGACTTGTTTGGCATGCTGACTGACCATTTTCCGCGAAAGTGGAAGCTGTGGGGCTGCCCGAGCGCGCCAACCAGTGCGAGCGACACCGCTTGCAGTGAGGGCGAGGTGCTGAATGATCATACGGTAGTCTTCCGGGAGGTCGTGAGCCACAGCTACTATTATCGAAATTGGAATAAGCCCATGGTTAAGAATTGGGAAAGAAAAAACAGCTAGTGTATTTGTCGTTGAACAAGAGCAGGAGCAGATGGCAAGCGTCCAACGTCGATCTATGTACAGTATTTTTTTTGGATGTAGAGGGTGAAGGTGTCTGTCGGTCTGCGTAATGGGAAAAACTATATCGGAAACTGCTTACCACTTCAGGACCACTGTTTTTCTAATACTTGCGCGGCTTACAGCTTTCCGCTGGTGCCAGCGGCAAAAGACTACCAACACTTCAAACTCGAAATTCTAGATGGCAACGTGATCGAAGATCGTTCGGGATACGTAAGCCATACTGACCTGCCGATCGTGGAGTACCCGTGGTGTCCAGATGTATGGACTCGGGGAAGTAAAAGATTAGACTCTAACTAGATGAGTTGATTTTTAGTAATGCCAAGCGTTGTTCTTGATGGATTCAGAGTCAATAACCTTTGATGCCCTATTACGAAAAACGCCTCTAAGTAATATGACGAATAGTGCTATAGTAAAGACGCCGTATTGACGAACTCTAATGAGTGGCGCCGAGGGAGCCGGCAAGGACGCGAGTTCTCTGAAGTCTGCAACAGTTGGCGTGACTGAAGCCGCGAAGCGAGACTGCTTAGCACTTACGGAGATCCGGTTTCGGCAACTACAAGCGCCGGGCTTCGACCCATCGCGGCCATCATGCGATATAGGTCCTTGGGTTAAGGCTTCTCGTAAGTTAAATCCATTCTACGGACCGTAACCGTGTTTGTTTTAGATGAGCAGCGGGTGTCATTGTTCAAAGGAATATATAAATATATAATACAAAGGTCCTCGAAAGCATCTTTGAATCTGCTTGAGAAAGCGGGAAAGGACTTTCAAGATGGACTTCGGTACGATCTAATCGGAAGTTGTGGCATCCGTGCTCTGGCTCCGCCTGTGGGCCGGACGCTAACTGGGTTCGCAAAAGGAAGCATAAACTTGGCACTGTCGATGGGATAGCAGGCAGGTCTTGCCTACAGCTTCAACTAGTGGAGGAACAAAGCGTACCAGTTATAGTATTGTTCTTGCAACTGTAAGTAGAAGTACCTAAATGATACAAAGAATTGCTCCTTGGTGTGCTGAAGTATTTTCATCAGCGAGAAATCTAGAAACGCAGTCCTCCTCTGAGGACGATCATTGGAATGATGTCAATCGAGGCAGCATGATTATACTACTGGTCAGCATAATTATCGAGGTCGGCGGTCGATGTCGATCACGGTACCTAGGCAGTGGCTGCTATGTAAATCCGGGAATGAGACTAGACTCATCCACCTTTTTCCTTGGTGAAGGGGTACGGAAAATTCATAATTATATATGATTTAGGGCCGGACGGTGCCCCCCCTGTGGTCTGGTCTGTGGTGGCGCGCGCGCGCGCTTTTCCGCGCGAATTTTCGCGGATTCTAGTGGTGGAAGGCGTCAAAACTTGGCGCGGGCCTCCCCTTGGGCATTTCAGCGCGTTCCCAAGGGACCTCCTGGCCTCTGCTGACCCTCGCAGGCGGGAGGCCTCCGGGGTAAAAGGCCGCCGAAGGCGGCGACGGCCGCAAGAGCAAGCAAGCCGATGACCAAGGGCCCGGAGGGTACATGCTGCACGGCTCAGGGGGTCCAGCGTCTCTCCTTTTGCCGCCTTCGGAGGCCTTCCACTACCGGCGCACTGCTGCGGCGGCGAAGCCTAGCGGATGCACTTAGGGCACAGGCAGGCACCTGGGCGGGGGCGCAGGCGGTCCCTTGGGCCCCTTTTGAAGCCTCCCACCATCATCGGAGGCCCGTAGGGAAGGGACAGCCAGGCGGCTGGAAGGGAGCGGAGGGTGGGCCACTTGGTCCCCTTTTGAGGCCTTCCGCCCCCGGCAGACGCCTTCAAAAGGGGCCCAGGGCGCACAGTACCCCCCCCGCGCTAAGGGGGGCGCCGTCGCCCCGCGCCTTGGAACATATATAAACTGTTTGGCCAAGAAAAGGAGAAGGGTGATAAATATGTAAAATTTCAAATTATGACAAATTCAAATATATTTTGGCAATGCTCATGCTTGGATTCAGGTCACGAAGCCAGACTCAGGATTAGCGCCGGAAGCTGGCGGAGCAGTCTCAACGACGGAAGAGCCGCGCGACGACGGAGCAGTCGTATATACGACTGATGACTTTGGTGGCGTTGCAACAACAAGACCACCCCCACGTGATAACTTCACGGCGAACGGAACGGCTGCACCGGGCTCATCAAGTACAACATCGGAAGAGGATGGAGGACACGCGACCTTAGGGCTCATCAACTCCTATGTAGAACCTTGACGAAATAAATTGCTTAGGAAAGAAGTTGCCTTTTCGCGATGTTGCGGTTGCTATTAATTTTGATCTTCAGGAGGTCGGGCAGCGGGGACTAATTGCAGCTGAAGTATTAGAATTTCTTTCTGGAAGAAATGTGAAATAAAAGATATGAATGCTTGAAGGTGGAATAAGGAATTAGAAAATTATTGTAATCTGAGATAATTCACAAGTTTTTGAGTCTAATATCCGTGATGGTGGTGATGGCAGTCGGAGGGCTATGTGTGCTGGGTGGTGCAGCCTACTTAGGAATTGTAAAAGGGGGCGCGGCCGCTATGGAAGGGGCGGCACTCGCAAACACAACAGGAGCTGCTGAAGCACAGGCGCTGCTCGAGGCAGCAGAAGACCCGGGCGTGGAGCAAATAGGAGAAGACGCATATGATGAACCATATTACGACCAGACAGGGGAGAATGTGAGCCCCGATGGGCAGGAGGCTAGGGACGAGGAGAACTACGCAGAAGAGCAAGATGGCGAGTGAGAAGGGCAACCTCGTGAAGAGCAAGCTGCCCAACAGCAGGACATCGGCGGAGAACAGACCGCTCAAACGGATCAGAGACAAACAGAAGAGGAGTCGAGGTTTGAAAGCGTCGGGGACAGGCAGACGGATTACGGAAGTGTAATTGAGGTTTGAAAGATGCAGAATAGGGCGGGAACCTCATCTACCTGTTATTTGCATTTTCGGAGGTTTTTTCTAACAGTTTGTTTACCGTGGGACTGTTAACACTTAGAATGAAACTGCCAATCATGATTTTATATCACAAATGAATTTGTTTCTGTACGAGGCTTCAAAAAAACGTCTGCGCGATGTGTGAGACGTGCACCTTGGCACGACGACAGAAGACTGGATCAGGGAGGCGAGGATCATGATCTGTCACTTTCAGTATCGGTTGATTGTTGTCTTCGGTAAGAAGTCTGTACTTGACAAACGTGTTCCGCAGTGAAAGGTCAGCATGACAAACGTAGAAAAGAATCATAGATAAGTAAGTAGGAAAAAGAAGCTGCAAGAATTTTGATGCAACTTTTATGAAGCTGAAGGTTCTTACTTGTGGTTGTGTTGTGGAACAAAGCCGATTTTAACCCCAGAGAGCGTAGCACAGAACAAAAATCGACTGCGACATGCGATTTTCGCCTTTTTCCTAAGGTGGAGTCACGTTTCGCGATCGCGTTGGTGGCGCGGATTTTGTGGAGGAAGAAAACGCGTTCCATGACAAGATGCCGGTGTATCGTGCGGGCAGTTCAGGTAAAACGCAGGCGTCGCATGTTCTGAGGCAGCACAGTGGCCAATCGTCTCAGTTTTTGGATTTGCTCAGGATCCTGGCGTCTCCAAGCGGAAAAATTGCGGTCGAAAGCGTGGTATCTGTTCTCGCAACTGCGGGGGCACGCAATAATGAGTGCGACACTGTGCGCAATTACCTGCGCAGTTCGGCAGAGTCTTCTCGAGACTCAATTGAGGAGGTGTCGGAGATTCCTGTAGTCGATGTCGAGGCATTGCTGCGCGGGTGCCCTGACGAGCATGAGTCCTCGAGCACTGCCGCGTTCCGAACAAGAACATCTGAAGGTCCTACTTCGGTCGAAAGCAAAAGCATATTGAAGACGAAGGAAAAGAAGCCACGAGGGCCAAGAAGTCGACACGTCGTGGAGACATCGAAAGTGACGATGGCGCCGTGTTCGAAGGAGATCGCGAGTGAGCAGTCGTCTAAGGTGTCAACGGCGTTACCCGGTTCGTCAAAAGCGTCGATCACGACGCGGACCTCGAAAACCAGTGTGCAATCAAGACTCAGGTTTGGAGCATCCTCGAAGTCATCAATCACGAGTTCGTCCAAGGGAAGCAAGGTGTCCGTACGCAGTAACGTTTCAGGGAGGTCGGCAACGGACAAGACTTTAGCAAATCCGGAAGCAACTTCGACAAGTAGTACGAGAAGATTTTTATTCTCAAATGACAATGAAGCTCCCGATCCGCCAGGTGCCGGAGTATCGACTGAGAGTAAAAATGGTTCCAACGCTGTAAATTGCGATGTAGGACGAGGACAAGAGGCAGTGACGCAAGCAGGAGCAGGTGACTTCTTTATCGACGAAGCAGCACGCTCAGACCCCCCTTGTACTTCTATTTCGGCTCCTCGATCTGGAAGTTCTACAGCCAGACCCGCTACGAAAATTCCGCTCGTGCAGAACCTGTGCAACGAAGTGAGCGACGAAATCTGTTTCGAAATGGCTGTGCAGCTCTACAGCGACGTTGTGAATCCGTTACTGATAGAGGAAATTCTGGAAGAAAACATTCTATGTCCTGCACTTGAGGCAGCAACCACCAGAGATCGTCGTGTGCAAAGACGGGAGGAGCCGGAACTGCTTGAACGAGCCGAAGAGTGGTCGGAAGAACTGCTCTACGAATCCACAAGTTTGGTTCCGGACGACCAGACGCTGCCATCTTCATTTTCGACATCTCATTTGCCATCTTCCTCGTCGAGCATCCGAGTTCGACTGTTGCTCCGACGACCAGTGGCAAGGATCGCTTTTGCGGATGCGTTCTTTCAGGATGAATGGACTCAGCTAGTCGAGGATTGGACTTTTTTGGCGTGCAGGCGGATGATGGACCCCACCGACTCCTTTGACGCCACTGCATTCGCGGACATGCTCGACCATACGCAGAACGAAACGAAGGACAGCAGTGTCGCTTTAAAAGGTGAGCAAGTTCGTGGTTGTGGAGTTGTTGCACGTGACAAAATGGACAACCTCGAATCAAAAACGGAAACTGTTGCTCAAGAAAGCGCCTCGAGTAGTCCTTTCCGACGATTTTTGCAAGGGTGCTACACAAGAGACCCTCGCGAGACAGTTACGACAGACCGAGATCGATTGCGCGTTTTTCGGTCTGTCTTCGAGAAAATGCGGGATGGTCCGCTACACACTTTGTGCGTAGCATCTGTGTACGGATTGGATCGCAAGGATATTCTGTGCGAAGACTGGGAGGCATATAGACGCGGCATCGAGCAGCTAGTGACAGGGTGTCGTGATGTGCGGACGACGAGTGACAATCGGTCTGTCATCGACGTTTCGGAGGACGATGTGCGCAAAGCGTCACCCTTGCCGGATTTTGCCATCGTTGGGGTCGAGGAGGAGCTCCGCCAGCGGAGTGGGCTATTGCTTCTTGAAGCGTACAAAAATGCACTACGAGAGCGAGAAGGAAGCGAGGCGCCTGACAAATCGACACAAAATGGCACTGCAGAGGTTTCGACGCATCCGAGTGCCCGGAAGGCTGCGGAGTCAACGGAAGATAACGGACCGCGACCACACTCCTTTTCTAAATTGCAGCTATCACGAGTTGCCCGGGAGCGCATATTCAGCGCGGGACCGGACTCACTGACGGGCGCCCTTCGTACGATGTTTCTCGTGGTCGTCAATGGCCATAAGCAAGATCGCAATGCGCTTTTCGACTCCAACGTATTGAACAGTACACTATGGCTCGCACTGTGGCAATTGGAGTCGTCATCGTCCTCCGAAGATACCCGACAAGAGGACAGGCTCCTTTGCGAGTTGATTGTCATTCTGAAAAAATGTCTCGAGGCCTGGTTCGAAGTTAGTGCCTTCCACGATTCGGGACCACCTGCGCAATGCATTCTGCGAAAGTTGCTGCGTTTTCTCTTTTTCGGCACTGTGGGCGCTGTTGGCCTCGAAGACCTACTCTTCCCACGACGAACTAAAGGCACACTCGAGGATGTCCAAACTGTCGCTCTCCCAGGGGCTTCAGCAGGGCCTTCATCATCAAGGTCTGGTACTCCAGCAGAGCTTCGTGAAACGCACCGTGCGACCGCAGTTGCTGCAGCCTTGTGGAAAAAGACTGGTTTGCCACTTCCTGGGAGCAAAGGCACATCTGCAGCAACGCAAGTGCCAGGGTTTCTTCGGCCTCCAGGATGGACGCCGTTTTACTTCGATGGGAGCGAGGAAGTCGTTGATTGCTCAGACCGTATCGATCATCTACACGCTCTACTGCTGAATGAAAAAAAGGATACGGCAAGAACATCTGCTTCTGCAGAAGTTGAGCGCGCCTTGGCGTTGAGCCTATGCATTTTCGGGGAGCGCACTCGTGCGGCTGTGCGAACCGCTTTTGCGACTGTGCTTGCGGATATTGTGGACAGAGCAGATCACTTGCGCAATATGGCTTACCTAAGTGGCGCAGTGCCACAGCGCGGGAACTTCTTCCGCACCTTCTTTGGCTACGAAGATAAAGCAGGTGCCTGCGCAGAACACGGAGAAATGAGCGCTAATACAACCACTGCCAATAGAAAAAGTGGTGCGCAATTTGACGTCCGCATCGTGGACGACATGGCGGCGCGGGGTCGTCGGCGGCGCAGCTACGGCGCAGAGAGGAGCGGAACTGCTGACCCACGACGTTTCATGCCGTGGGAGCGCGTGAGGCGCGTTCGATTACCGTCCGATGCGAAGGAACAGTCTCGGTCTCGACTCACGGACAAACCGATCGTATCGATTCGAAATCGTTCGTCTCTGTTCGCTATGAAGACCAGTAGTCAGCAAGCGCTGGGACTGGGTTGCCTGGCGAGATCATCGAGTCAGCGTAGCTGTGAGCTGACTCCCAAGTCCCGGAAAAGCGAAAGTGATGCCGCGGATTTAGACCGACGTCTATCGGAAAATCAATTTTCGCTACCCTATGTTGCCGTTTTTGCAGCTTATTCACCTGCCTGGGATTTAGAGTTGAGACAGGTGGATTCGCGAAGGAAGATTATCGGGCAAATGCTTTCGCAGGCAGGCACAGCGGAAGTGTCTAAAGATTGTCACTCTTCGAGCACGGCTTCCGTGTCAGTGGTGAAAATAGCTGAGGACATCGGTCATGCTGACTGTGTTGGTGCAGGCGGTTGTGGTGAGCCTACGAGTGATCGCAATTTGGATGCAGACCTGCAGGGAAAGTACACTTCGTCCCAGCTCATCATGATGTTCAATTCCCGCGTCGCCGCGGAACTGGGAAAGCTTAACCACGACACGCGGAAGGCATCCAAGACTAGTGCAATGCCGTCGAAAGCTGTCGAGGAGGCTGGGATACACCTACACTTTCAAACGCTACTAGATTTAGGCGTAGCGAAGCAGCTTGTTGTTGAGCTGGCCCTTTTGGGTCGTCTTGCATCTGCTTCTGGCCCTACAGCATCACTCCCGCTTTTTGGCGCTCCTTTTTCTTTCAAAGAACGGACTCTGGAGCTTTTGACATTTTTCTTGTCTTTGGAGCAGTTGGCGTATCGGTATGCATGTGAAAACGTGAATGCTTCTGAGGGCTCGGATACAAAGGGGAGCAAGAAGAATGACGAAGAGGCGTCTTTCGCAGCAGCACTCCTTAAAAAGTTGAGAGTTACCTCTATTCTGCAGTCCACATTTGCTTCAAGCGCAGGCACTTTTGGCCCAGCTGATGCGCTCGCAGAGTTGGCGGACTTTGATTTTTGTCGACGTACCGCGCTCGCCCTGTCGCTACTGTTGCTAGCGCAATCACCTCGCGAAAGCCTCGCTGCATCCTTAGTCGGTGTGCTTTCAAGAATGGCCGAGCGTGCGCGCAGCGAGCGAGAGATGTTTGATGCCGTCGCAGACAGAGACGAGATGTCAAAGTTTTTCGCTGTCCCAGTCCTTAACGAGATTCCCAATTCTGGCACTGCAGCCAGTGCTTCCACGGGAAATACGAATTCGAAGTTCGAGTTTCAGCTGCTTCGCGCTTTGTTTCGAATGGAGGCACCGAACGTGGCCACCAAATTGTGCTTCTGGCTTGCAGAGTGTTGTGTCCACAACGATCGTGCGGCAGCAGAACCAGGACAAGAACTGAGTTCAGATACCTCGGCAGCAAATCCGGCGTCTGATCGCGAAGATTTGCTGGTGCGGATGCGGGAGCACGAAACAAAGCTAAAAGCCGCTATGTATCATGGAAAGTTTCCAGAGGAGACGGGTGGCACCGCTGCAGTTTCGAAAGTGCTGGGGGAGACCGCGTCAAACATGCGCCAACAATCTGCCGGGGGTGTCTTGGGTGCACCAGATCGGGTAGCAGTGCTGCGGCGTTATCTAGCATGCAGTGCTCAAGTGAGCTACAACACTACAAACGACGCATCCGGTGGAAGAGCAGTTTTATGACAAACATTTGCGAATTGTGTTGGCTTGCGTTTGCAATTAGTGATCTGTCTCCGAGGGAGGGAATGGTTCTGACGAGCAGTGACACGGCCACGAGAAGAGAAGTGACATCTGTATGACAGGAGCGGGCCTAGTGTTCGATCGCTTGCGATAGAATGCGAAGGGCCGCGTGCGTTTTTCTTCTGTCTTTTTGAGTGACCCGAGAGAGCCGCTTCGCTAGATTCATCCTCATTCACGTAATTCCCGCGGCGTAATTGAAAAGGAGAGAGCGTCCCATCGCTCTCATCTCTTACCGATCTCTTTATCGCCCGTTCGCTTGTGGCTTTCAGGCATCAGGCAGTGCCTGTGGTAGGCGTAAGCCTTCCAGTTTTTGCCTCTTTTCTTTCTGTTCTTGTTTTCTGGTTTTGGCCAATGAGGAGCAGAGCATGGGAGTGGCGACCGAAAGCTTTGGGGTGATGAAGAAACGGCGAAAGGAGTAAAAGTAGGCACTGGTAGGCTTCACCGATATGAGTTCCTAGCACTTATCTGGGCTGGCGCTTTTTGTCAATGTGTTCCCCACCAGGCCGCCTCACTCAAAGTTCTCGCTCCGAGTTGTAGATGACCGGCGAGGCATCTGACATCACTGGTCGAGACCCCCAAAAAAGAAAACTATTCACTTCCGGTTTCTGCGCTTAGTGTTAGCGTAGGCGTGCCTATCTGATTTCGTGTTTTAGTTTTCTCGTCGTAATAAGTTGATTACATAGTGGCCAAGTCATTCAGTAGGTGGCACGCCAGTAAATCAGCCATCAGTTTTGCGGCGTGTCATACCCTTGAAGGTGTGCTGACTTGCTCATAGGGCCCCGCTGCGTCGGGTTGCGCCTTAGGTTTTCTACAAGGGTCGAATGTGCGGCCCTTCTGATAGTTGTAGAATTGTCGGCCGAATGTACGGCCTTATGCTCCCCCAGTCTGTAACTAAGTGACTAATCGACAAAGTTTAGCGCTTAAAAGGGGGGCAGCTTGTAGTCCTAAAGCAAAAAAAAACAAATACCTGAGTGAAGCACCGCGCGCCGCTCCCTGATTGATTGTGCGTGAGGGCTCGTCCTTCATTAGCCCGACACAGCGTAAGCAAAGCGGGCAGAGTCCAAAGACAGCCGCAGATAGTTTGGGCTTGAGGTTCTTTGTAATAGACAACACTAGGGGACTAGCCTCTGGTCTTTTGCTGTGGATGATCTTTTGTGGGCTAGGTAGGTCAGCGGGAGCGCAGTCGTGCTTGCACAGTCCAGAGTTGGCCCTGGGTCTGTTTGTTCCTCCGTTATCCAGCGCCGCCGCTCGTTAGACGGCCGCAGATAGTTGATGGACTGAAGCACTATATCTAGTTGAGAGTTTGCCCTTACGCCTCCGCGCAAGATCCGACGGGACGCGATTTACATGATACGAGTAAGACTCAACTACAACAGCTATTCTGTTTTATTGACAGTTAAGATAGAAGATGCCTCAGAAGAGGATTGTGTTTTGTTACTCTCTAATCCGTTTCGATCGTTTCAGCGATGCATGGGAGACGGAGTTGATGAGTGTGGCCCATGAAATGGACACACGGGCGCGATCACTGGAGCTTTACTCTCGATTGAGGTGTTTTCCGGAGTCTGAATCAAGCACAGCATCAGACCGTTCCGCCAGTCAACAGTTCTCAAGTAGACGAAGGGAAGAGCAGAAATTTTTTTCAGAGCGAGTGCGTTGGGTGAGAGAGTTGTCGGCATGGTGGCTGGATGTCAGGGAAAAGGAGAGGGAAGCAGCGGCCTGCAGGCTTGCTAATCGGACGAGAGCTCTGGCTTCTTTAGGAACGCATGCGCAGATGGCGTTCTCGACAACGTTGCGAGCAAGCGCTGCCTGGATTATGTTTTGCCATTCCAGGCATGATAAAACGGCGTTGCCATTGCCAGACAATATCAAAGATACCGCATGCGTGGAAACATATTCAGACGGCACGTTCGTCGATGTTGGTTTTCTTGACGAGTTTCGGGGCCTCCTGCGTGCTATCTCTGCATTCGACCTTGGCGATAGGACGATGCAATTGCGCGACCCTGGTGGTGCAGCCAAGAAGTATGATCATAGTGATCAATCGGGTCGAAGCATAGCCAACCTCTTCCGCGACTTCTGTTGGAGCCTAGAGGTGAGTCGTCGCGCAAATCTAGTGCGCGAAGAGGAGGAACACTCTGGTGTGACCAAATTTGACGTTTTTGTCGACAATACAAATTCAGTCCAAAAGGCTGAAGCTGGTGGCGGTGCTGTGGAATCATCACAACGCAAGGTGCAGTACGCGCGACGAATCGCTGATCTCAGGGGTGCAGCTTTCGGCGTAAAGAAGGAAGGACCTACTTTGCCCGATGCGGCGGCTGCAAGGAGTAGTGAGATCAATGGCAATAAGTCAGCAAGAGACGGCGATAGCGCTTCCCCGACAGCAACAAACAGAAACCAAGCGTTGGAGCAGAAAAAGGCGGCTGCAAGAGACGAAATCACAGCTAAGAGGCCGTCGTCTCCCCTGCCTGCCTCCGCAGGAGAAGCAGTGAGTCACTTCTTACTTGGTAAGATGAGGATATTTGATGTTACTTCGCTGTCAAACAGGACACTGAGAGATGACATTGAGTTGTTTGGTCTTTACCAGAGTGTAAATTTGAACCAATAGATACTTGGACCACGCTCTGAACCAAGGGTGGAAGAAGGGCGCTCGCAAATAAGATGAGTGTTTGAAAAGCATTCGGCATGGGGGCTGTCGTTGCCATTCTCAGCGATCACTGCGAGAAAAGGTCTGAGCGCGATTCTTTTGTGGGTTGCTCTCTAAAATGTCTTCGGTGCTTCGCCGCATCTACTTCTGCTCACACAGATCAGTTGAAAGATCAAGAAAGGTCACAAACGACGATCCCGGGATGATCTGAAGACTAGACCTATCGATATTGATGTATAGCTTAAGAGTGACAAGGAATCCTACCAGCAATAGGAATAGTAACTTTATCTTAATGAGGAAATGTGCGCATTTACGGCGTCTTACAGGAGATGCAGTTTCTGACTCATGTGAGTGATATCCTAATATCCTGATCCCCTATGTGTCCTCATTCAGGCCCGTTCCAGCCAGGAAGAGGATGAAAATTGGCTGCTGTTCTTCTCCTCGGCCTGCGCTCGCGCCGCTGGGAGTTGTTTTTCTGTGGGTATGGTGCGCATCAACTGAGCTGAAGCACACAACACTGTCAGTCGAGGACACGAAAAAAGCCGCTCCCAGTGCAGGTGCTCACGCGAATGCCATACCTTTCCCTGGGATTCCAGGTGAGTCCCGTGGCTTCGGCTATGGTCTGACGGTGTCGGCACTACGAGACGCGGGCACTGAAGTGCTTCTCGAACAGACTGGCAATTTCGCTTTAGATAGCACGTTTTCAAGCACAAGCGTGACCTTTCCTCCAGCAAGTGAAAATGCTTTGGGGCTCGAAGGTACTACCACAAGCGGCGACGAGACTACCGGTTTGCCGCCAGAGGAATCAAGGGCATCCGTGGGCGCACATGATGGTCTTATGCCTGTGGAAAGCAAAGGACACTCAGGTCATGAGACAGATAAGAGTCGGGTAGAAGAACAGACAAGCGAGGATACCAATATTCAAGTCACGAGTTCTCTGCAAAAAGAAAAAGAGGCATGCCAGTCTGCGTTAACTCAGACGGAGGAATGCAACCGAGGCTACGGCAGTCGTGCGGCAGCCTCGCAGCGGGTCTATAGTGATGAAGAGTTTGACCAGGTGCGGCAGGACGAAACATCCAGGCGCGAGCGGGTCGCCCAATACGCACGCGGTCTCGGACCGGGCTCGCTGGAGAGCATGGCCGGCCTCTTCGCGTTTCTGCGAAAAGAAGAACGCACGCTTTTACTCCAGGAGGAAACTGCGAGCGGACTGAACCAGCCCAATGTCGTTGAATCACCCTGGCGTTGGTGGGCCGGGGAGAATGTGGAAATTGATGCTAAGGGAGAAAATCGTCTTGGCGAGAATGCTGGTTCTGCAGGAAGCAGAAAAATCAGTGTACAGAGTGATGAGCATCTTCACGGCGTCTCTGAAGAGGTGATGGATGAGTATCATTACACGAGAAACCCGTGGGACGAGCTAGACTCTCTGCACCACGTGGTGGGAACTCGAAATAGCAGCGGAAGGGAATACCACGTGGATATGTTAAAACATAAAGCTACGCCGCAGCTCGAATTCATCACCGACGCCGACGTCATCTTGCGGCGCATCGAGCGGAACCGGCTCAGCATGCGCAATCATCAACGCGAAATGGAACAGCATCGTGCCTTCGGGCTTCGGGTGCTTCGCATGACGTTCATCCTGCTGGAGGACTTGTACTCGCATCCCGATGGCCAAGTAGCCTGTCTGGAGACCTCGGCTATTCTAAACTTATCCGAGGAAGAGGAGACAGAGGAGGAGGAGTTTTTCCATTGCCTGTTTTCCTGGCTGAGCGAAGATGCATCGCAGCGTTTCGCGAACGCGTTGAGCTTTGTGCAGTTTGCACAAGGCCTTTATCTGCTTGCGCACCCCACGTACATGCATCTACTGTACCACCCGCGCCTGGACGTCGAGCCCCTGTTTCTACAGGTCGCGCCGGGATTCATGGGCTACCTAATGGATCGGGGACGCGTTTTAGGAATCGCGCCCTTGGGCTACCGCAGCGAGCTGCTGGGTCGTGCGCCCTTGGACGGGTTTCTGGTTACTGTGCTCAAGGCCCTTTTGTTCCACGTCACTGCTTCGGAGCTCTTCATGGCTCACCCTTTTGCAGGTGAGGACCACTTGAAAATCGAATTTGTGGAGGAGCCGGACTCTTCCGCGCACGAGTTGCTGGATCCTTTTGGTCACAACGTGCCGCCTTCCGTGCGCGTCACAACGACGCGGCCGCGATCAATTCCCGACTTGGCGGAATACCAGCAAGTAGTTGAGTTTCTCGATTACTACTCAGACGGCCTGGGCGCCTCGCGAGAGATGGGTCAGTATTTCGACTACGTGCACGCCCCCAAAGATTTGCGGCGCAAATATAAAAGTTCGCCGCGTGGCGCAGTGGGAGAAGTGCTAGCCGCCGCAGTCGGCGGCCTTCCTCTGCGCAGTTTGCGCGCAAGAGAGCAGACGGACGTTGGCGTGTGGGAAGAAACAGCGAAGGTGACGAGGACGACCGTTCCAAGTCCTCACAATGCTTCTTCACAGTCTCGTGTGCAGAGCAAGGAAGCGACCGTTGCAGACCAAACGCTTAAAAAGAAGAAAAAGCCTGAGGTATGTCTGGTTTGATAAGTTAATACGCACTGAGTTATATATAAATATACACCATATAGTTCCTTTTTGTTTAGGTGCATGCGGCCGTGTGAGGACAACCGAACTCTACGCCAAAATAAGCTTACAGTCGTCAATATTCACCACGACTCCTCTAATCCCGGCTAGCATCGGCACAGTCGCGAAATCCACTGCCGAAGCGCGAGGCCGTTTGTCGCCGATCGACCACACTCGTCGTCGTGGTTTCCCCGGTTGGACCCGCGAGCGGTGCCGCGAGGCGTTCCATATTCTGGGTTGTAGGAAATTCGCTTCGCGCTCCAGCTCGCAGCTTGCAAGGGCTGCAGAGGATCTTCGGAGCTTCTCGAGGCTGCGTTATCCCCACTTGCTGTTGAGCGATGACAAACCAGGCCTTTCGAATCTGGACATTCTGCTTCGCGCGGAGTTAGGAGTGTATCGCGAGGATGCAGACATAGAGGACGAAAAAGATGGAGTTGTAGTTGAAGACAACAAGTATAACAGTGATGCTCTTGTTGAACAGAAAGCAAAGGTTTTTGCCACCGAAGCTGACTTTCGGCAGGAGCAGCAGGCGCGAGAACTTTCTAGTTTGGAAAATTAAGGTGATAGGCGATTATTTCTTAGTTGGTAGTTCCTCTGCAGTCATTAGAAGTGCATCAGCTTTTTATCAAAGAAACTCCTTTTTGGGTATCTTCCGGGCTGAATGAAAGAAAACTGCCAGCACTGCCGTGCCAGTTCTTCTAAGAACAGGGTTTGCAGGTGCGGCAAAAGGAAATGCGACGGCTCCAGCGCATGCTGAGTAATCGGGATACGACGACAGTAGGAATGTGGGTGGAGCCTTGGCGACTGGCGCGCGCACTCACTGTGCCAAGCCGGGAGCTAAGCCTTATGTGGCGTTGGGGTCTCGATTTGGGTCGCCTGGAAGACAGTGATGCAAGCAACAGTGTTCAGAACGGAGCTTCCTCAAAGCAGAACGCCCGATACCCTGACGATTTCCCGCGCCGATACGCGTCTTTGGTGTGGCCGTTCTCTTCCCCGGTGGGACCGCCGCACCGTGGAAACAGGTTCGAGAGTAGTGCTTCAAGGGGTTTTCCTGCGGTTTCAGGTGGCCAAATGTTAAAAGCGCTCTTTATTGGGGAGCACACTGGCCTGCTTGTCGAGGTCAACACGGCGATCAGGAACTTTGCTCCCGAGAAAAAGGTTCAGAGTTTGACGATTCTATTGAGCCGGAAAGCTTGTGGCAGAGATCGCGCCTTAGAAAAGGGCATCATGTCTCAAGAACCAGGGGATGAGCAGGCTCAAGCACAGACAAAAGCGGACCTGAAGGAACTTCTAGAGAAGGATCCACGACCAAGGGAACGCTACAGTTGTGGCAGCGCGCAAGATGTGTCAGGGTTCATTGGAGGCATGCAGGAGTCTAGCGCAGCAGACAGCGGCGAAGAGGCATTTTACGTGCTCGTTGTTACATTTTTTTCATAATTGCGCTCGTCATAGTCACTAGTAATCTTTGAAGCAAGTGTAAAGTGCTATAGTGTATATATGAATATGTCATGAATAATAAAGCTTAATAAATTGCTACAGATAGAATGACTTTCTCTGTTGAAGTTGAACACACTGTCACTTACGTCTATTTCACCGAGCTTTTCTCGATAATCTGGGTCTAATTCTTGTTAGGGTTCCTAGAGGCAGTTGCGCAACTTCGTCGTGCCTACTTCGGCGCGAAACGCAGAAGGCTGCTCGCATGCTACCGACATGTCCAGTATCAGCCAGTGTTTCCGGATCTCGAACACGTTGCTGAGGGCGTGCTTGCGTCTTTTATGAAAAGTGGTGGCGAAGGCGGTGTTATTCCGCAGATACTAGATGCTGCTGAGCTTATCGTGTGTACGGATCCAGTCGTTCTCTGTGGCCTTTTACATGGATTGCTACGTGGGGAACCGTGGTGGCGAGAAAGTGCTACAACGGCAATTGGCTACGGTAGTCCCGAAGGACAACATGCCGACCCTTAAGGGCCTTGTTATACATATTTTTACTTTCACGATAATCATGATTATGTAAGTAAGTGGGCACCTTTACCTTTTCGTGTGGCAGACGATGTCTCTTGTCCGTACTAGGGAGGTGGGTGCTTCTTTAGGTAGAATGTGACAGATCTGCAACTGTTTCAATAAGTTTCCATATCGGGTTTTTATCGAGTCCCATGCCTATCCTCCGTGGTAAAAGGGCCTGGGATCATAGCTTCATAGACAGACGAAATAATCAGAGAACTTCTAAACCGCTGAACCTGAGCCGGACAGGGATATTAAGGCTACCACACAATTTTTGCATCTTTTTTGTCAATACCATTCTTCCCGTGCTATCATTTTCTCAGGGAAATTCAGTGGTCCCTAGTCGTACCACTGATTGAGTTTGAGCTAAGAACTGAACGCACTAGCTCTAATTCTAGAAACAAATGGTTGCCATTTCTGGGACTCTTCGGGACCTCCGTGATGCTCGAAGTTCCGCATGACATGCAGCTGTCTTGGCGGGCATATTTGCGTTCAAAGCTGCTTGCTGAAGTCGGCGACCAGGAGTCTTCCGCGCGGTCTCTGTTTCTCTCCCTCGAGAGCTTCATGCAAAAACAAACCGCGAAAGTGCTTGGTGTGCAGTTGCCAGTCGTTAGCGCGACGGCTGGCTACACCGGCGGAGTGCGCTGGCGCCCACTGCGGTTCGTGTGGCAGCGTTTCTACGACGCTGGCGGTCTCGTCCCGGAGGAACCTGGCAATGCTGTACCGGATCCGGTGCTAGTCCTCTTTCTGTTATGCCGAAGCCCTACTTCATGTTAAGTGTTCGTTCCGATATTAAGTGTCCCAGAGAAAGTAAGTAGGAGGACCCTTAGGTGGGAGCATGATGAATCTAATGCGGCCACCAGCTGATGGCTAAACGATCATCAGAATCAGATGAAATCAGTAGTAGAGGCACTATCATGAGTTACGGTTTGTAAACATTTTCTAATATTAGGTAACAAGATGAAAACCGGTGGCTTTGACGACCGCGTCTTCCTTTACAATATGCAGTTTCTGAACATGCCATTGTGGTCCCATTGGTTTCCAGACCAGAAGCTGAAACTTGGAGAGGTATTCGAGAATCCGCTACGTTACAGCATGACACTGGCCGTTCCGATTGGAGAGGGAGACTACAAAACGCTCGCAGCACATAGAGCAACCGAGAGTGAGAGAGCAGGAAAAACAATGTTTACGGCCACCTCACAGTCTGCCTACGGCGTAGATCGTCAAGCAGTTGGCGACCCCAACCGTAACCAAGGAAACCGGCATCAAATTAAGACTTCGGACAAGCACGAGGTAAAATTTTTTTTCTGGTCTACTTAACTAGTTGTACAACGGGAAATCAAAGCACTCTCAAATAACAATGGAGGTGCAAGAACCTGCATGTGCAGAAGTGCGACTGTGATTTTAGTAACTGAAAAGGCGCGATCCACCGGTTGCGGGACGAAACCAACAGTTAATTAGACTTGACGCTGATATGCCATACTTGCATGCTATGCATTCCGTGAATTTGTAACAGATGAAACGAGCCTCCTAATGACTGCAGTTGGTTGGTTGCGAGTGCAGCGATTGCAAGTCAGCGCCTCCTTTATGAAAGGGATTATTGGCCAGAGGAGGAGGATGAGGAAGAAACGAGGTCAGAGGTCCGGCAAGTTAGGGCTACTAAGTTGTAGTACTTCATCTCATGCTCATGCTCGCATAAGAAACAGCTCATGCTTATTTCTAGTAAACGAAACAAGGTGCAAAAGCTTGTCACATCGACCCATCCTGCAGGGAGATGCTATATGTCTATCAAGGGTGCACAGAACAGAACTTTCGTAATCGTGAACTATACAGGAATGCGACAGGAAGTGTCCTCGCTTGTGAGTTATGAGTGATGTTTCAATCTCAGGAACTATTTCTTAGTTCATTTTATGAAAACACTCACCTTGACATACCTTCCCATTAGAATCCATCATCTCTCATCTCGGTTGGAGTGTTAAAAAACGGAATGCTCTAAACAGTTAAAGCTCGCCGCGGAGGAAACTGAGGCAAAAAACACCACCCTCAGTGCTGTCGCAGTGTCGGGGGAAGGCAACGTGGAAATCAAAGAGACACAGGAAACGACAAGCCAGCAGCCCGTTGGAATATCGGAAGACGAGAATGAAAGCGCTGCGTTTATGAAAAGAAAACGAGCACTCATTGAACTAGGCAGTTGAACAATCAACACAAGAAAATGCGGTCATCTCTGACTGCCTTCAGAAAATTCCTGTAGCAAGGTCTTGAGGATCTACGAGTAGTCGTTTTCTTGTCATGCTAGCGTCGATGACAATTACACCCGAAGACACGAAGAGAGTTGCAGACTCGGACAAGGACAACAGCAATTACTCGATGAAAAGCGCGCGCACAATTCTGGATCAGACGATGGTGTTCCAGGTTCTGCCCAGTGACATCGAGGGAGCCGAAGACTACGAGGTTTTTACAGGCCTGCACGCAGCGGTTCTGTTTCCGTGGGCCTTCGGGCTGATATGGTTCGGAGAGTTGTACTCTATGGGCATGCCCATTTGGCTTCCGAGCAACCGTATTCTCTACCTCTTTCAAAACTGGGACTACTCTTATGATGAAAAAAACGTGTTGCAAATATCTAAAAAAATCCAAATCTTGATCTTCTGTAAAGAAAAAACACCACGCCGTGCTGTTGTCGGTAATCTTTTCACCTTTCTGCATTGTCATGCTCACACGCAATATAGAGCTTCCTCTTCGAAGAGCGAAGGTACTAGGCTGAGTTTGATCCACCTGTCGGTTGGAGAAACAGGAATCATAGTTGTATTTGTAATGTGTGAAGAAACCCATGACATAATGCTCGTCCTCACAAATATTGATATTTTTTAGGAAGTCGCGATGCATTACGCATTTTTCCTGATGAACTGCAAGCTCCTCTAACAGTTGCATTGCTCCGACTATGGGGGGAACTATCGGCGCGGTCTCGTTTATAAGGATCCAAGCGAAGAGGAAAGCCCTCCTGGTGGACTGCGTTCGTCGCATCTGTTGCACCGTTTCGAATTTGAAATCGAAGATCATCCCGAATTAGGTTTCCGTCGGGACGAAAGCGTCCTTGGTTCTGCACATGGCAAGAGAAAATTGTACGAGGCAGAACGCAGAGGTATCAAGAACGGCGATGCCGATACTCTGGACGATAGAGCTCCACTTTCGGAGCAAGACGTGGACGCGGAAGAAGGGCCCGTGAAAGCAGAACAAAATGGTGAAGATCAAATGCAAGGCGTGCAAGCGTCGGAAGTGGGAACGGAAAAGGAGGAAGATCACCAAGAGGAACAAAATAGAGTAGCAGGATCGACATCAGGGATGGGTTCAGCGCTTGAAGACGGATCGAGGACTACGCGTCAAGAATCAAGACCAAAAAACTCAACACCGCATCCTCAAGAGTGCAAAACAGACGTTGGTGCCTTTTCGCGGCACAGTCTCGTCGCGTCAGAACACTGGTCTCAGTATTCCACACTTTATCAATACCCGGGAACTCGCCGTTTTCGTTCGTTTCTGCACCTAAAACAAGGTCTAGCGTCAGAACGCACCAACCATTAAGGCTGGCTGCACCTTTGGAGTTGTTCCAGAGGAGTCTACAACAGTGCGTAGTGCACAGCCAGTGTGTAGTGCACGAATGAGAATGCGGACATGTCCCTGGAGCAGATTGTGGATAGACAAGATAGAAGCGTCAGTGGACCTTGATTTTGATGATTTGAGGTGGTATGTAGGATTATATATAGTATACTAAGTAGAAGATGATATTGACGTTGATGATTTTTCTCAGTTGCTTTAGCCTATTTCTAAAAATATCTCCGTGGCGTTGCAGAGCCGGAAGCACGTAAGACGAAGATGATGCGAGATTTGCATTCGGAAAAGGTTCGCCACATGCGGGATCTATATCTTACGGGTATTCTAATCCATGTTGCGTCTTATCTTGCGCCTCGTGTTCGAGGTTGAGTGTGTGCTACCAGGTAATTCAAATTATTCGCTACACCTTTATATTTTATGATTATAAGAATCATCATCCTCACGCACATAGTGAGCGTAAGTTCATCACCGCTCTTCTATTCGAACCACTTACAAACCAGCGCTCAGATAGTTGTTGTTGTAGGGTAACAATTTTCGGGAGCTGGTTCTAATCTTCGAGAAGCGCTTAACTGGCTGTTGGACCTAGCGCTTGAGTAGTTGAGATGCCGAGCCTTAGGCGATCCGTTTCGCGTGCACACAGTCTCTGCATGAGGGTTCTCAAGCCTTTGGTGGCAGCTGTGTCGCAACATGTGACATGTAGCACGGGGGGGCAAGTAAGATGTACAAAAAACGAAAGCAAGGATGCGGGACGATTTGACATAACTGCCATATGTGAGTGCCTGCGCGTAATATTCTTGCGCGTGGTTTCAAATTTGGGAAGGGAGGTCAGAACCACCTCAGTTTCTTGCCTGATGGATGCTGGTGATAAACACTTAGCCAGATTATTGAATAATGAAGATCCCCACTTGATCACCTAATAGATTTCGTGTAGCTTGAGCTTGCAGAGCCTGAGTTGGAAACCGGGGACCGTCTCGGAAGTCATGGATTTGTGTATGTGTGTGGTCGTTTTTCCGCTCTATCGACGCACCACCTACTCACTCTTAGCTTTTTCCTTTTCTTCTGAAGAATTCCTCACCGGTAGTTCCCTGTATGTAGTAGAGGCATTTGAATTTGTATGTTGGATGTGCCACTTTCGGTAATGAAGGTAAGAAAGATGCGCAGGACCTACGGTGTGTCGTATTTGATGGCAGCGCGGGCCACAAATAAAAGAAAAAGCTCGCATTCCACCACAAGGCTGCGTGTCTGTACAATATAGACAAAATGACCATAATCAAAGAGCGCCGCGGGCTGGCCTCACCGACTTCTCACAGTCCCAGCCACTTCTGTGATCAGTCGAGGAGATCGACAAATGTTGACTTGGGCAAGTGAGGTATACCGAAGCCAAGCCATGTGCGAGAAACTGTCGCGTAAGTGGTGAGGTGGGAGGAGCCGAAAAGTATGAGGGTTTGTCTATCATAGAACTGAACGAACACAGTTGGAAGCATGGAGTCAGACAGTCAAAATACGGAGCCTAGGGTAGATGGTGTGCGAGAATCTGATGCTGTGGCGCGTGACTATCGTGTTAGTGACTCGAAATGAAAAAAAAAGCAAAAAGCATTGTCGTCTAACGACCCATCTTTAGTTAAGAGAGAAGCCCAAACGTGCGGGGTGAACAAGACTGCACAGAGGGCCCTGGTGATGGCTTGAATGAAGATTGAAGAGGCGCAGACAATAAATATACTCATCTCTTCCCTCTGGCTTCGTGTGTAAATTGCAGTCAGCCAAGGCTCATTTGAATTATTTTATATAGAATAGTTTATAGACAGTGGGAAGGTGGGCACGGTGGGCGACGCTGGGCCGCTGGGCGGCGACGCTTGGCACGGTGGGCGGACCCTTGGCACACATGGCGGGCACGCTGCGCGCGTATAGCGTTGCCCCGGCGCTTCCGCCAATGTACAAGGCCGCAGTCGAGGGCGGCGCCCCGTGCTCCTTCTGTTGGTCTCTGGGTCTTTCGATGATGAACTTCCTGGTGAGTCTGATGATCATGACAGCGGCCGGGATCCTTATGTGAATAGGAATCCCCTCATTATGGTGATGGATGGCCCACAAGGACGCGAACAGCAACAAGCTGCGCGCTATTTAGGTCGTGGATGTTACTCGGTAACACCACCGCCACCACAGCAGGGACAAGCCTGCCAGGGGCATAATATCCGGAAGGCTTCGGCCCTCTACGGGAACGCTCAAAGAGGGGAGTACGCAGCCGCAGACTGCGCGCGTCAACATGACATGGCCCCTACCACGATCGGACTTGGATGGGCCAACTCGATCGCAGCCTCGATGCGGCGGGCGCGAAGTCTAGTTCTAGCTTTGGGCCTTTTTCTATGGCAGAACGCGCCTGAAGTTGCGGCAGAGGAGGATCGTACGCAAAACGGCCGAATGGACATGGGGCGTATAATTTGTCACTACAAATTCACAGCATGTGTCTCACTTACATCAACGAGACCCCAAACTATAATTGTAATCTGACTCCCAGCGTTCAAGCAGGGAAAAACTGATGATTGAAGATCGAAAGTCTCTCTCGTGTGGGTTTCTTGCAAAAATATAAATATACAACTAGCAGTTTGACATTATATATACACTTGTATGGAGCTTGCTGCCCGAGGTCCATTATAATTGGTGTTCTGACAATTGTACGCAAGTGCGTTCCTATCCCGCCATTATCACCAGCTTCCGTTCTGGATACTGTTCCTGAAGAAGGTGATGGAAAAGATCCCAATATTCACGAACGTAGCGCTGCAAGCGCCGCTGCTATCGTGCTTAGCACGATGATCGTGCCACCGACATGGTTCCTGAGGGTCCTGACACGGCTTTTTTAGAGACTCATGCAAACAGTGGGAATAAAGGTCCATACATGTACGATGGGATCGAGCGCAAAGGCGGGAATGGTGATGTGACTTTTTTCGCTTCGTGGGAGTGTTCGCGCCTAGTCGTTGTTTGTCTCACCAGAAGATGTGAAATAGCAATGATTGACCTGAGTATATCATGAAATAGATCGGAAATCGTGATGGCTACTCATTGAGTGGATTAATCGTACAGAGGCGTATGGAAACCTTTTACAACATATAAACAAGGCACCAAAGAAATATCCTCTCGGCATAGAGATACCGGGCAATTGACGTACAGAATCAGAAAAGCGAGTCAGGAAGCGACGACCAAGCCACGAATTCCAGCGGAGGGCCCACAAGAACCACTTGAACATCGTCTCCGGCGCATGCCCAGATCAGCTTACTGTTTTTAATCAACGTATATATATAAATATATGGGAATATCATGGATATATAAGATATACATAGAACAAAGAAATAAGAAATTCATAGATGACATTTGTTTTTGTTTCCCTACCTCTTCGTGTGTTAGTACTTAATATATTTATTCCTTAGTCGCTACAATGCAATTCCTTGTGTTAGAAGTTGAAAACTCCTTGGGTATGACTACAACATCTGCGAACTCCTTTTGACAATTCCATATCCATTTTGATCAGTGTCAATTTGAATTTGCTAACAACGACAAGAAAATGAAAGTCTTCACGGATGCGCCTACCATTATGATTGTGTTCATTCATATCGAAGAAAGGTGGTTACGGTTAGTGCACTTCGCGCTGTATTTAGGAGCATCCCGAAGCTCCGGTGGCGACAACCAAGAGGCGCCAAGTAACATTGTTCTAGCGATGGGCGCAGGTGTAGCTGTTGCCTGTTGCAGGAACAGCTCCAGGCGGGGAGCCCCCAGTTACAGCGCTCGGTGACACCAGGAGAGTAGGTTGGGGGTGGTGGCCGTCCTGGTCGAGCCGCGGTGGTTCTGGTGGTGGCGGTGGTGGTGGTTCTGCTGGTGTCGGTGGTGATGTTTCTGCTCGTGGCGGTGAGGGTGTTTCTGGTGGTGGTGGTGGTGATGTTTCTGATGGTGGTGGCGGTTTTGGGTGCGGTTTGCAGTAAGTGTCTTCGCATTGAGACGCCTTGTAATTTAGTGCGTTGATCGTGTGCCTTCTAAGCATTATTATATATACTTGACAGGGCTCAGGGCTTAGGAGGGTCACGGAGGAGCAATGTTCCTGCGCAAGCATCATCGCCGAACCTCGAAGCTCGTAAGGGGGCCGCCCGCGCTGGAGACAAAGTCAAAGAACACGACAGGGTCAGGAAGATAGCAGTTGGCAGAACAATCAGGAGGCGAGTACCCCCAAGCGCGATTAGCCCAGTATCGAGGCCGATATTCATGATTCAGTCTATCTTCAATGCTGTGAAAACAATATGTTACTCTTTCGCGACCACAATGTTAATGTTTCCTTCTCGCATGACAAACCACGAGGGCTCTTCCCCACGCAACACCCCATCACGCGAAAACAGTTCCTCGTCGCGAACGATGAGCACTCGGATTCGCGACGTGCCCAAGTCGTGTCTTTTGGATTCTGGAATGTTCACGAGGAAATGTCGTCTCCATATCCCCTTTTGCCTGATATGCTGGTCATCTTCCTCGATATTTGACGACGGGCTTGATGCTGAAGACGGTCGTGCATTGTGAAGACGCCGCGTAGTTCCGCGCTGCTTTCTAATTCTGACCTTTGTATCAGTTGCGGTGGTACTCTCTCCTGATGCCTGAGAAAAGGAATCGTCTTTCTTGGTAGAAAGCTGATCTTCTCTCCATGATGCAGTTTCCAAGGCCGCGCGCCGCTCCCTCTGTTGCTTTCGTCGCCTGAACTCTGTTCGCCTCGACACGTTGAGAGTTTTCAGTGTTTCTGCATCAACTTCACCGCGCAGAGACTCAAGATCGTCGCCACCTTCGTTAAGAAAGCCGTCGCCCTCCAAGCAGCGTTGCCAGTCGTCCAATGTGAAGATTAGAAGGCAGCCTTGTTTTGAGTAGAAAGCTCCTCCACTTACACCTTCTAGTTCTTAAATCAGGAGAGTTTGTAGCACGCATGGAGCAGCATGGAGCAGACACAGCATCGCCACGCATGGAGTGCATGGGTCACGAACAAGCGCCCGGCCCACCCGGGGGTGGGGTTATCGGGGGCTGTAGAAGTCGGGTTCGGTTGGTCGGCTAGACTGACGCCGCGGGAGCCCTGCCTTGTGCGTAATGCGGAGGCGTGACGTAAAAACTAGCGGCGCTGCAGCAAGCTGATTTGTTGCGCGCCCCCAGGCCCCGGCCCGCGAGTGAGTGGGCTCGGAGATGTAGCAGCTGGCTCGGGGGCTGGCGGTCTGGATGCTTCGAGTTCCCGCCCGGAGTGCCGAGCTGTAGGCGTGTGGGCTCTGACGAAGGAGCGCCCGAAGGGCGCACCGAAAAAATTTCCACGCATGGAACGCATGGAGCACCTGCTCCATGCAGCTCCATGCCATGCGAGCTGCCAAACCTTATAAATCATTCTGTTAAATAGTACTAGAAGAGTTAGTTTTGGTGAGCAGCTCCAAGCCCTTCTCCTGTTCAAATTCAGTGGAGAACTTGCCGCCGCCCTTCTTCTATCTGCTTTACTGAGCGACTGATCGCGTATTGGGATCAACGACTGATCGCGAGTAGGAATTTGAACGAGCCTTAATGTTAGAACCTTCGCGGACCAGGATCCTCCAGGATTACCGTGTTCGTTTTTGAATCGAAGCCCTGGCAGTGCCATCTCCCAACGACTGCAGTAGAGCGGTACGCAGCTCACCACGAGCGTTCCTTTGCTTTTCAAGATTCGTAGGATGCTGTGTATCCACGCGCACTGCGCAGCCAGCGAAAGAAGCTGAAAAACTTAGATCTTATAAATCTAGAATAATTAGCCTCTACAGATAGAAGTCCATCACCATCTTTATTTAGTTGTATAATTGCCTCGTCTTTTCTCAACAATCTTTTGCTTCGTCTTTTCAGAACAACTTGAAAAGAGGATGAATATCGTGACTTTCTGGATTCTTAAATTACGCTGCAGGAAAGTGCGAAGTCAAACGCATTGTTCGGTATGAAGTCTAGCCGCAGAGAATCTTCATACGAAACATGACACACTTTTTTCTCGTTGTTTCCCCTGCTGGTCACGCCGTTATAGCGTTAGATTTTGCCATTGTCGTATCTTTGCAAGAACTCCCACAAGCGGCTGTGACGATTCATGTACTCTTATTGAGTCTAAGAAATATCTTATTTCCATGCTTTACTGCTCCCGTATCCAGGTCTGCAAACATTGATAATCTTCATGAGACTGCAACTTTCCCACAAATAGCCATAAAGTGGTGCTTTGATGTCGTCCCACGTCTGCAAAGTATGATGGCGTGTAGTAGTGCTGTCTAGTAAAGGCCCACCAACTTCCGAAAAGAAGTTTGGATTTGGCGAAATGTACCGGTTTGCAAATTTCACTGCTCCTTCGACAATGTCAACACCGAACGTCCGCACTAGGAATGAGAGAATCTCTTGAGGATTTCATTCACTTTCAGCCGAAATAAACCCATACCAAGTAGTTCTTTAACGAGGTTCGAGTCAAGGAGGTAAGTACTCTCTCGAAAAACCATCGCTCCAATCATTGATCCTCTTCTAGTTCACCTTGAATCAATGATTACGGGAGGAGGTAGACGTACAGAGAGCATCTTTCTTATGCTATTCCGGTATAACAGAAACTTGTCAAACATCAATCACAATCACATCATAATCCGAAAAACTGGCTCAGCCACATCATCTTGTGCCCGCAGCCGCTCCCAAAATCAAACACCGAATCGCCAGGTCTCATCTGCAGAAAAGTCCCCAGTGCTTGAATCATGCAGACATATGAATCTTGTAGTAATTATTGCTTCATCCTCGCAAGTCTAGATGTAGAAGGGTATCCTGACCTTTGATTCCTGGCGTTCGCCCGTGCTCCTATCATGGGACTGGTGCTTATGCGATTGATTCCCGAGTCCGCGTGTTTTTCAGCACGAGAATGCTTATCAAAAGCCAAGATACTACTAGATGAGTATAGTATCGTCGTCCTTTGTAACAAATCGAAAAGAGAAGAAAGATGCCACCTTTCATAACATGTGCCTCGCTTTTAAATCATTCTCCCACATTTCTGTACCAAAAAAGCAAGTCGGGAATAGGGTTTGTCGTTGCCACCTGGTTTCGTATTTGCCTTCTGCAACAGCTGTCGTGGTAAAGGTTTTCAGTTCGCCTGCCACAGTCGTGTTTTCGGGGGCATTAGAGAGGCTCTCTAAAGAAGATGCCAGCACAGAGATTGCCCAAGAGGACAGCAACTACGTGCGAGTAGCAGCGTAGTGTTGATATGCAAAGCTATTGCTTTGATGAAGATCCTTTGTTCTCTAATACTGCAGCCGCGCGTCTTTACCCTGTCGCTATTAGACAGGAAAATGCTCGCCGTCTAATTTTGCCTACTCCTCGCTCCGATGGAGTATCAACATATGTCACTTAAAGTTGCGCGAGAGCGACGCCATAAAAGAAGGTAGAAGTGGCGCCACAACCGTTTTACTTTCGTCCACGGTAACTTTTGTCTTCAGCGACGTCGGGTCATAGCGAGGACACGACAACGTCAAAAACGTGTCGTTCGATGTCACTGTTTTCTGCGCAATCGAAGAAGATTGTGCTATCCTTTTGTGCTTGCGGTCCTTGCAAGCGCGAACAAGAGTCGGCGTTGTTCTAACCACACTGCACAGGCCGTCAACGTCAGACTTCGGTACGAAGCCCGACTGATAAAATTTCGTTACTGGACTTGATGCCGTGGACGAGGAATCGCTTTCACGATTGGCACTACCTCCTTCTGGTTTTCTAGTTGTTGAGGTCGAGTGTCGATTTGACGTGCGCGTACGAGAAGGAAGACCGTCATGATGATTTTGATCATTTTCATTTTTTGAGATGTGCGATCCTTCATCGTGCAAAGGCTTGTTCATCTTATGGTCCCTCGTTGCTGCTTCGTCTTCTACCTCTTGATCATCTTCTTCTTCTGCTTCTTGGCGAAAGCGATTGCAGCTGCTGATCTCCGGGTTCTCTTCGTGGAAATTCATGTGCAGAGCAAGGCGCCTACGGTCAAGGGGAAAGGGTGCCAGGTGTGCTGTTGGTGAGAGCGGGACGAATTCATTGTAGAGAGAAGTGTACTCAGCGATAGTCCACGTGTTCTTGACGTCCGCACGCGGGTAAATCGGAAAATACTCCGCCAAAACCGTAAAAGCAGCCAAGATTGCCCGATGACAAAAACTGCCACCTGCATCGAGGAGATGCGCATTTCTTTTCTCTTGCCTCAGGTCGTTTTCGGAAGTGTCAGTGTTTGATGTACCAAAATTTGTCATTTTTGATGTTGATGCTGTTCCACTATTCTGCGAAGACGAAGACGCGTCGATCTTCTGGCCACTGATATCTTTTTGTTCGATCGTACTATTCTTGCTGCCCCCTTGAAGCATGGATAGTATCTCGTCGCGCGCTGACCGATTACCCACCAAATCGAGTGAGCTGTACATGCTCGTGGCTCTCAAAAATGCTTGCTTCTCACGCACCGTCCAATTTTGCGCTGCTACCTGAAGCGAAATGGCTTCAGCGGTGTTGGCTTGCTGGATTTGAACAGTTTTCCGGTCAGCAACACTGTGTGGCTCGACTCTATTATGCGTATCCTGGCTACCCTTTCCCTTCCGCTTTTTAGAGCTGCCCTGTTTTCGCAAAAAACGAGAAGCACGTTACATTCTACTCCATCAACTTCATATCAGCCTCAGGGCACACGGCTTAGGCGGTCTCTATGAAGTACGTGAGAACTGTTCAGTCCGCTACTTTCAGCCAAGCGAGAGTAGAAAAATCAGAATGTGTGAAGCGTTTGGGAGCTTCAACTATGTAACTACACAGACCCCATCGATCGCAAAGATCAAGCCAAGCCCATTATTGTATTATTACACCTAATGTACATGCAGCACCAATCGCCTTAACTTTGTCGACGTTGGTAATGGTTGCATTAGAGCTGTTTGATTGTACGAGTCCTTTCGGGCGCATCCGCCACAGATGCCTTGTCGCGTTCCACTCCTGCAACGTTGCTAGGGAGGCAAATGTTTCGCGCAATCGTTGTCGCATTCCAGCCGCTCGATCATCGGATTCCACCGCAAGCCTGTCGTAGCCTAAGAAGGGCGAGTTTGCAGCCATCTGCGTTCTACTACGATCTTTAGAGCATGAACAAGTAGCCTTTTTCACTGGGCTCACTCGAATGCCAACGTCGATGTTTCCCGATCAATAGATCTTCTTAGAACAAGGATGTTAGTGCGCTCATTGAGCCTTAATATCAAGTGTCGACGGAATCAGATTTTTCATCTTTTTGTCGAGATCCCCGAAGAGGGCCCGCACTCTATGCCGCGTCGTTGCCAGCTCAGAGCTCGAAGTAAAATTATGAGCTCCTCGATTTTCTTGTTCTACTGTGATGGCGTGGTTCTTTTCTCTGTACTTTCCAATTCCAACAGAACGTCCACTTCCCCCTTCCGAATAAAAATCCCGCCATCGGGGATCTTCGATGTCCTCCCAGGCATCGTACGTTGCCGCGATTCGCGTAGTACTGTACCCTTGGCGTGTGAAGGTCGAGACGACCTGCAACGTCTTCCCTAGCGTGTCAATGATGCGTCGCGCCAGATGCATCAGGCGTTCGGAAAAACGGCACCCGTTCGATATACGCCTGTATCGTTTACCAGTTTTTCGCTGTTGTTCAACAATATGTTGACCTGCTTGATCAGTTTCAACTACAACTGGTCGTTTTTCATCTTCTTGTGCCTCAAGTAGAACCCCTTGTTCACCTGCTGCGTGGCCTTCTTCTCTACTGGGATTACTCCTGCCAAAAACCCGCTTTTGTGCGTTGAGCGTGTCCTCCATCGAGAGGCTGGGGCCACTGGGTGTGATGCGCGGGATGAAAATGCTATGCACCCCATTGGCGTTCTCGGTGACCGCTTCCCAATTCACTCCATAAACACAGTCTTGACACACCAAGTCGTAAAACTCTGCGATATCCTGCGTTAAAGAACTTTCCGGTCGTATTAGAAAGATGCTACGAACAGGTATGTAAATGTAAGTTAAATATTCCAGAATCTCAATCTTTTTACAACTACCTAGTAAGTATCCTTTTCTTCGCCTCACCCTCTCGACGCTCACGGTAAATATTGTATTCACGCGGACGGTAGAGGTTGCTACTACAAGTTTTTTGTAGCAGAAAGATCAAATATGCCTTAAGAGTAGAGGGCAGTGGAATAAACGAAGATGTTCTTTACTAGAGCAGACCCACGATGAAGAAGCACGTCGTGGAGAGAGATCATCTCTGCTATGCTCATCGTCATCTTTCGTACTATCGCGCGAATAATTTTTGTAAGATGTCGTGGTTCTCGTTGGTGCTGGCGGTGAATTTTCGACATGCACTCCTTCGTGTGTGGGTCGGTGTTGGTCATTGTTGTGTTGCCCCTGCGGTGCGGCTTCAGCAGCATTTGCATCACCTGCAGTGGAGGTTCCGCGTCCTCTGAGAAGATGTGTCCAAAAGACGGTTTCTGCTTTGTGCGACGGCAAGTGAAAGCTATGAAAATCTGCTCGTCCGATATTAATCATAAAGATCGCCAGGTAGAGCAGGATCAGCAAAAACCTGCAAGAAGCACAACGACGAATCATCACTGTCGACATGGTAGAAGACCAGATAGAATTTAATAAAAAGACGAAATAATCAATGATAAATAAGACGTAGTTGTACATACAAGATCGGCACCATTTGCATTTTATTACCTAATCAAGAAAATCAAACTCAAAGATTAGTGATGTCATTCGAACTGATGTATTACTAGTAGTACTTAACAATAAGAACTAAGTAAGAACGTGAACGAGACATTACGCAAAATTGCAGAAATTGAAAAAAAGAAGAACAGAAATGTGAATGTTAGAATTTCTAGATAAGCAGATCGACACAGATGGAGATATCGAAGATGTAAATCGTGCCTGCTCGCGAAAGCTCGCAAATGCATGGCTGCTACAGAATGCATGAAAATTTTTATAGTAGAGGATAGGGTCAAGACTGCTCTCCTCGTTCGTTCAATTCAGCCTCTCCACAGGTACCGAGAGGCTCATGTTTACTTTATGCGACTACTTCTTCTGCGACATGATGTTGACGCATCTTCATCGCTCTTCAACTCTGTCAACCAATCACGGCAAGCAGGCCCGACGATACTAGAATTACTAGAGTAGGGTCGTTTTTTCACCGAATTTGATGAGATCTGTTTCGTGAAGACGAATGCAGCATTACTTCTCCTTGATGTCGATGTGCTACGGCACACGCGTTGCTCCAGGGAACAAGGACAATATTCCTTTTTACCTCGTGACACGGACAGGCCTCTTGATGCCAGACATCTTAGCAAATGTCGAACGAGATCGGGGAAATTCTTGGATTAATTCTTGTTGAATCAATTATAGTACAGTTTCTCCTTTTTAAATTCAGTGGTTGTACATAAGTAGGTCGAAAACCATTGAGAGAGGTTTTTGAGATGACGTAGCTGGGAAAAGGGTCGCCATCACTTACGAGATAGGGCTTTCTTGAAAGATTTGGATTTCTGCTAGGCAGATGAGGATGATACACCACGGGTGGGACGTGTGGAGAAGAGGTGAACCTAATCTCAACATCACTATATGTGACACGTCGTGGTAGATGACTATATGAGACGACCCAGACCAATGCTGTGTGTACAACTGTGATCAGTTCTCATCGACGGACATTGATCCCAGCATTACACTGCCGGAGTCTTCTAGTCAGCCTCCTTCGCCTGCTTCCACATCTAGAATGTTGTCTACTAGGTGTAATCTTTTCATCAACAAGCCCCACTGGTCACGTGCTCCGTCGATGCCCATGAATCAGACTCGGTCTCGATCAGAGAGACGCACCTCTTGAGCATTCTCGTGGTACGTCTACTCAAAAATCTGAACTTTATTTCAAAAAAAGGCGTTGGAGGACAACACTAACAGCGAGGGTTTAGGGTTGCTGCATACGCGTGTGGGGCTCGTCGGTCCTTGGAATGTTCCAAGCCTCGAAAAAGCACTTTGAATCATGTGTGTTAATATAGTATCATAACTAGTATGATTCCAGCATCAATAAATAAATGATTCAAACTAGTAGGTCTACGCAGAACCAAGTTCGCGACTCTTCGGCATTTTTCCAGCCGCAACATTTCCTGTTCACTTCATTTCATTTCGTCTGCTGAACAAGATGATTTTTATCCTCAAGCCATGCGTCCTTGCTTCTCTAACTCCGTAAAGGCCCGATGAACGCCAACCAGCCAGTAGTTCTGAGTCCTATCCGTGTTGCCGGAGCTCAAATGTTGCTGAATCTCCTTGGCAGCTCGCAGGTTGCCTCCCGCGACTTGGTTCGCCATTTCAATGAGCTTCGATCCTGTCGCTTCTGAAAGTTGTCCTCCCTCGAGGCCTTCGTAGATCGCTTGAAATCTGTAGAAAAGAGACGAAGATACGTACTAGTGCACGTTATCTTACCATATTTTCAGAAGAACGTCAAATTGCAATAAGTAGGAACTGAGTAATTTTACTTTCAGAAGAAGCCTACTCATGATCGTGATAAAACCAAAATTGTGTATCAGAAAGTTCTTGTTGTTAAATACATAGTATCACAATATGAAGAAATCTCCGATACTAGAAGAGGGTCTAGGTTACTCATCAGTCGAGCGCTGTTTTTACCTCTTTTTCGTGTCGTCAAGCACTCGCTTCGCTGTGACGATACTGGCGTAGTTTTCGAATAGCATATCCATGCCCTTGCGCACAGCCGCGACGTCGTTGGGCGATGCAACCCATACGTTCTGGTCGGTGCCTTGGTTGACTTGTGCGTTCAATCCCTGCGTCGCTTCGTTATTGTGCATGCTAGCTTGGGTGGTGTTGGGGATGGGCCACGGTGTGGGAAGGCCCTGAATTACCGGCGCAGCCGCAGCCATAGGCGCCGTCGAACGTCCTCCTCCGACTGGTGCCGCTGGTGCTCCCATAGCTTGCATACCACCTCCTGGGGGACCTACGGATATGGATACAAGGTTGAACGAAGATCAATCATTGACTCACCAAGGCATCATGATGTCCCCCAGTACCTGCTTTAGGACCTTTTCCAACTACTCGTTGTACTCCTAGTTTGGAATTGGAATTGGTATTTACTGTTGAGAGCACGTCAAGTAAGATCACAAGTACCTGCTGGCGGTGGTGCTTGCATGTGTGATGCGCCTGGCATCATTTGCTGCTGCGGCATGCCCACTCCCATCGCCGGGGTTGCCGGCGGCTGCATCATCTGGCTCGGCTGTTGCATCATCGGTGTTTGGGGTTGCATTACTGGCATGCCCTTCGCTGCACCCTGCTGGTGCGCATGCGGCTGCACGGATGGAGTGCTAGTCGGAGGCATTGCCGGCTTCCCTGCGCTTGGGGTTGGTGGTTGTCGCATGACCGGTTGTACTGTCTTAGACGGCCTCGTCGAAGCTGTGCATCCCATTCCTGGCGCGGTGCCTTGGGCAGTGGGAACACCCTTTCCACCTGAACCGTTTGCAATGTTGTGAGTATTCGCTTCCCGCTTACAATAGTCAGTACGGGTACTTCAATCTTACTCACGACTGGTTTTTTGTCACTCGTGATGGCCAAGTCGTAAAGTCATCTACAGTCTATTGCCAAGTTTGTTCTTGACTTTTGACAGGCTTTGCTTTGCTCTAGTCTCTCAGTCTGACGAAAAGAGTGAAAGATTACCTGCAGCTCCACTTCCAGCTGCGTAGCTTCCGCCGCCGTAGCTGCTTGCTTTGATGTGGACGGGCTTGAACGGCATTCCACTCGTCTGAAAACCGCCTTTTTGCACTTCTTCTGGGGACAAGGCGTGGAAAATTCGGTGCCGAAGAACTGCGGAGCTTGGGTCGTTCTGGAGTCGCGCGAGTTGTCTCATTGCCGACATCATGCGGCCACTGTTTGCCAACAATTCTGCGTACTGTGTCAGCTTCATGGTGAAAAGAGCATCTTCTGATTGCGACGCCGTCACATCTTGCCTGGTTGTGGTTAAAAGAGAGTTGGAAAATACGTAGATACTGTTAGACTTAGAATTCCATAAGGAATAGAGACTTATAAGGAAGTGATAAATGTCAAGATGACGTAGAACTACGAGATCTCTACAAGTTTGTCTCAACATCAAGGATCAAGGAGATATCCAACGACATTGTTTTGGGAGTACCACACGGTCATGCGCTCCACAAGGCTCTGCAGGGCCTGGTGGGGACTTCGGCCTGCTGTTGTAGCGTTCATCGCCGACCAGAAACTGATGGTCTTCGCGAAGTTCTTCGAGGAGACGCAGCAGAGCACCGCACTCCTTGTGTCGTACTTTTCCATCTCGAGACGTTCTGCTAGTTTTTCGCACAGAAAGCGCCAGTCCTGTTCCCGCGTTGCGTAGGTTGCGAGCAGCGCGAGCGTCTCCCTCCATTGGTCGAGATTCGAGCGCGCTACCAGCGCTTCCAGCTGGTTGTCGACCACGAAGCTGATGGTATTTAAGAACGTGTCGTTTTGTCGCTTCAAGTACTCATCCCGCACTTTGGCGAAGAGTCCCGGTTCGGCGTACGCGATTAGCAGAGCATCGGCCACGCGTCCGCATTTCAGGCAGATCTCGACAGCTGCTTCACGGCTTCCTACCAAGAAGTTCGTGCGAATCAACGACTCGGGGCCCTGCGACCAATCGGCCGCATTGGCACGCTGCGCAATCGCGAGTGCCTCGGCTTCTGCCTCGCGGGCCTGCAGAGCGGTGGTCTCCTCCTCCTGCTTCTGGGCCTCCTTCTGCGCCATGGAGGCAAAGAAGTCCTCGGCGGCACCGGGATCGTCGAAAGCTGTGTTGTTGCAAAGTGAGATATGCATTCCCATCTCGAAAACAAGCTTGGTGGATCTCCTTATATCTGCACGTTGTAAGTCTAAGTATGTATTCATCCTGCAGAAGGAAAACACGAACGGCAACTAGTACATTTAAAGTCGATATTTGATTGGACGATACCATTCTAGCAGCACACTAACATTCTCCCATGATTCAATGACATAATACCTGGTGTCGGTGAGACGCATGCTGCACCCGCCGGTTTCTTTTCGTCCTCTTCCGTGGTCCAGATTGCTCCGGGCTTGTGTCCCAAGTATTGTTCTGCGGCTGCGGCGATGTCGGAAAGGTTGTATCCCAGTTTTTCCACGATGCGCTGTTTCGCCGTGATTTCGTCGGCGCCGATGTGCAGCGCGATGAACTCCCAGAGCACGCGCTCTTCGGGCGACTGCTCCACCCGCGCCTTCGTCTCGCAGTAGCCGCGCCAGTCCTGCACCGAAACCCAGTTTTCGAAGGCGTCTGCTGCGCCGACGATCTCTGGTTCTGACGGTACTACGTGCAAGTTCACAACCGATCCCAGCGGCGCCGCGAAGTGGGCAATCTTCCCGCCGAACCCGAAGCTGCCGCCGCACTGGGCCTGTCGGCTCGGGCTGGCGTACCACTTCGGGAGGTAACGGCTCTTCTGCCCGTTGTTTAAGCAGGACAGCAGGTTCACGCCATTTGTCAGCGAGGCGGCGTAGAGCAGCCCAGGCAGATGTGGGGCCCAGTCGAGCTCGATGTTGTTCGCAACATTGGAGACTTCACAAAAAATCTCGGGTTCGCGCACGTTCCAAGCGTGGGCACTGCTAGTCTCTCCCAAGGCCCAACAAATCGTGCGGCTGTCGCGCCCCGTTGTCACTAGCAGCTCCGGATCTTCAGGATTCCACGCAATACGCGTAATACCTGAACGCTTGCAGAAATTCAACATCGTCGAAAACAAGCAAGTGCAGAAAGAAACCATGAATTATTCGTTGATAACTATAGCGGTCGCCCTGCAGGCTTGGTTGGCAAAGGATACTAGAGCTAGGCCGGTATCATGATAATTGGAACTACGATAAAAAATCTACCTTTTGTGTGTCCTTGGTTTACTTCTCGGACAGGATGCGAGGGCTTCGTGAGATCCCAAATCTGAAAACCGGGAAGCCTGTCGTCATCGTATGCGACAACGAGCTTCGTTGCCATTTCGGGCGACCACTGCACGTTAGACATATGTTGTCGGTGGCTCGGGTCCACTAGCTGAGCGCAGATGCCACGAGTCTTCAAATCCCAAATGACAATCACACCATTCGATGAAGTCGACGAGATAATGTTGGAAACCTGGAGATGACGTTTTCATTTTGTTTATGCTGCCTTTATTTCGCAGCTCGTGGTGATGTAGATGGTCTACTTCATTCTCGCTAATTGCTTGTTGCTTCTATAGTTTTATTTGGTTGGCCTATCAGCCGAAATGAGCACTTGTGATGAATACATAGGTAGGTCATCAAATTATCGTGATCTCCACACCTCAAGGCTGAACTAATACTGAAAGCTATCAGGAAATATAATGCAGCAAACCTTTCTGTTCCATGCGAGATTGATGATTTCGCCTTGCATCTTAGTTTGACCGCTCTGCTTATGGATTTCTGGCCTTGTGGGATCTGTAATATTGAAGATTTGCACTTCGCAACCCCGCGCGCTTGCTGCAAGCACATTCGGCCTACTGGGGTGAAAGGCGACAACGCCTGTTCCCATGAAAACATTCTCCGTTGCGCTGGACCATAAGAGTCCTCGGTCTGTTCCGTGAGAGCCAAGAATTTTCGCCGGATCGTAGATATTCACCAGCCCGTCAGGGTGGGCAGCGCAGATAAGACCTGAGTGTGAGGATGAGAAAGAGGATGCCAATTTATCATATTATCTACTTACTATCTAAGTTTAAGCACGAGCACGACAGGAGAAACCAAACTTTTTAATATTGTTGATACACCACAAAGACAAAGTCGAGCTTATCAGGTACTGAAAAGTAAAGATGTGTAAATAGAATACCATAAGGAAACTTGTTCGGGTCCAAGTCCTTTGCGCCCCATGAGAGTGCGAGAAACTTATGCTCGAACTCAACGCTTGCAATCACAGTCATCTGATCATGCGGCTGACTTAGATCAAAATGCACGAATTCTAGCTTGGAAGGCGTCTCTTGGTACGTGAAATCTGCGGAGATGCTTGGTGCGGCACTCTGATTAGTTCCTAGCGCGAGTAGAGACGGTTCAGTGGCGCTTGGACACCATGCTGCGACGGCTGATCGCTGCAGTGTCTTCAATGGAGGCGCTACCGGTGCGGGCGGCTGCTGTGGCTGTTGCGGCCTCTGTGGCTGCTGCGCTGCCATCGCTGCACCAGGAGCAGCGGCGGGTGCTGGGGTCAGAATCATTGAAGACTAGAAATTTTTGTAAGCTCTATTTTGATTTTTACTAGATGACATAACAAAATCAGGATGTAGATTGTCTATCACAACATGCTAAGTGTTTTCGAAGGAGCGAATTGAGAAAAAATGTTTACCTCCAGCGGGAGTCGCGGCAGCCGGGCGATTGTACTGTTGCTGTATGGGGGCACCGTATTGCTGGCCGGCTCCGTAATGGGGTTGGTGCGGGGCACCATACTGCGGTTGTTGTGGTGGGTGTGGGGCGCCATATTGTGGTTGCTGTGGGGGTTGTGGGGCACCATACTGCGACTGCTGGGGCGGTTGCGGGGCGCCATATTGCGGAGCCTGAGGTGGTCCACCGAATTGCGGGGGTGGCTGCTGCATCCCATACTGAGGGGGCTGCATAGCTCCATACTGCTGCCCCGGAACCGGTGGTTGACCAAATTGTTGTGGCGCTCCTCCGTACTGCCCGGGTTGCTGTATAAATTTGATACACGTCAATATTGTGTTCATCTTGAAAGATATTGAGATAGGATACATTTTGCACACTCAAAAAATGGAAATCACGTAAAATCGAAGTAGATCCAGCTCTCATTTTAGTGCGTTTTGGTAGAGGAGAGAAATAGTAGAAAGATAGTACCGGGAACTGCGAAGCCGCAGGCGCACCGTACTGGGGCTGATACATACCCCCGGGCTGGGGCGGATACCGATTATGCATGGCCGCCGATCCTCAAAGACCCAAAACAAATCAAAATTATGCCATTGGACAAAAATTAGGAATGATTAGGCGAAGATGCCGTGATCATCTAGGCTCAGTAGCACGTGCACCTACGAATCACTAGCTCTAGTACACAATGCCCGCACTCGTGTTGTTTCTCTCAGACATCTCACGACTGGAATGAAAGATGTGAAAACATGAGCAACGTCTTAGAGGGTTGCATTTTTTTTTCTGGTGCACAGTATCAACTACGGAGAGAGAGAAGTTCAGCTAGATAGCAGAAAAAAGAGCTGGAGAAAGTCTTCTAAATTGCAATTCGCCATCGCCTACTCAACTCCTCAGTCATTCTAATTGCAAATGCTTTGGCCCAGAACGTCATTAGTATTTCTTGTCTGTATAATCGGCGGGTGTACAACATAAAAATCCACCTCCTTCTGACCGCCGTTTAGATCTTCAATGCGCAAAGTAGATCGTTTATTACTATTGAGGCATATTTCGTTTGCATAATTTCTATTTCACATGTCAAGCGTCTGAACACTTTCGTATGCAGAATGACGAGGTGGTCGTTTCTTTCTGTTACCACAACACGGTTCGCGTTTGTCATTTTTATTAGCAAGACATTCGTTTTCATGCAAGAGGCATTGAGTTGGTTTCTCATCATCTCTTCATCGCTGCCGCGCAATCAGATCTGTGCATTTTCATTTTCATTCATGGATAGATTCCACCAGCAAGTGGCAAGATTCGCTAAGCTGAGCAGCGCAGCTTCAAACAATGCAAATACTGGATGCTCTTCTGCATCTGCACGAGTACGAGTGCTCCCTAAATAAAACTAAGACGACGAGGATTTGCTCGATCAGAGCGCGTCAATCTATTCAAAATGCTAAGTGCGCCTTGTTAGTCGTGGACTGAAAGAATGCTTGAGATTATCAAACAACTTTAACTTTCTCATTTTCTGTTACAGGTGCACGCGAAGCGGCGAAGTTTTATGTATCAACCGCGACACGAGTGCCGTGCATTTGTGCTCGTTCTTGTACATCAGGATGCGGCACATCCTCTGCTTTGTGAAAATCGCTTCCGTTTTTTTGCGCATCCCTGCTCGTGTGGTCTTGAATGTGCTGCCCAAGAACCACATGGACGTTCTCTTTCCTTGGTGCAGCTCTTCCAATTCGCTCTTGTGAATTGTTTTTATGGATCATTGTTCTTTGGGCGAAGTATAGAAATACCACAGTTCCTATCGGCGTCAGTAGCAAAGTCGTCGTGAATTCGCTGTAGTCTTCCTCACTAGCTCGCGATAGGCCTTCGCCCACCTCCCAGTCCCACAAGGCGGTCCAGATCAGGGAATGCAAGATCCAGGAAACGAGAAACACACCACGCAGCTGTGAGTCGTAAACACTTGTGCCGCAGAGCAAGGTCCAGACATACTCTCCATTTTTACCACCATTCTCAAAAGGAGGAGGACGCTCTGAAACAGGAGTAGAATCTTCGATTTCTCGCTGTTGCTTATTGCTATTTTCAGACGACGAAGGCTTTGGACTGCTCTTTTCATCCAGTTTCGGATGGATCATTATCTCCTTGTTGACTCGCAGTTTGTCTGCGTGCTTCTGAGAATACTCCTCAACCTCGTTCTCATTATTTTCCGACTGCTGGATCTTTCTTGGTTCTGCTACGCTTACGTCCTTGGAGCCCGACTGTCGGCCTCCACGCCGCACCATTTCGATCAAGTCCGGGCCGTCAAAACACCAACGCCAGTAATTCAGAGACAAAGCTAGGAAATGTGTTACGTAGAAGAACTGATATCCTACCGTCTGGTGTGTCCACAAACAATCTCGGCCCATTGTAACGCGTTTGTCTTCGCAGTCCCGGCTATGCCCGCGGGAGTATCCGCCACCGATTGCTACGACCAGAGACAAGAAAATATAAGCTACTCCACGCGGCACGGCTAGCTTCATTCGGAGTGTCTGCGCGGTTGCACTCGAGGCCATGCAGGTGAGAAAGAACCAATGCAAACCGAAGACAAAGCCATAACAAAACCAAAGTGCAAAGGTGAAGAACGCAAAGAAAACAAAGGACAACATGCTTTTGCCGGTATTCCTTTTGCTAGGTGGGAATATCATCCTGTATTACGTATCGTGCTATGATTTATCGCCAATGTGGGACAAGAATGAGTTATAAGTTGCTCCTCCAAGAAAATGATCATCATGGCATGTTGAGGGGGAGATGAAGATGAATATTGCTCTAAAAGAAAAGAAGGGTAGTTTATTAGATTGGGATAGAGAAAAAAGGGGTCGCGGGTCCGGGTTCCTCAATAGATTTGATCAAGCTGTGCTTTCATTGAAGGTTTGAAGTTTGTGCCTCTCTAGACAGGAAAAAAGGCTAGACATAACATTGAATATGCTCCCAGAAACGTCGAGAGTTTTTCTCGACTTCTACGTGTTCAAATCACTCGATTATTGCAACAAAGGTGGAACTTGCCTTACACTTGATACAATGTCTCGAAATCTCCCTTCACTCGAAGCAATTCAACAATTACTCAGGCTGAAACATAACAGGTGAACATCCGCACTTGACTTCACCAAGGAACGAACACGCAGATTGATGAAAAAAGACGTAGACGGCTGTCTTCAGCAACTAGATGAACAAGTTAATAGTGGATAAAAAAGCATCCGTATCGGTATTGCGCGTCCAGGTCTTGACGGGTGGCCATGTCGTACTGTCTCAGACCACTCAGGAGCATTTTAGTTCAAATAAGATTCCAAAGATACTCATTTCCTGTATCCCAATAATCCTGACGCGTCCCTTCATCTCTGTAATATAGCGGCTTGTTCATTACCGGACATCAGGCTAGTAATGTTTTCCACGCAACTATCTTTCAAGCACAAATTGAAATCTGATAGTTTTTCGTTCTGCGTGCATATGAGATAAAAAAATCAGGATCAACCGTTACCTATCAAGTTCGAAATTCAAGTACAAATACAACTAACAACATGCCACATTCGACTGCATATTGAGCGTCCTTCATGTGCTTTCTTTCCATCGAGAAAAAAAAATCAATCACCATTTATTTGATGTAAGTAAGCCTAAGCATCAATTATCAACTCATCATTATTATAAGATGAGCCTAGGACTTTCTAAGGTCAGTATTTCGGTGGAGTAAGAGTGTAGAAAGGACATCAGTCTAGTCTCTGAGAAAGTAGGCGGCGGGCGATATTATTATATCAAATTCAGATCATCTGAAATAACAGAGTCGTTGATCTTAAAAACAAATAATCCACTCACAGCAACCTGATCGGACGACATTAGAAGTAGTTACCTAGAATAGATCGTCGCACAATGAGTAGAAGCAGATCGTAGGTGGAGATGTAGCAGCACCCACCATAGCATTTCCCCTTTTACATGCAGACCGACGAGGGACCCTCTCCTATGACCAGTGAAGAAGATAGATGATAAAATAGAAACGATTAGGTATAGGATCAAGAGATTCGGATCAGATGAAAGATTTTCCATCGGACTAATTAAGCGGTACTGTATGCACATATTCTTCTTGGGTACGCTTAAATGCCCCAGCAGCCGAGGGTCGGTCGTGTAGTAAAGAAGTTTACGAAGCAAGCTTATCTACCCACGACCTGCATTAGGACGCACTGGGACTGACGACTTTTCGACAACGAAAACCAAGTAGTCGACGAGTCTTTAGTCAATTTATTATGTATGAGTTTTCGCTTGTTTCATCTCTTTTCATCGAGGGATCGGTCTCTCTCCACGAAAAAATCGTGCCCGAAATGAATTATTACGAACTTCCTTCCACGATATTAAGTCGTAACAAATCAAATTAGATACTTATGCAATTGCAAGTCATTCTTGTGTTCTACTTTGACATATTCGTGTTACATGTTTGCCTCTCTTGCTATTTTTGGGTTTAAAATCCTAAATTTGGTGGATCATTGTTGTGAAGAATTCTATCAATTTTCATCATAATATAAGTGAAATTTGGCGTCAACTGCTGCGTTGTGTCTAGAGTGTTTGCCTAGACTGCTACTTATTATAGTACCGAAGAGGCAGCTGAGGAAGAAGAAGATAATTTATGTCGGCTTGGTGCATTGAATTCCTGAGGCGGAGGCACCAAAGGGGAATCCGCTTCCGCTTCTAATTCGGCATCCACGAAATCAGACCACATGTCTTTTTATGGGGAGGGTGGTTGGGTGAAAAAAGTTCTCAAAGTGGTTAAAGCAAAAATCCAATATCAAGGATAGTTGCAACTTTCGTTCCTTACTCTTCTAAACTGTTGCGTTAATCCAATAGTCTTTCATTATGACCAAACCAAGCCAGCCGTACATAAAGCCACCTATTGGAACACACCTCAGCACCCACATAAATAGTGCCTATCAGTTTCAACAAACACAACACGACCCCTTTTATTAGGTGGTCGAAAGATCAACTAGCACAAAAACATCTATTCCGGGTTGTCTTGGAATATGCCAAGAACGTGTCAGAAATGATGAAGATCCTGGCTGTCTCAGGTCGGAACAAATCATCCTTTTATTGATCAGAGACAGCAGATGACAATAATATAATTTTAGGAAAAGGAAAGGATTCGCTTTAGTGTCTTCCATAAAAACACGAACGCAGGACGGAGTGATCTCCACAAAAAACTGAAGCGAAGACTGAAAGTGACAGGGGAGAGCGCAGTGGTCAAACTGCTCACGAACACGAGAAAAAAGTTCTCAAAGTGGTTAAAGCAAAAATCCAATATCAAGGATAGTTGCAACTTTCGTTCCTTACTCTTCTAAACTGTTGCGTTAATCCAATAGTCTATCAATATATAGAACAACATAGACAAGACTTCAAGATGCACACTGTGACTCGCATTGTACCACACCCATCTCAGCTGCCGAGCCGGAATGAAGCACACAATGCAAAAACAGCCTCCAAGTTCCTGCCTTTTATACTCTTGCGATGTCTGAAAAGCCTTGCGAAGAAGAATAAAATTCTAGTAGGTCTTTTAGGTTGATCTTCTAGACATAATCAATAGCGCAAAACAACAAATGAGAATCAGTCACATCTTTGCGCCTCCGATTAAATCAATTAAGTCGATGTGTCAAACATCAATATTTTGCTACTAGCTCCTAGGAAGTAAATATTAGAAAGAACAAAAGTGAGTGCAGCTAGTAAGAAAACTCAACAAATGTCTTCGCAGACTGATTACAAACTCGGAGACAATCTCTCTACTTGTAAGGTTTTGCCTTCGTTTTGATTTTTTGATTCAAGATTTTGACTTTCGAATATATATAAATTTTGAATTTTGATTTTGAATCTTGAACTCTGATTTTAGACTGTGAGTGTCGCCTCCGAGTTTTGAGCTTTGATTTTGAGTCGTGAAAGCAAACGAACGCGACGAAAACACTGCAAAAAAGGGCAGCGCCTGCCCATGGATGCCCATGAATTGCGAAAGTTACGCCGTGAAGCCTCAAGGCTAGGCCATGAATTTTTTTAGTTAGGCCATGAGATTCGAAATCTAACTCATGGATTTTGAAAGTTACGAAATGAATGCAGAAACTTAGCCTTACCACATGAATTGCGAAAGTAGGCAAGGCGCGAATTTTGAAAGTTACGACATGAGCTGTGAAAGTTAAGACAAGAACTCAGAAAGTTACAACGTGAAAGAGTTTCGAAAGCTACGGCATGAATTTCGAAAGTCAAGCGAAGCCATGAACTCAGAAAGTTACGGCGTGAATTTTGAAAGTTACGGCACGAATTTCGAAAGCTAAGGCGTGAACTGTGAAAGTTACGGCATGAATTGTGAAAGTTAAGACATGAACTTTGAGAGTTTGGACATGCATGGCGGGAGGGGGCTACACGATCGACCGACAAGCCAGACGCAAGGACACCGCAGCACCAAATTGCCAAGGCCCCCCTAAGCCCTCCCGCCTGAGCATGCGGGGCGGCGACGACCCTGAAGGCCACGGCCTCCCTGAGAGCCGAGCCCCCTCCGAGATTCGAGCCGGAGTCCTTCCGTAGCCAAGTGCAAACACTTGCCCACTGGGCCAAGCTGGCAGGCTACGAATCGCGAACAGGCCACGCCCTGCGCCATCGATCCGCGGGCCCTCATGGCCTCAGCCCTCTACTTGTCCCACTACCACCAAAGAAACAACGCCGCAAAGGTTTGGAATCTGTCCCCCGTGAGGATACGGGGGCGGGCGGTCTTGTTGCCCTGGTGTCGGCGTGTCCTCAGGCAGAAACATGAGAGCAAGCCGAGCCCCGTCGCCGGCCGTTCCCCTGAGAGAGGGCGCGAAGCTTGAAAGTCTCAAAAGGTGCCGGGTGTCCGAGTGAGTGCATATCTAGCAGGCGAATCGTGCTCCCATCGAATCCCTACCCTGGGGGCTAGTCCTTCCTCTTATCCTCCAATTACAGTACCTATTAGTATTGCTTACTCAATGACAATGCTTGCGACGATTTTTGAAAATGGGCGATATGAGTGCGTCACTAAGTAGTCGTTAGCCGCCTTCCTGTTATTGTTTTATTATTATTTGTCGTCGTCATATTCACTTATCCATCGTTATCATCGAGCTACATTTTGGCTAGTACTAGTTAGCGATATGATTAGTCTATCATAATCTATACATATACTAGTCATGCACTTGTGACGTTTTGCGCCAAGCGCTTGATGTTAGCTACCCTCCTTCTATGTTTAAGGGTAGGCTAAAGGTGCTTTTTTTGCCGTTTGTTATGGCTCTCCTAAGGGGGACAGCCATAACAAGCGGGATAAACGAACACCAAAAACCTACCTCTAATATGTATTTATAATGCTTACAAAGGTTTCCTAGTATATAGACAAAAGGATCTTGCAAATCCAAATGTTCTCCTCGAGTAGTTGGAAATTAAACGAGGGTAGCGAGGCTGATTATTTGCTTACCGGGACGTAAAGGCACCCTACCAGGAACGCTCACAAACCCGGATGGTCGTTCCGCCATAGTCGTGGACCCTCCAAGTCCAGAAACGGCTGTATCAGTTTTGTCGCTCGACGAATGTGCGCTGCCTGTGTACTGCCTGTGTACGCTAGCTGCTAGGGAATTGATGCTGTTGGACGAACCCTGGCTGTTCCGCTGCAGGGACCCTAGGTTTTGGTTCATCGCAGTTCGCGTAGCCGTGTGACAAGGCACCGAAGGGTTGGGCGTTTGCATGAAGTGATGGGTACTAGGGGCTTCGTACTGTGGTGACCCAGATAGAGGAGTTGGCGAATTGTTCAGTACTCGACCTGCTTCTGCGCGTTTTATGATACTTGGATCGGTCCGCGGGCCCGGTGAGCCAGATGCTGCGATGAAGGGCGGCGAATTAATAGTAACACACACATACGAATACGTCGCTGCTGATGAAGGAGGCACAACAGGTGCTGTGGGTGTTCGAGATCCGCATGACATAGCCGCCCGTCGATTCACATCTGTGCTGCCCATTGCTTGACTGCCGGAGTTTGTTTGATTCTGGATCTTCACGAACAGATTGTTTTCACTCACATGGAATTTATCATAGGAGACGACGCGCGCCGTAGGCGTCGGTGAGGTTGAGCGAGAATGCGTGAAACTAGAGAATCCATGTTGTTGTCCATGATCGCTATCCCTTCGCGGCAAGCCATCTTGATCTTGTGGAGCTTGCTCGTGTTGTTCTTTGCATACATGCTGAGCCTCTCCATGTTGCGATGCTGCAGCCGTAGAAATACCTGATGCACTGTCTCGACTACCTCTTCGGACCGAAAGAGAGCGCTGCAAACGTTTAGAGGCTTCTTCTGTTGCTGCTTTCTGTTGTTCAAGCGTGGGAACCAGGTCGGAGCTATTGGCAGCAAACCCTTTGAAAGTGCTAGGCGTTGCGGGATGCGTCGTGTCACAATCACTGCCTGCTTCAGAACCCGAAAATGAGTTTTGGCGAATCCACGCTAGCCAATTTGCCTTGTTCGGGCACATGGCAGGAATAGCAGTCATTTCTTGATCACCCTGACCACCAATGGTTATATCGGGCGTGTCGACTGTAGTAGGATGTTCCGGTGCTAGTTGTTCTACGCCAGAATCTTCCTGCGGACGCAAGCACGCTGCACTTTGTTCTTGTCCGGCAGCCTCTTGGCACGACTCTCGCACAAGAGTTGTTCTCAACGTCTGTAATCCTTCCTCCTGCGCTATAGGTCGGCGCTGCCCGCCTCGCATCGAGACCGCCCAGTCAACAAACGCGGGCGTAGGAGGGGGTGTGCTGACCCTCTCTGGCGTCCTCGTGCCGACTTCTTTCGGAATCACTACACGCAATCCGGTGCTGCGCGATGAAGCAGCAAGTTGCGAGTTTTCGCTGTGAGCTCCCTTGTGCAGCTGCGTCGCTAGTAGTAGGCCTTCGGGCACGTTACCTCCAGGATCAAGAACACCCGGAGACCTTGTCGGATCCGCCGTCTCGGTTTGGTCCGCCATCTGAAACACCACGCCAAGGTCATGATATGTATGCACGCGACTACTTGCACGCTCTTTGCCAGCGCGAGCGTGAGGACCATCGCCAGTCGTGGCCTTTGCATCTACGACGACGTTGTTCAGAAAAGATCCCGCACTTGAAGTTCCGACATTGGCAAGTCCAGTGGCTGAGGCGCCTGAGGCTGCTTCTAAACAGGCACGGAACTGTGGAGGGAGTTCAGAAGGTGTACCAAAGTAATTTTTCGTAGCTTCGGAAAACATGTGCAAAACCTTTGCCTGTCCGTCAATCACGTTTCGCTGCTTGGCAATGATCTTGTGTTGCTCTTCAATCGTTGCCTGACTGAATGCCACCGTCTTCTTCAAACTTGTCTCGACATCTTCGTCGTCACCAACGGAAACGACTTCCGGAAAGAAAAACCATGAGAGAAAACAAGATACAGGAATCGATCAAATGTTTAGGGAGAAGAAGACGAACCTCGTAAGAACGCTAGGCACGTACGTACTTCTAACAGTGAAGAGGGTCGCGGTATGCAGGTAGCCAATGCCAATCTGTGATAATATACTCTATCCCATTGCCGTCCTCTTCACGAATGAGAAGGCTACGCAGCTGTGAAAGGTCTTCTTCCGATTCTAGTAAATAGTCAGCAATAAATTGCGCAAGACAGTAATAAGCGACTAGTACTGGCGGAGTCTAAGTTCTGTTTTTTTCAATGACACAATTAAAAGAAATGTTTGAAACATACAGGAGAGGAGCTGTTTTGGCCAGGTGCTTCTAGATTCGTTGCCCATGATGACGCGCCTTCAGCTGCTCGAGCTCCGGAGGCAGCTTCCACACCCTTATCCACTACCTGCTGCGGAGCATCATCTCCTGTACGAGAGCTAAATTGTTGAACGGTAATGTTTTTCTCCTTATCCTTCTTGCGACTCCTGCTTTTTTTCGCCCGGCTGGGACTGGGAGTCTTACGCGCAGGAGCTCTCTCAGCACGAGAAACGGGTGTCGTTCCTTCACCAGCGACGCCGTGTGCCGATGCCGAAACACGGACAGCAAGCGCAAAGCTGCTGCAAATCTGACTGGAAAGAGCCGCAAGAATAAACCTCATCTTGTTGTTAAATCTTAGAAGCACGCTTTTGCTGTTGTTACGACTCTAAAAGATACACGTTACTTTTCACGAAGAAGAAGAAGTATTTACTAGAGTACAACAAGTAATCAACTAGATATTAAATCTTAATATGATGTGATTCGACGTCCATGAATTAATAATCCTGATCAGTCATCCATATATAGAAGCACATAAGTAGGCTGCTCTTGCAATCAATTTGATTTCGAATTCGAATGATCAATGTTTTGACGATAACAATCGACTGCTATGATATTTCGAACTGTGTGAAAGATGATCATGATAATCAAAATAGGCTTACTGTACCTCAACAAACGAGATACTTTTTCCTGGTATCAGCTGTAGTAAATCGCGATCTAGTCGTATTCTAACTGTCGACCCGACTATGCTTTGTTCATAACGCACTTTCGTATGTATTTTCGTGCTGAAGTTCCTCACATTTTTCGAGTCTCTACCGATTTTCATTTCCTGCAATCGCCTCTACGTACTCCTGCAACATATGAAGAGGATCAATCTTATCATGATCACAGGCGCAAGCAGATGCGTAGGAACGTGATTCTTATTTTCTATGCTGCACCGCGAAGTGGGACTATGTGAATGTATTTTCCGACAATGACTCTCTGTCCAGTTATGCCATCTCTAGTACATCTTCTGAACGGTTCTTTCATACTATGACTGAACGCGGTCATTGGTGCTGAAACACATTCGGGGGAACGATGGCGGCCCCTCCACGCTTCAATTCGATATGTGAAAAATGAACAACAACAGAGGAAAGCGTATAGTTTTCCAGTAATCATAATCCCTTAAGTAGATGCTGGGCATATTCCGAGACACTTGCTCAAATCCTTAGCGTTGGTATATGCCATGTAAAAAACCTACTATTAGTTTGAAGGTGTGAGTCATTTCGCCGTGGCATTAATGAAAGGATCGAACCCCAAACACGTGCTTCATGTTCGTCCGAAGGTAGGCAGGCTACCATGACCAACACAGTCTTGAAAGCGATGTCCTCCTGGTGGTGAACCGGACTAGTGAAGTCTGCTGGCTATCATTGCGACTTCATCGGTGTGCTTGAGGCAGAGGCGCCAGATGTGCGCTGGACGCAGAGTTGTGAGGGCTCGCTGCTCCAATATTTCGTTCCTGATCGGATACGGAAAGACGGCGTGCAGTTGCCGCTCTGGCGCTAGCTGCATACTTGCGAGATCAGCGCCCACATCGGCTATCAGTATGTCGACGCCTGTGGCGTCGGTGCGATGAAATTGCGCCAGAACATGTGCTGGTGCTGTCTTACTCTGAGTCACTGCTTCACTGAGCACGCGAAAGCGTAACGCGCAGTGGCGTAGCACCGTCTCGATTCGCGTCACATCCGCAGAAGACTCCACAATGACACACATTTTAGCCGTGGCAAGCAAGCTGTTCGCCGTTGTGGAGCTCGCCATAGAGGTAGAAGCAATCAAAGACGACAATTCGAGGAAGGTCGGAATTCGCAGTAAGCACCTCAAGAGCGCTACCGCTTTCGAACCCGCGTCAGGTCCCAAGCTGTCGTTAACGATTGCATCAATACGCGGATGCGACCCAGGTTCTAGACGCGTGTCGACATAGCGCAGCGTAGTCTCGTCCAAGGAAGTGCGGTCGACATCTTTTTTGCCTGAGAACATTCCCAGCAGAGTACCACTTTCATTGTCCACGTTCACTCTTTTGTCGTCTCCTCCGAGTCGTGCGCTATTCAACGGACCACTCCGATTTTTCGTGATATCTTCACGAGGAAACGGATTCTGATGATCTGGAAATTCCACGTGGATAGCATTAGAGCTCGACACATTTTCGTCGTGAGGAATTAAGCCATGGTCCTCCTCCCCCACAAAATCGCCAGCAGAGGAGGCACAGCTAGACTGTTTTTTTGCCTCGTACAGCTTCTTCTGACCTTTCGCGGTCGCTAGTTGACGGTCTGCGAGAAACGTGATTTCGGCCAAAACCGGAAAGAGTTCCGTGCGCCGTAAGGGCTGCCGACAGATAGCGCAAGTAGGCGCGTTATGGCCGGTGGCGTTCGCGATCTGCGTGTCGACACAACTACGACAAAAGGCGTGCCCACAGCCGGTGATGTGCATCTCGTCGAGCGCAACGTCGTCCATGCAGATGGGACACTCGCACTCCTCCAGTGCTGTCTCCAGCATTTGCGCAAAAAAGTTCAGCTGCTTGGCCACAGGTCGGAGCTTGTCCTGGGTTAGGGCCTTAACCACGCTCTGCACACGAGACGCAAACTGTCGCAACAAACTTTCTGCTCGACTACTGGTTCCGAAGGGAGTCGTCGTTGATGAAGAGGTGCCAACAGTGGGCGAAGCAGCCGAGTTTGAAGCTGCTTTCGATGAGGGAATGTACACTCCAACACTGCTACTGCTACTCGTTGACATTGGCGCACCACGTCGGCCCTGGTGGATTTGCGCTGGTGGCGGCGCATTGACCATAATCACCCGCCCGTTCTTGGGAGCAGCGCCACCTGGCAGCGCAGCGACGTTGCTACATGTGCCGCTGGTGTTGTTACCTGCAGACGATGCGGAAGAACCGTTTGCAAGATTCGCTTGCTGCTGAGCAGCGTTTTTTCTTCGATTTTTGTTCTTCTTTTTCATTGCTTGCTGCGTCGGCCGCAGCTCCATCCAATGGATGTAGGGCCTGCTGAAGCCATTCGTGAGTACCCAGAGCTCTTGGAAAAGATGTGAAAAAAATGCATCATGGCGCTGAAACTCGGAGCGAATCGTCCGTTCAGGTGCGGTCAAATGCTTTTGCAGAACGACCTCTGGTAACACCTTCTGTTCTTCTGCCACTAGTGGTCGAACAGGCCTTTTTCGCAACAAGAGACCACTTTCGCCACCGCGAGCAGTGCTGTGAAAAACCACCTGACGTCGCGTGCGCCCATGGGCGGAAGACACAAAGCGGGCGCGGATTGTAGTACCCCCTGCGCCCCCGCGCGCGGCGCGCCGCGGCCGCAGGGCGCGACGCCCTGGCGAAGGTGGCGGTGCAAGCACCTGGGGAGGCGGACCCTGTCGCGAAGAAGTTGACGAAGAGGCACCAGCGGGGCCAGCATTCCGCCCATGCACGCTGTTGTTACCGAGCCGCCGTGCGACAGCTTGTTCGAAGTTCTGGCCGCTTTTCGCAACTGCACCTGCTTTTCCTGCTCCAGCGGCGCCGCCTGTGGCTGTTGTGCTCATTGCCGTTACTGTGCCTGCTTTTGCAACTCCAGCTGCTGTATTTTTTCTTTTTGGGGCGCGACGACGTGGCTTGCGAACGCCTGCGCGCGGCAGACCCAGCGCTCGACGTTGCTCGGCATTCGCGAGTTTCGCAATACGCGACACCACATCTGGAAAAGGAAATAGTTCACGGATTTCCGCACGAGAATCTCGCAATATGGAGGCTTGTTCCGCCTTAAGATTGGCGCGAAGCCGTTGGAGCTGCGCTAGCGCAAAAGCTGCCAGGTCATCCCCGAGGTCCAGGCTCTCAGCTTCGTCCCAACGCGCAAACAACGGCAAGCGCGGATGCAGTCTAGGAAGTGCTTCTCCGGGAGGACGCGGCTCGGGTGCAAAAGCAGCCTTGTTCGATTCCAGCTTGCTCGAGGATGACGAGGCTCCTGTGCACTGAGTTCCGACCATATTCACATCGTTTGTTCCGTCTTCGCCGGCATTACATGATGTTTTGGAACCTCTATCAGGTCGCTTTTCAGTGTCCTGCTCGTCTCTCTTTCCATGCAATAACTCTAATCCTGCGGCGATACATATTTGGCCTGCCGGCGTCTGGACGGTGCTCCGAAGCAGCTCTAGCATGCTGAACGAGAGAGAAATCCGTCGAGGCTGTTGCCCAGAGGAACCCTTACTCGGGATAGAGCGCAAGCCAGAAGCGAAAGGCACTGGAAGAACTCCGGAATTTCTGGAGGGACTCGAGTCAGGAGTTCGCTTGGATGTAGTTTTTCCAAAACTCGGTGGAGCACCTGTCGCCGGGAGTGGTGGAGGCGGCCCCTGCGCTGGTTTGCGCGTCGTTGTACTTGTAATACAAGTTGAGGACGAAGTGGCTGAAGAAGAGCTGCCTGACGTGCACACTAAAGCTGTGCTGCTACAACTTCCTTCAGCTCTACTACTTGAAGATGGCTGAGGAATGGCACACGCCATTCTTTGATTTCCAAGCGGAGAACCTCTTGCTGCAGCGGCGACTTCCTTACTCGGGTGCTTTGCTGGCGCTGCTTTTCTCGCAGTATCTTCATCATCATCCGCAAGAAGATCGTCTTCAAGCGACAATGGTCCGTGTTGAGGAGTAGCGCTCGAGTTGATATCTACCCCAGCAGTAGGTTGGCCAGCTTGGTTTGAGCAACTAGATGAACTACTCGATGAGGAAGACACTCCAGTTGATTCCATTTCGAGACATGAACTTTGCTTTGCTGCAGCCGCACCGCGAGTAGCATTTGTTGAACAAGCAGAAGCCTCCCGTTGGGATGTAGTAGTATGCTCGATTGTGTTGAAGTGAGGTTCGAGTTTCCTTAACTTCTTTAAGCCAGGTCCATCAGGACTGGCATATACGCCTGTTGTAGAACTTGACTGCGCCTCCACCTCATGGCCTCCTGCTGATAATACACTCGGATTCTCGTGGTGCAAAGACGGGTGCGACTCAGCGACTTCCTGCTCCATCTCCTCGTCACGCTGTCGTTTGAGTGTGCTCGGCTGTTTCCCCGCCAGGAGCAGCTCGAGCAGACACCCGATGCGGGTGTAGCATTTCAGAAGACGAAAAGTTTTAATCAACTCTGCGTGCAAGGATTTGCATTTTTCGCGCGCCAGTGCGTGGCCCCCGTGTGCGTGGATGGAATGTAATCCACTTGGCAGCAACGGTGCACTCTTGCTGTTGGCGATGGCTCGGATGCCAGGGACGCGGAAAATGGCAGACATTTGCGCCGCACGTGTGTCGGAGCTATGCTTTGCGCGTTCCTGCTTTGACACAGAAAACACTCGTCGCTCAGAGGCAGTTGGCTCGACCAGTACAATGTGCTGCTCTCCGTGTGCGTGCGCTTCATGACCTAAGATTGGCATGTACGACGCGGACGACACCAGGGTTGAGGTGTGGTCGAGCTCGTGGTCGTGGCCTAATGCGCGGAATGAAGTAGAGCTTGCTGATTGCATCTTCGAGTTCATCGAATGCATCGTTGTGCTAACCGACGCTTCTACCGGCACGTTGCAACTGCTGGTACTTGGGTATGAAAATACAGCCTGAATATCAATATTGGTTCCTGACCGTCCCCGGAGGAAGAAGCTGCGAATAAATCGCGCTGCGTTGTCCCGGACAAACGGGCAGCTGCACACTCGGCGCAACCAGGTTGCAGCTTCCTCTCTGCGAAGCCTAGCCTCAGCTTCTTTGCGTTCTCGATTGCGGGCTTGTGCGAGCGATAGTTGTGCCGCTTTTGAAACTGTCGTAGAGGCGAGTGTGGCAGGAGTTCCAAGAACGCCTGGATGCTTGTCGTTTCTTTTAACGACTGCATGATATTGAGCATGATGCCCTGCCGGAGGGTGCTGATTTCCTCCGCTCCCCCCACCTCGTCTGTTACCGTTTCTGGACCTCCTTCCAAATAGAAGAGGCCCTCCCACCCCATTCTTTGCTGTTGCTTTGGCTATGACAGGCATTTGAATTTGTGCTATTCCGAACTTGGGCACGGCACTCGTCAGTGAAGCACTCCCCCCGCCAGAAGACACGGATGAATATGACCTACTGCGATCGCAAACGATTGGCGTCGCCTGCACCTGTAGATTTGGAACATGATTTGTACCGCCAGAAGCAGAGGGATTTTCTTGATGAAAGCTGTCAAGTCGCAGGCGCAGCGCTCGATTCACATCTGCCACTGGATCCCGTTTCCATGCAGGACCCAGTAGGTCAACCCCGAAAGCCAACGCCAACGGAGCGAGAACTCGCAAGCTGATGCCGCTCGAGTCTGGATTGTCTTTTGCTGCTGGTTGCTCTATTCTAGGTGTTGTAGTGCTCGAAGAGCCATCGCCTAGGAGACTAGATGAAGTGCTCGAAGATGCAGGACGAGGAATGTGCATGCAGCGCGTTGCGCGAATCAGTTTGGACGATCGGCATCTAAGCTGATGGAACACGAAGTCGGCCGGTCGACTTGGACACTCGTCATCCTCAAGACTCCGATCGTATATCACGCGATTCCACACTCTCGACTCAAGTAGAGGGAGCGGAGCATAGCTACTCTCTTTTGGTAGCGTCGTTGCTGATCCTTTGCTGCTACTGCTGCTGCTGCTGCTGCCAGAAGACGATGTCGAGGTCCATTTCTTTATGTTGCTTTCACTATCGCCAATGCGTCGGAGCGGGTATTTCCATGGGTTCGTGACGCCGTCCGCTTTTTCAGCCTCAATGTCTTTTATTCGCTGTTCCTGCCACGTCTTGTACAGGGAAGATAGGAACACTTCCTCAGCAACTAGAACAACGTCTGGAGTTTGCAACTCTCCGGCATCGTCATCATCTGCACTAGAATTTGAGGAGTCTACGCCAGAAGACGACACCTTCCCGCTTTTCTGCTCTATTTCTCCCTCATGTAGCCCCTTAGTGCGCATCAGGCTTGATTTTGGGAGATCTCGACACTTTCGAACCATCTTCACATTGACACTTGGCCACAGAGCACGGACACGCAGAGACCAAAGCGCGAGTGCATGAGCAGGCAGGAGTACCAATGTCGCCCTTTCCGTGCCACTGCTGGCTGTTGAAGTTGAATAAGATGTGTGGTTTGTCGTTATACAACCGGTACTCTTTGGCAGCAAGAATTCTCGAACGGTGTCGTCAACGCTGAAATTCACTAGGAAGCCTCCAGAAGCGCAGCTTGGAAATCTCACTGCCGCATGCCCTTCGAAGTACCTTGTGGGAACGAAGGATGACAGCGGGAAATAATAACGTGATAAAAGAACAACGATTAGAGAATGTATTAGAGGTTAATATCAAGACACGATATACCGGTTGGCCCTCCATAAAATAGCAATGAGCAACGAACTAATATGTGAGATCACGAATGGTGTTGTGATGCTGTGCGGCTGCGGTTTATAATGACAAAAGTGTGCGTCGCGGAGGTCTCGAAAAATACTACAGAAAGCAGGTGCTTATCTTCATTTACGTTGACAGCGGCAGACGATAGAGGCAGTCGAACCCACGAGGTATCGCAGACTCCCGGAAGACGGATAGGATGCTGCTTTCACCATTTTCGGGCTCAGGAGCACCAAGATATTGATTTTGTTCGCCTGACGTTGCCCGTTCCACATGTGCTGCTCCCTGAATTGGAATGACGAGAGCTTCGGCTAATCCCGCTATTCCTCCGTCTATTCCTCCTACTGGGCTTGAACCTCTTGCGCTTGTAGGTGGGCTCGGCGCTTTGTCGCTTGTCAATTCGTTGGACGTAGTCCCCGCAGCGGTACCTGCTTGTAGTCTATCTTGTCGCGGGGCGATTCGCATCCCTACTTCGCACCGGAGGAGACGCGCGTTAGGACAGGCAGTCCATAGAGCTTGCAATGCATGTTCTTGCAATGTACTCGATGCTGATAAGGCAGGTCTATATGGTTCATGGTCCTCTTCTACCTGCGCTTTTGGTATATCGACACTGCGAGCAGGCTGGTCCGTGCTGGTAGAAAACGTGAGCCCACCTTGCTTCCACGCCGGCGGAAGTAATGATGATCCATGCAGTGCCGAATCAAGCCTTTCCGACGTACCCGACCACGATACCACTGGTGATGGGCGCCAAAGGTCTGCATACGTAGCGTTCGGGCAGAGGAACTCCAGGTCGTGCCCACAAGCCACTTTCGCTGCGACTTCGGAGGGTAGTAGGAACAGACGGTCAACAGATGCAGGTGCATTTTCGTTTCCGCCCTGTGCTAGCGGGTGAATGCTTGAATCTTTCCCAATATTCTGAGAAAAACTCTCCTCCGCACCCTGCTGACCTGCGATAATGCCCAATGCTCGGCTGCTACTGCTACTCGCACCTCCTACTTGATATGCTTGTCCAATCTGTTGAATCCTTGTTGAACTGCAGCCATTGCTGCTTCCGCCTGGAGACGATTGGAAATTCTTGATCACATGGTCGAAAGCAACTCCCTGGGCTGTCTCCAAAGCGTGTCGAGAACCAGCAGGGACAGGCGGAGGACTGTCACGCTTCATCCAAGACATTGACAGGTCAGACATTTTCTTTTGTTTGTCAAAAAACGATCTTCAAATCTTCTAGCGAGGGGAATAGATGTCATTTACGTCTTGTTAATACACAGAGCTTCTCATCAGAGCAATCAGAAAATGCGAGGCTTGGGTGTTTTCTTTAGGGCGCGAGGGGTAATGCTTGCGTACTTGCTTCAAAATGTCAAAAGGTAAAGGACGAGCTACTCTCGACAATTAAGAAAAAAAATGGACTTGTTCTTGAACACAGTCACAGACATAGTTTCCTTGCCGTTTCTTTCAGCAATATAGTCTACACATAAGTATTAATCATATTCTTGCGATATGTGCGCCTACTACACATGCTAGCTGCATGAATGTCCTTCCACCTACTGGTTTTTCAGTTGGTCTTGGGAACTTCGTCGGACACCAGTTGTGTCATACAAAAACGGTTCGTACTGTCAGCATGATGAGCGACGAAGTGGTAGTTCTACAAAAGGTTTGGACGCTGCTGAGATCAAGAAAATGCAGGGGATGAACGATCGCGCAAAAAGGACCAAGGGATGGGGTCGGGAAATACACCTGTGCTTTGGTAAGAGTTTAGGACAGGAGGCATGGACGATGTCTTTGAAGCCGATGGTATTGTTGTTGAAGAAGGACAGCACGCTACTCTTGAAAACTGCATGCTATTTAAATCCAAGTAAAAATCGATATCCAGAAAATCAAATTGTGTTAGGACTCACACATTTTCTATGCTCGTTCCTCTCCCTCTCTCTCGTCTACTCGTTTCTCTGTCACCCTCAAACATCTTTAACGCTCACTGAAGAAGATCGACGACAGATTCACAATCGTGTCAAAAAATGAACATTGCACACTCGACGGCTTTTGTCTACCTCATCGTGCTTATCTATTGATCCACATTCTCGTGGGGTACCACCTCGTACAGCGAACACACCACGATACATTACAACGATCGCGGAAGCAGGGGAACAGTCCACCCGCTGTAAGACCTTGAATAAACCGTCTTGCCACGTGGTTGACACGACAAACACCCGCGAGCGCGACGACGTACTTACTTACATGCTCGATCGTGGAAAGTAAGCTTTGAAGCGCGGGAAACAAATGATTTCTTTAATTTAGTTCTTCTTGGAGATTTAGATTCATGCACACCATGCGCTCTGCAAAAGATAAAGGAAAACGCAATAAAAGACTCAGCTATCAATATCTAGAAAATTAGCTCGGCTTCGTTACTCGTATGCAAAAAAACTCTGCAATCCAGTTCTATGATCTCGCTGTGCAGAATAGAGACCAGTGATCAATAGTCTTAGAATAGATAGTCAAGCTACAAATAACAAAAATGTAAAGGGTGGATGCTGTTGCGAGGGAGATTTCACCAGCAGTAATATCAGGAGAACTTATCATGTGACATAAAACTGATAATAGCGTGGAGTCTGTCTGATCATGTCCGTCCTTCTCTGTCTTTTTTCATATATCACTGGTGCTGGTTAGGGATTTCTGTGGGGTTGAACTACCCGTAGATGCCACGAGTTGTTCCGGGAGACCAGAAGGTTGAGCTGAATGCAGGTAGTCTGGTCGCCGTGCGGGACTGCTGGATGGATTCGATGGGCCGCCACTGGCACTGCGATTAGAAGAACATTCATAGAGATGCTGAGGGGCGAACGCAGTCATTGATTGAACTGATTCACGCGTTTGCTGTTTCAGACCTTGAATATGATGTGATGTCTCGGCAGGTGCTTAAAGTGTGGAGCATAGCCGTGCTAGCCATAATTGAGGATGATGCGGGTGCGCTTGTGGTTGAGAGTGAGTCGATTTCTCCGAAGGCCCCTGGCTTGCCTGCGGCAGCCTTTTCGGCAGGCGAAGCCATCGAGAAATCGCCGTAGCCGCTAGAAAGAGCTTCGCCACTGCCACCGCTACTGCTCACTTTGTCTTGCACCAAGTGCACGTGCTCTAATTGAACGCTTCGAGAGTCGTCCTCCCCCTCTGATCTTATTCTATTGCGGCCTCCTCCATTATCCTTTGGCGGTGAAGATGAAGCCCCCGCTCCACCACCAGGTGGACTACGCTGTTGTAGATTCGGCGTAGGTGCTGGCCGATGGTTTATTCCATGTCCATGAAGGTCTTCTCGTCTTCCACCTGAACTTGTCCTCCAATCCTGAGTTGGTATGATGGGTGAGGACGCAAGCGCTGGCGTCGTTTCATTGACGCGGTCGTCCGCGGGCCAGCCGCCGTAGCGCATCTCGTCCTCTTCATCTTCGTATCGCTGTTCTCCTAGTCTTTCGTCAGCAAAGAGATGACTATTTTTACTCTTGGTCGTCGTGTTTTCTGTACAACTACTAATATCGTCCAAATCCAGTTGCCTCTTGCCCGATCCCGCTATTTGTGGGAAACCGAAGACCAAATCTGCAGTGAGCAAAGCCACAGATATGAGCACAGTTAGGTATGAAAATCCGCGGAACAAGGCTGACATTAGAGCAGATCCACTGAGATATGTAAAAATCAGAGGGAATCTCTTTTATTCATGTACGTCTTAGCCAGCAATAGATACCAAAGCGAGCATGTGTGTTTTTTCCCCAATAGAATCGAGTGACGATCGCCCTAGTCAAGAACGAGTTCGTTGTAAACGTAACTGAATGACGTAACTGAATTTCTCCCCCGAAGGCAATATCGATCAAAAGGCCTCCAGTAATGGTGCCCAATCCGGTTCCGATTCCGGTAAACGCAGTTTGGACCCCTGTTTGCATACTGGCTTTAGTGCTCTCAGCAAAAGTCCGTCCTAGGTAAACGGTTATCGACAAATAGGGGAAAGCAAAACTGAAACCTGCGAAAGCTTCTGCGTAAAGGGCCTCGACAGGTCGTGTCAGGCTACCGTATCTGTCAAAAAATTGGGATAGCAAAATATTGTACACACGCCTTTACCTGATTATCATCTATCACGATAAATATAGTGGAAATTCTCTCTTGTCACGTTTAGGGCCGTCGAGTGCAACGAGCATCTATGCAAGAGAATACATGGAAGTACATGTAGAGTCGAATCCCATTTACGAGGAGCATCATGATTTGCGCCGTTGGGAGTGACACGCGGTCAACAAGAGACATGCCGGCGAGCCACACCGGAAGCTCGAAGAACATGCCAACTAGCCGGCACGCGCCCATAAAATCAACACCAGCGTTGAGTTCCGATAGCATTATGAATTCGTACGCGCCAATCACACCAAGTTGCATCGAAAATGAAAGTGTTCAGACTCAGGAAATGCATGGCGACCTCTTGTTCTAAAAACACGGATGAAATAACCAAGCACAGTTACATATTTTATACATCGACAGACACAAATTTTGTTGGAAATCTTGTTAGACATCTTCAAAAAATATCCATTTCCATAATTAAGTACGTCTAAAATAAAGATAAACACCCATGAAGGAAATAAGCTGGTATTTAACATAAACCCAAGACAACGAGTCCTGCAATCGTACGCGGGCAGCCTGGTGTACGCCAGATGAGCTTCGCTTTTTTTATGGCTTCGCTGCACCAATGACCCGACTGGGGTTGTTCAGGGGTGTCCGGCGTGACGTTCTCCACATATTTGTGCAGGGATGCCCAGTACACAGCTGCGAGACAAATATGAAGAAAAAGGATGGACTTTTAGTAAGTTCCACATATTCAATACGTCTTCATCGAAATGTGAAATATTTGTCGCTGCAGAAGCAGACAAGCAACGGGGAACAACACTGGGCAACATGTTGAGCATTCGCGGCCGTCAACGGCCCTCGAGATCAAGAAATGCGGGATTCAGCGCCGACTATTGCTCAAGAAAGACAAACATCTTCCATAAAAGCAAACTCCTGCAGTAACGACGAAAAGTTGGTCGACGCGGTGGTAAGGCGTCTCTTGTGAGGTTCCTGCGCTAACATAGAGGCCGGTGCACATTGCCAACACGCCAAAGCCGAAGTTTCCGAAACATCTCACTTGTCCAAACTTCGCCTTCTCACCGAATGCGTAGAGACACTGCGCATCGAGGACCGAGTTGCATCCTTTGAGACAAGGCGCGGTTATGGACGTGAGTAAAAGTAACAGGAGAAAGGAATTTGCGCACGGAACGTAGAGACCTTTTAAAACTCCCGTGGCTATCATGGTCGCTACCTGGAATGTTTAGATTGAAGATGTTCGTAAGGATTAAGTCGTACGCTACATACCAAACCTCAGCCTTGCAAATACAATCTCGATGGATCGATAAGGTTGCACAACACCGAATGGCTGTTGCTTTAGTAAAAACTACTTCCTTGGTGTACAAAATCAAAAGTTGCTGAAATCCATTAAGAGTAGAGGTGATATTGTACCAGTCCGTAGTTGTGACATTTGTATCGATCAAGGACGAAACCGTAAAGAGGCACGAGGATTATCGAAAACAAGATGTCCGCTGCTGCAAGACAGCCGACTTGTGTCGGACTGTAGCCATGTAAGTGCGTCCACAATGACACAAACGGGATGTAAGCTCCCAAAAGGCCGCCTTTCATGAACAACGCACCGGCAAGAATCGCCCTCTGGCCAACCGTCATGTCAGGTTTACTCAGGCTCGGGTCGTCTCGCGACGGCGAGTGTCGCCGATCGGACTCGACCGCCCGGTGCACTATCATGCCAGAAGACATACCTGAAATTGCAGCGCCGTAGCCCTCCAAACGCCCTCTCGATGAATTACTTGGACGCGCGACTGGCCCACGCATGATTCGTCACAAAGTATGTCGATGTGAGGGCGTAGCAGGCTCGTCTTTCTTCTTTCACATGCTTCCGCACATAAAAAAACAAAATTATCAGCTCGCTATTTTACTGCTGTGATTTTTCTCTATATTAACAACCGAGGGAAATAAGGTCCCAAAATCCCTACAAGAGTGAGTTGTAAAAGTAAAAGCCAACGAGAATGATCTCGAAAGCCGCGACAAGGTAAGTAAACGTGTCGGAAGAGATTTCCAGGTTTTGCGATTGCGACCTCTCGGCCGACTTTCAACATTATTTTCCCGTGTGCGTTCAGGGCCATCTTTCAGTGTTCTTTTCATTTTGGTTAGTCTTTTCGCAATATGTGTTGTTTGCTCGAGAAGGTCCGATCGAATCTTTCCACGAGGTCGATATAGTCCCGATGTAGATGTAGACAGACTGGCGCTTTTTGTACATTCTCTGAGGGGCAATCGATTCCTTACGAATAACCGCGATTCCAGAAACAGTCCCCGGACTCTTCAGCAAGAAATCTGTCGTGTAGTCATTGCGAATCGTCATGTGTGCGACAAAGATCGACAACAATGTCAGCGAGATTGCACCACTTCGGTCCATTTGTTTGCCTATGGTCTTGTTTGATAAATTGTCCTCTCCTAGGTGAGGCAGCCATATCCATGTTTAATAGACTCGATTTTCCATCATCATTATCATTGCTTCTTGACGGAGCGCTTGACTTCGGGCTTAGCGGAAGTATTTCAGTAACGTCGATAGGAATGTTCTTTCCGTTGGTGCATCCATGACTTCGAGTGTCAAGGTTAAGAGACGTGTCACACGAGTCCTGATCGCCATTTTCATACAGCGCTTGCTCTCGCCCAAGAAACGATGAGCAGCTCCCACTTTGATAAGACGAGTTGCATGCCAACCAGGAATTGTAAAGAGACGCAAGCAAAGGTTCATCTTTGCCTCCGGGTAGCGCATCGCGGGTATCTAAAGCGTCGTTCATCCGGTGGTCACCGTTCGCTATCTCGAAGTACCGTATGTCATCTGGATATCGTCGAGCTAATTCGTAGCTGCCACTCTTATCCACAACAGAATCCTCGGCTCCGTGCAACAACCACAGGAAGTTTTTGTTTTTCTCGGCAGAGGACCTCTCTAGTTCTAGCGTCTGCTGACTGTCACTAGTATTGTAACCTTCGACCCGTGTCGTGTCTGCTTTCCCAGCAGTTCCTTCCCCGATATTTTCTTTCGCAAATTCTACATTCTTCGCCTCTGCGGTCGATTCCGGTCGCAACTGCACAGGGAAGAGCGCGTCATTCGCCCAAGGCCATGGCTGGCGGACGAGCGACAATGTAGCGCTTAGCAGTGTTGTTGCGTAAGGGTAGGCATGCTCCAGTGGTCTTAATGCTGGAGCGATCAGCAACACACGGTCTGGCCGCACTAGCCCTCGTTCAAGAAGTTTCAAGGCAACTACTCCACCCCAGCTGATGCCGATCAACAGAAACTTCCGGTTTCTCGATCGTTCTGGCTCTGCTCCTGAGGGTACACGACTTGAGTCCTCTGCTGTTGGTACTGTTTCGCAAGAAATCGTCTCCGTTGCAGTCGTAATGCACCCTTCAAGTGCAGCTGTAATGTCTCCGCCATGCCGTACAATCGCGTTGCGCTCCCACGGGTTCCATACGGACATTTCCAAATTCACTGGTTCAGCGCCGAACAACCGTCGCAAATACCGACTTTTTCGTCCATTCGCGCCGCCTTCGAGCCCAGGTAGGAAGACAATCCGCCACTCGTTGCGGATGGCCTCGAGATCCGTGTAGTTGGCTGACATTCTGGCCAACTTGAGTCAGGCATCCCGATTTAGATCGCTCTTGAAACCAAACATCACGTCATGTCGGAAACCTCTCTCTCACTCATCATCATGCGCCGCCACTGCCCTACATTCCTAAGGACAACGATAATAGCTGGACAGGAGAGTTATGTTCTGGTATTGTTCACTGCTAGAAGATATTTTCATGATATGTTCGGGTATCCACTGCTAGAAAATTTTTTCATGTTGGAAAGGTTACTCGAAGTAAATTTGAAGAAGATGAACACCAGGCACATGTCTACAACAAAACACTGTATGAGTTACGGATGCATATTCCTTGAGTTTCGTTTCGGTCCAAAAGTGGAACAGGGGGACAGAAACATCAACGCTTCGTACAGCATAACTTCATCGTATACATAGAGGGTTTGGAAGCATGCGCATCTTCATGGTAAATTTTGTGTAGCTTTAGTTTCGTTTATTGTGTCAAAGAACTCGAGATAGAGCCTCCGTCCAATATCTCGAAGAGCATCTAGCCCTCCTTCATCGAGAACTAAAAAGCGAGCCTCCATGTTGTTTCGCTGAGTTACAGGTATATCTTTTCCAACAACCGACGAACGTGTTGACGTTGTTGCTGTCAATTCTTCCTTTTCCGCATCGCTGTCTTCCGCTGCGGCACCATATTTCAAGTCACAACTTCTGTGAGAGTGCTGCATTGAGCGAAAAAGCACTGCGACTTCAAAATCTGAATTATCAGCTGTGCCTTCAGGTAATGCGGCGATCATGTCAGTATCCTCGAGACTAGGAACTTTCGAGCCATGCTCCGAGAAATATTCGTCAAGTAATCGCCCGTCTTGCGCTGAGTCTGTGAATATCGCTGAGCTCTGGACACACAATGTGCTGCCTAAAGATGATCCCGCGTGGTCTAGAGTAAACCATAGGTTGCAAACGTCATGGTTATGGCGCTCAAGCATTTGTCGCAATTCGAGAATTAATGCCGCATAGCGATCGGGCTCTCGGGTTCGCAGCTTGCCGTAATAGTGTTGCTTTTCCTCGTTGACACTGCTATCTGCTTGATCATGGAAACGAACAGGTCTCTGGTGTGTTGAATACGTTGTAGTCGTTGCGATTTCATCTTCTCTGTTCTCAGCTGTCTTCTCCTCTGCACGCCGTAGCCACAGGGGTAGCCACGATAGAAGAAACTCTTCAATCACCTCTTCACCATTGTTGCAACGAATATCTTTACCGGACTGAAGTTTCGCCTCGTCTTTCCTCCCCCAGCTGGACATAGTAGTTGGATACTCAAATCTGTCAAAATCCGTGTGCCAATGTGCCAAATAAGTGCGGCGCCCATCTCCGATACCACGTGTGCGCCATGAAATAAAGAGGGCCTGGCGCTGAGGGGTTCTGCAAGGACCAACAGGATCTGTGTCGCAAAAATATTCCTTGTCGCTGCTTGATGCTGTCGTCGACGGGGTTTCGCTACTTCTCCTTGTGCTCGAGTCAGAAGATGCTCGTGGTGGACTTGAGACTTCGGTTTCCAGGTCTTGAGATTCTGATCCCCTGTCGTGGGTTTGCCCTAAAATATTGAGAGAACAGCCGCGTGATGTACCACGACTAATTCCAGCACTGACTAGATCAGCAGACTTAGTCGACAACGCTGCTTCCAGGTGCGCTTCCGCTGCGCGAAGGAGACCACGGGCTAAACGATCGTCGTTTCTGGAATGCAGGGGACTCAAGTTCATGCCTTCGGGAATGCGTTCACCGTTTTCAACCCGCTGTGCGAATTCTTGGCGCCTGCTACGAAACAGCGCTCGCATCGCCTCAATTTCGTCGCAGAGTGCGTCCGCAGTGGAATCGCCAAAGCCGCGCTCTAAACGGTAAATGCCAAGTCGCTCGATGTTCCCGCATGCCCATTGCAAGTATTGTGGAGGCGGTTGGGTGCTCGACTGCGAAGTAGATGACCGAGGTGGAGCAGTCCTGCGTGTGCAGTTCTTTCTTGCGGTACTACTAGAACTAGAAGCAAGAGGACGATCTTCACCTTCAGCTTTATCCAATTCCTGGTACGTCACTCTGTTGCGCTGCTGCTCTGCATCGTTCAAGAAAACGTTTGATGGTTCACCAACTTCAAGCTTTCCCTCTAGAGGCTCGTCTGTAAGTCGTTCCCGAGGAGCTGGACCGTTCCATTCCCTGAAGAAGGGGAGCTCACGAACCGACGTCCATCGGGTCTGACGCGATACAAGCGGGATTGCGCTTCCAGCTGTGTACGAGTAGAGTGTGTACGACGCATCTGCTTCCACACCCTTGACAACCGTTAGATCTTCAACCTTGGCCGGGAGACGGACATACGCAGGTCGAGCGTCTATGTTGGCGCTCATTTTATCTACTTACTTTACTTGGCTTCTTCTAGTGCACGCAAGCATGAAAATGAATCGATCATGGAAAATGAATGAAAATTTGCAAGCATGACATCTTCCATAATATTTCAACCCTTGTATAGCGAATCTCATGGGCGCGACCTGGAGTCGATAATTTGGAGAAACCTGTTTGGGATGAGCTTGTGGTATAGCTATGCCTCTATCGAGATCTTTTCAATACGATGCAGTAGAAAGGCCATTGATCATCCGAGATCCTCGCTCTGTGACTAGCAGATACGGAACTCGGAACAGGCGTCACAAGACTCGTTAAGATGAACTTTTATCGTAAACTGTTTGTGATTAGTTGTGATCAAGCAAAGACGACCACGAGTTGAGTAGATCGCCGAAAAGTATAAATTTCTCTGAGCCTTTTCAGTCTCCAGGGAGTCGAGTGGATTGAAAACAAAGTATGATCATGATCATCGGAAAAACAATGTTTGGCATTGTCCGCAAACGGCATGTCTGCGATTCCTTCGTAACTAGTGCACCTCTTACGGGTGCTTTTACGCGTACATTTCCCCAAGTCCAAAGTATTTACTTGCATGTTGATTCGCCATCCCGAAAAGAAATCGGATCTAAAGATTTCATGACATGTCTTTCGTGTTGAACTAGGAGCTTGTCGCTTCGACAAGTGATAATTATGTATGAATTAGCTGTAATGCTAAGAATGTCCATGTAATTGGTGTAAGAGCACGAATCACAGTAAGTATTCGTATCATGACCTGAAGCAAAGCCCATCCATGATTTTTGTTGGATTTTGAATGGTGCACGATGAAGAGCTTCCACGGTGACGGTGCTCGAGAGAAGTCATCGATACCAGTGGGCTAGTGATATACTGCAATATGGGAAAATTAGGCATAAGGGAATGGTTGGAAAATTGAATTCTTATGACACGACGAGTGAAACTATCTCACACGGTGTTTTATTACAATGACGTACTATGATCGAAAAGACTAAACGACCAGTTAACCTTAACGGCGTCGGCGCTCGGATTTACTACACAGATTTAGAATGCGTCAGTCAGAATTGATATGCGGCCTCGCTTGAAATTTTAAAACTCCGAGCGCAATGAATGGCATTAATGAAGTCAGCGATGTGGTAGATCGAGCTAAAAAGTGTACCAAGTAGAGAATCATAAGTACACGATCTGGATTACTTTTTGTGGATGTGATGCAGACGTTTCGTATTTTATTTTTACATATGGAGATTGATTCTCATTCTTGATCAAAAATTCAAAATTTTGCTGTCGCAGCAATAATGATTTTCCTGCAGCTATATATACACCTCCTCTCTTTCGTTTGGTACAATGCGACTGGAATCATCGGATCTAGAGGTAGGTGCCTGTCTAGTGCCCATGAGCTTCGATAAAAACACACCGCCGTTTCCTTCCGCATGAAGCGTAGTTGTTTTGGAGTGGTGCAGAGCCTCAACTTTTTCGACCTCGATATGGCTTTGGTGCAGGTCCTCTGCGGCGCGCACAGACAAGTCTACGATGATGACATTTTCTATGTTGACAACACAGAGCAACTCATCTACTATCTCTGGATCACCCCCCCTCGCATCCGAAACACTGTTGTCCGGGCAGGCGCTAATCGCCAGCCACGGCGCTCCAGCGGGTAGCTGCCACGCCAATGTCTCGATCGGCTCAACGCCGGCTCGCAGGTCGAGGATCAGATCTATTATTGAAGCGTTGTCATCTCGCAAACCTACGACATAACGTTTCCCGAGCACAGCAATGGAACGATATGGCCGATCCTCTACAGTCTCGAAGCGAGGAATCAGAGACACGGCAGTTGCTGGAGTACTAGGTGTACTATCTTGTTCCGGGTCTCTACTGTTGCTCGAGGAAGATGATAGTACGCGATAAACTGTCGCAACACCGGTTTCCGGATCAAGCCTAATTTGGTGCTCAGCATCAATTGCTGCAGCAAGTCCGCCACTGCGCAAAAACTGCATTTCGTACTCCTGTTTTTCGCCTCCTGAAACAAGTCGTGGAACGGCAAACCTTTCAAACTCCGGACAGGCCACCCTGCGATCGGCGGAAGATAGTGGAGTAAAATCTTGGCCCTCTTCGAGCACGACAAGAGGTCTCTCGCGCGTCATAGACACGTCGACGATTGGTGATCGCGATGCGCATGTGCGACTTACTTTCGCGAAGTCTTGGTCGGAGTCATCGCGCGATCTATCTTTCGAATCTGCTCCTAGTGCTCCTCTGAGACTGATCTCATGTACCTGAAACGTCTCCGACAAGTAGCACACGCTGATCTTATTTCCAAAGGTTGCTGTATGCTCCTGGAGGGACGAGCTTCTACTGCTGGCGCTAGAAGACCTAGTAAATTCTACTTGATTTTCGGCCTGTAAAATGGATGAAGACGCAGCTCCTGTGGCGGTGCAAGCAAAGCCATTCGGACGGAAAAATCCGCGACTATTTTTTCGTATGCGCAAACTCTGTCGCACACGGGTCTGGTAGAGGCGGTGTACCAACATGCTGCGAGAATGTTGTCCCGCAACTTCTTTGTCAGATGAAGTCGAAGACGGAGGATCTTGGTTCTCTTTCTCGCTCACTTTGAGGAGCATTTTGCAGCCTGCTGAGACGTAAGAAACGACCGGAGCAGCGTCTGGTGCAAACAACGACGATTTCGGTAAATTTGTAGCACTGCCGTTAGGTACTGAATCGGATTGTTCAGAAACAGCATTGTGTTCTCTGTGGTCGACGCGATCATCGAAAGCTGCGAGTTTGCTGGCTCGCAGATGATTCGTGTTTAATAAACCAGTGCCTGCTCTTCTGGCGTCGTACTCGTAGGAGTCTGCCGTGCTGCACGGTCGTAAAGCCTCATCCGAACTGCAGCACTGCTTCCACACATCACCAGCGAAGTCGCTCCATGTTGAGCTTGTCCTTTTCGAAGCGTGTTTTGTTTCCTCTCGAGGGTTGGCATCATCGCTTCCTTCTTCTAAGTCTGACACGTTGCTCCTCGGAAAGAATTCCTCAGCCTCCTCTCCGATCGCACCAGTGTGTGGATCTGATTGGCACAACACTTGGGTAAAACGTTTGGCATTGAAAGGCACACTTTGCCCTCGACTGCGGAAATAGAGCGTGGGGTCACGCCCGCCTGGCACGTTTCGTTTGAAGAGCATGATAGAGATTGACCATGTCAGTCCCACGGCCCAGACTGCCACAAGTACCACTGAACCTGCGAAAAATGTCTTCCAAGGCAGGAGACCCGGTGGGGCCCTCGCCATACTATCCGCGTCATCCTCTTCCTCCTCCTCGGCCGTCTGTGCTCTCTTCCGACGAAGCCACAACAGCGATCTGTTGACAACCGCTCCATCCTCGTCTAATATTTCTCCGCGGAGACCGTGGGATCGCTGCGTAGAATTGCCATCTCCTGCGCTCCGCTGTATTCCCGGTATCCGCAGATTTCCGCCGAATGATGCGCCGCTTTGAGGAGAGGGCTTTTGCGCTCCCGAACTAGCATGATCGGATCTACCGCTGCGCTCATCTCGGCCGGCGTCTTCGGCGGTGGTGTCATTCGACGCTCCTCCTGCACCGCCAAAGACATTCACGTCAACTGTGTGTGCGCGCGAGTACTGCGGTCGCTCCATTCCACCACCCGCTCTAGGTTGGTGCGTGTTCGATCGCATTAGGCGGCCAGAAGATGTTCCGCTAGACGACGCAGATCCGCCGCCACCTGAAGACTCTGACCGAGGTCGCTTCTCCTTTGAATGCGGAAAGGGGTGAAAGCTCACAGCGGCCAGCGGCCGGTTCGCGAAGGTCTTCATCGCGTCGCTTCCAACGCCCTCGCGACCTCCAAATCTTGTTTCCTGCGCAGGATTCTGCCGATCGCCTGGAGAATTGGTAGTGTGGCTCTTGCCATTGGCTTTGCTCTTTCCCGGTTTTGCAGAGCGGTTCCGACTGCGGGATGACGACTTGGTCGCTCCAGGGCCGCTTCCCGAGAACGCGCTACCGGAAGTTGCCTTGCTCGCGGCGCGGCTCCCTGGAAAACTCACATTTCCAGTTGCAGTTGACGACGGCGACGCAGTAGACGTGTCGGTGCCGTTATTTCCACCTCGAGCGGAAGTTGACTGATCCCCAACTTTACCCATGTTGAAAACTCCACCTCCCACATTTCCTCTTGCAGCGCTGCGACTTGCAGGAAAAGCATACTCCGAGATCGCACAGGGGACAGCGCTGGGACTTGCGGCTGAGGAATAGGCGAAGGCGCTGCACCCGTTCTTGGGAGAACATCCGGTCGCTAGATAACCGGACTCGACAGCTTTGCAGAGCTCTCCTACCAAGTCGACAAAATCCGTGACTAACCGCTCAAGGGAGAAGAGGTTCATTGCCACTGAGCCGTCCTTAGGTAGATCCCACTTCGTCGTTCGACTTTGCACATCGTAGTAGAACACAGCTGCCCCGAATCCCTCGTTCCACACGATCTCAAGCCACACGGGCTCCCCAGTGCTTGTGGACTGCGTCCCCGCAGACTTGTGTGGCTGGCGGTGGAGGAGATGGTTGAGGTGATTCTAACTCGTGTGCCAATTATAAGACTAAGAGTGAGAACGAAATTGAAATACTTGTACTTAGACAGAGTGCAGTAAGGAGTCGTAGTCATGAAATGTGTTTCCTGGTAGACAAACTCGGGTAACATTAGTGACTCCATGTAAAAAATAAGTACAACTTACCCCCGCAACAACGGCGCTACCGTTTGCGTCTGTTTCGAGCGTGGAGAGTCTCGCAGCTGCTTGCCGGACAGGGGACATTTCGCCGTCTTCTGTGTTGATTCGGAATGAGACCGAAGCGCCGTCGTCGTCGTCATCTCGTCGAGCGGCACGTGGAGACCCCGGCTGGGACGCGCACTGACAAATTTGATCTTGGAGACGGAGGCTGGCTTTCGAAAACTGGTCTCGCAGGAATTCGAGCTGCGCTCCTGCGGCGTGGTCTAGCTGTTCGTGCTCCAGTGCTTCCTCGTATAAGTCTAAGGGCCTTGCGATGTCTTTCTGTACGTCGCGGCAGTCCTTGATCATTTGTGCAATGCTCAAGTCCTCAAAATAGTCGCCATCAACCCAGTGATCTTTGCCGCCTGTAGTAGACAACTCTTTCTCGAGTAGCTGCTGATGGTTGGCGGCACTTCCAAACGCGCCGCTCTCTCCTGGCCTCAATAAAAGACTGCTCTGACCCGTAGGCGTACCGGTTGTGAGGCTGATGCGACTCGACCGCGCATGTACGCCACCCAAAGTACTGTCCGATGCGTTGCTAGTATTGTCGCCCTTGTCGTACCAGCCGAAGACGTCAAGGTAAAGCACGCTTCGAAACGTCGTGGGCAGTGCCACGTTGTCATCCGTAATCTGCGCTCGCGTGATCGTCAGAATAAAGATGATCCAAAGTAGGTGAGCAAGAAAGCCAAGAGGCACGACGACACGGTGAAAGTCGTGCCATTTATCATCCTCCAAGACCTTGAGCGTAGTACCGCTCGCCGCAAGTAGGGGGCCGACAAGAAGGAGCCAGCAAGCAATGTACGTTGCACGTCGATGCAGGTATAGATCCAATCTAGCCAAAAGAATGGAGGCACAAGTAAACACCGTTGCACAGCCATAAGCGACCATCGGAGCGTGGGCCTGTTGTACGAAGAGAATTGCCGTTGTTGTTGTTGTTGTTGTTCATCTTCTGGTAGAAAATGACAGCATTGGGTTTCTTTTATTATATATATAAATATATAACCAGTAAAAGATAATTAATAAACGAGAGATAAAAATATGTTGACGAGGAGCCAGTTCAAACTTCAAAGGGCAAGGCCTTCCCATTTGGGCAGCGAGACAACTTGAGCCAGATCAAAGGTCAGCGCGCAACTCTTTGCCAGTGCTTCCGTTTATCTAATACGTAGCAGCTTGCAGCGCGTAACTGCTTCACTTATGCCGCACCCCGTTACTCTTCGCATAGTTCGTAGTACCCTGGTAGGCCGTACGTCTATAATGTAGCGCGTAGAATTTGCAAGACCCTTCCGCCCTGCCCCGGCGTGTGTACACGCCGTGGGCACGTGGGCGGCAAAAATATGTTGACGAGGACCCATGTAAAGCAAGGAGGAAGGCAGTGACTAATGAGTAGTAGTACCTCGATGATAAGATAGCCCAACACGTAGTAAGTGAGTGCATGTAGCAGCTGATTTGTGCCCATGGACATCGCGACACGTGCGTATGCATCGTAGGACTGCCAGTTGGCCTGTAACTGACGATAGAGTCGCACATGCTCCAGCATTGTAACATGGTCTTTGTTGCGATACGTGGATCGACGTGCTCCAAGCGCGGGGTCAGACGTTTCCTCAGGCGACGAAGGTGCACCTGAGAGTGAGCAGTTACTGAGTTTCGTTGTTCAGCGATGGACTGCTGCGTCGGCATTTTGCGAATTTCATGGTACATTTCTATACTAGAACAGTTTATAAGGGTTCCCGACATGGCTGGGCTGGGCACGCTGGGCACACTGGGTCGCTGGGCGACCCAAATGTGCCAGATCTGCCGAATTTTGCGCCCAGCGTGACGCTGGGCGTCTCCAATTGCGGGGCGCCCTTCGGGCGCCCGCTTGAGAACCCCACCCGCAGTACTAGGCTAGCGTAGGCGAAGGCCAACGGCGCTGGCGGGTTTACCGCTGTGCACAAGAGCGGCGCAGCATCGCACGCATCGGGCAGCGCAGTGCAGCGCGACGCAGCGCAAGCCTGAACAGAGCAGGCGCCGCGCAGACCGCTACTGCGCGAACTGGCGCAGCACTGCGCCAGCGCTGCCCTGAACCTTGAGGGTGGCGCGCCGCCTTTGTTTGTCCTCACGGGACGCGCTGCACCGCGTCCCCGCGGCGCAAGTAAATCCATCGGCCGCGCAGGCTCGGCATGCCCAATGTGTGGCCCTTAAGTCCGCTAAGCGCTATTCAAGCGCCCGCCCAGCGTTGCCGCCCAGCGTGCCCCGCGTTGCCGCCCAGCGTGCCCCGCGTTGCCGCCCAGCGTGCCCAGCGAGGCCGCCCAGCCACCCAGCGTAGCCCAGCGTCTATAAACTACTCTACTATACAATAGTATACAAGAATTCGTTTGTGCTGTTGCGGCCGTCTAGCCCTTCGTCTTCGATAAATGAGGGCCTGTCATTAACATTGATTATCGCTGTTAATACCAACTGGAACTAGGTGGGAGTTGTGTTGTACGTTCGATGTGGTCGTGGCTCATTGTTTGATTGAGCTTTTCTGCTTGTTGTTTCCAAATAGGTACGCGGAGCATATCCCCAAGCTTCTTGCCTTCGTAGTCTGTCGCATAACCTCTTGCTGCGTCGATCTGACCGACACTTGGGACCGGCAAACGAACGAACTGCGTTAGAAGTCTGACACCGAAAGAGTGCGCAGCTATCGACGCGTGCATCGCCAGCCACACAGACATAAGAAGATAGAGAAATGCTCCGCTTATCGATATCAAATACCTGGTCGTGTTGTTGAGGGGCGAAGAGATAGTAGCTATAGTTTGACATTTACTCAAATAACTTCGTTGCATCATGTCAGGCCACTCTCACCATCACCGCTTAGGAATCGACACGTGGACCTCACAATATCGAAACATCATCAGACAGTGGCGTCGAAAAACAGAAATACAGCCACAGCATCCAGTCTGGATAGAGCGTCCCTTCTGTGCTTTCCAGCCGCCCTTCTGTATAAAGTGCAACGCAAAAGCCTAACTGCAGTGTGTTTACGATAAGATAGTTGTCCATTTTCGCGATAGTGAGCCCCACCAAGTCCCGCACATCTTCGCGATAAAGCTCGAATTGCTTTACGCGCATATCCTGACTCTGATATTCGCGTTTGATCCTTTGCTCCTGGTCGAACATGTAGTTTTTCCGATTATAGTTGAAGAGCGCGTGCGCGCCAGCGCCCAACGCTGCAATAACTTCCACCATCTTGTTCGCCCGTAGTTCCACTGGCTTTCCTTTTCACTCGCTTGCCTCCCAAATGACTCAATCGCTAGACAGGACACGAAAGTGTCCGCGGTCGCCCTAGCGAGGTGTCGATGCCATATACAGGTGGACCAAATCTCTCGTCCTCCCCATCAACATACTTAATCGTCTTGCTATCCTGCAACAAATATTCCAAATCTATCCACATGCACATGCAAGCAGCGGGAAACCACTACAATCGCGGTCCGCGAGGCCAGCACGAGTTCGACCCTCACATCTTCAAATCAACTGCAAAAACAACCAGTGAGTACATTGAGTTGGAGAGCTGAGCTGGTACTTCTTTATATTTCTCTGCTCATTATTAGCATCATTGAGTTTACGCGAAGCTCCACCGCAATCGACATCTTGAAGAAAAGAGTAGATGTTGGCAACATTGACGAATTAAATAAAAGTAAAACATGTAAAAGCTAGGGGATATTTTCGCTCGGCGCTTGCAGCTAACAGACTTTCTTGGTAAGCTGTCAGAAACACAACACGTCGAACAGCGCATAGAACTGTGATGTTAAGATCCGCACAGCACGCCGCAAAACAACCGAGGACTGCCTTGCGAGGGCAACTTTAGAGCGCTACGGTAACAAGGAGCACCCTCTTGTAGAACGTTCCTAGTCAACGCGAAATGGGATTTGTTCCCTTGTATCTTACCCGCCTGATCCGGATCGGGACTTTTTCTGAATTTCTATACACATCAGAAGTCACAGTCATCATCAGACATAGAAATATCGATCCCCTTCCTCAAGGTCGACTATCAGGAATGGCAATCAGCAAAGTTACGGTTACGCGTGGTGGCAGCAACTACACAATGTAAAAATCTTCAAACACAATCAATCATACCATAATATCAATCGAAAAGCGAAACGGGATCCGGAAACTACATTGCATACAGGTCGTTTGGAAACACGGATAAGTGAGCCTGATAGTGCTAGCGTAACTAACTATCGGAATATATCGCAAAGACTGTGACAAACTGAAACTCTAACTAAAAAATCTAAATTACCAAAAAAAAGCAATGGTTTGTCAGCCTCTGTATAGCTGTACAACTTTAACTAGTATAGGGGTCTTTTGTGACGATCTTGGAAAAGCTGTGACTATTTCTCGATCTCGTCTACGACTTTCAATTTAGGAGCAGTTCTAGTTGTTGTGGCACCTGCAGCGTGGTAGTGGTAATCAGAGGATGAAAATACAGAAAATTTTTTCCATTTCCGTATTGCCCACTTGTACCTCTCGAGCTTCGCAGCGCACAGCGCTGGAACAACAGCACTGATTTCTGCTGGTGTGCCTGCATCCACTAGGCGGCGCAGATGCAGTACGGCTATACTTGTCCTTATGGTGTCGAGTTCGATCTCATCAGCCAATTGCTCTAAAGTCATCGTCGGGGTGCCCACGAAACCGTACTTGGGCGTGGTCGTAGCACTTCTATTTAACGAGCTTGCCGGCGTCGAGATGGAGGATTTCTCATGTTCCTGCTCTTGCTTGCTTTCTTTTGCCTGAATACCGGTCTCGGTGGTGTTTGACATAGTGCCTTCCGTTTTGCTTTTAGATGCCGTTGTCGTTGCTGCAACAGGCCGTACAGCTTGGATAGTATTTCTGTTCCCTGAGGACGTCGACGCCGAAGCGGATAGGGCATCCAGTATCCGGGCTAGATGCAAATCCGAGACTCCAAGATGAGGTCCCCAGATGTAGTGCCTGCCGGAGATCAAAGAACGGGAAAGGTAACTGATCACGGTTATTCTTTTCAGATTCAATTCCTTTGCGACCTCGTCAAGAGTATATCCCTGTTGTAAGACTCGAAGCCACACTCTTTCCATCGCGTGTGTCAACTCTACGTGCAAGCTAATTGGCTTTCGCGATTTCACAGTCTCCTCCTCCTGGGCCGTGGACTTTAGCGGTGATGCTGCTGGTGGTGACCCTGAAGTCCTAGTATCAGCAGCGCCGAGTTTTCCGGTGTTGGATGATTCTTGCCATGTAGAAGAGCCGACCAGCTTGGTGACACCAAAAATTCGGGTCGGGACATAAACAAAAGCGTATTTTTGTGGATTCGTCCAAGGCACACACATGTGCCACTTTGGCGCTGTGTCCGCAGTCTTGGCTCCTTCAGAACTTCTTGTGCTTGCCGCGCTGGAAGCAATCGGGAGAGTGTCACTGGCGTTTGATTCAGCAGGTAAAGATGGAAACTCGACCATTTCATACTGCAAATTTGTCACCGGGTCTGTGTGTGCCTCGTCTGAAAAAAAACGCTGATCGACACTAGCGTCTGGTTTTGCGACAAGGTCCGCCGAAAGCGTGCGCTCGAAGCCAGTAGCATTCTTTCGCCTGAATTTTGAGCCCCGACTACTACTAGTGGATGATACGGACGTGCTTCCTTCGTCTCGAAAATTCAAAGGCGTTGCGCGTGCATCTCCTGCTTGCGTATCGACGCTTTTGCTTCGCACTCCTCCCGGATCCGGTAGCTCTACCCCATTTGTATCTGATGAGTTTTCATCTTGGCCAGATTCCTGTCCTCCGGTTACCAGGGCACTGTATTCCTTAGAAATAAGGCGTCCTGAAGCTATGGAAGACGTATCCGCCCAGTCTGGCGGAGCACACCGTCGACGTTTCCACGCAGGAAGATCGCTTTCATTCTCTTCAGCACCCACTGGCAGGGACGAATCCTCCTCCACGTTTTTTGTGTTTGCGGCAGATGAACTGACATGGTCGTCCTGACCACGAAGTGCTTTCTGAGTTGCTTTCTCTCTACTAGAAGTGGGTGAAGCAGCGAGTTCCTGCTTTTTTGTCCTCGCACGCTTACTCTTAGACTTAGATGCGAAACTAGATCTGGAAGGCCCAGGAGGGCCTGTGAGCACCGTTCCCCCGTCTTGCTCAATAAAATCTTTAGCCATTTTCCGTGTTTCCGGCGTTGAAATTCCAGACACAGGCGGCGCCTCTATCCGATCGCGCAAAAATTTGTCGAGCTCTTCTGCGATGGACACAGCCTCGCCGCTTAAAAGGTCGACTCTCCGTCGTCGCCTGGCTTTCTTCGCGATCTCTTCTGCTGCTTCTCTGTCGGACGAGTAATTGCTCGTCGCGGAGGATACCAATTGCTGTATTATATAGATGTTTGAATGACATTCACTGATGAGAAGCACCAGCAGAGAACGACGAACCAACAACGAAAATTCATGACGAAATAAGAAATAGTGGAATTTTCCATTGAAGTTTCTCTAGGTAACATACTAGGGATTTCGGAAAAACCAAATGACGTGGCGTTTTTCACGTTCAAGAATGAGCGATGAGCGAGAGCGACTCTAATTATAAGCAAATAATGATTATGATGATGCTGATGGGAACAAGACTAGACCTTAGGTTATAGAGTTCGCCCACTCTTGCGCTGAGACTGAGTCTTCTAATTTAAACTACGAGCCACACTTGGGTAGAGAGGAGAACACGAGGCAAGGGGGTTGGGATTGATGCTGATAGTTGGCAGCGCTTTGCTTTCGCTGATGAAGTATAACAATAACTAAGAAAGCGAGGGATGTAGTCAAAGCTCTGCGTCTGCGCCGGTTATGTTAAGACGCTGCCAGCCCGAAGCCCAGAGTCAGACAGTTCCCCGCGGCCTTCAAATTTCACAGAACACAAAACGCAGCCGCACGCCTGAGCCTGAAGGTACTGCCACACTGGTTCCCGTCAGTGCTTGCGCGTTTGGCTTCGTCCCTGCGGCGTTCCATGACATAACCACGCACAGACACAGAGACAAAGACAAGAAGAGCACCCTCCTCCTGTGGTGTGGGCTACCTATCAATATCCGAATGCGATCACGCAGCCAAGCTCACGCCGAGCATGTTGGAGGCTCCACCCCAAAGAAGAGCAAACGCCTGCCAGCGAGCCGAATGAGCAAGGCGGCGCCTGTGCCTCCCCCCGTCCCGCCGAAGCGGCTGGGCCACGCCTCCAGCCACCTTGCTACTTTTTCAACTTCAAAGCGCTGAATGCCCTGCGCCGCTCCCTTCTGGGGTCGCTCGCGTTCTGCGGCCGAAAGCAAAGCCGCGACCCACTGGCACTCAGAGCCGAACATTCTCAGAAAAGGGCGCCAGCATGGCAACAGACTGCAGCGAGCTCCACTGCGTCGGTGCTGGCGTATTCCGTCCACGCTTGCGGTTGCGCGTGGCATACGCAAAGCCGAGCGAATTGCGAAGGCATTGAGTGAGAGGCTCGCCCCGTGCATACTCGCGGCCGATAAGTCCTCTTTTTCTGTACGTTGCTCCCGTCCCCAGGCGTTTCTTCTGAAGCAGCTCGCCTTTGTCACTGTCCGCACGGAGGCAAAGCCACCTTTGGCCGCAGCGTAAATCTCCAACCCTGCAGTGCACGGCTCCAGTGGCCATCTAGCTTAGGGGCCTCTCTACACCTGGGCCCGCTGCTGGCTCGTGCGCGCCGTGAATTTTAGGGCTTCGCGACTATCTTGGCGAAGAGGTCGACGCCATAAGAGTGAGGCAGTAGCACTACCGCCAAGATGTCCGGGAGCCCTAACCGGTGCGCCAGTCTCAGGTTCTGCGGCAGATGAAGACCGTAGACAGCCAAACGCTGGCCCGGCTCGCTGCGTCGAGTTTCTGAACCAGAAACCCACTGCGCCCATAGCTCAAAGGCACTCCAGTGAGGCATTCGCTCGCGCACTTGCCAGCCAGGCCCGCCCAGGCGGCAGCGCGTTCTTTTTCTCCTGCGTGCAGCCGCATGGCGCGCGCGTTGGGTTGGGTCAGCTCCCATTCCTTCGGCGCCCTCTCGGTCTTAGCGACTTTCTACCCAGCCTGTTGAAACTCCGCCCCGCCTCCCTCCTCTCCCCCGGTGAGATGGCCTCCTCTGATGAATGTCCTCCGAAAAGCTGAAGGCGTGAGCGGCGACCCTCCGCGCAGCATGCTCCTGCTCCTGCAAGTTATGCCGGCCCTGCCCCTTGCTTGGCCTCTAACTTAAGTCAATAAGAAAAGACTGAGGTAAGTACATTGAGAGACGAAGCGGACACCCCAACTTTTGTTTCTCTAGCGTTCTCCTTCTCAGCATCTGGCGGGGCGGGTCTCTGATCTTCATCAACCGTTTCACTTTCCGCCACATTTTCTTGCTCACAATTCGGCGCAGTGTCGAAAAACGAACTTGGAAGCGTAACATCCAAGCACGTTGGCACCTCGAGACGCAACAGCGACGAGCCTGTCTCATTTCGCATAAATCGGTCGAGTTCACGTGTTCTCAATTCCGTCGCTTGAGCGCTTGGAAAACGCGGCCTAAACAAAATAACAGAGTTTTGCTCTTCACGTGCAGAGTGATTTGAAGACGACGCTTCACCTGATGAAGCAGACGAGGATCGGGACTGGGAACTCTTGCTGTTGTAAGGCGACGTACTACTTCTAGACAGGGGAGGAGTAGTAGCAGTACTACCACTACTGCTACCAGCAGACGAGGAGCTAGTAGTTGCCGGCGCATCTACTATCCGTCGTATCATGCCTATCAAATCGAAAGGTCTACTGGATGTCGACGACGGACCACTTCTACGTACTGCAGTGCGACGCAGTTGCTCACTTTCTGGCAAGTCTTCCATTTTCTCTAACGCCCAATAAGTACTCAAATGCGTTGCTGCGTCTGTTGCTGCGTAGTTTTGTTGCAAAGTTGTTAGTGGCCACCGCTCCCAATTGCCACATCGTATCTCTCTTGTCTTGTCGATGGAAATACGATAGAAATAACTGCACAACGACGCCAATGTGTAGTTCCGCATCTGAGATTGGAGTAAGGAATAGGGTGGCTAGACATCAAGGTATTGCACTAGGTTTCGCACAAGTGAAGAAGCCCGATGATATCGTCGTGAGACTCCATTATTTCGCAAAAGGACAAGAAGAGCCATTCACTCGAAATCGTGAAGTTCTTTGCGTACACACATATATAATTCACAAGGACCTCTTCAGCTCCCTCTTCGACTGGCTCCTTGCTGAGGCTAATCTTTCTTCGGGCTAGCTTCTCCGTATCTACCCAGGCAACTTTGTTCTCGGAAACCTCTATCTTATGCTCTTTCACGAGTCTACTGCAGTCGCCTTTGATATTCACGCCAACCTTCAGGATCTCATCGTCCTCCAGAATCTTGCGAAGTGCTGCGGGAAAACGCGAAAACTCCGACAAATGAAAGAGCTTCACCTGCTTATCAGAGTGAGAGTGTTACATGTAAATGGGTTCACAGCAGCTATAGCTCATGTTGTCATCCAGATTCACATTTGCTTGATCGATTACGATTGTCATCGTAGATGAGATTACAAGACAGACTAGTAGTCTTAGTATATAATGCTGTAACTTTAGTACAATGTAAACAGTTCCATCAAAGTTCTCGTACCCGAATCGGCCTCTGCAGCGATTCGTGTGCTCGCATGAGTGCAGGTGCCCAACTTGCACGTGCTCTCGGATTGGGTTTGGGAATCTCGTATGCCAGTTGTAATAAAGCCACGCGCTGAACTGCGTTTTTCTTGAAGGTCATGTTCCACTCCGCATCTATCCCGATTAAGCGCACTTTATCCTTCAGAATCCGCTCACAAACGCGATCCGCTTCGCTCTCTAAGTCGATATATTGCGTGTGGCCCAGGAATTGTAGATGCACAGGACCTTTGGAAACCGCCGTGGGGGACTTCCTGACTGATGGCGCAGTTGATGCAGATGAGGGCGTTGGTGCGTCAGCAGAAAGAGGCACTTTTCTTGACGGTGACGACTTAGTGTTCGTCAAGGGCACCAGTCTTCTTGGAGCAGTAGATATTTTCGTGGAGGACGTCGTGGATATTTGTTGTGTTCTTCTTGACGAAGCAGCTGGTGCTGCGGATCTTTTTATCATGGAACCATTGCTCATCACCTCCGACGTGCGCGACCGCGCTCGCATAACGCCAGCACGCGCTTCTGACGAAGACGAGCAAGATTTTTTCGAATTTATTGTAGCAGAGGGCTTGGTAATAGCTGACGTTTTACTTCCACTAGATGAGGTACTTGGAGGAGCTTTGGTCATTCTCGCAAGAGGCACGGAGGACTTTTTGCTACTTTTGGAAGGTGCGCATGCGGCGGCTGACGCGGTCGAAGCAAACCTCGTCTTCCCAGGAAGAAAAATAGGGAGGGAAGAGCTTCTCCTCCGATTGGAAATAGGTGGCGAGGACATGCCTGTTCTCCCCAGAGCACTAGCGTTCGCGCATGATGATTTGCATGCAAACGTCGACGTCGAGGCTTCACGAATATTCGAAAGCGACCGCTGGCTTATGCTCCTGTGTACATGAATCCTTAGTAGTATCGGCATCGGAAGAGGGCAGCCACGGTGCACGAGCGCTCTCGCTCCCGCCCGCCAGCGCCGCAGCGATCGGCGCAACATCTTTCGCAAGATGTCGCCTATGCTTGTGTAGTCTTCCCCGTCACTTCCGCTTTATGCCAAAAAGGAGGAGCATGTACGGAATAGCGAGCGACACTCTAGCGCTGTCCACGAATACTCTAAACATTTTTTTGTTATTTTGTAGCTTGTTATTGTTTGAAAAAGGTGATGATGCGATATCTTTTTCTCTTTTTCGATTCATAGTCCCGATATCAATCATGTCGTGTGCAGAGGCAGATGTTGAAGACTCAAGAAGCAGGATGTGCACGCCCAGTAACTTTCCCCAACACGCACAGGCACGAACACATGTTTGCTGTGACGTGCAAGCAAGAAGCAGCTTCCTTCGTTTCTGTTGGTTCTAGTTGGGTCTTTCTTCGGGAAACACAGCTGTGTTAACAAATCTACTCCTTGTTCATGACATCGACAACTAGTCCTCAGTGTCGTGCTGTCTTTTAGCTTGATCTGGAGTGGAAGTGTTGATGTCATTAACCTGAGTAAAGGTGTGCTGCTGTCCATCATCACATGCTCATAGATCTTTAGCTCTACTTTTCCGCCCAGTCTTTATCGTATTCGCCTGTGCGGAGATGCCTTCCCTACACAGGCCCTCTGGGACCACAATCATAGAATACAGGAGTTCGAGCGGCTCAGCGTCGGAGGCGATCGGCCCATGCTCGATGTTTGGCGGAACAAGCACAAAAGAATCCGGTCCTATCTCCACCTTTTCTCCATCGAGATTCATGTAACCATGGCCCTTCGTGATCAGGTAAATCTGCAGGATGTGCCGTTGTTTTAGGTGTTAAATGTATGGCCGAGGAGAAGGAGAAGATAATCAACTTTGTATACGGTCTCCAATCCAGTTGTTTGGTATATTTAGCTTCTTTCAACTTTGGGATTGAGTTTGTATGCATGCTCCTACAAATATTTCTGGTTACTCTTGAACGGGATGGAGGCATGGAGGCTATGTTACTACAAAAATGTGCTCAACGCTAATAAAAAATGAACAAGTAAACGATTCAAGTACCTCATAAGCGTCTTTGTGGACGTGCTTAGGGTTCCGTTGGCCAGCCGGCAGTGTGGATGCCGCGAACATGAGAACATTGGGAAGCTTGTTGTACCCGAGTAGGACTCTTTTCGTAATTGCTTCATTGTCCTTCATTGGTTTCGCCGTTGCGTTCTTCAAATGAAATGCCTCTACGTGCACGTCTCCACCAGTTTCATCTTCCACGGTAGATTCGGCGATGAAGTCAGTAACCGCCTGCCCGTCACGCGGCGCCACAGCGAGAATGAGGAGGCGCCACGGGGTTGCCGGCTGAGCATCAGGCAAGCCACGGTGACTCGCACGCGGTGGAAAATGTAACAATTGCCCGGCATTAGCTTTGTAAGCGACCTGCTTTTTGAGATGTTTCTCTAGTACGAGGGTACGGGTAGTCAGTACTGGATTATACATAATGAACATACAACGCAAATCGTCGTGGGCCTACAACGAACTTGCTAAAAAAAGCAAAGGTCCAGTGGATTGGTGAGCGCACAGGAATTGCTTAGTAAAATACAGTATTTTACTAAGTATTATTACTAGAGGCGCAGTGAAATTGTACAATAATTGCATCTTGGTAGATGCATACTATTACTTCCAACAGACAATGGACTGCAAAAGCACTTGGATGATTACCTAATATTCGAATCCAATCAATATATAAATTAGCACTTCCTTCTTCCCCTCCTCGTCCTCGCGCTCGTTGAAGAAACTGCCGCTGCCTTCCATCGTGTAGAAAGCCTCGAACAAATTCTCATGCTTGTGCGCAGGAAAGGAGTCCTCCAGAACCGTTACTGCGAGTTGCATAACGCCTGGAACCTCATTTTTCGAAAGAAGCACACGCTTTCTGTTCTTGTACGGTGGATGGTTCACCGTCTTGGTTTCCAACTGTTTCAGGTCCTTGATGAAACGTGGATGCCTTAGACACTGGCGCTCCATCGCGGACACTCCTGCACCTTCGTCTTCCGAAGTTGCAGACACGACTGAGCCTTCTTTTGCGTTATCATCCAGAGAGTCTGAGGAATCTCCGCTGCCCGTTGCGATAGCGAGGGACGATGAGCGGGTTACATCTGAGAAGCTGACAAAAAAAGCACCGCTGAGACCAGCGGAAAGACGTGGCAGAAACGTTGAAAGTCCCAACATTTTCTTTGTCGTTTTAATCTTTTAGTAATAGAACCGATACGTTTACGTTGCTTAACGATGTATGAATGAAATCATATTTACATAGCAAGTAGTAAACCGACAACCGTGCGTCTTTAGTCAGAATCATGATTATCTTGAAGAGGAAGGCCACGTCAAAAAAGATGCATTTGGATCATTAGAGACCACAGTCAAGACTCTGCTCTCACCCTCGTTAAGTTGATGCCAATACGAAAAGGAAAAAGTTCCTCTCTCCTTGCAGGTTTTATTTGTGCGACAAAATCGACACATGCTGGAAACGTAATAGCGGTGACGCTTCCCAGGCTTTTCTTGTCCTGTGGCGCTGCCATCAAACCGGAAATAAATACTTTTCATTTTCTCATCTATATTTTACGAAAAAGAGTAGCCCTAAATTGTCTCTGTGGATGGTGAAGGAAGTTCCGTCCCATTTTGCATGTTGAAAGAAATATTGCAGCATGTAGTCCCCAAATTACCTCATCGCATATGTAAACCCCACGCGCATTTTACTGCATTTCTCGTTTTCTCTTTGAAAGCCCTTATCCACCAAAGTACTTACTTAAGTAGCAGGAGATCTAGTGGCTATGAAGACAGAAAATACAAATCGAAATCACTACGAAGACATAAAAACCAGAATACTTACATGAAAACTAACAGCACGCACAAGTACGCACTATAGACATAAGTCCGTCTCATTCATCACAGGCTAAAATAGCCTTTCGGGGATGAAACCTCCCCACGCACTTACAAACTACTCAACATTCTTGCTGCTTCCTCTGAGGTCGCTTCTTCCAAAAAAGATCTATATCTATTTTCAAGGAGATTATTATTGATAAATCTAGAAATCACACGAAATGTTCTATCGACATCAGCATCATATACAAACATAACGAACCACGGCAGAAAACCGTATTATCACATTAACACGACGTGACGTGTAAGAACTTCTTCCACAAGGCAAGAAGCAGCATGAGGTTGAGACTTCGGATGTCGAGATCCTTCTTTATTCTCAACTGCAAATGACTTAATAAAACTGCATCAGTGTTGCGGTGATCTGATCACGTCCTCCAAAATTTTACTTATTTACAAGTTAGTGTTTAGCATGTCGGAGCGAGAGACGAGGACCATCTTTTATTAGCGCTTTACTTCGAAATCGAAAATCACGTTGTACATAAAAGTCAATGTGAAGAGATAGAAAGAGAGTCAGTATAGTGAGTACGTATTTGAATAGCTTTTTTATGTTCTGAGGTCATGTACTTGTACGTCCACGTAACATGCCTTAGAAGAAGTTGTATTTACATGTCTTGTATTCACTTTGCCTTCATTCTTGCAAAGGCGTCGACCTCTGATCCTATTATTTACATTCTAACGTATGTAGTTGTTGATCATATTTTTGCGTGAAGAGAGGCGCAATTCCCTGATCGATAACGATATCCGGTGGCACCTGTTCAAGAGTTGTCGCCCGATCGAAGATGCCTTGGCACTGCGTTTTCGTTTACAGTTTCTTTCACAGGGTGTCTACGCTCTAGTTATATCCTCGCCTGTCGCGGTGTTTGCTGCCACGACTATCTTTACTGCCGCGGCGGTCGCGATGTTTGCTGCCGCGCCCACCTCCACCTGGAATGTGAGATTGTGATACACAGTTTGTGGACAAGTACTAATCGATAGAGTTTTCACAGATTGATCATGCACTGTCGTAGTCGCGAGTCAGTAGGTCTAGGTCTGCAGTAGAATTACAATACATAAATGAGTCTCACTTCTGCTTTTCATCTCGTAGAGACAGAAAGCATCAATGGATACAGGTGTACCTCGTGATCTTGAAGAGCGGCTGCGATGTCTGCGACGATCTCTTCCTCGCCTCGATTCACCGCACATGCCACCTGCATTGTCGTAGTAGTTGTCGTTATGATATGGATTATTGCTGGGGTAGTTAGTTCCACCGCCTTCGCCGCTGCGACTACCGCCACGACTTCGGCTCTGTGGTCGACCTAGGTTTCCAGGGAAGGAGTCGGTATTCGAGGCTGAAAACGCTGGCTGCTTTTCTGGCACGACAGCTGGTTGTGGTTGATTGCTAGTGATGTAATCATCGTCATCCACATCGACGTCTCCTCCAGATGATGTTTTCATCTCTGCACTCGCACTTGGTCCCGCCGCCACTGAGTAATTCATGCCTTGTTGGACTGGGTCGTAGTTTTTATCTCCTTTCCCATGACCGTGCATCGACGTTCCACCAGAAGCCCCTATTGGTTGCATGTTGGCGTTAAACTTCGCATGAGGCACTTTGCCCGGCCCTTTAATTCCGGAGAGGTCCGGTGGTCCATAGCCCGGCTTTGCCCCGTCTTTTCCACCACCCAGAGACCATCGTTGTGGGCCTTCTTTAGTGCCTCCACCGAAGGAGAAGCGGCCTTTCTTTCCGTGTGGTCCTGGTGCCGGAGCTCCATATCCACTCTTCGCTCCGCCAAACGCGTCCTTGCCGGTTGCGAAACCGCCTCCAGGCATCATCGTCGGCGCCGCTGGTGCGCTTGGGTGCATGCTAGGATATCCCGTGTTGTATGCTCCACCTCCGGGAGCGGTATTTTGGAAGGTGGCATGCGGCGGAGCACCAGGTGGACCCATCATATTCATGCCGCCACCCATCATGAAGTCATTCGAAAATGGAGGTGGTACCGGATAGTTGCTCCCGGCTTTACCCACTTGCATCGGGGGTCCTCCGGGTGGTAGTCCGCACGAAGATGGAAAACCGTTCGGGTCCAGCATGGGAATCACTCCACTGCCTTTGCCATCGCCGGGGCTCCCAGTATCCCAGCCTCCTCCGCTCCCACCCTTGTTCATGGGATCACCATCGTTTAGCGAATCGCCCTTGACGCCATTAATGTTCGCACGTTCGGCTCCAGGTGGATAAGAACCGTAGTTCTGACCTCTGGTACTGCCGTCGCCACCTGCCAACGCAAAGTCGATCGTATTTAGAATAGCTGCGTTCTTCTCGACGCGATCCGGTGACATTTTCGCGTCTTGAAACATCGCGGTCTCGGCTGTTGCACCTCCGCTCTGGTGTGAAGATGCTTCGTGTTTCGCGCTATTGAGCGGAGGAGAAGATATGCATGCCGCATTCGCGGTGTCTTGATTGAAGCGACTCTCTGTAGTTCCGCTGCCTCCACCTATCACCGTCGCTGAAGTATGTACGTTGTCGCTCATCACGCCACCTTCTTTTTTAGGCGCGCTCGAGCGGTAGACCGCTCCCCCTGTCAGGTCCTCAAGGTCGAGGTTGGGACTTCCTCCTGATAAACTGCCGCCACCGCCGGACGTGCTGCAGTTTGGAGATGCTGATATGTTGCTATTCGTGCCGTGCACTCCTCCACCGGCGGGAGCGCCCGCACCTCCTCCACAGGAAGAGCCGGAAGAGTGGCCGGTGAGGCTTTCGTAGTTCATCATGGATCCGTGTGGTGCTCTGGATGGTCCGGTTGCAGCTCCCTCACCGGGGTGCGTCTGATTTGGGCTGTTCAGCATGGACATGCCAGGAACGTTGGATTGATGTCCGCCGTCAGTACAAAGTGGCTCTCCACTTGGTGGCCCAGGAGCGCCTTTTCCAACTAAAGGATTGTGTATCACTGGCGGGGAGCCCAGTGGTTGCAGGTTCGGATTCGACGATACACAAGGAGCGTTTTTTCCACCAACGGCTTTCCCGCCCTTAAACGGCGCAGCTTCGCCACCCTTGAGTGCGCCACCTTTCATATTCTTGTCGCTGCTTTGCACAAAGTTCGGCGGTGGATTTCCGTAACCACTGATGTGGGGTGGGCCTGTGGGAGCAGGAGTACTTCGTCCAAAGTGGCTGTAGTTGTTGAAGGCTTGCGGCTGCGGAGGCCCGCTATTGAAATGACTGTGGTGCCCAGGGCCGCCTTTCGTGGAGCCTGGGCCCTTCTCGGGTGGCGCAGTTGTACCAGGAAAGTGTGGTCCTCGAGTACCTCCATGGTGGCGAGCGCCCGGTCCTCCCATCGAGTGCGCTTCGCCTTGCGGATCGCCTTTGTTAGCTGCAAAGGGCGAAGTTGAGTCTTTGCCGCCCGAGCCGGGTCCACTAGTCGGATGTGTCTCAGAAATTGACTTAGCAGCCGATGACTCTGTGACGAAAGCAGGCGCCGCACGTGCGCCTGCATGGTTAGCGGGACTGTTGCCTTTCGAAGTCAGGCTGTTGCTGGGATGAAAGCGTGACGTCGTCGTAGCTTCCTGATGCCCTCTGTCGCCGCCTGTCTGTTCAGCAACGTCGCTTGGTTTGGATCCCGAGTCATGCCGAGATACACCTGGATGCTGGTCACGCGGCTGGTCACGCGGGGCATAGTGGTCCTTGCCGGTCGAACCATCCGCGCCGTGTCCCTGCTTCGAAGAAGACGCACTACCTTTGGAATTATGTTCCCCAAACGAGGTCTTGTACTGATCATGGTGATTCGCGTTGTACCGACTGTGATAGCTATTGTCACTCCTATCACCATGCTTTCCGCCACTGCCGTACTTGCTGTACGTTGGGCGGTTCCCGCCAACGGTCGGTGGATGGCTGTCCCTCTCGCCTTTCTCGTGCTTACCACCCTTCTGATAGTGATCCTTACTATGGTATCTATTTTTGCCGTGATATGACGAAGGTCCACCTGAAGACGAGTAATGCGGGTCTCCACGACTGTAGTGATAATCTTTTCCGTACGATCCACTTTTTGAGGACGACCCGGAATCCTTGTATCCGCCACGCGGACCCCAGGACTTGGACCCGACCTTAGTTGTAGCATACGGACCAGCAGCACTTCTTCCATGATCATAGTCGCCAGATGGGTACGATCTAAGTGTGTGATCCCTCGTAGTGCTGGAACTGTGGTGGTCCTTGCCACCTCTTTCAGACGGCGAAGGCCGAATAAATTTTGACGACGCTCCTCCTGGAGCTCCCTGTGTCGTTAGAATTTCGTCGAGCCACGCGGTCATGTTATTCGATCCATTGCCGGATCTGTCGCTTAGACCGCTTGTGGCACCTCGTCTACCCTGATCGCCGTTTTTGCCTGCGTGAAACGCTGCGCCTTTTTGATAAGGAGGCCGCTCGATTTCGCGGGAGTTGGCGCGGCCCTCTCGGGTTTCAGTTACGCCCGCAGTTGCATCCAATCCTCCAAGCAGGCTGTCGAGAGCGAAAGCGGCTGCTTGTTGGTGAGCCAGCCCGACTGCTGCTTGCTCGAGTGCAAGCCGGTTGCTATGATCTTGCACAGAGGCCGATCGAACGTTGCGGCCACCCTGCGGCCCGTGGTCATCGGTCTTGTTCATGTGGCTCGTCGTATCTGTCCCAAAGAGACTGCTCAGCGCCTCCGCAACCAAAGGATCCTCGCCGGCGCCAAGGAAGGACCCCTTTGGCTTCGCGCCGTTGCCTCCCAACGGTCCGAGTGCAGGCGATATCTGCGGCGACGCAGCTGCTTGGTTTTGAAGCAGCACATTCGCAGCCAGAGTGGCTGCAGCGTTTGCCACCACTGCTTGTGGCTGCACAACCGCGCTAGCTGCCTCGTCAAGCAGCAAGCTCGCTGCAGAAATGTTCCTCGCGGACACACCGGTGGGAACTAGAGAGGGTGACGATGCGAGTGAAGATGAGATGGAACTGGAGATCGAGCTAGACAGCGCATGGTCAGCGGGTCCTGGGGGAAATCCACCGAGCAACGTTGCTGCAGACATTGACTGCTGATGACGCTGTGCCGGTCTTGCACCGAGCATGACATCCAACGCGTCAAACAGAATGTTTCCACTAGCGGCTGCACCAGCACAGGATGGCTGACCAACAGCACCACCGCTTGCGTCGGCAGAAATAATGGCAGGTCCTCCTACTCCTGGAACGGCGATGGCGCCACTTATGTGATGATTGGCGTCTCCAGGCGTCGTGGAGGAAAAGCCGCCGCGAGCAGAATCGCCACCACCACGACGCCCTGTGGTTGATTCGTCACCGGAAGAGCATGGGCTGGAGCTGTGAAGCGAGGGAGAAGCGACAGGCTTGCATTTCGGCGGTGCTGCCCACATTCGGCTCTTCGGATCCACTGCGGGCTCCTGACGTGGGCGGTTGTTGAATCCCGCTGGTGGGGCGCCGGATGGTGGTTGCCCTCGCATGCTGCCTGGCGTCGTGCTTCCGCCATGGCCTGATTGACTGTGATGATGTTGTAGTGCAGATCCAGTGCCGTTGTTGCCAGCACGATTATTCGTGTTGGTGCCACTACCGGAACCTCTGCTGTTTCTTGTCGTTCCAGAAAAGCGCGCTCCACTTGCTCCTCCTCCTGACCTACTGTTGTAATTATTACTGCCACCACGATTATTGTTATTGTTGTAATTATTTCCGCGTGATCTCCGCCTTCTAGTGCTGCCGCCCCGACCACTTCGAGACCCGCATTGCTGGTCTATTTCATCGACCGAACTGCAACTGCTGAGACTCTGAATGTGATTCTTCACCAGCCGTGAGGAGCCCTGAGGACCGCGACGACCACCACCAGCGTGGGAAGGCGACTGCCCGCCGCCTCTGCGGCGTCCGGAATGCGCTTGTTCTCCAACATGTGGCGAGTCGCGACTACTCGCAGAAGACGTCGTAGTGCGATCGCCCATAACTAATGGGTGAAGAGGACCCCCTTGCTGAAGTTGGTGGTTCCTATTTTGTTGAACACCCGCGGGAGGTCCCGAGGCAACTGGTGCTGGAACGCCTTTTCCTGCCTGGTTAAACGGTGCAGGTCCACCTCCCGGTCGCGTCGTGCTGACGCCACCAGTATTTCCGCCTCCTGCGGGTGAGCCGGTCGTAGCTTTTCCCCGTTCGACATTCAGACCCGCCATCGCGAGAATGGTATCGAGATCACTATGCGACGGTCGCTGCGAAACTGACGCCGCGTCCACCTTGCGGTCGCTGCCTTGCACTTGAGTCTGCGTCACATCTGCTCCCACGCCCGCCACGATTCTGCTGGGTCGATTACTATCAAGATTTGGATTTGTTCCATTGATTAAATTGCCCTTGCTACCGGTTGTTCCGTCCGCAACTGCAGCAGCATTACCGCTTCTGCTGCTGCCTGCCGGTTGTTCTTCGCTTACCAGACTGAGCAGTGAGCTCCAATTTTCATCATTCGCGAGTGCCCGTTGGCGAGATACGTCAAGATAATTCGGGTATCGCACTTTTCCTTCCAGAAGAAAAGCCTGCAAGTCATTGCCGTCAATGCTAGCCGTCACGACGCGACGGAGAAAATCTCGGCCCCGTACTTCCTGCCAGCCGTCTTGGGGATCTACGTACGAAACGTAGACCTCCTGTGGGCCGCTCGCCTGAAATTCTTGATGGAAGATGCCGCTGCGTTTCACGGCATTAATAGAATTGAAATTTCTCCTGTGAAGCTGACAACATCAAGAAGAAGTGCGGAGTATAAAAATATTTCTTGCAGCACGTAAAATCGATGCTATTTTTGGCGCGCTTGTCAATGAAGAAAGTTTTGGAGTTTCGTAACTAAAAATAATTCTGAGTATGTTGTGTTCGCAGTTGTACCTTTGCAGAGGCTTTTTTCGAAAACGACACATCGAAAGGACCGAATTTGTGGGCGCCATGCGGTGACCGGTTGAACGGCAGTGGGAGCGGCCAGTCGCCCAAGAGCTGCTCAAACATGTCAGCTTCGTGAATCTGATGTTCAGAGGTAATGGAAAGATTTGTTAACCATTTCTGCTGAATGAAAGACTCCGACTAAACTCGCTTGGGATTGCTTTTACTGAATCTTTATCTTACGCGCGCTGGTTGGGTGAAGTAGTCCTCTAGAAGTGAATAAACACTGGAATATGATTGAAGTCAAAGATAATGGTACGTCCTGGCTAGCCGCTGGCTGATCCGTAGAAAGATCGAGCTTTACAAGGTGGTGGCAGACTAGGACTTTTTGTGCACCAACCGCCTGAAGGATCTCTGCAAGTGTTTGCGCAGTGACTATGCATACTGGAAGTGGAAAGCCAAAAAGCTGCACGATCGCCGCACGCAAGTCTGGTTGGTGCAACGACCGCCAGCAATCCGGCTGCACTGCTGCTTTCAAGACCGCCTTGGGCTCAGTCGCCTCGTCTTGCACATCGGGAATATTGCTACCACCTGCAAGAAGGAAGAGGTTGCTGGGTGGGAGAGTCTCAACATGCGTGAAATGAGAGACACAGAAAACCTGAATACTGTAACTACAGCTGCACGATCTTCTCCTTTGTTTTTTATGTTTCGAAAAAGAGCCACACGCACAGCATTGGGATACACGTCAGCGAAGGTTTTTTTCTTGAAGTTGTGGATTGCATGGCATGGATGACAAGCATGGCATAGATGGACCATCCCAAAAACATTAAACTCAAATCTTTTTTAGGCGCCCTTGGGGCGCCATAATTTGCCCGCAGTACCGGCGTGCCTCGCTGAAGAATTGCGCAACGATACAACGAACACAAACACAAGCGCAACCCAATACCCCACTGCGACCTCGCCCCAGAGCCAGACACAAGCAAGGAGGAGCGCAAGCGCCGTGGCCTGTGTGCGCAAGAGACAAGTGAGTAAGAGAGTCAGGACCCCGGGCAAGCCAGTCGAGTCATTTAGATAACGCAGGCCAGTCGTCAGCAGCTTACATACGTAGTACAGAAATAGTACGCATCAGCATACATAGTATTACACTCATACTAAAGGCTAGCAGAAGCTACGTCGTAATGCACTTGATCCGCAAGAGCTAGTTAGAGGCACATCTTAAGATAAGCCTAAAGTCCCCGACTCTCACTTGAAAAAAAGCGCGGACAAGCTCCAGGCGCTCGGCGTGCTTCAGCCGCACTGAGGGCGGGGAGTGGCTAAGGAAGGAGGGCTGCGCCTGGACGAATGCAAGAAGCAACTCATTACAAACAAACGCCGCGAAGCCTCCACAACAACAGCAGAGAACAACCCGCAGCAAGAGCCTCTAGATCGCGCCATCAGTCTTCGCCCTCGTTTCGCTCCCTTAAGAGAGTCCCGCTCTGACCCCCTTCGACTCATGGAATGCATGCCATGCATTGCCATCCATGCAATCCAGCATCCTCCATGCAGTCGTTATATAATAAATTACAATACATGAGTGCTGACATCGACCTCGACGAGGGCAGTCCTTCAAAATCAAAATACTCTGCGTTTTGTTGTATCGTCTCTGGTTATCCGCATGGGAAGGGAGACCGAATGATCGCACTGAGTGAAAAATGCGCTCGAGACCATCGTTTAAGCCTTTCGATTCGTCCGGATTGGCATATTTCTCAAGGCACAGTCGTCTCAATTCCTTGTTTTTTGTCTGCCGTGAGTTCCGCAGCCAGTCCATCATCCGTTCTCCCATTCCGTTCACAAAAAAGAATTTTTCTCGCAATTTCCCTGACCTCTCATGCAGGCCTGCTACGAGCTTACGCAAGTTCTCTGTGGAAGTGATGAATGAAGTCTCCTTAGGTGACTTAATAGGATCACGAGTGCAGTTTCGCGTGACGAATTTAGTATGAAAGACAAGTGTACGTTCGATGATGATTTTTTGTCAGTAGGCTCGAGCTCTTTTGTCAGTAGGCTCGTGCGGGATAGGGATTACCGAATCAAATTATCTCTAAGTAACGTGACTATAATCTCTGTCAACAGGATTCTCATTCTTATCAAGTACCTGGAATGAGATCGGGATCTGCTGCCACGTCCGATACGGCGTCTTCCATGGTATGCACTAGGCCGTCAACATATTCGAGGACGACGGCGAGATGAAGTAGGAAAGTTTCCTTTGCCGGACGGCATGCATTGAGGACCGTAAAATGGAACATCCCTGAGCATAATACTCCGAAGACACCCTCTGCTAGCTCTCGCAGTGACGTTTCTCTAAGCAACACGCGCGGATCGTCGAGCTGCAAGTAGATGGGTGATTGTCGATAATGGAGAATCCCCAATAACGTAACATTTATCTATTGATGATACGGGCAGAAGCAAATTAAGTAAATCTTGTAATTACTTAGAAAGCACGATAGACATAGAGTTTTCAGAGTCGTCATAATCTCATGTATTGAGGTTGACCTTTACACCAGCATCATAATGACAACGGCATAACACAAAGTACCTGAAAGAGATCGTCGCATGCGTACAGAAACTGGTAAACTTTTTGATTGATAGTGCACCACTTGACGCGTGATTTTGCACTTTCTAGAAAGATCGCAACCTCTCGTTGCGCCGACTTCCAAACTCGCTGCCTCTCTTGGTCGATCCAGAAGTCCAACTTCTGCGTCACCCGAGCAAGAAATTCCGACTGGTAGGATTATTAAGGTTCTTCTTGATGATGATCGATGAGACTCCTCACTCAGTCTGAGAAATGAAAATCAACATTTACATTGAGAATCATCATTTTGACAGTATGTGTATGTATGAAGATGGTAATGATTAAGGAAAATAGCTACTAAGAACGTATCTATATAGATGTTGTACCGCATATTCTGCAATCTTCGGGAAACACTGGAGGAGCCACTGCTGATCCGCAAAGAGATCTGCTCTTGCGAGCAAAGCGTCGTAAAAATTTCGCTCAGCGGTAGCAAATTTTATGAAGACTTTTGGAATGTCGGCATTTTTCGCACCTCTTTGCGATAGCTTAGAACAGAAGTAGGCATAGAGGCAGTGCTAGTTCAGTAGTAAGTGTAAGTAGGTATGAAAAACAAGAACATCCAGTGATAGATAATGTCAGCCAGGCCGGGATGAGTGATCATCATGATCCGAGAGCTCACTACAAGCCATTAGTTTTGTGGCTGTACAACATTTTTGCAGCACCATAATTGACGCAACGGGAACCGCCACCGTGCCGTCGGCTCCAAGGTGCTCGTAGAGTTTTGCTAGAATTTCGGCGCACCTTGGCACGTCAATTCCCTGACTAAAATCGGTCATACCGCAGCTACTAGAACTTTGAAGAGAAGTCTCGTGCTGGTCGGATGCATCCTTATCGATCTTTTTCCTTCGCTTACGCGCAGGCGATGCAACAGTATCTCCCTTGTACTCAGCTTTTCCTGATTCCCAGGCAAGAGTTTTGTCTGCGGCTTCTCCTTCTGCGAACGAAGGAGACTGGATTTCCACATCGTCACTTTGATCCACGGAACTTGTGGTCCTGAGGGTCAGTGGCAGTGCCTGCTCGAGTACCCAGCGTTTGATCGCATCTAGCTCGCGCACTAAGCCAAGTACGTCGTCGTTCGCTGCTCTGGCGGTGCGAAAGGACTGAGTCGCAGGTGTAGATGACGAAGACGCTGGTCCTGCTCCCGTCACTAGTCGCTGAGATTGCGCATTTTCTCGCTCGCTTGGCACTGCTGCGGGCGGACGATGCTGTCCGGCTTCTGTGCCAAGAACTTTTCCGTTTACCTCAATAGCACCTTTTTGCGCCTTAGTCTGCTCAATGGCGGTGGCAGTTCCTGTGGTCGTGGTGTCCACTGTGGTCCCTTGTTGTTCGCTCGCCTGTGGTCCGACTTGCGTTTGTTCCGAAGCTACTTGTGCCTGGTGGTTCTCCTGCCACGTTGCATTTGCATGCTGCTCCGCTGTAGCAGTCGTAACTTCGTCGTTTGCATGATGAAAGCCACTTGCTGGTTGCTGTGTTTCATCCATACCGTGGACTTGATTAAGCACCTTGTCATTATGGAGTTGTCCGTGTGACTCTCCAGGTTGACCGTCTCCTCCAACACCGTGACTTGCTGGAGGACCGGCGCTACTTACAATATCATGTGGGCGGTGCTCGGTAAAAGCATTGTGTGCCTCTTGCTCCGCACCTCCCAGGACAGTTCTGTCGCGGTCCTGTTCCTTTTCTGCTGATTCGTCTGTTTTGCATTCTGGAGATATGAGCCTGGCGTCAACGCTCTTCGTCGAATCTAGATGGAGCTCATCCCGGAGCTGGTTTGCCCTTCTGCACATTGGAGTGTCCTCAAAGGAATCTGTTGCGCCCTCATCACGTGGTTTGGCTGTGCTCTTTTCCACCGTTTCGATCACGGACACGCTCGCCTGATGGAGATGACAATGAGCAGGAGTGTGATACCTTAATAACATAAGTTGTAGTTCTTGTGACCACAAATAATTCAATCCGCTACAAAACCCTTCAGCAAGCGTAAGTACGCGTCGTAGAAATCAACAAATTCAATTTGCATCTTCAGAAAGTGATACTGTGAAGCCAAGATACAGTCGTTCAATCACACGCATACAAATCAATACATGCATTACTATTGTTGGATAAGAAGGTTGTTGAATCTACATTGAAATACGTAGTACTTCTCCTCCGCGAGTAGTTCTTGTCTTTGGATAAGGAAGTGTATATTGAAGTACTAGTACTCCCTGAGTTCGTTGTATTTGGATCGATAATAAACCACATTTGGTTATTGATGAGAATAGTGATAAATAAAAAAAAATCGATGGACGAAGTGTCTTCAGGACGAGATGACAAACAAGAGGGATGTGTCGACATAATAAAAAAAGAAGATGAAGAGGAACACATGCAATCTCCAAGTTTATAGTAAGTTATACGAGAACTACGTCTTCAGGGGCTGCAACGGATGCGCCTGCACTCGGACTCATTTCTGCAGGCATTGGGCGCAAAAGAAAGCAGAAGAGTTATCTTCCGGTAAAGCAAACCCCCAGAGGTGAAGCCAATCACGGAGATTCCCACAGTAGTTCGTTGCCGACAAAGCGCAGATGAAGCAAGAATGAGCGAAGTGGCCGTCAAATACGGCGGTGTTGGAGGCTTTGTCGGCCAAGCAGGTACTTTTTCCGTGATATCAGCTGCAGCACCAGAGGACGTCGATGTTATTCTGTTCTTGGCACGAATTACCATTCATAAAGAGCAAGACCCAAACGTATGATGGAAAGACCCCACGCAAACCAGGAGAGGGAGAACTAAAGATGACAGCACTACATCTTGTTGTATGAACACCAACTCCCGATTCTCAACAACGATATGTCATTTTCGACTAAGATCTTTACCACAATCACGAAAATATTCAGAGAGTTTCCCTTTGGTCTTCGACTCTGATATAATGACGAGCTAAAAGTTTCAGGAAAAGGAAACAGTTGTTGCGCCAACGTTGAGCATAGCGATCGTGGATCGCTTGATGAGGGTGGACGGAATGCAACTTTCGCGGAAGGACACGCTTGCACAAGGACAGCTAGACAGAAGCTTGTCGTCCGTCCTTGATGCCATAAAGTACGAATTGAAATGATACGTAGGAGCTTTTTTTACAACATACCCAGAGGACGTATACTCAATGCAAGAATTTTGAACATGCTGTCGCAAAAGTAACTACTTAATACCTCTTAAAATTCGAATTCTAGAGCTTGTTGAGCGAAGCGTTTTATGCAAAAGCGATTGGTAACAATGTAGTCTGCGTATGTAGTCTATGCAATTCAGGCGAATGATAATTCAAATTATTTTTTCACTAAGTGTAATCGATCGGCGTATAATGTATGTAGGACTATGATCAAGATCAAGACAAGTTTCTAATTTTTTTCTATTCGTCTCAAACAACAGTATAAGCAGAAGTAAAATAAATGTTCAACTGCAAATCTCACTATAGCTACTATGTCTTCTTCCATCGGTGATTTGCCACCGTATCCTTTCTGATGCTACATTCATGAAATTGGAATTCCTTTTACATGAAGTTTTGCTAGAACTAGTAGGGCGTATACGAGGAATTTTTGCCTGCAAGGTGGAGAGATATTGAGTCGATGTATTGAGTCGATGTTGGGCAAGGGAATCCTCGTAGAACAATCCGGATTTCTTCGAGTCAGACTACTGAGTCAGAATCAGATGTTGATTGACAGGATGAATAACATTAACAGCTCTGCAATTTTCTTGAAGAGAAGGGAAGAAAGCAACTATCACAAAAAAACTCCACTGCACACTATCTTCATCTTGAAAAGAACGAACAAAGTAAGTAGGAACAAGATGACGACGAACGAGATACAACCTAGAACATGCACCAGGATGGATCGGCTATACTAGATACATCAGCACCACATTCCACGTAGTGCTAACAAAATAGGCCTAGTAGGCGGACGATCCAAGAATGGAAAAGTGCCAGTTTGTACATCTTGGTCGCAATGAAGGATCGTGGATACTGGGCTGTGTTCGACATGTAGAACTACCAATAAGAAAGAGAACAAACCAAAGAAATCGTTTTTTTGCGCGGTGGAACCAAAAAGAGAAAAAGAAAAGATCTACTGACGTCGTTCAATCTTCGAGCAGCGATCAGCATCATCATCCTAATTCTTGCCTGTTGTTGCCACGTACAGGATCTACAACTTCATCCAAGTAAAGGAGCCACATCATGAAACTAACACTTTATTTGCTTCGTCGAAGTACAACAAATATTGTGTTCTTCTTGCTGAGCTGCTTGCGCTGCAGTTTCCAAGACGGTTTAGTACAATCAATTGTGACTGCGAGGGAACACATACTTGTGAATGCCCAACAGCTGCACGGCAAGACGCGTAAGAGAGCAAGAAACAAAGGGAAACAGAGACGTGGTGAACTTGATAACTTTGGCGGACGTGATCAACTGCAGAGCGAAATGCAGAACAAAATGCCTATTCTCAAGTCGAGAAGCAAGAACCATGAATGCCGTGCCAAAAACTGAGTTTTATTTTGATACTGCATTCTCGTAACACATGATGTACAGGTATAACACAGGGATTGCAGGTCTCTACTTATGATGTATTAGAAATATGCTGCTGCAACTGCAAGTGCCGTATTATCTAATGATAACAACTCTGTTTTGAATTTCCCGAGTTCGAGATGAAACGGAAGTGCCCAGCTATCGCCTATATTCTGAATTGTCCCTCTCGTGGTGGATAATCCCTGATTCATCCGATCTACATTAAACTAAGCTCAACCTCCAATGGATCATCGATTTCTGCGTAAAATTCTTGTTGAATCCACATCACTTCTACAACTATCTTCAATTGTGGAAAAAAATTTGATCGTCGTACAGACCACGATGTATGTCAAAATTTCAGAGCTTCGCCATCCTCTCGACGAAGCCAAACCTAGTCCATACTTCTTTGACGTTATCAGAAGGACCGCACTCTGCGGCAACGCAAAAACCGGACATGCACTTCCAGTGTGAAATCAAAGTGAGCAATGTCAGAGGTTCAGACTCGTTCATCACCGTCCGCAACATCTGCGCCATCTTGAGTCGTCTTGGCTAGGGTCAGAGACTCGTAAAGTCTGCGACACAAATGACAAACGCTCTCTGCTGTTGGCGCGCCATCGGTATCGGCTCGGCCGATTCCTGTGTTATTTTGATAGCAAATCATTGAACAACATGTCACGCAATGAGGAGCATCAATATGACTGAACCCTGAAACCAATTAGCATAGTTCTAGTTGTTTAGATGGGTGCCCTCGGGAGGTAAGTTTTGGCTTGGGACCACCATTTGTCGGCAAGAATACATTGTTACCAAGGTCTACTTTGTTCTTGATACCTGACTGATCTGGGAGCTCCCATGCTGAGGTGTTTGCAGCTCCTGCAATATTGCGGCTCAGGGTAAGCTGCCGATAGCCACGGAAACGCAGATTCCGTAAGCTTCCTAAAAGATCCAAACGGCGACGAGGCTTCAGCACCGCGTCAACACTGTTTCCATTGCGTGATGACGCAGATGCTATCACGCGGAGCGGATGAGGGAGTCCCTCGATGTGCGGGGGTCCTCTGTTGCCACTGGTAGATGACGGAAGACCAAAACTCGTTGGAGCGGGTTTCAGATCTTGTGCAGTGGCCCCACCTAACTTGGTAATCATGGCGTTACTGCTCCCGCTTCTTGCCTGAGGAGGTGGGTTCATCAATGTGGCTGTGCCAGAATCGGAAGAGTCTGAAGATGTTCTAGACAAGCCGCCTGTCATCTGTGTAGAAGTTATATCGCCGGTCTCTTCATTTGTAGTGCAGGCCAGCGCAAGCACTTGTTCATCCTCGTCCACATCTTCAAGCGACGAGGTTTCATCCAGTAGGGTCTCTCTCACCTTGGTAGATACCAGCGCCTTTATTTCGGCGATCTTGCGTGCTGGTCCATCTAGCATAGACGCGACTGCGGCGGAACACGAACCAGCGAACCGCGTGTCCTCTCCGAGATATGTTGACCCAGATGACGAGCTACAGGGGCAGACACTATAACAAGATAGACTGCTTATTTGTGACCGTGAAATTGAAGCGGGAGTTCCGTGTTCAACACCGAAATCCACACTGTCACTGCCAGACAATTTCTTGCCGAAACAAGGTGGCGGCAAGACAGTGGCTCCACCCACCTGAAGCAATGACGGACGATTAGCGCCGGGAGATTGGGCGATCGGAGACATCCCGCGGGGAGAGCACGTGGATGCGTTCGATGAAGACCGGCAGAGCGATGTTGCTGGCGGACTCAGGGGTGGTGTCTTACTGGATTTTGCTCTACAGCATCTCATATCTGCACAATCATCATCAAGGTCGAGTTGCAGTGGGCTTCTCTTCTCAGATGGAGGTGGAGACGGCGGCGTCAATAAGTCCACCTCACCAGCAGCTACAGGTGGGAAAGTGGTCGCCGTTTGCGGCTCATTTCGACAATTCCGGTCGCATGATGCTACTGATGCACTGCTTCTTGGTGTTTTTCGTTTTGCTTTTGGAGTGTAACAGATGTTTACGCCTGTTGTCACCGTACTGTTGCTGTCAAAAGTTGCCTGCCAATGCGGAAACGACAACGGTGCATTCGCCTCCAGCGCGGGAGTAGCACTCAGTGGAATCCCATGCTTGGTCAACAATTTCGGGAGAAGCGCGGCAATATCGGTATCCCTCTCAATGTCAGCGCTTCCACGGCCAATGCGTTCCGAGGCTACTAGTGAAGAAACCAGCTTGCTCCTAGGGCAAATGGCAGCATCATCTGTGCTGTCGACCTGGCCCACCGCCTGCATTAATCGGCCGGTTGTAGGTGTAGCACTACAACCTGCTTTGTGCATGCTAATGCTCAATGGCCCCTCGCCGAAACGCACTGGAACCATGACGGGAGCTGAGGGCGCTGCAGTACTAGATGATCTGTGAGTACCAGCATCAGCGTCCTTGCTCACAACGGGGGATGAGGTGGACGCTATTCTATCAATGTGCAAGCGTTTTATTTCACTTAGGGGCTTGTCAAACAGCGTACAGCTACCTGCACTCGAATGAGGCAGACTTGTACTTGGAGTGCCTTTTTCCCGTTCTGGCACTCCATCTCGATTAGATCTACTCGTAGAATGAATGTTTTGTTGCGTTTGCTTGTCCCCGCGTTCCCAGCTTCCTTGTTTGTGCGGGGCTTCAGCTTCATTCGTAGTATCATCACGATCATTTCGACTTGTAGGTCGTACTAAAAGTGGTCGCGATGCCGCACTGGTGTCATTTTTGACGAGGCCGCTTTTCTCCACAACTGGAATGCTTTCTTCAGAGGACTCCGACCACGCAGGAGTAGCATCAATAGGAAGTTCCTCCATAGGAAGATCCTTGTCTCTTCTGTGTAAAAGAAAGTTGTCGAGCAAGTTGTACTCACCGTCCTCGTCCTCCACGTCCCCATAGTTCTTGCTTTCCGCGTGGGCCCACGATCCACCCGCATCACTCGACCCATTCCGAAGGTCTTCTTGGTAATATTCTAAGTCTACGTGACTGCCTGAATGCCGTTCAGAATCTGAATGACGTTCCAATCTCACCCACGATTTTGCTGATCGTGGAGATGAGGAAGCGGGAGAACTTCGTGAGACACAGTCTCTTTGCAACAATGCGAGGGATGACGATGCGAGAGGGCCACAAGCAGATGCGTCATCATCTCCTAAGAAACTTCTCAATCGGTGTTCCTGGTCACCATCATCTTCAACGTTTGGACGTTCGTCATGATTTCCTTCTGAAGGCCTTCGGAAGCTGTAACTCCTAGGTAACCGGCTATCATAAGCAGTCGCTGGCGAAACCCCCTTTGATCGACTGAAAGCAGTGGACGAGGTCGGCTCGCTTTCGCGTGGTCTCGGTGGCGGTATCAACGCGGGGATTGATGCGGTAGAGCCTGCGCGGTCTTCGCGTGTTCGAGGCAGTGGGGCTTCAGAACCAGCATTCTGAAACGCTCCGAAACTCGAAGAACCGCTGCTCCTGGCTGCAGCCGCGAACGAGGAGGAAACGACTATGCCCCATTGGGCGAGCACTCGCATCTTTCGTATGTTATCAAAAATCGAAATTTCGTTCTTGGTTATCTACCTTGTAGTTTACTGTTTGAGTGCTTGGCGTTCCCGTTTGTAGCAGACCTTCACTCAATTGCCCATACCAAAATCAAAACTAAATTGTATTTGCAGAGCACGCGTATTAACGGAAATCTAGTAGTTGTATGTCTCCAAGGCTGTCGTGAGAAATGATACTTTCTCGTCTCAGGCAAACGACTTCTCGGCGAAGCCTGCTTGCAGCTTTTCAAGCAAGTGCTGGAGGGCACTTCACACAAGTAGCCGAGGAAGGCTTTGAACACTCACAAGGCTCATTCGGCAGATGCCACTTGGTCGTTTCTGCGTGCGAAGAACGAGGAAGCTATGAATGAATCTCTTGTAGTCAGAGTTCTGTTGATTCTCCCTCCATCATTTTCTAATTCTACAAGGGACTTTCATGTCGCTCTTGATTTTCTCATGCAATTGTAGTTCCCATTCTTCTTCCACCATTGACAAGAGTTCTTTCCCTTCTATTATGGCTTATGTATCCTACTTATCCATTTAGGATAGGCATGTTAGAAAAAATGTTCATCAGTGAGACGTATCCGGGAATCTATTCGCCACGTTGTTTTTTGCCTACGGGTGCTTTCCACCAGGTGACATCGTCTGCAGATGGCAAAGCTGGTTTTTCAAGTACGGCATCTACCAGTTTCTCAGCAACCATGATTGTTGGCGCGTTTAGATTTCCGCTTGTCATACTCGGAAAGACAGAGGCGTCAATTATCCTCAAGCCTTCGACTCCATACACTTTGGCATTTTCCGGGTCAACAACCTTGCCCATCTTGCACGTACACGACAAATGGTAGCCGGAATGACTCTGTTCTCGAACGAAGCGATCAACTGCTTCGTCGGAGTCCACGTCACCTAGGTCGAAATTGTAGGGCTTTTCATCCTTCAAGTCCGAAGAAAAATTTTCCATGATCTCCACACCCAGTCGAAAGGCCCGTCTCTGATCCTCCACGTCGTCCTTGGTTGACAAATATCGAGGATCGATGGCCGGCTTCTCGTGCAGTGGCTTTCGACTCGTAATGTGCACGGAGCCTCGTGACGTGGGTCGCATTGTGCCGACGTGGGCTTGGTAGCCGTGCTCGGGCAGAAAGTCGCACTGCCCAACGACGATTCCCGGAATAAAATGGAATTGGATGTCAGGGTGTGGCACGTCCGCACGTGATCGTATGAAGCCCCCAACTTCGAAATGGTTGGACGCAGCCACACCCGTGCCACGCATCATCCACTCTAAGCCTACGAGGCCTGCGCGCAGCGGCTGACGAAAAGCATACGGCGAGATCGGGTAAGTTGAAGCATACGGATAAAGGGAAACCGGCTTCTTGCATCGGTACTGCAAGTAAAACTCGAGGTGATCTTCCATATTCTCACCCACATTGGGCAGATGTACCCGGGTCGGAATATCCAGCTTTTTTAGCCTGTCCGCATCGCCAATACCCGAAAGCTCTAGCAGCATCGGGGAGCCAACCGCGCCTGCACATAAAATCACTTCGCGCTCGGCCTCCAATGTGCTCAGTTCTCCGCTCTTACTTAGTACCAGCACGCCGCGGCAGATCTTGCCTGTGTTGGGAGAGCCATCGCCTCCGTCGCCGCTGTCTGCTTCAAAAACAAGCTTGAGAACGTTTTGCGTCAACTCGATATTCACACGATCCAGGATACCCTGGTCAGTGTAACCCTTGCGTAAATACGCATTGGCGGTCGTCATGCGTTCACCACGTTCCCAGTCTACGCTCATATCCATCGGACCGAACCCCTCCTGGCGGAAGCTGCCATGGTAGTTGATGGAGGAACATCTATGTATATCATCAAAGGGATGCAGCTGAAGCACCTCCAGCTGAAGCTGCAACGTCTACTTACAACATTATGAAGAAAATTCAACCGTCCTACACCTACGGTAATCAATCGAACTTCAATACAAGTCAATGTCAACCTCAGAATTGCAACACAAGCAGCTTAATCAAATTGGTACCCGTTTTGATCATCTGTTTTTCCATAGCCACTTGCGACGCTGCCAGCTTCTACAAATGCTTGGTTTAGCTCCTTGGTTGCCTCGGTGACCTTCTGCGAGACTTTGTAGACTCCGTCCTTGCCACGATATGGAGAGGGCTCTCCATTGTGTCGTTGCAGTCGCCGGTAGTAGGGAAGGACATTCCGATACGCCCAAAAGTCACTTCCGAGTTGCTTTGACCAGCGCTCGTAGTCTTCAGGATGCCCGCGAACGAGGAATGAAGCAAGAAAGGGGGAAATTTCTAGAACAAAGAACCTTAGCTTCTGCTAGTACTTCTACTTGCTTCTAGACAAATATTGCACTTTTTAGCATTGAATATCATGATCTTGATCATAAATAGGCCATTGCGTTCAGGCTTGAAGAGCCGCCAAGCACTTTCCCTCGTGGCTGATCCAAAGCACGGCCGTCCAGGTTGGGTTGTAGTAGAGTGTCGAAGTCGTAGTTGTATTTGTCGTCGCCGATGTTGAAAGCTAAAGCGCTTGGCATATGGATTTTCCAACTATCCCATGCACCACGATCAGACCTACCAGCTTCCAAGAGTGTTACTGAGTGGCCCGCCTCCGCAAGCCTGTGCGCCACCACGCAACCTGCGCTCCCGGCGCCAACGACAATGTAATCAGGCTTCGAGGAAGTTGAAGAAGAAGCAAAACACCTCGTGGTCGTACTGAAGGTGATGGTGCTCTTCTTATTCTTACAACCAGAATAAGAACGGCAAGTATCCGAGGAGACTGATGGTGTTGCAGGACCCAAAAAATACCGAGCAGCAGCACTTTGAGTGGAAGCATGGCGGTTCTTTATGCGAAGTGATGGCGCTCGTGCGCCAGTTTCCCATATTTTTCCTTGCATCGTTCTCAAAGTCCTCTTATATATTAAACGGCAAAAGTCGAGGTCTGAAGTCAGGGCTTTAAGGAGTGCCAAATAGGTTTTAAGGAGTGGCAAATAGAATCCCAGGGTTTAGAGGAAATGAAAGCCAAGAGCAGCAGTTTTCGGGGCAGCTAAGTTGGAGACAATTCACGCTCGCGAAAAAAAGGCCAAGGCTTTGGACCGCTCCCAGGGTTTTGGCTCTCAAGGTAGACCAAACAGCGGAAAAAGCCCAAGGGGTCAGCCTCAGGGCTTGCCTCCTCATTTTATTTTCACCTCAAGGTTTCAAAATTCAAGGCTTTGAGATTTTTGCGCTCTCATTTTTCGCGTGTCAGGGTAAACCTCTCCAGTCGTCCGCAGGGTTTGCTCCTCTCGGGGTTTGCCTCTCAAGGTTTGCCCCCCTCAGGGTTTGCTCCTCTCAAGGTTTGCTCCTCTCAACGTCTGGAACACGAACAGCCAGAACGAACCCGCCGAGGGAAGGCGAGAAGAAACACGCGACAAGGCCGCAAGCCATGCAAGGAGGACGGCGTGACTCCCCTGAGCAGGTTCCCCAGCCAGGGAATTTGAAATCCCCCCAGAGACAGAGTAGAAGCGCTGCGGGCGTCCTTGTCCGCGGGCGGGCTGGGGAATTTTCCCCCTTTGGGCCTTTCGAGACGTTAACGGGATAAAACGCGCACCGCGTGCGCGTTTTGTTCTTGTAATGGCTTCCAAACTGCAGAAAAAACTGAACGGCGCTGCCGCGCCCTGCTCGCGAGAAGCGTCCCGCGGCGGCCACTTTGCGGAGGCTGTAGCACTTTGGCCTCCACCGCCCGCCCTTCTCTGCTCTTCTTCCAGTCCCTAGCAGTGTTGCCCTCCTTTCTCTGTCGTCTTCGCCTTTCCTCTTAGCAACTAAACACTCGGACCACGACTAGTAAACTATGCAAAAAAATGAATTACGACATGTGGATGAAAAACAGATGCGTTTTTAGAGCTAGTTGTAGTACAACGGGCATTTCCATTTTCAACAGAATCTACTAGTGATTTCGGGTCGTTGCAGCTGTTCTATTGGAATACACACAGGAAGAAATGGATCAACATCAAACTTCTTTCACTCTCTCCCACTTACAAGCCTACAGACATGCCACACGGCCTGGGCCTAGTACTCAACAGACGGGAAGAAACATAATCAAAGTAGATTAGTCCAAACACGGGACATGATCCTCAACGACAATCCATTCTATGTAGAGTTGTTGGAGAAAGAAGTCATATGATATTGGATAGTGATTATACTAGCCAGAGTAAAAAATTGGGAAAGGGGATGAAACACTTGAAATTAGCTCGGACTGTGCGGGAGCCAAGTCCGAAAAACAGTAGTACAAAAACAAATGTAGTTTACAGAACAGGTAGACAAGATGCAGATCGTTGATGCTCTCTCCACTCACATACCTAAAACTCGGCACAGCCTACTCGTCTCCTTTAAGATTCTCTCAACACAATCATAGTGTTGTCTCGGTGGAGATATTGGAGCTGAGTAGAACGCGCCGCGGGTCTCCATGGCTTTGCTCGAGTATATCTCATCCTCATGGACAAAGAATAAAATGAATGAAACTGGTGCTGCGTCAAGATCTTTGACAACCTTTAACCTCATTAGGACTGCGTTTCTCAATCTTATGATGGATTCATTGGCATTGGTTGCGTGTTCCCTTTCGTGTAAATAAGTGGTTGCCGTGAAGCAACTGTGATAAACTGGAACACTCGTGGTCGTGGCTGCGTGTACTTTTCGGAGCGCTTCCATGGTGCTGTCACAGCATCTTCAGGACGTTGCTTCATGAGTCACGAGAGATCACCACTCTGGCTCTGACAGGAAACTTGGTATGCTCAATCAGGTAAGAAAAACACTTTGGTTTCCAAGCTCGATCTCGTGCTCCGGTAAAAATCATATCAGAATCTTCATCTGATTTGCCTGCTTCGGGTAGCTGCGTTTTACCTCGCGCAGAACAGCGGCTTTATGAAACATCGTCGACAAGAAAGGTCTGTGAGAATTCATCCTGATGTACCTAGTATAGAACAATTCTTCTAGTTACGTGACATGGCGCGATCTGTCATCCTCGACTTTGTCAACATCTTCTAGCATAGTTTCAACTTCTCGTAGTTCTACTTAGTGTGTCGTGGTGTACAACTAGTATTCACTCAAGCAGCATGCAGATGTTGCAACTACCCACAACATGTTGTGCTAGGACTTTTCTGTACAAGCATGATCGCGCGTCCTAAAACTTTTTACAGAAAGGCTAAGCAGAATTATTAGGTAACTATTTGGGATGAAAGGGGTTGACATTGGGAGGAGCGGGGGGAGGGCACACACCTCGGAAATTCTCTTGGGTCTCGAATCATGTGATCTCAGTGCTGGAGTCTAGCCTGATGTGCCCTTCTTGCACACGTAGACGAAATGGACCTGAATGTCTTGAATAAGTTAATATGGCAAGAAATTTTGCTTATGTTTATGCTTTTTAGAAATATTTGACAAATTGACATTGAGAAGACTTCGAGCTAGGGAGGGGTGAATTTACAAAATGTTACATCCCTCAAACCAGTAATCTTGAGGATTGACGATTTAACGTCAAGGATCTGAAAACATTGATATGCGACATCAAAATCATATATGTACGTTCTCCTTTTCGTCTACTGCTAGTTGTTGACCGCCCATGCCCATTCTTGGTTTTTCGACTGTATGCACGTCGACCTCCCAATCGTATTCAGGTCTTTGCAGATAGGTCAGTCGATAGTTTGGTTGCCCGTGTGAAACCGAGACAAAGACACCTGGATTGTCGTTGTGAAAAGAGAAGCAAGGAGCTTAAAAACAAATGGACAGTGATCTCAAAGGAGAAGAATGACGACGCAGGAAATGGAAAGCCAATATATCAATGAGATGAAGTAGCAATCAAATGAATCTGAAGTTATACCTTTTGAATCGAGCACTCTGCTAATTTCGGTGAGAGCTTTTGCTACGTTAAGCGTGCTAGCTTCTCCGCAGAGAATTGAATCTAGTGTTCCCTTGTCCAGCGCGATATTAAACTGACCGTCTCCGAATTCCATGGCCTTGCAATCCATGTTTTGGTACAAAAGACCTAGAAGTCGAGCACGAGGTGGAGGTGAGGGGTTAGTAATCGTAGTATATACAAGGTCGAGGAGGACAACGATGAACGACAATTTGATCTTCTGTTCGTTGATCCCAAAATATCATTATCAACTTCTTTTTCCAATGCGCAGAAAATTATGATGGCCATGATTTCAAATTCAATTCTGCGCTTCATATCTGTCAATTATATTGACGAGGTTTGCCAAGTTGTAGCTACCTGAGTGGAGAACGAAGTAGAATTATAGTACCCGCCTTGTCCCGATACTTCTCTGCCATTGCCTTCATCGCGACGTTTGACGAGTCGATATTTGTTATATTTTGGTAGCCCTCGTCGTACCTGGGACAGTTTTAGAATGCATATACCTACTCGGTTTGGGCGTGATGAATGTGCTCACGACTCTAGAAGATGTTGCGTGAATTATGAATAGTAAATTCGTGATCCGAGGAATTTCTAGTCTTAGGTAAGTAAGGAGTAAGTTAATATAAAGGTTAGTACATTTCTTCGCTCATCCTACTGTTTCCCGCGCCGACAACAAGCACACTGCTTTTCGGGTTCATTAGTGGCGTGATGATGTCCCTCACCCCTGACCATCTCTGGTACCAGTCGAATGGCTCAGGATCGCGCGTATACCGCTCATCCCAGTAGTCTCCCTTACCATATTGCGCCATTTTTAGTTTGCTTCGTTGTGCTTGTGATTACACCAGTAGATTGACTCTGCTGAAAAGGGAATTCGACCAGATAAGAACTGATCGACAGGGTAAGAATAAAAAAACGCGATAGAAATATAAACGAAGAATGAATTTATTGGCACACAAAGAAAACTTCAAATGTATAAAGGAGTTCAGTTGTCCGTTCGTGGTCAAAAGAAAAATCTCCTGGCTCCTTCAACTTATCTGTAAGTAACGATCATCCAAAACTACAATAAACGTCATTCAAAATATCACGGAAAGAATTTCAAACGCTTTGTAAGAATCGAGCTGCTCAAGGAAAACAACACTGCTTGGGAAAAAGAGAAGACCTTTTGCGTGCGAAATCATTTGATAGATTGGCAATGATGAACATGAAGTTGCATGTAGACGAATCAATACGAAGATACTTCACTACGAGAAGCAGAGAATACGGCAGGTGCATAAAAACAAGACTAGTAAATACAGAAGGTCAATATAAATATGTATATTATGCAAAGAACTTCCAATAGCTAGTCGTAGTCCAAACGTAAAGGCAGGCATCATTTTTTGCATGATCTTCAAGTCTCTCTCCCTGGTTAGGATTCCTAAGACTTTGCTTTTCCGATCCAAAACGGAATCTCGTTGGCACGTTTTGCGGCCGTGTGACCTTTTTATCGCAATTTATTCTCATGTATCTCTGGGTCCTTTGTGTTCTGCCACACAAGACAGGGGTGGAGCTCCATCGTACACTTCAAAAGAAGAGCGGAGCATCTTGTGAAAGTGCGCGCATATGATGCACTGCGCAAAGATTTCGATTATTTCTTTCGCTTTTTCCATCTAGATGTAGCCCATTTCTTTAGCCATAGCTCTTGTTCACGTCGTATCCACAGTAGATCTCTGTTGTTCATTATGATCGCATGAAAGTACTGATTTGTATGTGTGTAAGCCCTGCTACGCATGCTGAATGTGTTCATTGGGGATATTATGCACATGTGAGAAATGCTTTCTGTGTCAGGGATAACTTCCGTTGGGACCAATGAATATGCACTCACTTCCATCGCCATCACATGACAGTAAAAGTAATGGCTTCATATGAGTTGCGGTCTCCTTCAGAATCCTTATGACAACTTGAACTATGCATTATCGAACCGCATGCCGTACTGATAGACTTTCAAAAATTGTACCGCAAGATAATGCGATCTCGCAATAGAAGTCCATCTTCGGACCATGACTATATTCGACAATGTTGCTACATGTTATGTACAGACGGATGACACCAGACACACAATCGACCAAGGGCTGCAAAATGTTCTTCTTCTTGCAGGTGAGACTCCTCATGTACTTTAATTACTTATGGTCAAGTAAGTACATCTTGCTCAGATACCAGACGGAGCAGGATGCTCAAAGCCCGAAGTTTTCGTTTTGTAGGATGGTCACGAAACAATTCAAACCAAGAGTCAAGACCTCACGAAATTCGAAACAAACTAGAGGGGATCAATATACGTTAGTCGTTTACTAGATGCAAATAAATTCATGTACTAACTTTGACTCTGATGGCCAGTCTCGTATTTTTCGCTTGAATCCATGAAAGAATGAGGAGTATTTCATTATATTCGGCTTGCTAGCAGCACTGCCGCCACTGCAACAACTACTTACTGTTAGTTACATACTCAGGTTTGTATGCAACTACGGTAAGAGCTGACTTAGAACGGTTTCAGTATATATTTTAGTGCTTCTGGCAATAAGCAGGACGGTTTCAGTAAACCCATCTAATAAGCAGAACGGTTTAAGTAAAAAAATTGTGAAACAAGTGCCCTCCGTCCACCTCCCTTACCATTTCTAGCCTACATAATGATAATCTGCACACAAGAAGGAAACTATGGGACTCAATGAGTTTGGCGACGCTTTGGGTTCGTGCTTGTGGAACAACGACTAATGAAGAGGTTCTAGAAGTATCAAGTAGATGAAGTAGAAGTATTTCCAGTTTTTATTTCATCAAACTTCGACTAGGTCCAGGACTAACTTTTCTTAGTACTACTAGTAACTAGTTTGTTAGTTAGTCTTATAGATACACAGTGGCTTGCATGCTGAATCTGTACGATGGTAGAGAACAACATAGCATCCGATGCTAGGAGGTAAAATACGCTTCACACTTTCACTCTCGGCTCTTGGTATTGTATCAAACAAGCTTCACACTTCGGTAAAGGTGATACATCGTCGCCACCAGCCCTAGAGAAAGGTCCAAAATTAGTACGTACCATACCGTGAACACTCCATCTTCAGCGTTTCGGAGGCCTTTCTCATCTCTGCTTTAGCGGTAGCTTTTTATCATCCTGGCCTGAAGGGGCGTGTCTACTATGCTACTCAATAAAACCCTAACAGGAGAAGTTGGGCTGTAATGGCTCCATCTCAGTGAGTCGACGCGCTTTAGGACTCATGACGGTCGCGATCAGCATCATGTTCAGGAACAGGATGATAAAAATTGTCTACTACTACAAGTGCCCTTCTTAACTATTGGAAACCATAGGTGGCGTTTCGAGGCCCGTGAGGCTGCGATGAAGGAGCAAGAACATTGCAAGTGGTAGGCCAAATGCGTAGTGCTGGAGTACGAAAAGTTTGGCGTTGAAGAGCGCGTGTCCTGCCGCGCGATTGATAGCACACCCAATAAGTTGCAGAGAATCGAAGAGATAGCACACACCAAAAGCGAGTGTCAACACGTGGGTAAAAATCTGTCGAATCTGTTCCGTACTGTCTTGAAGGTCGCTCGTCGACATGTCCGCATTGACATGGTCGAGCACATCATCAACGCGGCTAGCTAATAATTGCTCTCCAACAACTTTTGCAGAACTAGAAGATGATGATGACGACCTTTTTCGTGGAGTATTGCTATCCACCTCGGAACCTCCACCACCATCTTGTTCTACTTTGCGATCAAGAAAAATGTTAGCATCCTGCCTCACCATATTTAGAAGTGAGTCTTTTCTGGCGTCTTGAGTACTGTTGCTAATGCTAGAGGAAAAATGTTTGCTAGTAGTTGTACTGCTTGTTGTACTTGCCCCGTGTGTGGGTCCTGCAGACTCTTGTTCAGTATATTCTGGATGTCTAACCTCCACCTCCTGAAGCATTTTCGTCTGCACGGAGCGACTTGATGGTTCCCGGACATCAGGAAAATAGAGTCGAGCAATGCGCTCTTTGCAAGTATATGTGACCACCGCGAAGGCGAGCCAGCTCAGCACACCTAGGAGAAGCAGGCAGTCCCGATACCTTTGCCCAATATTCACTTTTTCCGGAGAAGATAATGTGTTCCGTGAAGATGTAGATGAAGGTGAAGTTGACATTTTCATTGGCTTTTTCTCTTCTCGTTCTCGCTGCTGATCGTCGTGATTGTTTTGTCCCTTGTAAGAGTATTCCTGTGGCTGATGCTGATCATCCTCAAGCTTGTAACTACGCTGCTCCGAACCAAAATGGGTTGATGCGTTACCTGTGGCACAAGAAGAGTCTGCGGCGATATGCGACGCTGAAGATGGTTCGAGTAAGGAACTAGATGCGGTCGCAGTCCTCGAGATCGCGGCATTTACTAGATAAGAGGCGGCTGACGCGATTCCGGTGCAAACGCGAAACGCCACCAGGTAGAGGTTGATACAGGCCATGTGGATGGCAAGGGCTAACGGCGAGACAGAGCCGGCACATAAGGCAAGGCATTCCCAGAACGCGAACTCCGCGACCACATTCACTGTGCACGGCAACACTTCCCTCCAAGCGAAGCGCGGAAGGAGACGATACGTTTGCGCATTAACGCCAGGCAGTACGGGAAACAAGACGACTACTCGTGGCGGGGAAAGAGCAAGAAGCTGTGGTCGAAGCACGTGTTCATCATGAGTGGACTGGGAAGAGAAGATGCACCTTGTGCCACTACTAGTAGTTGTTTTATGATTGTTGTGCATCACATCAGCGTTAGTACAAGGACTATTGGAACTCGTCTTAGTACTGTTCACCGTTTCAATAAAAACTCCTCTGTTTAGGTTGCCTGGCTCTTGAAGAAAACGGTCTTGCTCTTGCCTATCATAATTCTCGACGTTTCTAGAAGTACGAGTTTTGCATTTTTCTCCTTCGGTTCCGTCAAGATTATCATACAAATGATGTTGCATTTGCAAAATAGTATCGTGACCGGCAGATGATGAATCAGTCTGGAAATCCCCGTGCGCTGCAGGGTCCCCGTAGCAAAAGTCGACCGTCAGTAGTGAAAAAGCGTTATGCAGTGAACCCAGGCCACTTGAGAATGGTTTCTTCTCTGCGCCAGCTTCCACTAGAAAAATGTCGTCTTCCGCAGGAAAGTGCAATGACGTGCACGAGGTCGAGGAGGAGGCACTTGTACTAGACGCAGCAGTTGTTGTACTCCTCGAATAAAGATTAGACCCAGTTTTCGTAATGTCTTCAGGCTCTCGCAACACACGCCAAAATTTGCAGCCAGAGCTCCCAAGCTGTTGATGCGCGAAGTCAAAGTTCATAAAACAAGAAGGCTCAGAAATAGTAGAGCTTCTCCTCCTCTTGTTGAAAAAAGCCGTGTCGTCGTTCATTTCTTCTTCAACGTAGAAGCTATCGTGAGTCGTTGTCGTACTGCATTTGGTAGAAGACTTGATATCGAGATGAAATTCGCCTAGCATCCTTGCGCAGTCTGTTCCTTGTTGTCCTTCTGAAACATGAAGTTGCTCATCTAGATGGGGATCTTGTTGCTCCTGCGATTTTGTTGTACCCAAAAAAAGATTGCTAGCATTCGCACAACTCATGGCAAAAGGGTCATGCTCCTCGGTTAGTACAGGCTTCGGGGCCTGCTCCTCGGAAGAAATCACTTTCGAGTTCGACGCATCAATCATCTGAAAACGCGAACACACTGCGGGTGGTGGAAAGTATCTCAGTGGTGTAGAAAACTGGGAGAAGTGGTCGTAAGCTGAAGCTTTTTCCTCCTGCTCCTTCTCTCGAGGTTTTGCAGGGGCATCCTCGTCGCCGGATATAGAGGTCTCGTCGTCGCTTGTCAGGTAGGACGCCGAGGAAAGCGCCTCTGACGAGGCGACGGACGAATCGGCACGACGGAAAGTTTCTTTAGTGGCACTAGTGGTTCTCGCAGGTACGCCTTGTTGCACCACGGTTCTTGAGAAGAACGGCGTAAAAAGTGGGTCTCTGTGGTCTGCTTTCTGTTGTTTTGGGGATATCGGCGGTATCGTCGCGCCCGTCTTTTCTTGCAACAGCGGTACGCGCAATTTTTCAAAAAATCCTCCCTCTGCAAGACGAGACGAGGACGAAGAGAGCACAGATGGGCATGGACAACCACTAGGACTTTTAGCACCTTCTGTATTCAGATGTATTTGTTTTACACAGGAGCCACGTCGTCGACGAGGCCGCAAATCGCCAGCCGTCGCGCCGAACCATCTCACATTCTCGAATGTGGACGTCGCGAAGGAGTAATACTCCCACAAGAAACAAGCACACGTGACCGACCATGTACAACAATTGGCGTAACCAAGACCCGCATTTGCACTCGTGGCACTCGCCGTCACTGAACCTTCCTCGACACTGTCGTAGCTCCGCTGGATGAAGTAGGTCGCAAAAAACAGATGAAGGCAGCCAGAACATAGCATTTGCCAGCGCTGGCAGCGACGCGCCTCGCCTATATTGGTGAAAAAACGGCGAGCCATTAGACGATGAACTCTCTGCGACACTAGCAGAAAGGAAAACTCCACCGACACCGCTAGATGATTCCTGCATCTGTCCATCTGCTAAGAATCTCATGGTCACTCATTGCGCTCGTACTAATTATTTCCTCCGGCGGAGGCGAGCTGCACCTGGGTAGCGTTGCAAATTTCTGCATGCAGAGGCCCAGAAGTTGTGCTATAAGTATGTATGACACTGACATAGAAGTTAGAAGAAACTGATAAGTACATAGATCGTCTAGATCTATCGCGATGTAAAGAATGAGAACCAACTCTAGTAAAGTATCGAATAAATCATGACCATAAGAGCGTTTCCTGAAGAAAGAACGCCGGGATGCCTGGCACAGCAGCCTCTATGTATGAACCTGCCATCTCCATTGTAACCGGATCCTGGTGGAGCACTGTAACCAAGACCCGAGGTGCCTTTGCTAGCACGAAGACGCAAAGTGGAAGATAGAGGAGGCAACAGATCGCTGAGAGGGCCACGCAGCGGTAAACGTGGGTAAAGTTTCCACGGGTCCAGTGCAGGGACGCATGTCGGTCGAGTGCGCTGTTGATGCCCTGTGCCACAATCAGAGCTATCGAATTCAGCAACAAATTGCCCAGACCTAACGCCGCCACGTTGCGATAGTTTCCGTGCTGGCTGCTTAGCAGCACGTTCACTGTGTCCGGCGCAATTAAAAGCAGGGACGAAAATACGTTGGGCGTGGCATAGCGAATCGATGTCCACATGACACAAAGAAATCATGAAAGAGGATGTGCAGGGCGGAGTCTATGCCTAAGATCAAACACTCGACGAACAAAAAAAACTTAAAACTGGTAAACAGTAAAGATAAATTTGATTATCGGAAGAAGGAGAAGATTACTTACTGGATGGACAACTTATAGAGGAAGACGAAATAGAGTACCAAGGACAGCGTGTTTGTGAGTGCTCAAAAGACCACACAACATCGACTCACAAAAATCGATTTCTGGATGACGTTGTATTAATCTAGTCTTATTTCATCTGAACTGAAAGACAAAGAGTTCAAAATATTACTGTCAACTATAGAGTGTTTGTAAATGTAGCGTTTGATTTGAATCACTGCATCAACCCATTTGTAAATATAAATATTCATTGGTCTTGTGCCTTACATAAGTGGAGTCTGTTTCTGCAGGTGCATCACTTATGATTGGCACCTCCATGGTTGTACTAATCTTATGTTGGTGAGCGGAAAATTCAATCCCTAGAACGGATCCATGTGCATCATTGCTAGACGAAGTGCTGGATGCAGTACGTTCTTCTGTACGATTGCTCTCGTAGACATTACGCGCCTTGTCTGCACTTGTGAGTGGCGATGCGCTTGTTACCGTTTGTGATGTTGAGACAACTGTGCGCCCTCTACCTCCAGTACCCTCCAATGTCTTCTCTTCGCAGTCGGGTGCTGTTGCGGGAGCAGGGGTGCGCCTTATTCTTGTGCTACCGTGTGGGAGATGCGACGCGCAATTAAGTTGCTGGGACGTCGGGAAATCGATCATACCTGGCTGGAAACGCGGTGGCCCCCCTGGAAAATTTCGAAAGTATCTGCGGAACCACGCATCGGAAAAGATCTGTCGTCGCTTCATCGCGTGCTCTGCTTTCATTTTCCGACGACGGCTCGTTGTACTTGGGGGTGCGGGAACAGAGGACCGGCGCCGAGGTGCGCTTACACCGACGAACGGTCGAGCCACCCCATGATCTCCTGTACTTCTATCCTCGCACGCAGACGCTTCTGGCAATGAGACAAGCGATGTTAGAAACTCTACCGCAAAGTGTCGAGCTTCGCCTCGTTTTTCGTAGTTCATTTCGTCGCGACGAGGCTCTGGCGCATTGTTCCAAACGTTACCTCTGTCGGTAGAGGACACTCTGTCAGCAAGGACCACGCCTGGCTCCTGCGTGTAATAAGTACAACTCGGCGCAGCGGCCGGTGAACACGAAAAGGGGGATGCCAGCGACCGCTCACCTGCCATTCGCGAGCTGACAAAGTGCGAAGCGGAGTCGAGCAAGACGAGGTCATGACAGCTGTGGCTCGAAAACAGCCCTCGCTTCCATGATCGCGAGCCACATTTAATTTTCTCCTGTGTTGGAGCGTCGACAAAGTCGTTGTGATGCGTCCCCCTTTCCTTGCCGTCATCGTCGTGATAGGACACCGGCCGGCGTGGACCCGGCCATGAGTGGGACGTAGGCGGTGAAACTGCTTCACCTTCATCCGATGCATCGAATTGCATAGCATTGAGTGAATCAACACTAAAGGCAAATTATGTCCTTGCTGTGCCTCTTGGTGGACTCAAGCAACAACAGCAATGAAGCACAAAAGATTGATAAGAAAACTGAAAAAGATTTAGATGTATTTTCTCTTTACATGAATGTAAAAATGAGGTACTCTTCAATAACCGAGGGCCCGCCTAGTGGTAGTACATTGTCACGATAGCCATTTCAAGGTCTTTGACAACCATCAGATGCAGGTATTCGCGTATATCGAAACATTCATTACGCGAACGTTCGCATACATCGAGACATGAGTTCCGTTCTTATATATGTTCCAGGGCGCGGGGCGACGCCCCCCCCTAGCGGGGGGAGGGGGCCGGGCGCCCTGGGCCCCTTTTTGAGGCGTCTGCCGGGGGAGGAAGGCCTCAAAAGGGGGCCAAGGGGCCACCCCCGGCCCCTTCCGGGAGCTTCGTGGCCCCTGGAGGCCTGGGAAGTAGGTGGAAGGCCTCAAGGGGGGACCAAGGGGCTCGCTGCCTCTTTCTCGTTTGCGTGTACCCTACAGACTTGAGGGGTTAGATGGCTACAGACAAAAGGGGCCCACGGGATCGCCGGCGCCCCCGTCCAGGCGCTTGCCTGTGCCCTCAATGCATCCGCTAGGCTTCGCCGCCGCAGCAGTGCACCGGCAGCGGAAGGCCTCCGAAGACGGCAAAAGGCGAGGGGCGGGACCCCCTGAGCCGTGCCGCCTGTACCCTCCGGGCCCTTGGTCATCGGCTTGCTTGCTCTTGCGACCGTGGCCCTTAGGAACACGCTGAGAGGCCCAAGGGGAGGCCCGCGCCAAGTTTTGACGCCTTCCACCACTAGAATCCGCGAAAAATCCGCGCGGAAAAGCGCGCGGGCGCGCCACCACAGACCAGACCACAGGGGGGGGAGGGGGGGGCCGTTCGGCCCTGAGTCATATATGAAAAGGTCACAAAGGAATATACTTACATAGACAATAGCTAGCCTTGTCGGCAACACGGCGATGTCGTGGGATGTTCGAGTACCTCAGAAAGGACGAGATCCTAAGGACGATGGCCGACTTTTTTTCCTCTCCGTCACATAGAAAGAAACTCCCCCAACATTTACATTGCGATCTCCTCACTACAGAGTCAACGACCTTAGCATTATAACTTACTAGTTTTTATATTTATTTTAGGGGAGGCGGAGGTGGATTCAAAGATTGGCACAACGGTTCCACCATCAAGACCATGTCGTCTTCTATGTCTATGATCACTATCTACGATGAACCTTGCACAAGGTTGTTGTATCTGTGCATACTGCCAAAGCGGCGCCATACAGATTCCCAACGATGAGAGTCTACTGAGGAAGACAAAAGATAGACGAACGATAACTACGACCACGCGACAATAACTACGACCACGCGACATGGACATACACCTAAAATCATAATATGTCTGCTGATGGGCATGGAGATGGTGCGTCACTCGTCATGAAAAGTTGGCCATCCTCTCTCTGGGTGGGTCATTCAGACTCAGGAAAGAGATTCTGGTCCACGTCTGGGCTAAGCCTAAAAAGTCTCATCATCGGAAGAACAAATGAGTACGCCACACTGAGCCGAGGCAATACGTAGGAGCAATACCATCTCCGGTTCGTCATGTCTTTCATTCGACTGGAAATTAGTTTTTCAGAATCTGATGATGAATGATTGTTAAAACCTACACCTTCAAAAGAGAATATCAGCACACCATTTGTAGTCTGTCCCCATCGCTCGATTATATTCCCATGTATTTAGTAGGCATCTGCCACAGCACGAAGTTTTGTGGTGCATTCCATGTAAGATGTTGATTCTCGTTCCCAACTGATGTATATACAGCTTGCTACATTTGTAAAAAAATCAATCATGATCGTGCAGTCCCTTGTAAAAAAATCGACCATATCTTATGTACATAGTAGTAATCGACAGCATGAACAAAGCATTTATTGATCACCGACCGAGCGCAAAAATAGTTACAAGGCATGTTAATGGCAAGAAATATTGAGACACTTTCGGCCATGTTGTTCTCTGTAATTTCAGAAAAACGTGTATAAATAGATCATGATCATCATTAGTTCTTACCAAACAAGTTTCGGGAAGTAGATGGACGCGAGCCTCTTCTTTCTTGGTTACACAGGTTTTTTTTTCCTTCGCGGCTTTTTCGTTCCGCAATCTGATGACGATAATGATGAGAGGTAGCAAGCAAGGGGCTTAGCTTTTGCCTCATTTTCAATCTGAACGCTTCCTTTTTGGCCGCATCTGCCTTGGCAAACTCTTCGTTCCGCGATCTGAAAGCGTCATTCTTGGCCGCTCCTGCCTCAGCCGCTTTTTTCTTTCCTTCGTTGGCCAGTTTGAGCGCTTCCGTGTTGGCTGCTTGCTCCTTGGAAAATTTTTCGGTCCGCAATTTGAGCTCTGTTGTTTCCGCCGCTTTTGCATCGTCCGCTTCTTTCTTGACAGGTTTTTCCTTGGCCGCTTCTGGTACAGCTTGCAATTGTGTATGCGTGTTGCCCAGGAAATTGTCAATGATGTCTTCTTCATCTGGTTGAAACGGTTGGCAGGACACGGTTGGTGTAGCAGTCGTCGGGGATGTGTTCGACGTCGCGCGAGCACTTCTCGGCGCCGCTTTGTCGTCAGCTGAATGCTTACCGTCTGTCCTGTCGTTCTTGCTGCTCCTCTGGGACTTCGACGACTTCTCATCTGCGGCGGATTCCGCGTCCGACTCGGGGATCATGGCTCGTGGACGATGAATCTTCGCTCGCCTCAGGTTCCTGGCGCTTCCTTGGCCGCGCTTCTCTATGCGATTCCCGATGCTGTCTTGTCGTTCGCAGCTGTAAGAACTTTGAAGACTGACCAGGCAGACGCGAGAACTGCTCTGCAAATGAAAATGGTGTTGCCCATGGGGAGGCACTAGTGCAGCAGCTGTAAGAACTTTGAAGACTGACCAGGCAGATGCGAGAACTGCTCTGCAAATGAAAATGGTGTTGCCCATGGGGAGGCACTAGTGCAGCAGAGGTTAAGGTAGTTCCCATACTAGAGGTGGTCCACTTTTGATTACTTCTGCTAGAGCTAGTTGTCGACTCATCATCATTACTCTGGTCCATGTCCGCCATCGGGAACATGCTTCCCGTGCTTCTAGATTCTTCTTGCTCTTGCTGTCCATTTTCAGGTTGATTGTTTTTCGTCTTGTAGTTTGTTTTTCTCTTCCGTCGGGTTGTAGTATCTTCGTCGTTCCCTGCGTGTTGCACCGGATCATCAGGAGTGACGAGGGTCATCCCCGTATTGCCAACTTCATCTTCTTTTTCCAAAGACGCGGGTGGAAAAAGTTGATCTTGCCTTCGTGTCTCCTCTGCATATTTTCCCCCACGACCGGCAGATAGAGCAGCTCCATCCCAGACGACGCCAGCTTTGCGCGCATTAGGCGGGGGCCGTTCTTGCTCCGTGATCACTGAGTGAGCTCCACTGATGGCGCGGCCATCGTGAGCAGGCAGCTCTTCGACCACTTGATGCTCGTGATCATGCTGCGCCGCTGGGGTTTTCTGTATTATAGATTTCCGAGCAGCAGAGCTGGCCCTGAGGCGAATCGATCCTTTCGGCTCCGGTGCTGGAAGAAGAAGATCTCCCCAGGTCGGTTGCATTCTGAGGCTTTTTAGAGTTCCTGAAGGCGGTATTCATTTCGTCCTCCTTCACTCCTAGAATCTTGAGCTCACGCGTGTGGATCGGTGTGACGTCTCCTCCTAGCGGCGCCCTCGTAGTCATATTAGAGTCTATTTAGTACCGTTAAATCGAAATTTATTATTTCTAACATGATAGATACGACCCCTGCGTTAGCGAGTGTCTTCTTGTCGATAATTGCTATCGCTCATCGCATGGTACATTCTGCTCACAATAACGTTGTACATGGTCGAAAGCCCGGGTAAAACCAAGAGAAGCACCAGACGTTTTCATCTTAGATGATCCTGCGAAAATGTTGCCGCATTCAGAGCTGTAACTATGTTGGACGGCACAATGGTAGTCGTTGCACTCCTCGAGGCAGCAACGACGGCTCTGCTTGGAGCAGTCTTCGTCGCGCTATTTCGTGGAGAAGACTCCGGAGGCTCTTCAGCACTTGCTTCATCTAGAAGTTCCGAATGTTGACGAGAAATACCACTTGATGATCAGGATGATAGAATAAGAGAATGCATGGATGTTGAACTAATGACAAGAATGTTGACATCCTTACTTCATAATACATAGCAGTATGCACTACTTGAGGTAGCGAGTGAAAACCACAACAAACAATAAAATCTGAAGCAACAGATAGACACAGAAAAACAAGCACCGTAAAGAACGAACACGAAGTAAACCTTATAACTCTTTTTTTCTGCATGACGAGAAGAGAAAACTTACCTCACAGGAATAACGTTGTGTCCTGTATCAAAGAAATAATGAATGTTGTGTTCTGTATTAATTATTTTTCGCATTCAATTATGGGAGTCAATCAATGGAAATATATCTTATTGTTGGAACACCCGAACACGTCCAAGCGCACTACGAAGCTCATGAGAGCAAATGGAATCACTAAAGTTGCAATGTAACAGAAAGACGACCAGAACGGACGCGCCGAATGATCGCTGACTGTTTAAGGCCCTGAAATGGTACCGAAATGGGTTCAATGTCATTGGGATATCATGAAGGGCCATAGTGCAGTTAAAGATCTGGGAGATCTTGCTGCTCATTCATGTTGGAACTCATATGATCACGCGAGGAACTAACAAGAGTTCAGGACAAGGAACAGCATTGACCATGATCAAGGTGACGAGTGGGAGCAGTCATTTGGCATTGAGATCTTGTTCATCCATTGGATCTTGAGCCAGTAATGACCATTGGCCAACAATTATAATGATGCTTCGTATATCAAGGCTTGATACCTTTTTTCTGCTGAAGGGTCCCAGCCGCTGAGTGGGCGTCTGCTCCTCATCCTTATGTCGATAAAGCGGTCCCAGAAGGAGGAAGAAGAACTCGATTTGCGTGCTTCGCGTGCTACCGAACAATAGGACGAAGTAGTGTTTCCACCTCTCAAATTCTTGGATGAACAGTGCTCGCTTACCTGATGTTGTTGATCATCCAAAGAGTGCTTTGCTGATGCATGAATCGAAATCGTTGTCACATTAGAGCTAGGCGTAAGCGGCCATCCCTGGCGATCTTCTTGGCATTTTCGGCTGGTTGAGCCTAACTATTATAAAGGAAGGAAGCGCTTGTGGAGAACAATGGATCCACCTCTACTTGATGTTGATATTCATGGCTGCAACATTTTTGAAATATTTATGAGGAAGATGATGTAGAATAAAACGATTGCAGAAGTCATATTAGTAGTTGCAACCAGCCTGGTACAGCGGAGAGGTCTTACTTACTCTTTTGCTTTTGCGGCTGTTCAGGATGCCCGTGTTGAGTCTCCAGGGGAACTTAAGGCCGGGTAGGGGCCATGCCGTCACGCGCGCGCGTGTTCCAGAGGGCGGAGAGAAGCTCTAGCGCAGAGCCGGCGGCAGGTGTTCACTGAGGTGTACAGCAACAAAAGTGACCGCTCCGCCTTGACCTCCTCCACTCGACTGCCGGAGCGGAGCGAACAGGGCCCAGAAGTGTAGCGTGGTGGTCGTTTGGGGTGGTATTGTTGGTCGTCTCCAAGCCGGGGCGCCACGTCAAGGCCTCACCACAAGCCCCGGCTGATCGCGGAGTACGACGATCCGGCGAGCGTTGCTCGGCGTGATTCATATTAGTAGAGATGAACATCATGACGAATCACGATTTTTATCTTCATTTTTTGAATCATAATTAATAAATAAATATGATCGACGAGAGGACGAGCTTCAATATCAATTGCACTTGTCGTCGCAGTATTCAGCTCCTCTCCGAATTCTTGGAAATCCACAATCATGGGTGTCGACCTGGGAAAGTCTTGACGAGACAACGTGGAGGTGGACGTGGATATCCTTGATCTTCCGACTCGGAGAAGACTTCTCGTTGACGCATGTCGTGGTGAGGTATCCGTATGTTTCGACTCTGCAGCTCTGTCCTCCTCGCGAGATTTTCTGAGTAGACTATCTATGATCCCGCTGAAGCGAGAAAGACTCCTCCACAAACAAAAGAAGCAAGGCGTAGCGAGAGCCCCAAGTGGAGCAGTAATAGGAGGGGGAGGCCTTTTCCCTCGTCCTCCTGTGGGCTACAACATGCTCCCCACAAGGACTATATGTTGGGCGATATGCTCCGAGGTCGGGCATTCCCCTATATTTAATTATCATATAACAATCGGCAAAAAACGAGGCCCCAGGTCAAGGTTTTACGGGCTGGCAAGTAGACTCCCAAGGCTTGCAGAAGACGAGAGTCAGAGTCTGCAGCGTTTGTGGGTAAGATGTTAAGAGTCTGAGGGCTCACGCCCTCAAACAAAGTGCCAAGGCTTTGCACCTGTGTCAGAGTTTTGGCTTTCAGAGTAGACCAAAAAACGCAAAAGCCTGAGGGCTTTAGCCTCAGGGCTTTCCCCGTCATTTTTCGCCTCAAGCAAGGTCCCAAAGCTCAAGCGGTCAAGGTTTTATTGCGCTCTCTTTTTTCGCAGCTTGCTCAGGGAGTACCTCCTCAAGGTTGCGAAATCAATCCTAGGGCTTTCCCTCCTCAAGGTTTTAAGGGTCAGAGTTAGCCCCCCACAAGGTTTTAAGGGGGGCGCCTGCGCCTGCTGCTCCTCTCAAAAGGATGCCCTTCCGCGTTCCTTGTTGGTCTGCAGGGAATTGCCTCGCAGACCGACAAGACCACCCAAGAGGCGCCGGCGCAGCATCGGGATACACACGTGGCGCCCAGCCTCTCTCCGAGGTAAGCGACAGCAAAACACTCGACGGCAAGCAAAGCCGTTAGCGGCCTGAATCGCGAACGCGGTGCCCGTTTTGTCCCTGGAATGGCCTCAACGAATGCGGGAGCAAACAAAGGCGCGCGAATACCGCCAGACGCGCCGCGGGTAAAGCTCCACACCGTCCGCGCGAACGTGACGCTCACGCGCAGCCCGTCGCCTATCTGGGCGGCACGACTTCGCTGTCTCTTCTCATGCCCGAAGGTTTGCCGCGTCAGGCTTTGCCCTCTCCGAGTTGCCCAAACAACTTAGAGGGCGCCAAACAGCTCAGAGAGCGACACAGGCGACAAGGGTGGCAAGTGGGCAGGCTCTGGCTGCCTCAGGGTTTCCCAGGGTTTGCGAGTCAGATGGTGCGCCCTGGCTTTCTCAGGGTTTGCAAATCAGTCGGCGGAAGCTCTGGCTTCAGGCCAGAAGGCCGGAGGGTCAACATTTTCCCGAGGGTACCCATGTCCGCTGTTACGTACTGAGAGCCGGCCGCTAGCGTCTGGAATCGCGCGCGTGGTGCCCGATTTCGGCCGCTAACAGCTTCAAACCGTTGCGCCGCAGCTCCAGAGGCTCCCGCATTCGCAAGCCCAATCCGGTGTAGCGGCGGCGACGACCGCCCCGCGCATCAACGGAGTACGGCCAGAAGCTCTCCTCCTTTGGTCGCCTTCAGCAAAAAAGGCCCGCGGGGCCAACCCAGTCCACGGCGCGGCCGTCACTAGCAGTCTCGCCCTCTCTCTCGTCCAAAAACTTCCCACTCACTTCTGAGCCCTCGGGTCACGACTAGTCTTCTTTGTAGTTGGGTCCGGCAAGTAGAATACGACGAGGCCTTCGAGTTATGTTTGAATCGACAAACACAAATACCGATCATGACAGGAACAAGTCAGGATCACGTATACCTATACAAGAACATCAACCTTCTAGTATCTATTAAAGCAATGACGAAAACGGCAAAAATTAGTCGTCCTTTCCCTACTTAATTCCATGTTGCATACGCAAAATGTTAGTAGCGTAGGATTTCAGAGTATAATCATGTGATCATCGACAGTCCGATACAAGAAGGGGATGATTTTCGCACTGTACAATTTTTTCCAGTCCTCAGCAGGGGCAAGGCAACAACAACTATTGTTTACTGGTAACAGGCGCAGGTGCGAATTATGATCACGAGTTTCAATGACCTAAAAGGTCCAACCCAACAAAGTGACATACAAACGTTGAATGAGTACGAGAGACCCGGCAAAATATACTAAAGCGACGCACTACCCACTACATGTAAGTACCTCATACGAGAAAGAAACTACAGCCACCATGATTTCGATTTTTTAGGCTACTGTCGGGGTCGGGTCCCAAGGCCAAGGCAGCTCGAGACGCCAATACCTCTAGTAAAAAAGAGGATGAGGAAAGATCCGGCCTCGGCAAGGAGATGTCCGATTGTGGTTCAGCTTATGGACATGACTCACTCTTACACACCCGCTGAGACCGATGGAATTTCGGGTGGTGTCGAATATTCTCCTCAGATTCTTTCACAACTCTGTGGATGGCTTCTTCCTTCGGCAAGACGGTTCTTGCAGTGAAAACGACTGTTGATGATCTTGTTCTTGTACAACTTTTTGATCGCGACCGATAATTCCTATCAATCAATCAACCAATCAATCAATCAGGGTGCCGCTACAGGTACAGGGCACCGTTTACTTTTTTTGTAGTCCTCCTGGAACGCCGAAAGGGTGAGCCCAGTGTTGTCCGGTGTACCAGCCGGCGACGGGTGGAGCGCATTAGCCTCCTTATACTACCGCGAACTAATTGCAAACGAACCCGTCGATTTATTATAAAATGGAGAAATGCCTAGGCGTCGACCTCCCCGCAGCGTCTTTCAAACGCGACAAGGGGACCTATCGTGTCACGGCGCATGAAACCTCGTCTTATCTTGCAACTCTACTTTTTATCCACGTGTGAGACCTTGAGCTTGACCCACCAAGAAAGACGTAAATGAATCTTTCTCGTCAGAGACATGAACATGGATCCATCGCCGTCACGATGTCCCTACCGAATCCTACTCCTCGAGTGCCAGCTGATCCTCAACTTTACAATCACGAATACGTCTTAATACTAGTACTACTTGGGAACGACCGAGTAGAGCACACCAGCAAATCGGCCTGTCTCACGTGAACACGCAGGCAATAGCCTATCCTTAGAAACGAACGAGTTTTTTGTTCTTGAGAAGTTTTCGTCTTGATACAAGTAAAATGACTTCGTGAAGGTTTCTACGCGGGGAGTACGAGTAAGATCCGGTTTTTGAAAGGGTGGAGTCTTTTTCCACGTGAAAACTTCATAGATTATACGTCGGTATTTTTACATCAAAATGATTCCGCTAAGCGGACACGATGTGTTCCCTCAATGGAGATATACGGCTTTTCAACAAGAAGAAGAACAGATAACATAAATACGACCTCCTCAAAGAGAACGAGTTTGAGTTTGAGTTTGAGTTTGGAAGATCTAGATCATCGTTCTTGTAATAAGTTTTTTTTGTACCGCCGAATGTTATGATATAACCATCTCAAGTTGTCTAATTTTTGCTTGCTTTGCACGACATATATATTCAATCTAACATCGCAGCAAGGTGCATATTGTTATTGACGAACAAAGTCCTTCGTCAAAGCCATGAAAGAATGCTAGACTTCTTTCTGAGAGGTCGCCTAAATCTAAAAGATTTCCTTGTGTCCTCTGTAGGTACAGCACTTCTAAAAATCTGCGTAATCTCATTGAAAGCCACAGTCTGCATATCCATCGGGTGGTAGGTCATCCGAGCTAAAATCATTTCAAACATCCTAAGAGGTGACTCTGATTTTTACTGATATCCTGATGCTCCTGATACAGTTACAAACACAGAGACGATGACGATTATGTATAGAGGTAGATAATTAGACTCTTCCACTAGAAGAAGTTTACTCTTCCTGGAACTGCGTGCTCACCTTGCTTTTTCGTCATCAGTATCAGTCTGTGCTGCGCCACTGCGTGGCGCTTCGTGGGCACCATGCGAATCTTCTTGGGCACTAGACGAAGCTCGGTCGAAGGCTGCTCACCTGCCCCCAAGTAGTTCACGGTGTAACTTCGCGAAGACATCAGGAGGTATCCGTTTCGCAGATTTGGCCGCGCCGAGCAAAGTCCTTCCCTGCTTCACCAGAGCAGCCTGTGGGTCGGAGTCGTTTCCTGTCTGTTGGGGCGAAGGAAAATACGCCTGCATGCTTTTCAGTGGGTGGTTGTCCATCGCACGCCACGTGTTTAGACGCGCGAGAAGGTCCAAGAGGTGCCACACTTTGAGGCGAAAAAGTGTATAATTGAAAGCTTTTCTGCTTTTTTTTGCGTTTTCCGTCTGCGTGATACCTCGTCCATGTTCACCTGACCGGAGTTCCGATGCTGCCTCCATGTCCCGTAACCACAAAATCCTTCCAAGAGGTGCGAAAACCAAGATATTGCTGGTTGGCTCGAGTCGCATCGTGGAGTTGGGTTCTACAGCTGCTTTAGATGGCGACTGTCTTGTTATTTTCTCGATTTCGGCGTCAAAAGCGACTCCCGCTAGCATTTTTCCGACCACTTGCACTGCCTTGGACAATTCATCTTCACTTAACGGCGAGGTGTCCGATGCATGACCCTGGTCCCGGTGAGCAGGTTCATCACCTGTTCCATCAAGATGAGAGCCTCCACGAGAATGCCGAGGACCAAGAAATGTGTGTTCTTGTTCTGGCGGGCTAGTAGATGCCGCAGCAGATATACATCCTGCACATTCTTGAGCCGAAGCACCGCGGCTGTTCGATGCTTGTCCAGGACTCTGTCTTTCTTGTGGGTCCTTCTGCACTTCGGGAACACCTTCTCCTCCAATTTGTGTCGGATTGTCCCGTACAGCGTCATCTGCTTTTTGATGCCCGTGATCTCCAACCGTGGCGGGTGCGCTGGCCGACACAGCTGCAGGCAGAGGAGTCCGACTCTCTCCTCCTTCCTTCGTTTTTTCCTTCTTCGATCTTTCGTCGGGTCCCTTCGTTACTTTCACAGGCCTCATTGTCACGCGAGGAATAAAGTCGTTGTTGAAAATAATGTTCGTGGCGTCTGCGAAACGAGCCTGCGCGCCCTTGTGGACAATAATATTCTTCTGCGTCTGCGTCCAGTCATTGCCAGCGACGAGAAAAGGAGGAGCAGAGAAAGCTACGGTTCGAATTGGTTTGTCCATGAGTAACGCTCTCAGCTGCGGATTCTGTTGCCACATTCCGTGCAACATCAGCGCTAAGGCGCCCCCCTGAGAGTGTCCAGTGAAGACTACGCGGTCAAAATGCTTACGTAGGTGCGTAATATTATCCTCCCGCATCCTTAGTTTTTTCTCCTGCTGTTCACGACCGGCATCACCGCCAAAGAAAAGCGATAGGTCTCCAGACGGGTGGTCTATCGAGTCTACGTCAGCGGCATGCTTATCCTGTGTCTCCCGTAGCACGTCGTGCCCAGCAATACTTGGCTCAGATCTTTCAGCGTGTTCATCTCCACTTGAACCTTCAGCACGTTCAGATCCTTCAGATCCAGCGGCACTCGTCGCGGTGCTACCTGAACCTGAACCACTTGTACCCGGAATATCTTCGGGGGAAATGACACACCATTCATCATCTTCATCGTCTGGCGATTCTACCGTAGTGCCATCTTCTCCTTGATCGGGAAAATGATGCGCGTCTCTTCGTCTTTCGATTAGTTGCGCGATCAACTCCTTAATGTCACCCGCCAATCGATTGTGAAAGCGATAATGCGGCTTCACGTACGAGGCTGCTGCCGCGGCATCTGTCTCGGGTCCGTCTTTATCGTTTTCAGGGTCTACGCTGAACCATCGGGGGCCGCCCAATGGACTAGTGTTCACGAGGTGATCAGACAAGGTTGCCGAATTCGTTCCCCGAAAGACCACCCACAGTGTTCTATTCGTCGGATCGATCTGCAAGTACCATCGTGGAAGCTGATTCTGGAAAACGCGGGCCACGCTCCATTTTTTGGGCCTCCCCACGACCACAATGTTCTTTTGCGTCTCTGCGGCTTGGCTACTTCTGTCGTGGCTTGCTTCCACGGGCATCAAGGTCCTTGAGCCAGACCCTTCTAGATGTTTCACCATAGCCTCATGGAATCTTTGGACATCTGCCTCCAACGTAACTCCAATCTTCTTTTTCTTGGTGGCTGCGTCGTGCGCTGCTTCGGCAATTTCCATTTGGCGCTTCGAGTTTTCGTCACTCTGCGTCGCAGACGAGGATTGTTGTTCGGAGAGGCTGCCGAGTTTTTCGTCGAGGAATTTGTTCCATTCTTGATTCAACTCAGGAGCTCCATCAAGAACTTCTTCTCCCTTGAATTTCATGCACATCCAGAACGCGGCGTTCACCAGAGGGTCATCACTTTCCCCGGTGCCAGGATCACGAGGCCCTCCGTGCATAGAGTTCGCAAAACGAAGGAGAGCAGGAGACGCTGACGCCAATGACGCGGAAGCGGTACTTTGTCCAGCCAGCGAGCACCCCTGCTGACCTGTCAGCGGCACAGTCCCCGTCTCACCGAGATCACGCCCACCTGGAGGCTGCTCTGCTGCAGCGCAACTCGTTTCCACAGCAACCTCGTCCGGTTCATCTTGGTTCCGCCCATTCGCAGCCGCAGCACAGGCCCTGGAAGATGATAATGTTCGTTGAGCCTTCTCGTCCTCCTCCTCCTTTTCCTCTTCTTCAACAAGTTTGTCTTGTATTTCTCTGTAGGCCTGAAGGAGATGGGCGTGGGCGCTATCGGAGCAAGCAGCACTGTAAATAGTGTCATACACGCCCCAAGTTGCAACACAGCCGACGGCAGTAACGCGCTCACCCATTGTGAGAGCCTTTGTGGCCAGGGAGGACCCCGCGCCGATCACCAGGTTTACCGAATTATTTGCCACACTCCAGAGCCGATCAGGAAGCGTTTCATGTGCATCTGGTGATCGCCCTTCATTACCTTCTCCTGATTGTGCCGTTGTAGGCGCTTGCATTCCATCATCCCTAGGAGTGTGCGCATCCCCATTTTCTGGCGGGTCTTCTTGTGCGAACGAAGATGCGGTGGAATGTTGCGCCCCCACGCCACCATCAGCTCCCTTAAACGCGCGCGCAGTGGTCGAGAGTAGCACGCTCATAGCGAGTGTTACGAGAAGAAATTTTGATGTGAAGTACCTCATCTTCATCTTTTAACATCCAACTACAAAATTAATGAGTTTGAATAATCAAGAAATTAAGAAAGTGGCAGTGTTATGCTTATGGTGGAGGTGGTCGTTTGGTATTTCTTGTGCTTGCTTCATGCTATTCTTGTTAATGAAGAATTCATATCATAATTTCGTAGAAGTGTTGGGGAATAATTCGCGAGGTAATGTATTTATAGTACAAGAAGACAACGGAACAAATAAGTATAAATAATACAAATACTTTTACTTGCCATGTAAATTCATACCGATAAAAACGCGAAAGTGAAAAAGGTTGAGCCAGCAAATCAATAGTGTGAAGTCTACCTTTCCTAATACAGTACTTTAAAATGTCAAAACAAGATTTCGTGCTGGTACCTTCTCAGATAAGCTGTTGCGAAGTCTTTAGTTGAGCATCAATGTGTAACATTGATAGCAGGAGTCGGGCCTTTTCTTTCTTGTAATATTGCAAGATCTCCTAGAAGAATCGCAAGGCTCTCTTGTGTGGATCTTCGCGATCGATTCAATTTCAATACAGCTATCGAATAACTAATATAGAATCTTCAACACCTTGTGGTAATCCTCAACTGGACATGATGGTGTCGAAGATCAGAGAACTTGTCCTCTTTCATCATGATGGATCTTATATATTCATCCCGTCTGATCTTGGATCTTTGCGTTCCTTACTTCTTCGTATGTCCTTGTCTGATCATGAAGACTGTATGAAGTATCTATAATAATGAAGCGTGTTTTCCTCGTAGTACCTGGAACTAGTTGTCCTTTTTCTAGCGTGAAGATCAGCAATCTTACCAGAAAAAACTGAAGATCTGGGATCTCTGATCATTATCTCGCCTGGTGGAACATGTAAGATGAGGTTGATCCTTGGAGACAATTTCAATTTGCTAGGGTCTGATCATTATTTATGGATTTTGCTTTGTTGATCTATCTTGTGGCATTGTCAGTCGGTGAAAACGACTTCTCGCAGAGCTCGTTGACCTCGTTATTGATCGCACCAAACGGACAGTCCTCCTGTTCATGAAGATGATCTCCGATGAAGTTCGTTGCTCCTTATACTTTGTCTTTGCTTTATCTTTATGCATCATTTTGATTCGAAAGTGCGAGCGCGATGTTTATCCCAGTCCAACGACCACTTGTCGCGTCATCTCCCACAGATTCTCGGCCGGGAAAGTTGTCGTTGAAATGTCAAAAAGCGTACTAGATGAAGATGCATCAGCGTCTATTTTCAACAAAAGACCGTGACAACTCGTGTCTGTTGTGGCGGAAAAGAACAGCGCACGAAGACAGGAGTAGACATGATGATCAGGCGGAATCATTATTAAATAGATGGGATGTTTAATTTAGTATTTTGTCCAGCTCCAGTTATGTACTTAGCTGGGGATGTAGCTTTCGGATTGAATTTGAGAGCAACTGCAAAGATATCAATCAAGAGGAAAATCTAAGTAATGTCTATCTCAAAAGCGTCAAATTCCTCTCGATTTCTCCAGTTCACAATTCCTCTTGTGGTTTTTCATCATTGACACCGAGCCAAGTCTCCGTACGCTTCCCATCATGACTTGAGTATTTGATTGAGAAAGCGTCGCGGCCCGTTACCTGTTCGGTTATCATTTTCAGCTCGATTTTGGTTCAATTTGGTTTTTGTCTGAAAGCGGTGCTATCGACGGACACTACAGGAACAAGAAAGATAAACTAGCTCAATAACAACTCAGTAAAGGTCGTGGTACCTGTAGAAGATCCCGGAGTGCGAGGTCAAGTTTTCGGACTGAATTGCTGGCGCCCTTCTTATTCCATATTTCAATTTTCCACATCTTCTTGTAGACGTGAAAGGATGCACCGAGAATTTCATCGTTCTCGTCGAGCAACTGGCGAAATGTGCCGCCAACCATTGCGAGACAGATATCCGTGAAGAAATTAAATCGCTCACCCACTCCCATCTGGGGAAGTATCCATCGACCTGAAACACGATTTTTATGGGGAGGGAATGGTAAAAATGGATGTAGGTTTTGGAACAAGTAGGTACTTCTCCCTTTGGAAATAAACCAAAGCCAAATCAATACCGATGATTCATCACACGATCATCACGAACCAGTCGTATCCACCCTTTTCCTTTCCTCCACCACAAATTATCTACAGCAGTAAGATCAGTCTGAATTTTCTCGTCAAATCATATACAGTATAATGCACTACTTGAGGTAACAGAGCGAACTCCAACATTCAAACGTATTGATATTTATACATAGATACATATACATAGGAATCATGTAACGAGAAGTACCTCCTCCTTCATTGTTCTTGTCTTCCCACAAAGGCTGGACAGGTGATCGAAAAAGACTGAGGCAGCCGCTCGCTTCAGACAAGTTGTTCCATAGTCGCCAAAAATCCTGGACACTTTTTATGTCACTCACCTGGTATTAAGAAATATACAGTAAACAAACAAGGAAGAAGGTGAAGGAGAAGAAGTTAATGAAAAGCAAAGGGTGAGGGTGTACAGTGATTGAGTGTAAGAAAAAAAGTCGGACCTACCGGATCGTGATGAAGGTGAATAGGATAGGAGTTGGCTCGCCGTCCACAGTTTGACCTGTATCCTCGGGCGAACGTCCGTAGCCTCAGAGCGACTACCAAACAGTAACTATCGCCAGCTACAACTTCTTGAATGTAGTATCACGCCCCCTCTACTCCCCTCTACTGGACCGCGTGACCGATTTATGCGCTGCAGAGGAACGCATGACAGATCTGGCGGCATCCATTCGACTTATAGATCCCGACCCTTCGTTTATGTTTTCATTCGACTTATTCGATTACTTATCATTCCATTTAGTTTCACGCTCTACTTAGATCCTTGCCCTTCGCTCTTGTCTCATCTAGGCTACGACCTCCACAGTATTACGAGGTACCAAAAAAATTATTCAATTTTTGATATACCTTCGTAAGTCCTTCGGCGTAGTTTCCACTTTTTTTTGCCCAGAGGATGGAAGACACATCCTGCCACCAGAGCGAGTAGGTTTCGCGCAGAGGAAAGATCTTCGTTGACCTTACTAAGCTCCCGTCCTCTTCTGTTATTATGCAGTCGCCCTCTGCTACCACAGTTGCGAAGTCGAAGTTTTGCTCTTCGAACTCGTAGCTGCCAAGGTCGTTCAGCTTTGCAAGCGCTGGATGGCACGCATCGTCAGCCCCACGTATAACGTCTGCCGCCGCCATCTTCAATAGCGTCCTCTTGAACAACGAACTGTTCACTTCAGTTGTGTCACAAGGAAGAGGATTCTCTTCTACAATGTCTCCTGATATCCGCTAGTATTGCGGAGGGGATAGTAAAGATGAGGAAGTCCTGCTCTGTCCTTCCGCGTGGTAGAAAGAGGTAGACGTTCTGGTTTCGCGTTTATATTCCTTTCCCCTTCTCTTCTACTGTCCTGCGATCTTCTTTTGCTCCGCATTAATCGGGAAAATTGTTACGTACTTGTGGTGCAACGTGCTCCCGCAACCCGCTGGACAAACCAAATATTTGTCCAATAAACACCTGATCCGACTAGTGTACCCCTGGTGCACTGCCAGTGTGCTTCTTCAGTTGTCGCGATCGTTGGAGACCAAAAACTACTGTTGTTCCGCTCAGCGTTTGCTCTCAATCATACGCTCAACTCCAAGCGTTCTCCTTACAACTCATGACACCAGGCTACTTCGCAGAAGAGGTAGTTAGACGCTCTTCATTATCACTCTTCACGGCGTGCCACGGTTAGCAAATCGTTCGGATTGTCGTGAGCGAAAAAGCAACAGGCAAGCCGAATGTACAACAAAGGGCAGCAGCGATTGGTTGTGGTTCATCAACACAATTCAAGTACTTATTTTAGCAAGATTTGAAGAAAAAACGTGGTACAACAGGACTAGATTATCTATTCATCCACGAGCATCACCATAACTACTAGAATTGTGTAAGCACCAAACGATTGCAAAAACGAATCTGTAAATTGAAATTCACCGAAATAAAACGAGTGGTGCGCGAAACTTCGCCAACGGAAATCCTGCTATGCACAGTACCTCGAAAACGCAAAATCAAGAGAGATAAGATTAAGAACCCGTTTTCGTGTCAGTCCTACTTCCCAAAAGAGCGTTAGCCTCATTGATGATCTTACTTCCGCCCACTATCAGTGATAGATCCTGCCTTCTTCCACGGTCGGCTAGACAATCATGGGATGCATCAAGTATCAACCCAGGCGCTCGGATAGAAGTCTATACACGCCGAATTGGATCCCGCAGGTCTAGTCAACAAAGATGTTGAAGCTAATTAGAGCAGTTTTTTTCAAAAATCGCTTTGCCTTTGCGTTACTAGTAGTCACGTTTTTACGATTTCAAATGAATCACTCGTCTTTTCCAGGCACTTTTTTTCAGAGTAAGGAGTTGTTTTCTTTTTCTTCCGCGAATCGGCTTCACAGGGAACAGAACCTATGTTTATGAATGCAGAGATAACATCCTGCTTTTCAGATGCTTTTTGTGCGAGGACATCTTTTAGCTGTATTTCTTTTCCTACCCTCATCTTTCGGAGCGTCTGCAGCTTTGTGCACACTCAAGTCAACCTTGTGTGAGATCCAAGCCGATTTGCTCCTGGTCCTAGGTAGCTCTTCGGATGTTGTACTTACACGTGTAAGCATGGTGTTCATGGTTCTGGCTTCATTTTCGTGATATTTACGCGGGCAGCTTTCGCGGTCCTTGTAGTGTACTAGGAGTAAGCGAAGACCACAATCAATGCTTTCGTACAACCCTTCATCTCGCAACAATATGATAAATTACGGGCGGCCTGCCACGAGGAGCTCACAGATTAAGCCAATTGTGTACAAATGAATCTTCGCTAACCAAAAATAGTTGAATCTGGGGGATTAAGGATTAGGGACGAACTTCTAATGTGCCTTTCTCTATAAGCGAAATGATATTTCTATTTATCGATCTTTCGATTTTGATCCAAATCTATGCGATAAAATCCACGTGATATCCACTATGACAGTGCTTGCGTGTACCCTCGAGGACATGGACAGCTCGTCCTCATAGACATTTTGTTAACTGTGCGAAACGAGTACGAGTGCGTGAGTTCAAAAAGCAGCAAAGTGACATTGATTTAGTCTCTCTACCTCGGACTGGAGGCAGCAACGGAAATTACTACAAGATGTGCGAAAGCGAAAGCTCGGCTTTTTCTTCTCGACTCTCTATGTTGCAAAAAATGGCTTGCTCCTTGCAAAACCTGTTGTTACACCTCTATCGGCAACGTTCTGTGCGACCTGCTGCATTCTCCGCGTCTCGGCAGCTGCATTTCGAAAACGGGTTTGGAGGGACTTTTTATTCACCAACGATGCTCCCCCGTCTCCTGCTCCTCGGGGTTTCTTGCTTGTGCCAAGGCTTACTCCACCTGGACCTGAGCCACTTCCTTCTACTAGTCGTGCGGCTCGAGTGTACTGATCGAGTATCTCGTGGACTGTGTTGGGGACCGGTCGCTCGGGCATCCACGCAGCAGAATGTTGAGGCGCTGTTGCGCTTCCGTGGAACTGGTGCAGGTGATTGCCGCCGCGACTCATCACCATACTCGTATTTCCACTTCCCGCTTGCTCGCGTGCCCTCAAATTCCGCTGTGGACCTTGGAGATGGCCAGCGTCCGCATAGAAAGCCACGGCGTGCTGTGGATGCCCAGGTGCTGGAGGCTGCTGATGCTGCACTACCCCTTTCGCGGCCGACGGATGTATCAATGTTCCGCCAACGAGGTGTTGCTGCAGCCCTCGCTGCGGTGGTGCGAAGAAGCGCGTGCTCGCTGAGCTGCTGGACGTGCTCGCTTCCGACAAATAGCGCTGCAGCTGGTGCTCGGCTACTGACAGCTGCGGTGCGATTGACAGAGGAGGGTAGTTGTCGATCGCTTCAGAGGATGAAGCCGCATATTGACCTTGTGGTACCATAGTTGTGCTGTTGTGAGTAGAGGAGAGACTTGATGTCGCTTCCAGTCCGCGAGAATATCGAGTACGGCGCTGCCCTGGGAACGGGGCAGAGAGTGTGCCTGTTGCTGGAGGTAGCCCTGCCTGATGTTGAAGACCTTGCTGAGCCTGTGATTGTGCTGCAACGTTGCTGGTCGCCATTGGATTCAACATCATAGCTGACATATCTACTCCCATGTTGCTCACACTGCCGCTCGGATGCGCAGGGAGACTAATGGTTCTGTCATGCTGCGCATGCTGAGACATCATTCCAGGAATGGATGCTGGATTCGGAATTCCACGATGTCGTCCGACCGGAGGCGCAGACCTCTCCAACCGCGTTTGCGCACGCCCAACTAGGCCGACACTGGACGACCGACGAGATGAACGCCGGGAAATCGATTCCAATATGAAAGAATCTGAATTTCGAGCACAAGCCGTGAGGCCAAATATATATCTAGTGCGTACTGTGATGTATGAAGCTGACGGTGTTTCAGTTTCTCTTTCTCAACTAGGAATGATCTTAGTAAGAGTAAACCAACTCCTCGACAACTTTGCTGCGACCTATACGAATTAATTGCAAAACAGAGGGTATTTTGCATTATGTACCTCGCGCCGCGGTGCTGTAGGCTTGGTCGCCGGTCGAGGACGCTGCTCCGGAATAAACGACGCCGATTTCCGAGGGCGCACCGCTTGTGGTCCCATAACTGTTGCTGCTATTTTGATGAAATCGAGAAAATTCTAGGATGGATATCGATATCATCAATCTTCACAGTCTCCCATCTACTGAAGATATTGTTTGCCTACGTACAGCACCCAATAGCAATAGAATGACTAAGACAAAAATGTAAACGTAAGCACTACTTGTTACGGTAGCACTGTCGAGTCATTCCCTTTTTCATCTTAAACTTCTAGACAAAGACAACACAAGAAGAAAGCACAGAGACTAACAATCTGTCTTGTGGCTCGCTTTCACTCTGTCAGACTCGCTGGCACCTGAATTTGAGCGAACCCAGATCGCTTAAATTGACGCGCACCTACTCCCACGAGGGTGAGCCATCTTGCTGGGTCGATCTTCATCCAGATCAAGCCAGTCAGATCGATTGCCCGCGCAGCGACGGTTATCCATCTGGCCGAAGAAGCTAGGCGCGGGCTGAATCTGAAAGCCCGAAGCTTGATAGATTTCGCCAAAAATAACAGCGCGCAACTGCGGAAAGACAAAGAGAGGCGCGCGACATCACTTAGGTGCCTCCCCGGGCCACACACTAAGTAGCTGCGCCCGCGCCGCTGCCAAAAACATTAAGAAAAGCGGAGAGGCACACGAAGGCGCCGAGGGGTCACCGCTCGGCTTTGTCCTTGTTCTGACTCACGCCAGTGCTTTAGCCTACAGTCATGCCCCAGCACAAGGGGCCCGCAAGGCAATGCTGGCGAAGATGAATGACGGAGAAAACGGAGCGCGGACCACTTCGAAAATGGACGCCGCGCAAACCCATCAATTCGCAAACCCCCGACCCCCTCGAACCACTTCAGAGCGGCCCCACCGGCTTTCCTTCATCTTTGTTCCAGTTTCGCTCATAACTTTTGGCGATCTTGGCTAAATCAGTCAGGCAAGGCCTTGTCCTGCACTTGGGCCCGGTCCAGTGCGTGGGCTGCGCTGTGGCGTTTTTCTTTGTTGCGAAGGGAGACACGCTCTGACACTTGCCAATGCCTGAGGGGAGCGGCGGCAAGCCACCCCTTCCGAGACCGGCAGCAACGACGTACCCCTAGCCGACCGCGAAGAGAGTCCCACCGGCAAACCATAGGCTACAAAGCCGCCGAATGAAAGACCTCGAACAAGAAAGGCGGGCAAGCTTTCTCAGTCTCAATGTCCAAGAGAACAAAGCAGAGAACTGCCCCAGCTTTCGACCCCGGACATCCTCCGATATTCGACGCACTCGCGGGGCCTTCTCATCGACTTGGTGTCCGGGGCGCAAGCGGATCGGCCTGGTAGCTGAGCGCACTACAGCATTCCACTTGGCCAGAATAAGCGGCGCGCCGCCATTGACATATGAAGCAAGTGGCGCCGTGCGGTCTTGTTGAGGAAGCGGCCGCCTGAACATGTGGCGCATGTAGGTGCGGCGGCGACGATGCGCACCTCCGCAGCGGCGCAAAGCGAAGCCGCGGCAGATCTGCGACGGCACACGAGGCAGCCGTGGACGATGGGTGCCCCGATGGTCTTAGTGCTTTCAAAAAAATAATGTTAGGGTCAGAGTTGTCCTAGTTGTCCAAATACTTGTACTCGGGCCACTTGAGGTGGAGGAAGGCATCGCATGATGCTAGAGAAAAGACGGCCATCTTCTGAGAAGAAACAGAAATGAGACCTGGAGCTTTGTATTCAATACTATCTACCTAAGGTTTTAATTTCGAAGAAATCTAAATTATTGCAATCGTATTCATGAAGTACTAGGCGCCACTGAGCATGTCTTTGTGTGCATTAAAAAGCTCTTCCTCAAGCTTCATGTTGTCTGCAGAAACCTCCGAGACATATTTCGCTTGGCGTGACAGTTTCCCTTCGAGTCGCATGCGATCGCGCTTTTCTCGCTGATTTTGTTTTTGAGTGTAGAACTAGCAACTGAATTTGTTGAATGAGAATGTTGTAGAAATTGTTGAATGTTGATTCAACATTAAACTCTTATGGAAAATGAAGAACAGCGCCAAGTCTAAGTCTAACGCAATCGATATTTAGTGCCTGACATTCGTCACGGAGCCGCTTCACGCGATCTTGAAGGCTTAGTATGTCCGTCTCAGCGTCCATGTGCTGCCTTGCTAGCTCTTCCGTAAGAAAGAAGTTTTCTCGTACCAATTCGTTTCCCACTGAAGGTGCAGACTTTTGCCGCATTGGAAGCCCACCCTGAAGACAAGGACAGGAGGAAGTAGTTTGAGTTTTTGGTGGCGTCATCACGACCTTGCTCTCTACAGTGCAGATTCAAATTCAGGCGCAAGAACGATAGCGACTTTCCCAAGTTTTTCTGCGGAAATCAACTTCAACATCAAGAGCCGTCACGTGATAAGGGATAAACCTACGCTCATTCCACCGTTGTGACGAATTATCAGCACTTACCGCTGCTGCTGGATCTGTTTCACTGGCGACCGGACTAGGTTCTGCTGGACTAACGAGGCCAGGACCGGACCCGATAGACAACGTGGCACTCGGTGGCTGCAGCAGGGTATAATTCTTGAATGAAAAACGTAACTCTACTGTTATGTAGCCCTCAGCCAACTCATGAAAAAGACATGCATAGGGACCTCTAAAAATGTCGCTATTCACGTGAGGACGATTGTATTCACCCCATTTTGTTTCACCTCTGTCATAGACTTTTTCTGTTATGCAGTGCAAACAAGGAGCAGTACGAAGGATCCGCCTGCGTCCAGTGGATTCACGAAGCCGCCAACAAGATTTATTGGCGCGCTTCTCCTACTTCGCATTTTCTCGTAAGCGGCTTGGACTTTTCTACGCGCGCGGTCACATGGGGATGTGAGCATCAGCGTTTCCTGCAGCATCGCGGCATTTAATGTTGATGAGTATCCTCCACGCTGCAGTGCGGCCGACCCCAGTTGTGAAGTAGCCGATGCTCCCATTACAAGCGACGGCGTCGCGTCTTCAATGGTTGAGGCCTTCTTTACTGACACGGAGCGCCGCTGCGCAGGCGGCGCTTCGTAAGGTGGTCCTGCAGAGGAAGATCGCGATGGCCCTTGATGCAGCCAGGCATTCTGCGGTAGAAGGACCGTGGTACCCGTCGAAGCATCGAGGTGTAGACTCCCTGTTTTGCCTAAATGATCACCGCCGCCGCCTGGATTCACAGTACCTCCAACGCCTATTGCTCCTGGAGGTAGCTGTCCACGATTAATCACCTCTCCGCCAGAGCCGTCGTCATAGTGTAAATTTGCAGGAGAAGAGCAGCCCAGCTGGAAAGGATTCATGACGGCCCGCGCCGTGCCGTCCTCGTGCAGCAACGGGACACCTCCTGCTGTACTGGATGCGTTCTTTCCTGCACTAGAAGAGGAAGAGGGGCCACCAGCGCCAACTTGATTCTGGAGAAAGCGTGCAATTTCTCCAGAATCCACCGAGCTGGTGTCGTCGTTCTCTCTTTGGCACATCGCTTTTTCAAGCCGCAGCCGCGGAATGTTGCAGCCTGGACGAAAAAGTGCTGTTTGAGGTGGCACGCGACAAAAAGGTGAATTGTCACTCAGGAACGTCTTCAACGAGCTGTTTCGCTGAAGTAGCGGCTGCCGACTACTTGCTATAGTTTGCTGCGGAAAAGCGGTCTGTTGCGCTGGCTGATTATGGCCAGTTGATGAATAGGCGCCGCTTGTCAACGAGCCTTGCATCTGATGATGTCCTTGGCCAGCAGATCCAGATGCCTGTAATTGCATAGAGCCTCGGTCTGCTGGCGTCCGGGTGCCGACAGACGTGATATCGCTGATACTGCACGATATCTTGCCTCCGGATGCACCGATGCGACCGCTCGCGGTGCTGCCAGGTTCCGCCTTTCGTTGCACAGCGCCAGGCAAGAGACTACCCAGACTAGAATGGTAACCGCTCATCATCAAAGGGTCGCGCGTACCACTAACGGAGAGGCTCAACAAATCGCTTGGAGCGCGATCGTGGCTTGCTTGCCTGACACTCAAAGATGACGATGACGAGGTTGCTTCCCTCTGCCTATTGTTATCGTGGTATTCTTGTTCAACACCTCGGCCCAATAGATTGCTGCCAGTATCATGATTTTTTCCAAGAACTACTCCATTACTGGCAGAGGTGGGATTTCTCCCACGAACTCCGTGTCGCTCGGCTGAGAAAGATAGATGCTGTCTTGCACCAGCGCCCAGATTGTTTCGGCCTTGATTAGTATCATCTTCATCCGTGATGCGTGACCTCGCGTCGAGGTGTGCCGCGTCTCCTGGATTTGTTCCCGGCGCTTGCGTGTGATGGCTCTTCGAGGATACACTGGAAAACACTCGGCCAGTTCCATGCGGTGGGGTGATATCCATGCTTTCGAGCTGTCGCGCGTGCATGGCGATTGCTTCCTGCAAGTCTACACCACCGCCACTGCGCGATGCTGGGTCCAGCTGCTTCGGGTTCTTGATTTTTGAGTCTTGACGCTCCCTCGCCGCACTAGCTGAATTTGAAAGTTCGAACTGGGCTGACATCTCGAGCACACCAGCGAGGTCCGAGTTATCAAGGTCGGGGCTATTGTTCTGGATTGTGCTAGCACCATCAACGGACCCAACATCGTTGCGTGGTGGCCCAGGGCCTCGCCCACTCATTGTCTTTGGCTGCTCCATTGCAACCGTACTGTACCCGCCCCTCATCACAGGTGCTGTCGGTGCAGCGGATTCAACAGCTGCTGATGCGCCGCCTTCGGCATCTACTATCGCACCGCCGCTGGCCACGTAGCTCTGCTGGAGCTGAGACCTGTTGATACTCGCGCTGAGTGCGGAGTTACTCAGGTGAAGAGACGCGCCAGCCATTGACGCGGCACGACTGCTTGAGGAGGACGAGGCGGTATAGAGATCTGACATGAGCGATGCCCCTCTTGAGGGCACTTCGACGTTGGACGAGAATCCAATTTGCCGGCTCTGCTCCGTAGAGGCTGCATTGTAGTGGAGTACTCCGTTTAGATTTTCCCGCGAAACAGAGACGCGGAGATCGTCAATCGCCGCGGCGTCCATCGTATCAGAAGGCATCGAATTCGCCCCTGCTGTGTTGGATTCGTGCGCAAATTTGCCTGAAGTCCCGCTGGACGCAGCTGCTTCAGCTTCGTGGTTGTTGAGATGTCTGGAACCTTGTGAGTGGCTTTTTCGAAAGATCTGTCGTGGTGATTCATCGTCAATGAATGTGGCTGGTTGTTGCGCGTTCGCGTTGGCCTCTGAGGCTGAGAGAGGAGGCGTGGATTCGCGGTTCAAGCCGATGTCGCCTTCCAACGACCCATCGCGGTCCGAGTCAAGTCGGAAGAGCGGATTCCCGTTTACTTCCTCGTCAACCAACTGGGTTATGCCGCCCATTAAGCTACGAAGGCCACCATGGGAAGACGTCCCGGCGGATAAGACACTACGATCCGAGCTTATGCGGCTAGAACCCCCAGCAGGCGCAGTTCCGTGAACTAAGTGGTGCAAGACGCTCATCGAGGCAGTGGAAAAGCGCATTTCATCGCTGCTCTGGTGGTTTGCCTCGCCAGCCGCGCCAGCGAGAAGTCCACTAGGGCCTTGCCTAGTCAGCTGCCCAGCACTCTTCTTGTTGTTTGCTGTCATCCAACTGCTGTCTATACTCGAAATAAGTTCCACGGCGTCCGAAGGAATGCGCACAGACTCGTACATGACATCGTCGAGGTCACTTCTATGAGATTCTGGCTGATCGAAGCTAGTGCAAAATTGATTTCCATTCTTAGAGGTGTTCCCCATTGCAGTAAACCCTACTGCTTCCACTTCCTGCGTTTTGGTCCAGACCCCAGCAGCAGCATGCACTTGGTTCAGAAACTCTTGATTGCAAAACGAGTTTTCGGCGGCGCTGCTGGCCAAACTGGCGTTTGCAGCATCCGGTGTTCCGATAAAAAACTCTCCATGCTGGTTTCCAGGTGGAAGTAGAAAATTTGGATTGTTCGCAAGACTAACCGGCAATCCGGTATTACCGAAGGCCGCTGCGGACGTGCCACCAGAAGGCGGAAAAACACCTGAGAAACTGCTCGATGCAGCTCCTCCAGTCAGGGGATCCGAAGGGCTGCCGGCGCTCGGATAGGTGTGGTCCTCTGTACCGCTAGAGTCGTCCTCTTCTTGTGTGCTAACGCACGACTCTGACGGTGCGCCACGCAGCGGCAGCTTTACTGCGCCCTGTCCTACCGGGATCTGTTCTGGAAATATGACACCGCTTTCGACGACAGGCTTAGTGAAACAGCTCTTGCTGGAGGCAGAAGATGCTACGACATTGGCTTTAACGCTTTGCGCTTCAACTGCTCGCTCCGTGACAGAAGTGGTCAACACTTCTTGCCCTTCGTCGCCGCTGGAGGTGCTCATGTCTGGCTGCAAGCATACCGACGAGGTGTCTGCCCCCGCGTCTCCGCGGAGTTCTGTTGACAGCGGGGGAGTGTCCGGAGGTGGTGCTGGAGGCGTATTCACAACGCTTCCTGAATGCGCAGGCGGCGCATCTGCCGGTGGGATGTCAGGCGAGCAAGAGAGGTCATCATCGTCTGGCAAACAGTACTTGTCATGCACGAAGTCGGACGCCTTTTTTACAAACGGGATGGGCAGTGTCGGGATATGGACACTTCCCGGTGTTGTCGCAGCCGGGCTAGCAGCTTTTATTGGCGGTGCAACTATTGATGCGCCAGCACCATGACCATCTACTTCACCTGGAAGATGAGTATTCGCTTCCTTTTCCTCGGCAATCATGGAACTTATCGTTTCTGAAGGCCCACCGACTGTGCTCACCCCTAGGTCGTCCTGTTTCTCTTGCAGCGGATATATACCGTCTTCAGGACTGTTTTTGCCCAACGCTGCTAGCCCGCGCATCAATGCACGATCTAAAGCAGTGGCTGCGGTCTCTTGGGGTCGCTTTGCCCGCTCAGCCATCGTCCTCGCGTAAGGCTTAGAAGACGACGACGAAGAGGATGAAGATGATGCAGGTAATCCCTGTTTGATGTTGCTAACACTACTGACAGCGGACGTTACAGAAGAGGTGGATGATGAGGAGGACCCTCCGTTTGCGTCGTCTGAGAGGTAGCTCTGGTTCAGCATGAGGTCTTCTGCTTCGGAACACGCGCAGCCTGTCATTCGCATATTTGAAAGGAATTCGTAATTGTGCTCAGGTACGTGTTCCGTCGGCGCGCCTTCCGCTGTCGGCGCGTCAAAATACGTCTCATTGCTCACGCCTGTGCAAGCAACGATTGTTGCCGGCTGCTGTCTGCTCTCTGAAGACGTGGCGGCGATCGTTGACAGCTTCCCACTAAGGTCGGCCGGAGCCAGGCTGCCAGCAGTTGAGATAGAGAAACGCAGCTCGTCCACCTCTGACGCAGCCACTCCATGAAGATGCGGCGACAAAGCTTGCGCTTCTTGTCGTGGTGGTGAAGGCGAAACGAGGTTTCCATCAAAGTTCTCCTCTAGCAGATGAGCATCCTCGAAACTGCTGCTGCCGTGGACTCGTTTGTTCCCAGGCGGAGTCCGCGTTTTCCCCGGAGAATAAAACTCATCTGTAAAAATTACTATAAGTTGATAGTGCTAAAACATTGCAAAAAGTATATTATTAATCGATATAATTTTTATCTTTTTGAGTCTATATTAGGAGCCTCTATTATGCACCTATATGCGCCGGAGACTAGTTCGCCTCTTCCTCCTCCGCCTATAGTCTCCGGCGGCTTTCCCTCCGGCTCAAATCCCGACAGTCTCCGACCATTTTCCTGTGGGAACCTAAGGCACAGCCCCCCAGCAGACTATCAGAAAAGAAGCCAAAAAAATGCCCGACAGAAGTAAGGGCGCAAGTTGGCCGAGAGAAGAACCCCGCCGAAAAGCGGTGGACGAAAGCCACCTGGCGACAGACGTCTGACAAAACACACCCGAAAGGCGTCTCCTGACGAAAGACGTCTGGCGAAAAATGTCCCCGCAGAGACGTCTCACGAAGGAAAGACGCCTGACGAGAGACGTCCGACGAAAGACGTCTGATTGGCGACCGACGTCAGGCGAAAGACGTCGGCCACGAGACGTCTGACGAAAGTAAGACCTCAGGCGAAAGTAAAAACGTCAGACAACAGACATGACGTCATCAGACGACAAGCCGGCGCCAGACGTAAGACGCCTGACGGCGTCGGCCTGACGAAAGGCGTCGGCCACACGAAGCCGAAAGACGTTAATAAATCCGGCGAAAGGCTTCAGCCTGACGACAGATATTCATCTGACAGACGAAGCAAAGACACTCATCGGCCCGACGAAAGGCCTCAGACCGTGGGGCGCGAGACGTCTGGCGAAAGGCGCCGACCCCTCTGACAACAGCCGCCGGGCTGACGAAGCAAAGGCGTCAGTCTGACGAAAGCCGTCGGCCTGACGAGAGGAGTCAGCCTGACGAAAGAGGTCCGCCCAGCCGGCGAAGGGCGTCGGCGTGACGAAAGACCTCAGCCCGACGAAAGACAAGACGCCCCTCAGACAGAAGCAATGCCATCCGATGAAGGAAGAAGTCCCACCGGCTGCACATAGAGAAACGAGACCCAGCCAGCGCGGCCATCCATGCGCTTCTGTTTCTTGGCCCGTCAAGGTCGCCCCTCTTCCTTGCCAGCCTGCCACCGCGGGCCGGCTATAAGTTTTGGGGCCTGCGAGTGGTTATGCGTGCCAGGGGATTCTCTTCCGGTTATTTTTGTCGGACTGCCGTGGGGGTCTTGCAAATTCTTAAGAATTTGCGTGACTCCCCCGACAGTCTAATAAAAAACCGGAAGCGGCCTACTTATCAGCCTGCGCATAGGTCGGCGCATCTAGTATCTCAGTCGCTTAGCGTCGGCAGCCTCGTCGTGGTCGGCATATCGAAGTGCACTACTTCGCCCGCGGGCTGTCTCTAGCTGTAGCCCGTGGGCGGAGAAGTACTAAACTCGAAGCCGGGCGAAGCTTGCGCGGGCTAGTATTAAATTAAGTTTTAGTTTATAAGTATGATGATCTATTACTATTAGAGGTATCGGGAATCCATCCCAGAGATCATCTGGGTCCCTTTTTCCCCTTGTGTTTTTCTTCCAGATGACTTTGGAGATGAATTCCCTACACCTCAAAATCTAGTATAAATTCTACATTATACGCATATGGGGCAAGAATGGGTGGAAGCGACATTAGTGTCTTCATAAAAACATAGTAGGAAAGCAAAATAAATTTCATTTTCGCGGTCGTCCAACTCCGACCCCATTAATTTTACGTAATGGAAATCAATGACCCGACTACTAGAACAGTGCGAAACGAAAAAGACAAAGAGTACAGCTGCTATTCAGATTGCCGAGGCTGGTGATGAATTCCGCCGCAGCCTGCTGCAGTCGGTCGCTGTTGGCGTCTTTTTTGCCGTCTCCACGCAGAGCGCGGATGCGACTTTCCACGGTGTTCCCAGACGCTTCTCGTTGACGTGGTGCGCGGGCGTGAGCGTCGGTTGGCATTTTGATTTCAAGGGATGAAGAGCCACAACCTACTATAGATACTAGATACTCCAGCTTCTAGCAAACAATAGTCTATTCTTATTCATTGAGAACAATAAAAACTCCAGTTCAAAACAGTCCGCGAGAAAGTAGTGGCGGAACGAGAATAACGAGTACCATTCGAGTTAGCTTACCAATGAATTTGTTTCAAATCTACCTTTACGACGACGTGTAAATTCATCCGGAAGAGATTCACTCAGCGTTGGAAACAAACTACACCGTGCTACGAGTCGAAAAATCTTGAACGTTTTCCAGCAAAGCTTCTACATAGATATCACAAAGGGCTATTATCCTGGTGGGACGAGTCGTGAAACCTCTTTTGTGCGATCGGTTTCTCCCTAATGCCTAAGATCCGCTTCGAGAAAGGACCGAGCTTTTTTCCTTCCGGGCACAAGATTGCACAAGCGAGCTTGACATTAGTGCTGCTGGTTGATGCCGCGGCATGGTGGAGTGCATAGTAGTTCTTGTTTATAGTGAAGAGAAATAATTGAACCTTGTTCGTTTTGTTCGTTCATGCATCGACCAAATGTGTTTGGTAGCCATTGCTATGTTCTCAATTTGTGTTCCTGTTGTTTCGCTTTCCATATTCATTAGATATTGAAGTTGATTACTTGCTAGCTAACTATGCAGATGTAATATTCGATCGGTTCCGTTTGTTACTCAATGACATAGACTTAGACATGGTCGTGGCTAATGATAGGTGAATTGTTCACACGCGGCCATCCTGGTGTAGTACGCACGGAATGGCGCTAATTTTACTAGTATGATGAGATCATTCAAGAACATCGATGCAGATAAGGTTGTGCTGCTGTAATATGTGCCACATCAACAACTACAACGGCTACTCCGCTACGGCTACAACCACATCTCCAACTCCACCTCTATCTCATGACAACAAAAATAACAATAGTTCATGCTAGCTGATTCGCAAACTTGGTCAAACATCATTGGAATTTCGGAAATGCATCATTCAATTCTAGTCAGCTAATATTATGACCGCTGACTCTATGGCAGTGTAGAAATTAATACTAGACACTCTGTTTTCTACTACGGATTCACCAGTAAGATAAATTCAAATGTCGTAATCTTTTGTCAGTTCGAGTAGATTTCTCGATATGCTGTATCTTGATATGTCGATGATCGTGATAGATTCAGTCAATGCCGTCGCAACTAGTTCTGGGCCAAAACATTTCACTTGATGGTCGGAATTGAACAACCGTGATGATGATCATAATGATAACTCGTTCTTTGAAAGGAGGAGGTATGGTGGTGAGAAGTCGAGGACCGTTCGGTAACGATGAGGGTGACATTCTACGTTAGAAGTTTTTAGTTCGTTGATTGTTTACAAGATAAATTTAGTAGCTCGGCGGTGGGTGTATGACGTGTCTTGAGATACTACGTTCTTTTCGAGTAAATCCATCGAATCTTATGAAATACTATGACATCAGAGGAACAGAAAATGAGGTTGCAAAGTGGATTGGTGTGCAGGCAAGAATTAGATAATTTCCTGGCTATTCGCAAATTTGATATTCGTGTGGAGAAAGATGTACGTTTGTCTTTGACTTTGTAACGTGTATACTGACAATGAATCTTGATCTTGTTCATCCACTTGTTCTTTCTGTGATTCAATCTCGCAGTTTTCGTTTACTTATTTTTATACAACTCATTAAAATTATTTAACATTACAAATCTTTTTGTTGAATCTCCTCCTCGAGATCCCTAGACCGAAAGCTAGAAATCTCATCAAAATCTTAAGATAAAGATCGTAGCTTAGCGGCCCCCTGGGGCCGCAACAGCATGAACTCCGTCCGAGGAGGAGGCCTTCTGAGGTTGCTGCTTCGAATACAATCCAGCTTGCTTCCTGGCGAGCAGTTCGGTGTCATCCTTGATCCATTGCGCTTCAGGAAGAGGTGTGATGCGCTTGTTGCTCAATTGCTCGCCATAGCGGGCCACGTCGTACGAGTACCTTTGTTGATGAAGAAAAATGATAATGAATATCAAAATGTTTCGATTAGTACGATCGCGGAGAGAAAACGCTTCCTCCATCACAATCCTTATTGTATCGAGCAGCAGGAGAGCCCTGATCAGAAATGTTGGAAGAAAAATTGAACAAACAAGATTGAATTTAGTACGTGTAACGCCAGTCCTGGACGGTTTCAGTAAAGTCCTGAGACGAAGCAGCCTTTTGATCCTCCGGGATATCGTAATGAATCTGCTGTGTGCCCCAACCGGAAAGAATGATAGCCGGTTCCTGAAAGTGGATCCCCGTCTTGTCCGCCTCGTTCCACGCACTGCGGTAGCATTTGCAACCATAGGTGTTACCGAAATGGCGATCCACCGGATAGATTAGATATGTCTGTGCTTGTCTAAGTATTGACAACCCTTGGTCAAGCTGCCCCGTTAGTGTCTTTCAATTGGCAACAATACAGATCCAACTTTCTTTTACTTCGTACTACTTCTCAAACAAGTTTATTTATTTTTATTCGTATACTTGAAGTCAAGAAACTGAAACTGGAAAAACTAGTAAGCACGACAACGTAACTGTGGAAAGTTGATATCCGTGCCGCGCACTTCCTCGTTCCCGATGTAGAAGTTGATGTCGACCGGTTCATAGTTGTCCACCAGGTACACGCCGCCAGCACGAGAGTCGGCGTATGTCTTCAAAGTATTCATTAAGACACCGGGAGCCTGTGCACGCGAGCCATGCTTTTCCCAACGATACTTCTCCAGTTCCTCCTTCGAGGCATAAGCACGCGGGCTGGCGAAATCCATCGTGATGCTTTCCCAGCTGGCATCAGCGATCATGATCTTGCGCAAGTAGTAGCTGTTCGCTGAGCTTGCGTCCACGCCAAGACCGGGCCAGAGGCGCGCCAGGTAGAAAATGAAAAAAGAAGTGGGTTCTGAGTCTATCTTTCTTTTCCTTCGCTTACTTACTGAAGATTTATTTATTATTATATATTGGAAACACATTGACAGTCGTCGTCGTGCCAGTCACACATGACCATGCATTTGAATCTGATCCGTTACATAGGATGATGATTGCTTACTTAGGTAAATATTCTCTGTTCTTCCTCTCATACATTCACTCGACCACGAGGGTCCAGACGGGTCGTTGGGATTGCGGCTGTTGTAGAGTCTCTGAGCGTGATCGAACATGTTTGAGACAGCCGTGGCACAGCTTCCATGGCCGCGATCTTCTTTGGCTACCTGCACCTCCCAGAAATAGCCACTGCGCAAAATGTCATTCGCTTCAGTGTAGCCGTAAGGATGCTGCCACACTCCGGTCCAAACAGATGTACGAGTATCCAAGCGCACCATAAAAGAGTACAGGGTTGCAGCGCCGGTTCCTGTTGGTATCATCATCATGTTGAGTTCATGTGTATCTTTGTAAGTGAATTGTATTCTAATGTTGCGCAAATCATTCGTATAAGTGCTTTATAAATCCGATTTGTTTCATAGTAGTTAGAACTAGAAGTACCAAGAAACTGCCTCTTCATGTGACTGAAGAACTTCTCCTTCGCGTGCTTTCCGGAGTTCAGCGCCGGCCGCCAGTTATGAGCAGGCGGAAATCGATCGGGGTCCTGACGACTCACCGTGGTAACATCGTACACTTTCTCGAAATGTCCCCAGTTCAACTCTTTGCCCTCTTCGGAATACCTGCATTGAAGGAAGGAAAAAGTTGGATGGAGCTGGAAAAAGCTTGGAGGTAGAGTGCCGGTCGGCGGTCTTGAAGATATCTGTGTACTAATTATTTGTACACGCCAAAAATTAGTCTGAGTCTCGGAGTTCATTGTTTTAGATGAAGTTGTAGGATCATGAGGTACCTCTCCCACAGAATGTTGAGACACTTGTCAGCGACTGCGCGGCCTTGCGTGCTGTCCTCAAAGGGAAGCATGTAGATCAGGTAGTCGGCTCCGTCCTTGATACCTTTCACGGGCTGCCCCTCGCAGGTGAAGCGTAGTGCATCGGGAATTTTTTCCGTCGCTTTTTGCGCCGGAGTGCGATCAAAGCGAGGCGGTGCATCAGGCCATTCAGATAGCGGGGTGCCCGGAACGACGGCAACGACCTTTTTTTCAGGAACAGGTGCCACGACAGGAACAGCGACAGGAGCTTCGTGCTGAGCCGCAGGATGTTGTACAACTTGGTTTACGGCCGTAGTCGTTGTCTCAGGCCCGCGTGGGCGTGCTGGAATCTTCTTTGGGGCGGCGGATTGCGCCGGCCAGTGGTAGAGACAAAAGACCCACAGCATAGTCCACACCAACAAACCACAGCAGACGATGCTGGCGAAGTTCTTGCGCCACTGTTCCACTTGCGGGGATGTCGTTGCATACGGATCCTTGATCAAGCTGCTGCCTCTGGCGCTTTCTTGATCGCGATTCCTCTTCAACGAAGAATTGGAGTTGTATCCACTAGAAGAGCCACTGCCACCGAGCAGTTCCTCATCCTCGTCATCATCGTAGCTGTGATTTAGCATGTTGTGGTGGTCAATGCGACTGCGATCCTGATCGTCGGCGGGATGCGTCAGAGCAACCGGACGTCCGCTCTCGGAGCCTTCTGCACCCCACGACTCCAAGTCACCATTCTCGCCGTTAAAATGTCTCATCTTGTTTGGCGACAGGGACGAGTTGAATCTAGCCGAAGAAGGGCTAGACATATCTTTCACGAGCGAAGAGCAGCACCAGCAGCACTCTCACTCTTCTCGTAAAAAGTACTTCTTGAGGATTTAGACGTGGATTGACCAATTAGGCGTCACGATGTTTTTGGGACTTTGCAGTGGCAAACTTCCGAGTTTCGCAGAGCCAGATCCTTCGTAAAAAGACCTCTCACGGGGCAACCAATTGATTGACGAATTGAGGTGAAATGCCAAGTGATAGATTTTTGACTGTCTTTCAGACCTGCTACGCGACGAAGAACAGCTTATCGGAGCTACAAGTGTTGTTGTTGACAGAGGAATGCATTGGATTGGTTATGTGCTAGCTGCTTTTTACTTTTACAACGTCCAGTTCATGTTGCGACTTTCCAGCTTATTCAAGTTGGGCTACGGCTAGTGACAGTTTCGTTGCACAGCATGTCAAAAAGTGACAAGCATTATTGATGAGACTAACTGGGTGCAAGTAAGAAAGTTAAACAGCGATTCCCATAGCGGTAGATTGATACGTGTGTGTGTGATACCAAAGAAATGACAGTAGATACAAAACTTGAGCTGCGCGACCACTTTGCCGAGTGCCTTTTGGTAAAAACGTGCGATACACGCACTTTCGTATTGCATTCGTAAAAGGGACATTGGTGAGTGTGAGAGTTGGAAGAACGAACGTCTTGGAGGGTATGCCAATACATCGACATCGACTAACCGATGTACTTAGTTCCTGGAAAGATCGTTCACATGCTGACCTAAGTGACCGTTGTCACGCTGTTGCCGTGATAGGAGGGTCTTTGCGCAAACATGACGTCGATACGACAATGTCAGGACTGAGTGCCAACTGTAGAATTTACCGATCATGCGGCCGAATTTCGCGACGAGAACAAAACGCTTTGCGCGGGTAGAGCTGCTCTACTAATGTCTGACTGGTAAAAATCGCTTATTTGCCGTTGAAGTTGATCGAAGTCAAGGAACAGTAGATAGGGTGTCAAAGTGAGAGCGACATGTTGGTGGTTGGCCGTTGGTTCTGAGTGAAATCTCGTAGCTCTGTCTGTTGATGGCGAGACAGTTTACACGCTGCAGCGTTTGTCTCTTTGTCTAGCGGATGCGTGTTTCGTAATAGTAAGTATTACGTAAGTATAAAAGAGACAGACTTCCTCGTGGACACTGCACCCTCACGCGGGCGCGCCAAAGAAGAACCTACTCATTGGATCTTCTACAAGACCGAAGCAAAATCTTTCGACTATAGGCCTCCTTGTTCTGGAGTAACGCCGCCTTCTTCCTCCGATTCCAATCCGAATGATTCTACCGATAATTCCACTTCATTTGATTCTGTTTCTTCGAATTCGAAGTCGTCATACTCATCAGACACAGACATGCCCTCGTCGTCGGAGTCGAACGAAGCGTAGGTTTCAAAAAAACGATCAAGTACGTCGTTCGGCACCTCATCCGAGTCGTAATCGAGTTGTACAGCGTCGCCAAGGCTGTCCGGAGAGCCAGCAGGAGGTTGCGCCGAAGCTGACGGTGATCCAGCCCCAGTTGTTGACCTAGCTCCAGCGGCGCCCGTAGTTGTCAAGTTGGCAGCGCCTGGAAAATATCCTGTGGAGTTCCTAATCGCGGTGGAAGAAGAGCCAGCAGACGAACCACCCAGCGTTGTGCCACCTGCTGACCACGAAGTTGGGGCAGAACCTGTTGCAGCATTGCCAGTACTAGACGATGACGAGGTAGAACTTGATGAAGAAGTACCATTTCGCCCATCATTGTTTACTGTTGACGCAGCGTGATTGTTCGCTGTAGAGCTAGAGCCCGTTCCATTTGCCGTCCCTGCTGTTGCTTCGCCGCCGCGGGGCGGAGGAGACATCACGCCATTTCTCGCGGCCGCCCGTCGCGCTATGGCCTGGAAGGCGCGGACGCGGTCCTCTAACGACATAGGTACGGAGTGATGGCGCTCGAAGCTCAATCGCCGGCGCCTGCGCTTGTTCGGCACAGGTGAAACACCATTCTTGACTAGGGGGTCGATGCAACAGCTGTTGCCGCGCTCAGTGACAGGAACGGGCTGAAATACTTTGTGAAGCAAGTTTTGCAAATGGTCTGTCGCGGACATGCGCACTCTCCGTTCCCAATTAGGTAGCTCAGTCTCGTCGTCGTCCTCCTCCTCCTCGTCTCCAAGGATCACAGCCGCGCGCACAACGGCTGCGTCAGAAGCAGTGGCGGACACTTGCTCTAGTTGCGCGTTGGCTGCTGACGCTGACGAGACGCTCGCCGCGCTGTTTCCGCCCGCAACGCTGTTCCCGATGAAAGTAGCAGTGGGTTGTCCACCTGCATCGGGGGCTCCTACGGGGGACGATGACGAAGCAACATTCAATGATGCCGAAGGTCTCTCCTGTGGATCTGAGGAAGAGAATTCTTCTCCAAAAGCTGAGAGGACGCGAAGTTCCTCAGTCGGGGCTATCAAGTGTAAAGCTGACGCTGCAGACTCAACAGCACCCAGGCGGACGGGCGCAGGTTTCGCTGGCGCGCTAAGGCCGCCATCCGCTGCATGGCAACTGGACGCTGAGGACGAAAGAGCTCCGCGCTCCTGCGCGTTGACACTATTCCCATTGAGAGATGAGGAGACAGACAAAGGGGAGCCTGAAGCTGTAGTATTCGCATCTGCGCCGAGAGCATTTGATGTGCTGTTCTGCTGTGATTGAGAGCTCGCTGAGAAATCGCGCAGCTGATAGCCGGCTGGCCAGAATTGAGACACGACATCGAAGATGGACTCGGAGAGTGACCTGCTACGTCCCTGCTCTTCCCGCTCTTTTCGTTGTTGCTCTGCTTCCTCCCTCTTTCGCTTTGCTTCTTCGTCGGCTTTCCTGGCTCTGATCCTCCTCTGTGCGCGCTCTTCGTCTTCCCGCTCTCGCTCTCGACAAGTATCCAACAGAAAATCGGTCAAGTCTTTCTTCACCGGCGTCGTCAGGAGACAGCCACGCGCAGCGAGGACGCGGAATTCTTGCGAAGTGTAAAAGCGAAAACAACTCTCGCAAATGTCGTAGCACGTGGCGTGCAGCATGGTCTGGTCGCCCCCCCGGCGCGTACAACTCCAGACAGGTGTGTCGAGGGACCGCGGGATGGAAAAATCGCAGAGATCACATTCCAATCCGGAGAATGTGTCGAATCCAGAGCAGCGGTCGCGCAAAGTCGTTCTCTCGAGTGTGCTTCCGCATACGCAGCGAAATTGGACAGGCTGAAGCTCCTCGTCACAGTCGACTTCGTCTTTTATCGCAAGACAGAGTGCATCGCCACCTCCAGACCCATGGCCAGGTAGATTCGCAGGAAATCTGGGCTCACGTGGGGCGTCTGCATTATTTTCATCATCGGGACGTATGCGTTTTGCAAGTGGGTAGAAATTGTGTTGTCCTTCCAAACTTCGCGGACCCGCGCCAGGGGTTTCGTTAATGGCCCTTTCCACGTCGTCGGAGCTTGAACAAGAAGTGGCACCCGCAATTGCCGTAGAGATATTTTCCGATACGCTAACGTCGACTTTCATCTTGCCCTCTGATGCAGCTAGGCTGTTGCCGCTCCAAGAATTTGTCACTTCAACGTCAATTTTATCCTTCTTGGAGGGAAATACAAATAGCTGAGACGTTGACGATGTTGATGACACATCAACTTTCGGCGCACCTTTTCCTCTTACGTAAGGTCGTTTTAAGGACGAGGAAGTGCAGCTCGGAATACCTTCGACATGATCATTGAAACAAGTATACGGGATGGCCGGTTCACGGAGAGCTGCTTCAAGATTCAGTACGGGAGCAACGATTGAGGAACGAAGTTTGCGTGTGGACGCTCTCGGCGATCGCGGCTCTCCCCACCAGCGATAACGCCATGGTGAGCCGCGTGCGGCCCGCAGGCACTCCCACGAGGCTACCCCGAGGAAACCTGCGTTCAAGACACCACTGGCAGCAGCAGCCCTGGAATCTGCAAGCACTTTGTGCATCTCATGTATTTCTCGCAAAATTGCGCGCGCTGTGGCCTGCAGAGTTGTGTCCTTCCGCAATTCCAGCTTCAAATTCGGAAGAGACCAGAGTGCGCGCCACATGTTCGCTACAGCGCTGCAAGGAAAAATGCGCCACATAGCGAAGACCAACTCGGAAAGACACAAGCGGAAGCGCACGAGGTCAGTAGCTGGAAAAGACCATGACTGGTCTTTCTTTCGTGCCATTTTCGAACTCTTCCGCTTTTCATCTTGAGAATCTTCGTCTTCAGATGAAGATGTGAGGTAATCACTATCTAGCTGGCACGCAGGTGCCCAGAAGCACGGCGGTGCGTCTCGGTAGACATCATCTTCTGGGTCTTCCTCGACGTGGTTCTGCACAGCTCGAGCTACATCTGTAGCCCGGTGGGCTCCTACGTCATTCATTGGAGATCTTGACGAGACCCCGTTCATCTCGGTAGACGCAACACCAGCGGATGCTCTCGAAGAGGGACGAAATTTCGTTGCTGGTGAATCCTTCCTCAAAGCAGTAAACGAGGCGCTTGTACGCGACTCGACTGGTGCCTTGACAGTGTGGACATGTTGATCATGATCGATTTTGGAAACTTTAGTTCGCAGTCCGGTCGTGCTGTTTTCATCGGCAAAGCTATCGTACCAAGCTCCAACACGGGGATCATCTTCGGGTAAACGAGCACGCTTCGCCCGCTGCCCAAGAGATACGAGTTCCGGGCTCATAGCTAAGGCATCGAAGCTCTGTGGAGGTGTCAAATCTCTTCCAGCAGTTCTCTTTAAGAACAATCTGCGGTAGTGCACATGCGCCGCTTGCTCCAAATCGTCTTCGTGTGCCAAGCTTGGGCTGTCTTCGCAAGAATCTATTTGCTCACTTTGCGCGACGCCGCCTGTGGTGTTTGGCGCGTCCATTTCATCTTCACCGCCAGCAGATGTGTCCTCGCCCATCACCTTGCTCGGAAAACTTGTATTGTCGCTCGCTGGTATCTTCGCTCCCACTGTTGACGCGACTGCACGAGTAATCGTGCATTTCTGTTTACTATACCCAAGCCTTTGCCTTTGATCGCGCTTGTATGCTCCCCGAGTAGCTCGGTAGTTATGCAGTGCTGTTGCATAGAGGAGGTATATCTGGACCGGACGAACTTGAGAGCCCAAACGATCGATTTCCTCGCAAAAGTTTGTTCGGAGGAAAATCTTTCCACGAGTCTCTAGTGAAAAGTCAAAAGAGTACAAATCGTCGTGGCTCAGCGTCCCTTTGCCAGCAGCATGGAGTCGTTGTCTCTCGAATGCCCTCCATGCAAGAAGCGCTTGCTCCTTTTTGACCTTCCAATCGTTCTCCTCTTTGATATGATACTCTAGTGACTCCTCGTCCTTCTCTTCTTGTCCGCAGCCGCCACCTGTCGCGGACCTTCTTGCAACATGATCCTCGTCCACTTTTTCTTCATCCCTACTTCCCGCTCCTTTCATCGTCGAAGATGACGTTCCTCTGCTTGGTTGGCCTTTCTGCATTCTTGAAAGTGCTGCTGTTGATGTAAAGGTTTCGCTGATGCAGAATGGGCCTTTAACCATGTCGATACAGACCTTGGGTCGAACGTCGACGCGGACAAGGCTTCGGCACGTGGGACATGACGCGTAGCGGACAGTTGTCAACTGTGTGGCAAGACAGCGATCCCAGCACTTTACACAGTAAGGAATGCGACATTGACAGGGAAGGTTGGCAACACACTCGATATCGTCGAAGCAGATGATGCATTCCTGTACAGCGCCCACGCTCTCCTTCATCGAAGACGTCGGGTGGACGCCAAGCACGTCGCTGCTCGAAGTGGAGGGCATGTCTTGTCTACATGATTCGAACTCGCTTCACGTATACTCTGATGTCCTCCTGAGTGCCAATAAAAACTTGAGTCCACATGTGAATCGAACGAACTGCGCATACGAACCTCGACTCTATCAACATAAAATCCAAATCGAGTGTAGAAAGACCTATGCGAAACGCATCCTTCCCGCTGCCCGTTGGAAAAGCAGCACTTATTTCTTTCTCTGAGTAGCATTCCTGACGTCCTCTTGTTTTAGGCTAAAGAGTTGAACTTTACAACTACATTCTCTGTGGCAGTGGCTATGCCTCTTCGGCGATCTCGATGCCTGCCAGTGCCACAGCTAGCTCGGGATCCAACTACTCTGAGGAACGATAGTAGACACGGTCTGATCATTTTCTTATCCCCGCGATCCCAGGAAAAGATCCAAGACGAAGACGAGCAAAGAATTACACTTACATCATACACTCACTGATGAGAAGAACTTAACATCGAGATGGCAGCTACTGTAAAGATCTCGATGCACTACGGCGACAGAGACATTCTACAGGTAAAGGGCCACAGTGAAGCAGCATTCTCGTACAAGAAGAGTCCCACCCACCGTGAGTGCGGTAGGGTGGGCATGCTAATCGAAGAACTCAACAAATGTCTCCAAAGCTGGGTGCTTCGCTTTCCATCGTCAGAGTCGAAGGCACGGACGAATCCATCTAGTATTCCTATGTTGTTCGCACTGAAAATACATACAGCAATGGAATATCGGCTGAATGCGCGAAAGATTTGACAAACATATTCGTGTCCACTTCTGCTAGGAATCCTGCAACCGCAGCAACAAACCTTCCGTCTTTTAGCACAAGAAATGATTCATCCAAATCACAACGGAAGGACATTTGGGTATCAATGGAATTTGACATAGATACTTTACTAGCTAGAAGAAATCATATCTATCTATCAAGCTAACGACAATCAAACATCTATCACCAGCTTCCCGGTTATAAAATATAAATTTAGTTCAGCTAGTCCTAGTGCTAGTACTGGTGCGAAAACAGGGTTTTTATCGAGCTTCAGTTTTTTTTACCGTAACAGCACTAAGATAAGTAAAAAGAAACAATGAACTTGGTGTGAAACAAAGAAATGGACGAAAAGCTCAGCGATCGGACCCTAATGGGAATGTCGTCAAAGAAATCATAAGTGAGCAGGTGGTCGAGTGCAATGATTAATAAATCAATATATAAGAATGAATTTCTTATTTGCGCGGAAAAACTACGAGAAACGGCTGAACCACAGTCGTTAGGGCGTATAGTTAGTGTAAAAGGTGGGGATTCGGATTATCATCATCAGCATCAAGTTTGTCATCCAGATACTTAAGTATGTGCGTCCCTCTCTGCTGGCGCGGCTGACGCCGCGCTTCAATGCTGCATGCTTTAGTACTAGATATTACAGACACCAGTCGAGATCAGTCCGGCGGAGAAGATTTTGCAACCACGTCCCAGCTGGCACCAAACGCAAGTAGCCGTCGTGCGTTTCGTCATCACCGAAAAGAGGTGAAAAGCGAGCTAGAAAATCGGGAAGGATTGACGTGGAAAAAATGTCTCGTGTCAAAGCATTCGAATCCAATTCGAGCATGTAACAGGAAGACGAGCCTGGTGGTGCGGCGCCAGGTTTATTCCTGTCAACGTCATTTTTTGACCTAGAGACTATAGCTCTTGCGACGTTATCGATATCGATACTCTTGACCACACCTCTGCCACGACCTCCAGCTCCCCCGGCTTCGCGGTCTTCTGGCTCTGAGTTCGAGGTTGTCGGTCCGCCACGCGGCGTTGCAGACGACGGCTTCAGTTTTCCACCGCCTGCTCTGGCAGACGGTGATGCACTGCCGTCTCCTCTAGCATTCGCATTAGCGCTACCATCATCGAGCTGTCGCGCTGAGGACAATGCGCTGTTAATAGCGGCTTTATTGAACATCTTACTTCTTGACGACGACAAACCAGCAACAGCCTCCTCTGCACTGCTGAAATCCACGTCAGACGCAACACCAGCCACAATGGACTGCTCTGTGGAAAAACGCCGTTTTTTCAATTGCATTACTAGCAGATCGTCACGAATCCCCTCGAGCTCGAGTCGTACACCTTGACACCCATTCTCATCCCCCTTATGCAGCTTCAGAAAGGCTCTTTCCTTCAAACCCGCCTCAACCCGGTGGAAAAACGATTCGGCTCGATGCAGCATGCGCTTGTCAAAGGAATATGAAAGAGGTAAGGGTGGATACAGACTTCTTCAAGCCCGTCGTTGCGTTCACGTTCTGCTTATCCAGCACGCACAAAAAGAACTTATCAATTTTCATTTTTACTCAGAGTAAAACCTCGTATAGGGCGCCGAGTATTTCTACAGCGAAAAAAAAAATTTACTTGACCAGACAACATGCGGACGCGTAGACACGAGGAAATAAAGTTGGAAAAAAATGTTGGTCATAAGTAAAGCACGCCAAGCTTGTAGTTGAGCTGCTGCAATTTCAAATTTGAGAGATTCGGTCGGTTAATTGCGTCCAGCAATGTTTGTTCGCGCGGACGAAAATCCTGGTGCAGAATTGCTAATTTGTCGAGAATATCGATCATTCCGCCAAGTGGCAATCCGAATTTTCCTGATTAGGTAAGGTGTGTAGAATATGAAGAATAATGATAAATGCTCACAAACTATTTGTTATGTGCCACGCGTGAGCGTGTACATCAGCGTCTCTTCAGTGGATGTTTAGTTTCTGCATGTACGGAATTTATGAATGAATAAAAATGTTCTTTTTTAGTACTGAGTATTGATATCGCGTTCTCGCACTCCTTTATTGCAAGAGTCGCTTTTGCCTGATCCCAGTAGCGAATCATGAGGTTATAATGCGACACAAAGCGCAGCATTGGCCGCCGCGTACGCTGGGGAGGTGACGTGAGAAACGTTTTCTGTATGTAGTGCAATCTTTGACGCACACTTTGGTGTTTTGGACGCACGCGCAGTGCGTCTTTGTATGCCCGCGAGGCGAGCAGATACTCACCGCGATCTTCATGTGCTTCCGCAGCGGCGTAGTACTTCTCAAAACGCTCTTCGTCTGGGTCGACTATTTCCCGATAAGCTCCTGTTTTATCATGCGGTAAACGGGCACTCCTAGCAGCAGATCTCTGCAAAATGCCAGTTGGCGACCCTGCTTTTTGCTGCGTAGGAGATTTCTGAGTCGTGGCACCTCCAACCAAAACTTTTTCCAGAATTTCCGAATCAGACATAATAGGGGCCGCAGCACCTGTTGTATCTGTACAGCTAGTACTTGTAGTTCCTGCCTGCATTTTACCCGCAACAAGAGCAACAGGATCAGATGATGTTAACGAGTCTGCCAATTTCGTTTGTTTGTCGTCCTTTCCTCCAGCATCGCCACTGCTTGCCGCACCAGCAGCTTGTTCAGCTTTTGCTTTGTCGCTGAGTGATGATGTAGGCGGTTCTTCACCTAGACGAGCCGCTTCGATTTTCTCGGCCTCTACTTGCTTCTCTTTCACTATTTTGCTCACAAATTTCGCACAGTCGTCAAGCAAAGATTTCCGAAGGCGCGCAAGGTCCATCGACGAGGCACTTGGCGCGATCTTTGCTCGGGAAAGTCGAGACTCGATTTTCGCCGTCAGTTCGCTTTTTGCGTTTGCATCTGTTGAGTGTAGTAAAGGCGCGAATGGAGATGGTCCCCCGTGAGACGCTAACACTCGATGTTGAATCAATAAGAATATAATGTATCTACTTCTTGTTCGATTTCGAGAAGCAACAAAAATCAACACAGACGAGAAGTACATTTTCTTGGCGCCGATTTCGGTCGACGAGGGGTTTTCTTGTTCAGCAAGCCGAGTTCGTCTAACTCTTTTGTAATAGTTTCCTTCGAATGCCGCATTTGCGATGAGGGAGATAGATCCGCGGTAGTCTTCTTCGAACTAGCTTTTGACGAGGCCGCGCGTGGTGTCTTGGACCCGGATTTTCCACCTAAAAAGTTAAGCAAGTGGCAAGTAAGTACTTACAACGCTGATTGTGGAAAGGCTTCTCTGTGACTATGACCACACAGATCTTGTCGCAATGATATCGACTTGATTATTGACAAGAGTTGTAAGTCAGAGTACTGACATGAGATAGACACGAAGATTAAGTACCACATCTAAAAATACGTGTCCATGTCAATTATACCAACAGTGCCCCGTGGTTTCGGTTTGATAACAAAATGGGGCGTCATTGCGTTTCCCATCTCATCTCGCCACTCCATATCGCGCGAAAGCTGTTCTGCTTGCGTTTCTGCTGAGGTACACCAGCAAATGAGCTGCGGGGTTCCATACGCTACCGTTTTTTTTGGCATTTTGAGGTTCTTCAGAGACAAGGTATTGTCCTCGGGCGACGCCGGTACAATTGTGTCACCCTCATAGAGTGCACGCTGCTCCATGAACCTCCACCGCTTCGCTGCGCTGTCGTGCTGCAGGGTAAGCCTGCGAGTTGTATGCTGATACCATTTGACCGTCGCACTCTTCGGACGCTTTGATGACGAGGAAGAGGCGCCTGTGGTTGGTCCAGTTGTACTTCCTGAGGTGTCACCCGGCATGATTTGTGTAGACGCAGACGCTGGCGCCGAGCCAGTGCTAACTGGGGCTGTTTTCTCCATGTACTTGTAGACACCTTCAACACGCGCATTTCCAACGACCACAATGTCGAAAAGAAGGAGAGACCTTAGAGTTGTTAATGTTATTGTTGTATGCGATCGGATTTGTTGACTTGTGATTCTCCTCGACAGAAAAGCCCAACTGCAACTCGTTTAGTGTCAAGCTAAACAAAAAACGACGAGTCTGTCATCACTTAGACTCTGAAAAACAACAGAGTAGGACACGCGGATGCTGATTGAACCTATAAATATAAAGAGTACTTGTTTGAAATTCCCTTCTTCATGAGGTATTTGCGAAGATCCTTCTTGACTTCCGCAGCGCGTGGAGGCCACGACATGGCGCTGCTCAGTGGAGCCTCAATATATTCTTTGAGTTTGCCTGGTTCCAAGCCCCACTGTGCAGCCGTCCGAACCTTGAAGTCCGTCAGTTTCGTTGCCTGCTCTGCTGGTCCTGGTACAACAGCTGTCGTCAACGATGAAGGTATTGCGAGAGCGCTTCCGCCGATCATAACTCCCGAGGATGGAGCGCCCAATGTTGAAAAAGAGGAACTGGAAGACGCGGCTTGTGGGGCAAGATTTGTTGTAGTACCGTTGCCTGATGCTTGCGCTAGGGCGCCAGCCAGAGACGCACTAGAGGCTTTTTCCAAAACGCCTAGTCTTGATGATGCGCTAGCAGTAGCTGGTTGTGGTTGACCATATCCATATCCACCGCCAACTGGTCCGCCTACTTTCACAAGTGCACTACTGCTCCCCGCTAGCGTCGATGTGGCCCCTGTACTAGTCGCGCCGGCTGTTGTAGCTAGCGCTCCACCGGCGAATGTCGGATTCCCAGTGGGAAAAGGAGAAACAGCTTTTGTCGCAAACGTTGGATTTCCACTAAAAGAGCTAGGAGCTGTCGCTGACGTCGCAATGGTGCCAGATGTCGCGCTTGATGATGCTCCTCCCGAGAAGGTCGAGTTTCCACTTAGACTTGAACTTGATGGTTGTGCGAACAATGAGAATGTTGGGTTTCCGCTTAGACTTGAAGATGGTGGTGCAGAGGTCGGGTTGCCGCTCATTGGTGTCGAGAAAGTAGTAGGGTTTCCACTTGGTTTTGCGAATGTCGGGTTTCCGCTAAGAGCGCCTCCGCTTAGTAATCCGCCGCCGCTCGCATGCTTGGATGCAAAAGTTGGATTCCCAGAAGTGACTCCAACTCCTCCGTTTCTGTTTTCTTGGGTGAGCGAACTAAGCATGCCCTTCGGTGGGAGTGCAGAGGCGCCGCCGCCGACTTTGGAGGCCACAATAGTTGACGATGTCGGTGGATACGAAGGCGGAGTGGCAGCTGGCGAAAAATTTCCGCGCAGAAAGCTGCCCCCTGCGCCGTTTGTCGCAGCGGATGTTGATGCTGAAGTTGCACTTGCACTACTGGCATTAGTCGCCAGGCCACTGATGTAGCTTTTTGGAACAGCACTTGCTCCGACTCCGCCTGTCCCTGTTGCACGCGAGTAGCTACTGGAAGAGCCCGATGTACCCGGAGCTGCAGCACCCGTCGCAGGGGCCGTCGACGAAGATGAAGACTCTTCAGGGATAGACATCATCCTCGCAGAAGCTCCTCCGATTGGTCGATGTAGAGACGCACCGCCAGACAACCCCGAAGACCCGGCCCCGGTGGCTGCCGACGTGGCACCTCGTGGAAGTAGTTGTGAATGAAGATAAAGGGAGCCGTGGGTTAGTTGTAGAAGGGGCGCTTGAAGACATCATTAGCTAAAAACTGCTCACTCCGTGTACATTAATCATACAACTCCCACAAAGAAATAACAAGATGTAAAAATAATACCAACTCCGACCCGACTAAGGCCAACCGGCATACTCCCCAGGCTTCCCGACATACCTCCCAGCGAGCTGCCGATTGCCACCGAGGGCCCCAGTGACCCAGCGCCCCCGAGATCATTCGTGAAAGTTTTTTTCATCATTTTCACTTCGTTCCTCTATTTTTGTTAATCAATCTTTATCAGATCATTGGCCTCTTTCGTTGACTTTCCGTTTCAGTTTCGCATCAATTTGCGTGTATTAATTAATCCTATGTATGACCATGTTTTTCGTAGTATATTTTTGCACGAATCCTCGTTTCTTTGTCTGCTTTCACTCTGCATTGCGCGCTCGACAGGAGCATCGAATGAAGCAAATTTAAGCAACATCGGCAGTAGAAGAACTAAAGTACCGACGACGTCAATGCCAACAAGAAGAGCACGGTTGCAACGATCCGACAGGTGGAAGATGTATTCGAGAAACGACCTTCACGCTAACCGAAATTTTTGTCTTCCGTCATACCGACACCTAGAATAACCCTCATGAGAGTTACAATAGATAACTTCATATCGCCAATTTTCCTCCACATGAGTAAAGCATGCTGAGTCATTCTCTACATGCTATCGGAGTGCCAACGAACTCGAGCGCAGTCCGCGCACAACGGGCGAGAAGAGGCCCCAGGCAACGTCCAACCACCGCGAGGGAAGTCAATGGGTGCGGCAAATCCGCCACGGCCAGCCGGCTATGCATACCCAAAGAAAGCGCAACACAGTCTGCTACTGCCACGCAAATGGCACCCGACGATGCAGCGGGGGCCCAACCCGAGGCCTGTCACCCGGTGCCCTTGCTTCATAGCAGCAAACCAATTCCGCCCTCATACATCATGCCCGGCGGCTGACACGAGTGAGGCCCAAAAGCGAAGCCCCCCCAGGAGCATCGAGTATCCGCAGCGAAAGAGCCCCCAAAAGGAACTAAACGCAATACCGTACCCCAGTGAGAACCTAGGGCGACAAACGCGCCAGAATGAGACGAACAACTACAACACTTCCCCAGCCAGCCTACCACTCCCGAGCGCAAGCACCGAAGTACCACAAAGCAGCCACACGCATTTCGCCTGTCCCACCCATCCTGCGCCGTCTCATGTCTCTGCGATGCTCAGCCACGAACATGCCATCGACAAAGCGAGACGAACCAGCAGACAACAGACAGAGACAGAGACTCCAGAACGAGCACCACGGACACACCGGCCCGAGGCCGAGCGATTGCAGGAAAGGCACAACAACACAAACCCACCACACCACAGGAGGGGCCGACGGACACCCTTCACACAATGCGACGAAAGAGAGCGAGCCGAGGGGCCACCCTGTGTGTGAGCAGAAACTTTGGAGACAAGAGCAAAAGGGCTAGGGCATGAAGCATGAACGTGAAACACATTAAAAATGGGACAAAGGCAACACGCAGAAGGGTGCACTTTTCTGGAGTTCCACAACGCCTCCCGCAGGGGTCGATGGAACTCCTCCGTCCGGTCCCCATGCCGCCGTCCGACGGTCAAAAGCGAATTGGGGGCCGGAACGCGTCATGGAACTCCCCCGTCCGGTACCGGACGGAGGAGTTCCATCGACCCCTGCGGAGGGCGTTCTGAAACTCCAGAAAGAAGCACCCTTTTACCTGTTGCTCCCTCTCGTTCCTTTGGAGCCCATTTTTCATGCGCTTCACACCCCTGCAGCGAGCTGGCCTCACCTTTTTCACCCCTGCCTCCAAGCAAACAACACAAAACCAACACTGAATCACACAAGAAGCGCCCACCGAGGCAAAGAAACGAAAACAACACAGGTGACGAAAAGCCGACGACCCAGACCCACTCGCCGGAGTTGCCTAAGGCGGGGACCCGCCCCACGACGTGACCTGGCCCAAGCAACACCCCACGCACACTGGAAACACCGAGACAACCCAGAACAAGGCAACATGGAGAACACCGAACAGACGACAAACCCAACAGCGCCGCACACTCACACGCCCCTCCCACGAAATGCAGGAAGACAAGAGTGAGACACAAAACAAGCAAGCAGCGGCGCTACCTCGGTGGACCAACCGAGCCGGCAAAAAGATAAAAACAAGCCAAGGCACTACACGCCTGCCGTGGCCTCAGCGATATGGAAACAGGGGCGAGGAGCCATTTGAAGACGCCCCTGGCGTGGCCAAAGGGGAAGGGCGGGGGCGAAGCAGACGCGGAAGGACGGCCGCCGCCCAGGAGGCTCGGCGACAACTGAGTCGCGCGCGGCCTCAAAGGGCTACGGCATCTGGAAACATCTACTTACCCGGCGGTGCACAAAGACGCAGGCCACACCGAACCCCCACGAAGGGGCCAGAGGCGCTGACGTCGGGCTTCGCTTGTAGATTGCTGCCGACGCTTTGCGGCCGGTTGGTTATCTGTAGGCCCCTCTGAGATATCTCCGCCCGAGCGTCACCAGCCACCAGAGGCCCCCTGAGGCGCTGCCCGGCAATTGTTCTAGTCTTATTTTCGAGATTACTCGCTTATTTCAAGTTTACGAGGACGGTGCGCGAATCGACAACGAAGCAGAATTAGAACAACAGCATGACGAGCACGAGAAACTTTATCATTTATTTTTGTTGAGGGTTAGGGTTACAGCCAAAAGAGTTCATCGGGGGATTTGTCACCTTCTTCTGAAGGGGCAAAGGTGGCTTTTTTATTTTTTTTCGACACTGATTTCTCGGAAGTTGGGCCTCGAATCGACTCACTTGTGGCATCATGATGGCTGCCATGCTTCATTGCAGTATGGGTGTAAAGGTTTTGAAGAACATTCTTAGACTTTTGTTGCGGTCTTACAGAAGCAGGAGGTCTCCTACTAGCAGCAGCGTCGGGGTTTCGACGCTTGTTGACATTTTCATCAGCGCCAGTGGTAGGAACTTTTGCAGCACCCGCAGAGGCAAAACTCAAAGAATCTCCGGACTTTTCCTCCTGATCTGCGTCTTGGCGCGCATTCGCAACTCCCAGTCGCCGAAACATCGCTTTCACCGAATCGCTCGTCTTTTCTGGTGAAAGCGCGAGAGGAGATGGCTCCCCGATAGCGGGCACAAGTCCGTACTTCCGGAATACACTGTCGCGTCCCTGTGCTAGGTTCAGACGAACCTCGGAGTGGAATCGCATGAGAGGGGAACATGCTTCTAGATCGTACTGATCCAAGACTTTAATTTACTCAAATTCATGCAAAGTTAATTCACGACATGCATAGACATGGATGAAGATGATAGATGTGCAAGAATAGTTAGCGGCGCAAATCCAGCAAATGTATCTTCTCGTCATCATGATGTGCTGGACTGCTTTCCCGTTCATCGCCATACATTGTTCGCACTCCTGGCGCAGCACGTTGATGTCGAGAGACAACGCTTGGCGGGTCTCAGTACAGTATTCCCGACAATCTGCAACCACGATTGTCCGTATTCGTGTGAGCTTCCCCTCAAGGTCACGTATCTGTTCACCTACACCAAGAAGACGCCTGTCCAAGCGCCGTGCCTGTGCGTCTGCTGTAGCTGCGAGTTCTCCACGGACTGCCTCAATTTCAGATAACGGGAGTGGCATTTGCCCGAGCATTTTTGTCAGCGGTCGTGCAGCAGTTGGAGTAGTCTTGGTCGTGACTATGGCGGCTGCACTCGCTGATCCTGATTCATTTGCATTTTCAAATGATGCGCGGCCTTGTAATTCAGCCTTTTTATCGTGTTGTTTTGCAAGTCCCAAAGACAGCGCTTTCCCAGGAACGGCGAATTCTGATGCATACAACTTCAAATTGTCTACTTCAGGAAACGGAAACACTCGACCAAGCTCGACTTCAATGCGTGTCATGCGTTCGTGCAATTGTGCTACTCTCTCCAATTCCGAATCATGTTTTGGCACTCGCAAAGGCAAAGCCAGATCGTCCTGTGCCCTGTCAGCTTCGGCGTCACAGCTCCGAGTACGTCTTCCTCTGCTCTTTTGTGTAAACGCTGCATTTCTCGAAGACATCGCGTCCGCGCCACTCCGGGAGTCCTGACCGTGGGCACCAACGTCCCTCGCGATCGACGCAGCTGCATCGCCAACATCAGCTGACCCACCTCCTAGCATTTCTTGTACGGCTGACCGTAATTCGCGTAATTGGTCACGATGAATTGAGAGCTCGTTATCGCACTTTTCGGCAAACGTCTCAAGATCTTCGATCTTCTCTTCAGCTGCGTTGATTCCCACAGCCTGGCGGAGACGCAAGCGAGATTCAAGGTCGGCGACGCGCTCAGCTAGAGATTCTAGCAAACGGGCGGCAAAAGAACTCTGTTCGCTTTGCAATGCCGTCCCGGCGACGGAAGCAGTATTCGTAGATCCATTTGATGTGTTCATTTTCGCGGCACGGATGAGAAAATATTTCTTGGGCGTTTTTTCCTGCGTGGAGGTATCTGGACCGCCGGCGTCTGTGGAGAGTGGAAGCGATTCTCCCTCAGCATGCTGCCGCTGGCCCACTGATTCTACTGCAATTGCTGACTCCCGCTTCTGCTGAAAGATGTCACGCAAAGATTGCCGTACTGCTGCTACAAGGGCAGGTGTAGTTACTGGAACGCTTTCAACCTCACATTTCCGCTTCCCAACACACTCCGAAGTAGCATTTTTATCGGGTTTTGCAGCAATTGCCGAATCAGCACCGTTGCTAGCAGAGGAGGGGTTTGCGTCAGTCTTCAACACTTCGATCGCTGTCTTCCGTTCATTGTCGGCGCCCTTGACAAGGGAGATTTCTCCAGCCCGCGTGGGTTCCGCATCGGAAAGTACCGGAGTGTCACCTCTTTCAGCATCAACAATGTTGCCCTTTTCTGCATCCGGTCCCCTGCTGCTGTCGTCTCTACTTGATGTTTGTTTTTCAACGGGGTTCCTCGGACTTTGTAGAGTGTTCGCAACTTCGTCGTTCCCGGAAGCAGTCCCGAAGAAGGCGGTCGTGATGTTTCGAGGACTTTGAAAAACTTGCAGCACGCTGGAGATTCCTTCACTAACAATGCTTTTTCTAGTCATTTGCTCTTCGCCTCTTTGCGTCGCATCATCTTTCTCCGTAATGGTTATCGCTGGTACCTGTTCAGCAAAATCCTTCTTGTTGCTGGCAACGTCTTCTGCGACAGTGGTCAGCGCATCTACCACGGCATCTTCTATGCGGGACTGCAGGTTTCTTGACTCAAATACCTTGCGTTCCGCGTTCACGGAAATCCGCTCCTCAATTTCTGAAACCGCGTCACGCATACTGCGATGCATTTCCGTTACTTAGATGTGGTTATTATTTTCAATCCTACTTGTAGTTGTAACCACGTAAATTTTTCAAGAACCTCACAACTATCATTGAGTTTGGCATGAAAACATAATTAGTCATTATAAACATGCACAACATGATATTTAATACATAGTGTTATCACGTCAGTAATAGGACTCCTCCCGCCTGCTCTTAATTGATGCTTGTCTGTACGTAGTTGACCAGCGAGTCTGGAAGGTCAACCTGGGCATCCTCCATGTCGCGCAGGTCGACTGCGTGGGTACGTATTTGGCGTTCGAGGGCTGCAATACGCTGTTGAGACTCCCGCTGCTGTGCGTGAAGTCGCTGCATCGCTCGGCGTAGCCGGCGAACGTCGTCTGGCTGCTCTGGTTCATTCGCAGGTGGAGAAGCTTTTTCTGGCTGCATTCGGTAAAAAGCTTCCGGTGAAGGGCTCGAGGTTCTTGTTCCACTTTCCGGCGACGCGCCGATCTGGTAAGGTTGCGTCTCCACGCTTTGCGTGCCAGCGAACGGAGATTCCATGCCGACATTCTCAGCATTCTCCCTTACAATTTCAATCTTTTCTTTCTCTAGAGCAGAGTTCATCTTGTTTTTCTCTGTTGCGACAGCCCCGCTTGCGAGCAGAAGAAGAGAAGAACAAGAAGGTAGAAGTAGTTTGGAAAACAATAAGATATAAAAAAGTAGATACAGCACATGATATGCATGACCAGACGACCACTATTCTTAAAGGAGCGTGCGTTTTCTGTTTTACATCTCTATTTTTGTTTCGCTCGAGGGCGATCATTCTCTCCTCTTCTGCACACGGGGACGGGCGCGAGGAACAGAATGGTATAAAAAGCTCCTTATGCAGGCGAAAAAAAAAAGCGCAAACGAAAATGACATCAAACGATAAAAGCGCGTTGGGAAACAATACTTTCTGCGGCAGACTTAGGAATAGAGATGTTGTCAGAGCATTCATGTGGGTACGAGTAGGAGTATGTGAAGGTGTGGGGTTTGCGATCCAAAGCTTCTACAAAGAAAGAAATGTTATTACTTCGAAAATAAAAACACATCCAAGCAGATGACATGAGTCATGACGTCATGGCAAAGTCGTTCTTGCTTCGTTGTGAAATTTATTAAGGCCAAAATTGATCGCAAGGTTTGTACGTATCAAGTAGAACAAATGGAATGTCGCCGGCTAGGCAAAATCTTGAAGACGGGGCTTCTCGCGCATGTTCATTTGCTATGATCTCCACTGTCAACATCTACATCTCTTGTCCCCCCCCCCCGCAACATCCTGTTACTTCCCCGCCGCCGCTACGTCTATCTTGTCTCGCAATGGCACCAAGCCATCCAAGTACGCGGCTTCGAAGGGTACTGTGGTCAATGCGTGGCGTTCGAGTTGTATTTTTGAAGGGCTACCAGAAACAACGTCGTACATCCTATTTGTCATCTCCTTCGTATGGTGCGCAAGATCGCCTCTAGCCTCACGTTTCTTGAAGTCCTCGCGCCGCTCCTCCATTGTCCGAAACCGAATCTGCCTCTGAGCGTCGTACCTGGTGGTTAATACCAATTTCACAAGTACTCACAAGACTCCAGGAAGCATTATCATAATATTGCTGGTAGTTGCTAATGTGCAGCATGTGCATGCCTGCGGTGCAAAGGCGACTACTAACGCTTCATGGATCATGATTAACAAAGTGCCTCGGTATAGGTCTTCAACTAGGTCGAGGTACCTCGTCGTATCGAACGTGTGGCCGAACTTTTCGAGCCTGTCTTTGATAAGCGCAGTCCGCGACATGTTGTTGTACAGTTGATAGGTTTCGGGCGTTTGGACTTTTCTGTGCGATGACACTTCCGGAAGGGTGACTGGCCTTACTATGACCACGTCGCTGCGCTCCGTGACGCGTGGATTCCCGGCAAAAGAAAAGACCTCCTCACGAGTGTACCTCGTAGTCAATGCTGAAAGTTATTAATGACGACCGAGGCGAATCTAGCAGCGAGGATATCAAAAATGACAAGAGCATGAGATGAGTTCCGTAGCTAAAAAAAAATAGTACTTATCCTTCGTCCATGAGTAATCGACCATAGTTTGACCAACTTCTCGATTTATCTCACGCATCCACACTGGTATTTTCTTCTGCTCTGTAGCATAGGTCTGCAGTTGCTCTCGAACCTCTGCGTCGAGCGCTTTGTCTATCTCACCGACTACGGCGCCCCTCCCGGGACCTGAAGGTGGCAGTTGTGGTGGTGTAAGAGTAGGATGTAAGTGGATCAGCATGTGAAATCGATGTCAAGAAGGTGGATTGTTTTGCTACTCAAACAAAAAATCCCATCCTTACTGATTGCTTACTAACCCAAAATCATCATCGATCAGAGCTCAACCTAAAGCTGATGAACAAGTATAATTCGCTAGTTAGTACACATATCGTAGAGATTGAGCTGCTGGTCATCGCACTTCTGCTGTAGCCGGACTAGAGATTCCGAAGGCGTAGGTTCAAAGGCGCTGACGGTCGGTAGAATTTCGAAGACTACTTGTGTTGGCCTGGCTTCGGCTACATGCTTTTCCGTCTCCGTCTCGGTCTCGGTTTCGGTCTGGCCTCCTGCCTTTTTCTTTCGCTTTGGGGAACCGCTAGATTTCATCGTGTATTAGCTCTTGCAACCTACAACTTCGCGAGAAGAGCGCAAGCAAAATATTCCAAAGAGTAGGTACAGGGACTTCCTTGTCGAGCGCAACAGCTCGTGGAAGTGGCGAAAGTTCGGTCAAACTCAAATTGATGCGGGTCTTCGATTTGAATTTACCAAAATGGGCGCCCTCCGGGAACTGGCCCTCTGGCAACTGCTGCCCCAGGTAAAGAAGTTCGGAACCAAGTTTCAAATCTTTTGCGCCACCCTGTCGATTTCGATAGCACTCCCGCAAAACCCGCACGCACGCACACACACACTTTTTCCCTTTGATGCCGAGGATATCTTCTGCACCTACAAATTCAGGAACGAGAGGCAGAGGCACATACTCGCTGTATCTCAAAAGTGACGAGGCAAGCGTGGTGGCTAGTCCGACTGCCTGGTTAGCCAGGACTCGGACTGCACATCCCGCGAATCCACAGTGTTGCGAGGAATCAAATCAATAGTGTGGAATCAAATCAATAGTGTGACAACCACGACATCGTCTGGCAATCAATATTCTAAGTCACTGAACTACGTGCAGCGAAAAATCAATCGTTTCCCTTTCTTCAGGCAGAAAAAGTCAAATAATTACAGATTCAGATTTTGTATCATGCAGCACGGAATATCAAGGCATTCCGGAGGGTACTCGGGCGAGGAGTTAGCCTGTGGGTATGAAAATCATCTTGAGAACCGTTTTCTAGATGGTGCCATCTCATCTACTTACGTAATGCCTAGTGCTTACCGACACATATCATTGAATTCCTTGGTAGCACCGAAGCATATCCATATCCCGAGGTCTTCCTCCAGCAATTACACCGATTCCAATCACAGACGGTAAATAATAGACCGATCTGTGGCGGAGTATCAGCATACTTACATCGATATAATTCGATTGTAAAACACCCCGACATGCTGTTATCCAATCACCCATGGACCGACATTGCTTGCAAATGCACCCTCACAGTGTTGTGAAGAACCTGACAACGAGGACCGGATGGGCGAGCAATAACAACTGCAGGCAACCATGCGAGCTTCCAATCCAAAGAATTTTACATGGCTTGGCGATAAGCGAGGATAGGGGAAAGAAGCAATCAGCAGCTACTTGTTCGGTCTTCTGTAATGGTCTCAGGTATCATTAACGCACTCTTTCGACGTCAACATCAAAAACATTCATCCCTGTATTCAGCTCATGATCATGGGATAAAGACATGACTAACTGGGTATGATGACCAAATTCCACCAGAGTGGGAAGTTTTTCAATGCGGATTCTAGCTCGATCACGGGAATCTGTCTACATGGTCGAGGGTTTTTTCATTTTCCATCGACGTGATAATTAATACTGGAGAAAAAGATATAAGTGGACTTACAACAAGACATATTGGCTGGGATATAACGATGGTTAGTTGCGCGTTGGAACTTCTGGAATCGAACATAGACCGCTTGCAATACGTAGTACCTTTATGATTGTATGTAAATCATGTGGACGAGCACATCTATGTACTTATATATAATAGAGAATTTCGCACTTTCCGGATTTCTAAAATGCATGGTATGGATTGCATGCATGGCAATGGATGGCACTATTTAGAACTAAGGTTTTTTTTTCGGGGCGCCCTTCGGGCGCCATCGTCCGCACTCACTGTGGTCGTGTTTCACCTTCCAACAGCTTGGGCGCCAGCAACTTCGAAGCATTCGCATCCGGGCGCAGCATACGCAGGCTACAGTCAGAACACCCCCCCAAAGACCACCCCCCCAACGCCGGCAACGCAGAGGACCAGAGAGACGCGCCGGAGCCTGTGCACCCACGCAAGAAAACTAGCGCACTTGCCGCGTGCCTACTTAAACCCAGCCGGAAACCAAGACTAGACCGAAAGCCAGACGCCACTGCATTCCTGTTACTTCTAACGCGGGCCCATAGCGGAAAAGTATAATAAGCATCAATATACTGTAAGCACACTGGTCGCAAGCATGGCAACGCCATCCCGGGGGGAAGTGGGGGCCTTCATAATCTAACATCTTAAGCACTTATGCCTATCGACCATTACGCACTTAATACTTAGGGGCCCGGCTTCTATCTAGCTGCGATTATCTAGGCTAGTTTGCTGGCATCTCCAACGCGGCCAGGCGTCAGGGGCTCTGCGTCCTCCCTGCAGCCAGCTCGAACCGAAAGGGAGCCCACGCGCGGCCTCACCCCTACGAGAATCGAGCCCCCTATCCGCGGGCGGGCAGAGCGCAACAAGATAAGCAAGGCGACGGCCCTCCTGTGGCCTTGTCAGGCGAGGCGCTGCGTTCAAGCAGAGAAGTGCGCGCTTCCCCTTTAAAAAGGTCACGCCTTCGCTCCGCCTGGCCATGCCATCCATGCAATGCATTGCAATCCATGCAAGCCATCATCCATCTTAGGAAATGCTCTAATATAAAATCTTCATCTTCTACTTCTAACCTCTTCTAAGATGTCTGAATAGCGTTTGAAATGCGATATATGAAAGAACTGCGTGGTCATGTGTAACTAGGTAGCGAGATTTACTTAAATGTATGAAGGAGCGATGATGGGAGCGGTTGGCCAAGAACTCATTCATAACATCATAAAGTTCATACTATTTTCTTCGAATGGTACCAGCCCAAGTTCCAAGGTGGGGACTGACACTGGTCCGTCTTCTCCAGATCACGGTTTGTGACCTTCAATTCCTGTTTTTATATCCGTCATCTTCATATGCATATGCTGTTTGCAGAAGCCGATCTTATGCTTTCCTCTACTTCTTCGTACTTGTATTTGTTCAGTCCACGACTTCGACATCAGCCACTCGCTTTGCTTGATTTTCTGCTTATTTTACAACAAATAAGTATGAAAAATATCCATAATGAATATGATGTCCTTGTTGATGTACAAGCTTACGGTCAAAAAACTTTTCGCTACGATAAATTTGTACAGGACAATGAATGTCAATGAAAGCCGCGAATATAAGTTGTGGAGAGATCCTTCGAGTTGACTACCACGAGCCATAATGATGTGACCCATTCGTAGATCCAGCTAAACAAGAACGATGTACTAGAAGAAAAGTATCAATACGATATGCCTCACGGTCAGTAATCACTTTCCCTCTTTTTTACTTCCACGACTTCCATCCTCCACTACCGCTACTGGCGTGATCGGTTTTGCCGTGACCCCATGACTTGTTCTGCCAGTTGTCGGCATTTCCGTCCTTGTCTTGCCACTTTTCCCAGCCGCGCTCGTTGCTTCCATTAGAAGTATTTTCCGCGGATAACTATCTGGACCCCGCTAAAGGCTGCTAGGTTGTAAATGGGTGTTACCTTATTAGTCTACCACGAACAAACTTTCATACAAGCCCAGAGCTACACAAATATATGTAATTTAAAGTGAATGGTGAGGGTTTTTAGCTATCTATTATACTATATTTATAACAGAGTAGCTTCTAGTAGAATAATTTATAGGGGCGCCAGGTCCGGGATGGGGTGAATCGGATGGAGCGGTCGGATGGACTTCCCATCATTTCAAGTAGGATCGGAAGATTTAGGGGGGTCCATCCGATCCATCCAAGTCCATCCTCCACCCGTGCTATAAGTTATGGCTTGCCAGCTCGCATGGCATGGAGTGCATGGGTCGCATAGAGTTGCATGGAACTAACGGGGGCGCTTCTTGCGTCCTTTATGGATCTGCGATCCATGCACTCCATGCGACTCCATGCACTATGCGTGCTATTATAAACTGCTCTGTTATAAACATACAAGTGAGTCGCACGAGAATCAACTGCGGAGGACAGAAACGGAGCACAGAAAGACCCAAAGGCTCCGCTTCACAGTGGCACGCGCGCGGGCCTTGCACCGAAGAGAGCAAGACCGAAAGCCGAGCAGCCGCTTCGGAGGAGTTCAGAGCAGTCCCTCGCGGTGACTGCTCAAGAAGCGGACTCCGAAGCGGACAGAAACCCAGACGGGGAAGCTGTCCAACACCCAAAGACCCCTGCCAAACAAGGGCGGGGCGACGAACGGCCTGTGAGGAGCCAGGGCGGGCCGAGAAGACGCGCTTCCGTCAGCGCTCTCAACGAGAGAGAAAAAATCCAACAACACGAAGGGCCAACGGCTGAAAAGCGCGCCGCTTTCTCTACTCAGCTCTTGAATATAAAGCGCCAGCGCGAAATATTTATAGAAACATCCCATCAACATAGTTCTAGTGTCATCTTTCCACCACGATGACGAAGACAACGACGAGCGCGACGACCTCGCCCACTTGTCGTCGCTCTTGGTACCCCAATCTTGCCAGCTGTCGTTCTTCCCATCGTCTTTCTTCACCCACTTCCCATCTTTGTAAGTCCAACCATCATCTTTTTTCGTGGTCCACCATTGGTCGTCTTTCTTGGCATCATGCCAGTCATCATCCTTGGCACTCCAACTTTGCTCTGAATCTTTGTCGGGATCGGCGTAGTGCAATGGCTCTTCAGAATCGCTTTCATCGGAGCTGCCTTCGTATCCGGAGTTGACATTTCCCATTTCCTTTCCATCTTCGTGTTCAGGAACAGTGCTGCTGCTGGCGTTTGGCACTACTCTGCGAGAGGTAACCGTAATATTATTGCCAAGTGAGGATGACAATTGATCTCCCATATCGTCTGCATTTTGATCTTCATCGTCTCTTTCGTTCTCGGACGACGAGGTATTACTATTAGGCTCCAGTCTGTACACCGGTTCGTCGACTACCTGGAGCCAAGGATCATTTCGATTCGTGTCCGTATCGGTCGAGTCCATGGCGGGCGAGGAAATGAGGTGAGGACTCGGCGACGTGCGGGATCCGGAGGCTGTAGTTGAGAGGAGATGAGAACTCGGAGAAGCAAAAGTGACCTTCTTTCTTGTCGTCGGGGAGTGATAGGTCTTGCGACTCCTCTTGCTTTTTCCTTGTTGCGCAGGAGAATCTGAGCCATCACCAGGGTTATTCTTCGACGCAGAAGTGTGGTTTGTTGGAGTCGGCGACTCGTCCTCATCGGAGACATAAGCAGGAGTTGTATTCATCATCTGGCTTGGCCACAGGCCAGCAGAGTTCGAGGCGCTAGGAGCGTCAGTCGCAGAAGCGGAATCAATGGCGCCAGAAGAAGAACCACCAGTCGATTTCGCCGTCATATCCACCAACCGTTTATTCACGTGGTCTGCACAGATTTCCGCCAGAAGTTCCACGGATTCGTTCATAGCTGCAGCAATTTGATCGATGTCAACGCGTTGGAACATGGTTTCGTAGTGCTGCAGTTTGGCAGTGACATCGTGCAGTTTCGCTGTTCTATCGTCCACGTCCACAGTCACATCTTTCAAACGGTTTTCTGCCGCATTTAGCTGGTTGCTCTTGATTCGTAATTCCTCTTCGAGTGCCTCCTTCTCTTTTTCCAGCTCCTTCTCGCGATCAGAAGGCCCCCTGACGGGCATACCAAACTGCGACACAGGTGTAGCAACACCTGGAGATGAGATAGTCAAAATTTCACTTCCCATGCTGTTGCGGTGTCGAATGTTTCGAGTTCTTTTTCACCTGCTCTCGAACTCGAAAGAAAGTGGCAGTTTCCTATCTTGGCTCTTCGCATCTACTACACGCTAAAACTAACTACTGAGATGATCCGTACTACCTGAACTCGAACCAGGAAGGGACCCGAATTGAGACACCAGACAGCTACTTGCATGAGCGGTTTGCTGGTTCGGCCACGGTTGTCTGGTCCTCATCCTCGGGGTCTCGCGGTTGGCCATAGAGGCTATCACATTTTCACCACCTCTCGGGTTTTCCGGATCCTATATTCGTTGGAAGTTTGTGCATGAGTCGATTCTGTGGACCTCAGAGATGAAGGACAAGGACTCATTGTCATTCCAGTCCCTTGAAGATTACGAATGACGGCATCAAAAGACAAGTCAGCAGCAGACGTTATCACCGTGCAACTACGAAAATCAAGTCAACAGAACCCCAAAAGTAAGAAAACAAAAAGTCAGCTAATCCGAGAATTGCCCAACAAGGATACGTACTCGTTCTTCTGGCCGATCCAACTGTCCAAAAGCGTCAAAGTCGTGAGGAAAGTGGACTCCAGGAATCAGGTCTTTGGACGGGATCGGCAATGGCATGTTCTTACATTTGCGGCTTCTGTGCTCCATCGCCTCGTCCATATCCATGTACTCCAATATGGTATAAAGAGAGAGAGACAACCGGACCACATGCAGCAATTATCCCACCTACAGCCATGCCAAAGACACAATAAGTCGTAAGCAACGCGCTGGCACTGGCTTGTGTAACGCGAGAGGTAGAATTGCTACCCAGCATTCTCGAAAAAAAGTAAGTAGTTTCACTTTCGTACCCCTTTGGTCCTATCGATAAGTACTGACAGCAATATCCAGAGTGCTTACGACTCAGTAGTAAATCAAACAGCGTTTAGTCATTCAGACAAATAGGGTGAGAGCGGGTGTGAGTCATACAGCACTACGAAGTCCATGACATGAAAGTAGGGCGCTGATGTGGTCCAATTGTGAGGGCGTACGTGTATTGACCTGGATAGACGCATCGAACTGCAGAAAGATGCTTTTTTCCATCAGGAGTGTGCGAGGAGTTAATCTTCGCGACGCCGGGGCACAACCGACAGCGAAGCGCCGGCCAGCCCTGATAGGAGATTGATAGATTCATAGCTCATCATTGCGGAGAACCGAGCGAAAGTTGAAACTCTAGTCGATCGTAAGCAATGAGTTCAGGTGGCTACTGCTCTAACTCTAAGTTCGTGTTGCACTTTCTGAAACTGTCTCTATAATGCAAGAAAACAGTACATTGTGGTCGAAGATTTCGTAGTATTGAGGGTTTTTCCAGAGCTCCAAGAGGTAATCTTCGTAGCCATCGTAGCTTCCATTCCAGAAAAATTCATCAGATGTTAGCGGTAGTAAGTGTTTCACTATGCTGATTATCCGCGTCCAGTCCCCTACCAACTCGACTTGTGGAGGTATGCTGTTGACTTATCAGCTTTCTCTTTCGATTTTGAAGATCAAAATAAGTGAGCAAAGTTTCACATAAGTGAGGGATTTCACGGCAGAAGGCATCGATTGGCCTCAGCTTCGACAAGAACGCAGGGTCGCTCATGTCTTCTGGGACGGGGGCAAGTGTGGCATTGAATCCAGCGGGCCCACCTCGCTGCGACGAAAAGGAACACGGTGTGCCGCATTCACTTCCAGCGGGGGTCTGCGGCACTGAGCCCATGCTGGACGCTGACCTCAGAGGCGGCCCTTTCGGTACGGGCGCGAAAGACCTATCAACTTCAGCCGGCGGCTCTCCTGGAAACGGACGTTAGAAATATAGGCATGGAGTTGTGAGAAGGTGTCAAACGTTCCCTCTACCGAAACTGAACACGAGATTTGCGAGCAAGACGATGGATGATCGACCATGATGTTTGATGTACCTACTTGAAAATAGTTGAAAACATAAGGTGTAAAAACTATGTAGCATGCTCTAAGTAAAAAAGTGCAAGTGGCAATTGAAAAAAGACCAATATATATATTGCTGTTGAGAGCGTGCTAGTGCTAGAAAAAATACCAGCGACGTTATCGATTCGGCCGTAGGAGTCGCGGTGGTTGAGGCCGTCCGTCGGGAGTGGTATTTCACAGTCTTGAATTTTGCGACGGTACTCTTGAAGAAAGCTAATACCAGAAGACTGGATTTGCTGGCGATGTCTTCCGCTCGCAATATGATCGTTGCCAGCTACTTTTTGACAGACTAGGCAGTATACCTGATGAAAGTGCGACAGTCACAGTGCTCAGCATGTGCAATATAAATCGGGAGTCTACGATTAGTGATAGAGAAAGTCATCTTGTTTATCTTGTTATATCTCCAATTTTATTGTGAATGCGCAAACGAACAACAGCGACCATATGATATAGGGCCTTAAGTAGGCGAATGAAGAAGAATCAAAGCTCCACTGAGAAAATGTCTATTCGACTTACTAACACTGTAAGTTTGTACTAAAATGCAGTAAAAAGAATTCTAGTACGAAGTCTCCCCATGCTTTTGTGTAGCGATTTTCGTAGTACATAGGCTCAGCTAGAATGCGCCACTTCTGTGCTGTTAGAAGTCTCCCACTGATGAATTCATATGCAAGCTCATTCTACTACGGTCGGCCCTCTACCTTAGGAGATACTCTTGAAAACCAATTACATCAACTATGCTGATGTATGTTATGAGTTTGTTCTTGTTGATGTCCTTTTATACATAGTTTGGGCGAGTAATCTAGCGTTGCAAGTAGTGCGATATATTTGTGGTGGAGCCGACCTAACTAGAAAAAAGAAAGACCAGCAGAGGAAGATAGAAAAGAGAAAAGAGTAACTATCATCAAGTGTCCTCCTATCTGCTAAAACTAATTAAGCGCCGGCTACTATATATTATAAGTAAATATAAGTAAACTGTCAAGTAGTACTAAATAAGTAAACTGTCAAGAGTCTTAACGGCGTTGAACACTCGACCTGAGAGCAGTACTCTTTTCCATTGTGATCATAGATCCCAACCTTGGCGGGGTTAAGATCCGCCAACTCGAAGAAGCACTCGTCTGCCATCGCGAAGTAAATCGGTAGTCTCAGGGTTTCGGGTGCTCAGTTTACGGTGCTTGCAAAATGAACTGATTTGAAGAGCTGCGACTTCTTACTTTCGTCGCAAAATGACCAGCAAGTTCCTCACACCAATCTGCGTATTGTTACGAGGAAGATACTTTCTTACGACATGCTTCCGCGTCTTTTTGTGAAAACCAGATGATGATGAATAATGTTGAATAGTTTTTTCACAATGAAAATGATCTCAATAAATGTAAATGACAGTTGTAATCCTGAAGTTTTCACTCATGCCAATAGATATCTATTAGCTATTGATCTGAAGGCTTCGTAATCGTAGTTCGTGCAAAAAGGAAAGATATAACAGCATGACTTTCAGTAGTAATCATCAAAATGAAGATCAGCTGCCACAGCCACTTACACAAGAGTGATAATCTCCTGTAGCAAATCCCCGCGTGGTAATCAGTCATAGCATACACGCAGATGAAAAGTGCGGCGAGCACACCGATAGCTCGACGAGCAAGTCACCGAGCCGCTGAGATTCTGATCCTGTATGAAGCTGGTTCATCTATAGCACAGCAGGCAGACGATCATCATCATCATCTCAGACAAGCTCGTGCATATCTTGGCAGCAGCAGTCAAGATAGCCTGATCTGCTCACAAGGTCGCGGTAACTATTGATTTATACGCGAGAAAATGATGACCAAGTGTGTGGGGAAAAACCCCTCCCGCCCATGAGAGAGATGAGTTACCTTAGTTGAAGGATATTCTCTACCAGGAGCGCCACCTCGTCTGGTCTCTTCGAGACAGTTCCATCTTGTTCCGGAAGTGAGTTCGCATTAAGCGTCACTCTTTGTGTCAATCGCTTTCGTTAACGTTTCTTTCTGGTGTCTTTTTATGTAAAATTTGAAAATTTGTTGATGCTGCTCGTCTATTCATCAGCACAATTGGCATATCATTTCCTGTCATTACTGTAATCATTTTCCTCAAGCACAGGAAGTGGACCATCTACGTGTCCTTTGCTTTACAATCCTGTCCAGCACGAAATGTCTTCTACGAGTCCACCACTTTCTTACGTCGTTGCGAACCTCCTTGTCAAGATGAAATCGATGCATGTTCATAAGCGCAAATAACTAGTCACTAAGACCAAGACAAAGATATCCCTACCGATCGTCTACTTCTGCCTTTACGTGGAAAGTCATGTCGAGGCAGTCTTTGCCCTTGTTCTGCCGATTAGCGCATTTTCCTCCGCTGTTGGTATCCACTGTTCAAGAAAGAAATACGTGCCATCAGATAGTATCGTCTCATATCGAGCTTTTGACTGATTTCCAATTGTACGCCCAGTTTTTGAATTTTTTTTTCTTGTGTTACTCTTTTCGCCACCTATTCGACTTACTCCAGGTCCAGTACCAGGTGTCCTGCTACTATAATTGTCTTCATCCGATGAAGACGACGCCGCCAGTTCTCCGAAGACCCTAGCTGCGCTCGCGACTTTTGGTCGCACCGTCTCCAGGCGTGGACGTGGCGCATCCTCCGAATACCGACTTGCGAAAGGTGGCATGTTCGCTTGTGTCACTGGTGCTGCGATGCGATCACTAGAGAAGCGCGATTGCCCACCATGGAATTCCGAATAGACGCGGTCCGGCAGTACTTTCTCACGTCCGTCCTGAGAGGGTTGTGGGACGTGGAGGTGGCGTTGAAATGCCTGGAGGCCGAGAGAGTAACTAAGAAATTCCCTTCCCGCGTGATACCATCACAATAAGGCAATACATCACGATGAAAACCTTTAATTTTAATACAAGCACAAATCGTAAACGTAATTACGGAAAGCCTACTACTTCACTAAGCAAAATCGTACTTCTGCTTGCTAACCTTGAGAGCCACAACTGAACATGGAGCTTATAGTATACGACATCTTTGTCTATCTCGCGCGCTCGCGGTAGAAATGCTGCACCCGTATTATACGCGTGTCTCTGCTCTTCGTATGAGATTGCATTTTGTCGATTGGCTTTTGGAGCCACTTCTCTCGTCTTTTGACGCGCCACGTCTCGGGCCGATCCTCCGAAGCCAGCCGCATCCGCAAAAAGCTCTTCAGGGCTATGGCGAAAAATCTGCGACGGCGTCACTCCTGGTTCTGTCTTCCGCCCACCCGATATTACGACAGATCTGCTTGCTCTCTGTTGATCTTGCACCGCCGGTTTGCTTCTGTTGAAAGAAGAAGAGGAAGCTGTGCTAGGCCTCTTCTTGGCAGAAGACTTGCTCTGTGCAGTCTTAGCTTTGCTCGCATCCCCGGTATTTTTCAGATGCAGGAAACGCGCTGGCCGCTTCTGTTTAAGCAGAGATAGCACAGGCTCAGGGCTTTCGCTTCCGAAAATATTTCCCTTTCTCGTGTTGAAACGTCGTCGACCAAGAGAAGATGATGCATCAAGATCAATGCTAGAACTTGTTCCATCTGCCATCCACGTCGCTTCAGTGAAGGACGTGACGTCACGCGCTTTTTGTTCTCGCAGACTCGTTGCGACAGCTTCACCATGGTCATAGTTTGGCGACGCGATCCTGTTGGCACGAGAGCCAGTCTCTTCAGGCGGACAATACCCTGCAGGACGTACGATATCCACAGTGGCAGCCTCGCCTAATCCGTAGTGCTGATAGACGCCCTCGCTCCAGTCACGCTTTGCCCGCATCCACTTTCGCAAGCTCGCACCTGGCGCTGCGCTTTGTGGGGCAATCAGCAGATGCGGATTTTTCTGCTTTTCTCCTAGAAATACTCTTGATGCTCCCAATGTCGAACTAGAACCCCCTGACATGATGCCAGACACCACTGAAGGAGAGGAGCAACGCATAGTACTAGACAGTGAAGACGTCGCTTCAGTTGTGGTCTTGACATCATCTTTGTCCTCACGCTCTAAAACGATGTTGCTTGAACCGCGATCTGCTGACAGCCTGCGAAAAATAGCATAGCCTTGACACGACTCAACGGCTTCCCCATGCCAAATTTGCAAGGGCAAAAATCTCCCTCTTGTCGTTCGAAAGCCGCCACTCCAGCATCCTTGCCGGAAGCAATGGAGCGGAATCGAGGATGGTTGTGACTTCATATCCATTTTTGTAATTTGTGGAGTCAAGTCAAAGTCTTTGTCCTAGAGAGTCTTAATCTTCATCTAGGCATTGCCCGCCAATGGATCCTACAATAACTTCAAAGCTCAATATACACCTACTGTACTAAGTAATGGAAGAACAAGAAGATGTAAAGATGATGGTCGAGAATACCACACTTCGCTAGTCGAAAAATGAGCACAGTTACGACTTACGATCAAGGTGAAGATAGACGGATGAATCATGTGCTGCAAAGAAGGGAACAGAATATAACGAAGCGTAATTCAATTTCGCATTTTCAAAGCCAATCTAAGTAATGGCTAGAAGAAGTGAAGCCCTCAGCATAATGTAAATGTATTTCCGATTTTAATCGTGATGCGCCAGCATCAGTTATCGACTCTTTGGTGCCATCGCGTGCAGCTGTGCCGAAGTAGAAATACCGATAGCGATTGCCCTTACCTGGTGTCGCCGGACCTGTTATGTCCTTTTCTCCGGATAAAGGCGGCAGAATGTCGACCCTAGCAGCATAGAAAAATCAGGCGATGATAAGAGATACGGTTCAAGACAATTGCGCCGGAAAGAAGGACCATAACTCGGCATCACTTGTATCATACTGGAACTAATAAATTGCTTGGTGCGGAGTTTGTTTGTTAGACTTACCAAAATCTGACTTATATAATTTTAATTACTTTCAATTTCAAGTGCAAGGAGATAGCTGTGGGAATAATTCTTATGGGGAATTGTGAAGTTTTAGGTTTTAGTTTTTGTGGTTGGAATGTGAATGAATTAATCATCATTTTCTTTGTTCATCAAAAAGCAGGCTCCATTGAGCGACCTTAGGGGAAAAAGAGTACGAGTAGTTCCACGCTCCTCGTTTTCACTTAGTATCATTATGGTAAAGACAAATGAATGTAGTCTAGTAAAACGGCAATGGAAATACGTGAAGGTTGAAGACATGATAGATTAATCATCTTCTGAGAATGGAAAGAAGTCTGCAGCTACCACTAACTTTTTTTTGTCGTTCCTCCGGGAATTATACAACACTGGGACACAAGAATGCTACGACAAGATTGATTGATAGAATTAGAAGGAATGAAAAATAGTCAAAACGCAATTATAAACAATGAAGAGTGACTTACATGCATATTGTGTTTGGGGGCGATCCATCTCCCCAGCTTCCCCCAGCGTTACTGCGACGATGAAATTGGTGAAAAAATGCGAACAAGTTGTAACAATATTGCCACTACAACCTTCGGCGCTACCTCTCTTGCAGAATTCCCGACGGATGTGCCAGTGCGCACATTGACATCCGTAACTGCAGCACCACACCACCTGGAACTGCGCGCACAAGCGCAGCCCCGTCTGCGTCATCATTTTCGTTCTAAAAAACTCAGACTGATCTATCCTAATTCCGTCCAACCCCTGCCGGCAACAGGCGCGGAACGGGTCCGTCGGTGGAATAACCGGGCAGAATCGATCATCCGTCACACTCGCAACAGCAAGAGCATTTGTTTCTTCTACTCGAAATCGAAGTCGATGGACCATGTGGATTTTCCTTCGCTGCCGAGCTTCCAGCGTTTGAGAAATCAAAGTCAAAAGGTTCGCCGTCATCACTGCAGTCGCGGAGCTTTGGTCCGTCTCCTGTCCAAGACGTGGGTGCCGCTGCCGCTTGCCTTTGCTGCAGTTGTTCTCTCCGCAGGTGTCGATGTCGAACCTCTTGCTTCCAGACTTTTGTTCGCACGCAACTCTGTTACTCCTGGCGCCGCGAGCATCTCCCCAAAGAGGTACTCCATTGGAGCAGAGTGATGCCTAGGGTTTCCTTTCCCTACACGCTTGCCGCACGGCGTGTTTGGCTGAGCAGATGCGCATGCGCTCCCACCTTTTTTCCCTAAATTTGGCGGCCATTGCTTTGGCTAGTGCTTCTCTGATTGTTTGAAGACGCTTCCTCCGAGAGTTTTTCCCTCTTCCTGCTCTTCGGACTGCTGCTTATGAGCGCGCGCAGCGCCGTTCGTAAAATGTCTTTGGTAGTTGTTCCCTTACGTCGTCCTCTACCTCCACCTCCTTCACCATCCCCAGCGCCAGCACCAGACATCAGGTCTGCGACCGCATTGGCATCGGAAGCTGCGCAGACGTATGGTGCCCTACTTGGAATAATTGATGTCATCGTGACCAGCGAGCCGCCCTGTGGCTACGCTCAATGTCGTCAAGCCGGTTTTGCACCTTCCTTAGCTGCGGCCTGTTACCCCTTCAGGCCAAACGAGATGGAAAAACGAATAGTATGCATCCATGTTTAGATCATCATGGTGAAGAGTCTTCCCACTCTTCATCTGGCAATAAGCGCTCACTCCAATTTTCAGAACATCCCAGCTACATGAGCACGATTCTCGGTCTCACTTGCTCTCCAGACAGTTAGTTACACATGCTACTCTCCTCGATTGCTTGCCATGTTGACCATGAGCTACAGTATTTAAGCGGTCTGAAATCAGGCGACGATGTAATTCCAGAGGTTGTACGTCAGCACGGAATGGCGTTTCCAACATCTTGCCTTTGTTCAGATCCCGCACAGATAAGCAATTCTAGCTAGAGCCGAGTGAGTCCTACTACGTTGGAGCATGGTACGCGAGGCCTAAACCGCTGCTACGGTTTCAGAAGCCGCTTTCCCATCGCCGTCGCAGGCAGCAGCAGATTGATGACTTGACATCAGCGCAAGTTGCTCCCAGTTTTTTGGGAAGTCTCTGGTGTGGAGGAGAACAAGAAATGCGCGTCTACTTCGACCCCGAAAGTTTTCAAAGATTTCGACATGCTTTGTTCATCGTCATTGCCAATCATCATCCCCATAATGTAGCAACTAAAACCTACCTGCGTCACGAAGACAAAATAGAACAAAAAGATATATGTAGTAAAATCAACATTTTGAAGAAGTAAGAACATCTTGCCACAGCTACAATTTTTTCTCGTGTAAATGCGTTACGTTCGCGCCGTCCGCGTCGAATAAACAAAATCATAAAGTTTGCGACAGTTTCAGTCTTAATTGACGTTGCACTTACTAGCCATACATTCTCATTTACGAGAGATCCCATGTTGTGATACTATGTATATATAACAAGAGCTCACCGGAAGAGGCTCAAATCTGCTGAGATAAGTATTAAAAAAAACGATGACTCTGCATCTCTCCAAAGCTCGGCTCTAAAAGCTGCCGGATTTTTCATGCTAGTCGTGAGACGCAGTCAGGGACGCGACGATTGACTTTCGTCGATACATTCAGATACTTAAATAACCTTGACGACCAGCCGTTTTTACATACTCGACTCAAACTCATGTCAACGCTTCCAGTAATTATCCACGAGCTATCTTCTTGCCTTGTCATTGTCAAGCATTATTAGCCAAAGAACTCAGGGCATGTGAATCGTATTCAGAGCAATTTATCTTATATTCCTTAGATAAATACTCGGGAAGCTGCCGGTTTGCTTGTTTAAGGATTCAATCAGCTCAATCAAATAAAATAGTAGAAGTCTAGATCTGTACAACAGGACAGAAACTCAGACGAGGAGGAGAACAGCTCAAATCCGAATGGACAAGCGCAATGAGCAGTTTCGTAGTGCCGCAAGCGCAAACGTCGGCAAAACTGTACCAATCGGTCGCGGGTCGTCGCCAAAATCTAGGTCGAGCTGACTACCAGCCTCTACGCCAGGCACCGAAAATAGCTGCCGCGCTGGTTCCCGCAGCATGCCCGTGTCGATGGCCGCGGGATCAACGAGAAGACCGGCTCGAAAAATCTGCCGCAGATTCTGCACAAATCTGCTAGTGAACACTTGCTGCTCTTCACACTGGAGGAGCCAGAGCTGCTGTTGGTCCTTTATTGCAGCTAAATCGTTCCCACTGGCATAAGCTGGCGGTGGAGAGTGTTTGCGCATTTCGGAAACGAGCATCTGAGCGAATTTTCCGTGAACTTTGTCAGGTTCAAAATGACTCAGCATTTCCTGCACGAAAGCAAGTTCATCTGTGGTTTCGGGATCGCGTCCAAGCCACCACATTTGATAGTCTTCGTTCCAATAGATGAGGTTACACCCCGACCGCCAAACAGGTTTTTCGCTCCACATTTCACCGTGCTCCTGCGCATACGTCCCATCAAAACAAGGGAAATGCGCAATAGACACAAAACCGCTTGTCTCGTCAGCGTTTTCTTGGTCTTCTCCAGGGTGAGGTGGCGAATCCATATTGTACACCAGTGAGGAAGATTCTTCTTTCACAACTTCTGGCCGTGGTCCCGTTTTTTCAAGCATCTGTGTCTGATTTCCTTCTACCCAATTTGGAATGGTACGATCAAGATCGGCACTTGTTGCGCTGTTCTGATGTTGGCTGTGGAAAACAACGCTATCGAAGTTCGGCAACCCTCCTGCACTACTTGCAGCATGAGATATTCGTCCAGAAACGAGAAAAGGGTCTCTCTGCAGAGAGTGCGCTGTCATGCCTCCTGCGGTTCCACCAGCTTCTTGCCGGTATGGCTCGGCTGGTCGGTGGAAGATTTCTGCGTGATAGATTTTCTGCAAGGGGAAAGGGTCGGGGTCTGCGTGATAGATTTCATCAGGACTTCGTTCACTGGGAAGCGCTGGATTCAGAAAGGGATTGCCAGAAGGTGAACTCTGCAAACTCCGTCCACTACTGCTTGAAGACGTACTTGGTGATGCGCCGACTTTCAACTTGATGCTCCCTGCACTATTTACTGTGGAGCCTGCGAGTGCAGCCTTCCGCTTCTTGCTCTCCGCCTGTGCCTGTAAGCGCTCGCTGAAAGCCTGATCTTCAATTTTAGTCGCGCCAGGCGGAGCAGCGTCGCTGGGTCCACCTCTGCCTTTGGCTTTGCCGTGAAATCCGCTAGGACTACCTTGAGGAGATGCCAAAAGTCGTGGGTCGACAGTAAACTGGTTGCTCGTCTTGCTTCCCGTTGTAGAGCGAACTCGCTGCTGCTCATTTTCTGCTAAGTCAACAAGGTCATTCTTATTTCCTGAAAGAGCCGGTCTCTCCTCATCCAGACCGGTACATCGCTGTTTTTTAGTTGGTGGCAAGGCTGTGATACGGAGATTCGTGGATTCCGACGACATCTGCTTCTGCTCTTTCCCTGCACTTCGACCGCGCCTATCGTCCGATGAAACTATTGATGCGAGCCTACTGGACTGGGGCGACGACAGGCCCGAAGCAACGAGAGGCGAGGGTATTGCGGGAATGAAAGCAGTACTGCCTCCTACTGTTACGTGCTGCCCTTGCCGTTGATCGCCTTCGTTGCTGATGGCATTTCTCCCAGCGGCCGAGTCGTAGTCATTGTCCAGGACACGCACGCTGCTGCCCTGATGAACAACTCGCAGTCGCGATACAGACAATGGTGCGTCATTTTCATTCCCAAAGCCTTCTACTAGTTGTTCACTTGTCCTAGTTCTATCCATGCCGTCAGCGCCCGGACTAGACTGGTTTGCTAGTTGCGAAATGATGCTACCACGGCTTCGCAGGTTCACGACCGCTTTGTTTTGCGTTGCTGCTGCGGAGGCCGCGCTAGACGAGTGAGAATTTTCTAGCTCGTTGTCCACGCTATCTGCATCATCAACATCCGGTGGTCTGAAGTAAGTCGTGTCGCCCCGACGGAAAGGCGACGTCGGGCGCCCGTCCCGGTATTTCGATGCGTAGTCGGAAGAAGAAGACATCGCCTTGATGTTCATCCCCCGTTTCTTTCCAGACAAAGATGGCGCAGACGTCACCTGAGTTAAAGAGCATGAGCGACATATCATGATGATACAAGTGTGTTGAGTACCGATGGGCTTTGTTTCAAATTCAAAATGATCCAACACGATGAGCATGAATCTGCGAAAAGATTAAAGAACAGGTACAGTAGGACTGCGTTCTTCTCGCTCCCCGTGCTCAAGCGAGTCAGCATCGTCTTGCCGCACGAAAGACAGATTGTCCTCCTCTTCTTCAAACTCCGCGTCCTCTTCTTCCTCTGGATCTGGATAGAAATCGTCGCGCGTGTATGCGTGGACGTAGCTATGATGCGAAGATCGTGCAAGAAAGTCGACCGCTTTTTTATTAAGCGAGTCAGAAGGCACATCGGGAATGATTGAAGTGTCTCCAGCGTCGTGGGTAATGGAGGATGAGCCAATATGCGCCTTTTCTTGTCCTCGTCTTTTGTGCGTCACAATCATATCGCTAATGGTAGAGTCTTTCGAGGTAGATTTCGAATAAGGAAAACCTGCGCTGCCATTCTCCTTTGTCTGCATGTCAAACAAGTGATAATCAGTTTCATCCAAGTCGTCGTAATGTGCGAAGGTATCAGCATGACCAACGGCTTTGAGTGTAGAAGTCGGCGGCGGCACGTAATCGAGGCCTTCCAGGACGACCAGTGGTCTGTCTGGTGATGGCCGCAGCGAAGTTGACGAAGTCGCAGCCTCTGCACCTGGGGTCACGGCTTTTTTTGCTCTTCCTGGGCTTCCTGTTTTTTGCGTAGGCGTTGCACTTGAAGTTACGCCCGCAAGTACAGTCTCGGTGGAAGTCACTAATATAGTTGCATCTGCGGGTCGTTCCATGGACGTTGTACTAGGCAAGCGCTGTGGAGCGACGGGCGAAGTGCTCTGGTCCAGGGCTTCGCGCTTCTTGAACTTTATTGCCTTCTGCTCAGAGATTTCAGCAATTGGGGGCGATGCGAGGTAGTGCGCCTTAGCATGTTCCCTAGACGACGAAACGGCCTCAAGTTGGGCTACTTCAGGGTGCTCCTCCGCATCGACTGAAGGTGATGTTTTTGAGAGGACGCTGCTAGTCTTAGACTTAGCAGTGACCCGCACTTGCATTAGCTCGCTGTCGCTCTTTCTTCCATCCATGGAGGACTCGAAGTTGACCGAATTCTCATCGTCTTCCTTGAGAATTTGTTGCAACATGGGATCACTTTGGACCGCTGCCAGCCGGTCTTGATGTGAAACCGAGCCAGTGGAACGTGCACTCCTCAGCTGCGCAGAACCAGGAAAGGATTTGTCTTTGGGAGTGTCAATTTGTCCATCACCGTTATGCTCCTTTTCACTTTCGCCTGGTAGAAGCGGCGTGCCAGTGGCGGATCCTGACGCAATGGCTTGAATACCTTCAAGCGCCACCTGCCACCATGAGCGCGCTGAACCGTTGATGCGAAGTTGTTGATCACTTTTTTCTTTCGCATCGGTCGCTTGACCCCCAAAAAACTGATCTTTTCCATTCGTAGGTTTACTACTATTGACTCTCCTACTATTTTTACCTGTTGCCTCATTCTCAGCAGTCTTCGAAAGCGCCGACTTTCCGTTAGCAGTTTTCATCTCTGTGTCAGTTGTCTTCGAAGTAGACTCAGAAGGAATTGCTCCTGCCGAAGTCGACGTCTCTTTTGAGGAGACACACCAAGCGGCCGAACTTGGACTGAACTCGGTAGTTGCGGCACGTGGCGAGGCACTGCGACTACGCACGGCACGCCTCACGGATCCTGATCCTGAAGGAGACGTGCCACCCACTATGAATTCCATCTGCGTCGTGCTGTTTCCAAGCTTATTCAAAGACGATGGCGATTCTCCTGGTTGGAGTGACCTGCGACTTCTGTTCGTAACCATAGTGGTTGTTGATGCACCAACAGGGTTCCCGCCAGATGTTGACAACGCTGGATTCACGGAACGCAATGCGCCTGCCTGCATTTGCCGCTGGACAATGGCGCGTAGAAGATGCGTCTTCCTATTCGATATCGTTGATGAGTCGACGTCGAGATCTGATCCTGCATGCTCGACGTCCATTTGGTCACCGCCTTTCGCCAAAGTCGTAGCATCTGTATTTGGAGAAGGTGCTTTGCTACGAGCCTTTCTTGGCATCGCCGCTGCCGCATTTCGCCACCTCCAAAGAGCCGCACACAAGACTCGGGTGACGGTCCCTTGCAGTGCATGTGTCACGACTGCGCAATAGTCACGCACGTGGCGCTCACGCCTCTGACGTTCGAGTCTTCGTCGCTTGCGGTGCGCCAGCAACTTCTGCTGTTCCATTCGCTTTTCTGCTTCAAGCTGAAAGAAGAAGCCGTTTCGATAGCGGCAGCATGCGGGCAACAAAGGCGCTCGTGTGCAAGCAGCCACATCGTGCCAGCGAAGGAAACTCTGCAAATGGCGCTCCCGTTCCGCTTCACTCACTGCACGGAAGAGACGCGTCGCGGCGACGAGCTGCTGACGTTCCCGACTTAATTCCGCGAGATCTCCTTGAAGCTCCCGAATCTTCTCGCCAAATTCACGCTCCACAGCTTCGAGTCGACGACGAGCAGCAGTCATGATCTTCGGAGAACCGCCGCGGGAAAGGCTGTAGCTGTCTTCTCCCGATACTTCTAGCTCCTGTCCGAGATGAATCGATGCTTTTGACAGCGTGCTCGACACCGCGGTAGCTTTTGACGATCGCGCGATGGACAAAGACGTCGAGATCCGCGTTGATACGCCTGACGCTGACGCGATGCCTTTCGTTCTTTTTGCTCCCATCGATGTCGCTTCAGCGTTGGACGACTCCAAAGCGCTATGGTCGAGGGGAACGCCCTTCGAACTAAATTTGCTAGAAGTTCCTTTGCTACCTCTCTTGAGGACTGCTCGGCTAGTTCCGTCCACCAGCATTTGTTGCCTTTCCTCCAGAGCGTGCTGATCTCTCAAGCGCTGGACAATGTGGCTCCGCTCTCCACGCCTGTTCTCAATCATTGCCAGACATTTCCGCCTACTCGCGGCATTGCTCTCTAGGCAAGGACTTAAATGTAGCTTTTTCAGGCTCCAGTCCGCAAAGGCGCAACGCAGTGCGTCGGTGTGACTGCGCTGCGCACTGCGGTCCAACATCAAGCGCAACATGTCGAAAACTTGCGATAGCCGGCTTTGTTCAATCAGGAACTCCCTCGGTGGAATTAGCGAGAAACAGAAGCCCGACTGCAGCTGCGGTGAGAGAAGCTGTCGTGGTAGGTCGAGCTGTGGCGTCGTTAAGTCGAGCAAGAGATTCCTCTCAGCAATCTGGTGGAGACCGGTGCTCATACTAAACTGGTGTGAAGGTGCACTCGGTGACCCAGCCAAAAAGTCCTGTTGATCATGCTTGGTGGTCCTGCATGCCTCTATCATGTCAACATCCTCGTGATACGCGGGATCCCTAAGATGAACGTGCTGTCGTCCCAACTGACCAGGAGTACTGTAGTTTTGGAACAGACTAGGCGAGTCAACCATCTTAATGCTCGGGGCCGCCACAAGAAGCGGCCCGATACCCTTCATCACATCTTTGCCGGACGGGGCGCTGCTGAGCTGAAATAAATATTAGATGCAGAACCAGATGGCATGAAAACTAAGTAGAAGAATATTATACATAGTTTCGTTTGATATCATATGGCTTCAACCTCGATTTCAGATATGAAGCACGGGCAGACGCAGAAAGAGAACCGATAGACAGATGACGATCTCATCAATTTGGAAACTGTACCGTTAGAAGTGACGACGTCGGAGGCATCTCGGAAGGTGCTCCTAGTGAGGGCAGCTTTGGTGGTTGCAATTGAGCCTGTAATTGTACGCTGCCCAGAGCCGACTCAGGCAGGAGACGTCCACCAGACAGAAATCGATCGTAGGCTGATAGATGCGCCGGAGGTGGATCTGTATGCGTCAGCGCAGCAGAACTAGACGTGGATGCCGAGAGCTGCTTTGTGTTGTTGAGTGTGCTCGAAGTTGCTAGGCCTGCCGTCGCAGCAGCTGCCGATGTTTGACGAAGCCCTTCTTGAATTGACGGGGCGGACACCACGCCGTTGATGTTTTTTAGTGGGCGTTGTTGTGGCGGTTGCGGCGGAATTGCAGCATGTCTGTTGGTATCTGTAGTTGTGAAGCCATCAGTTTGCAGCAGGTCTTCTTGATCAACGTGCGTTGTGGAGTTTCTGTCGTATTCGCTGCCATTCATCGTCATCCCGTGGTGAATCAGAGAAGTCACTAGTGACTGATCGCCGCCTGCCACGCGGTTGCTGGATGATGCCTGGGATCTATTTTGGCTGTACACCCAACCTCCTGGAATTATCGAGTTGGTGGGCTCATGGCTTTGTCGCCCCTGGTCGTCTGTCTCATCGAAGGACGCTGCCGTATTCCTGAACCCGAGGCGACTTGTCGATAGGCTATTCTCGGTCTCGCAGCCCTCATGGTCGTCCTCCCTGCTAGCACCAAACGATCTGCTGTGATCAGCTGATGGTGGGTAGTCTCTACTCCCTCCGCGAGTGGTGCCATTACTTCTCTTCCTCGCTACTTCTAGCGCTCCCGAGTGTGCTCGTGATGAAGTTGACGTCCCCGCTGCTCCTATAGTTCCTAGCTCTCCTCGACGAGGAGGAGAAATGGTAGACGTTAAATTTTCCGCCGATAGTTGCTGAAGGCGGTGCGATCGCTGAGGACGCGTTTGTTCGTCGTCAAAAGAAACTTTTCGGGCGCCTTGACCTTCAGCTTCACTTTCTACCTCTGATGCAGTTGTGAAGTCTCTGGCCTCCCAATCCCTCGTTGTTCCACTAACATCTTCACCACCCGTTTGTGCAGCACCACCGAGTCTCGGCATCTCCATTTTTGCGATTTCCCGCTGCTGCGCGTCAACGCCACGTCTTTGCGACAACAGACTATTTGGAAATGGAACCGGCTGTTCCGAATAAAACAAGCAAGCCCGACTGTTAACGCCACTGGTCGTTGTCGCTCGGGAAGACGAAGAGGCCTGCTCGTGCGTTCCTGCTCCCATATTATTCGTTTTTCCCGGATAGGTCATAGTCATTGTCGCGTTTTCGACGTCCTCTAACACTCCTTGATGCATCTGCTCCATAGAGGAGAACGAATCGCCAAGAACATGCCGCTTTTTCTCGTGCGCTGAAATAATCTGCGGCGGCGGCAGCCATCGTGACATCCCGTGGCCTCCTCCTGCAGCACCGTCGCGCCGCCGCCGTATCGGCTGCGCTGAGACCGACACAGACTGCATCCTCAACGAGGTGTAACTACGTAACCTGTCATGACATTTCTCATGCGATCTTCATTCCAACGCCTCCAGTAACTCAAACGACCACCTCCACTACTCTTTCCATTAGGCTTTCTTGCAATAACCTTTTTGTAGTCGTCGAGCTGCAGATACTGAACAAAACTGGCGCCTATTCTTCAACTCTTGTCATTCTGTTTCTCTCTTCTCTTCATCATGTTTCCGGAAAAAGCTCGGTCATGCGTGTGCATGGACGTTGGTTTTGGATTCATGACCGTCTTTGTGGTGAGGACACATTGACAACGGAGCCGGGAGGGCAGCCTCTCATACTATAAGGCTTGCCCTCTGGCAGTGGCTGTTTTGATCGTGTTGCTTCTAGGAAAACAAGAGACAGGTCAGTGGTGTGGTCGTGCTACCTTGCGTTTGAGAATGGTCCGCCCAAGTGTGGTTTTGTGTTCAACTGCGGGAGAGGGCTGGGATAACGATAAATATGCACTGGTGCGGCTGAATAATGCAAGATGATGAAGGAGCAGGATTTTCGCGAGTATCTACTCTGTAACTATTGCTCTGTCATGCTGCAGCCACAGCAAAGTCCTGCTCGGTCCGGGCTGCTTCTAGAAATGTGTCTATCGGCGCCGGCAAGAGTGGGGCATTCGCTGTGCCCGAAGCATCCAGTGTCACCTCACCATTGCAGACTTCCAACACCTCATCATCCATCTTTCGCGCCATCTCCTCGACGCCATCACACGACAGCCGGTCTGTCGGATGCTCGCATAGCCCATTAGTGTCTAAAACCGTCCGACCGCATCCTCGTAGCCCGCTTTCCGCCAGCAGCAGCGGGTCCGTCTTCCGAATGAATGTGTTTCCGAGTGCCCGACAGGTAGCGGCGAACGAGCGGATCTTTCCTCGCGCTGCTGCATACTCCTCACACGCAGACTGTACCGTAGTATGGCGTGGAATGAGCCGGTCCCCTACATTCAAAGCCTTGAGCATCACGTCAAGAGAAAGGGGGTCCGGGAAGTCACCAGGATCACGCATACTTTTAATCTCGCTCGTAATCAAGCCCAACTTTTCAAACCGTTCCACCGCAGGAAGAGCCAATGCCTCCGCAGTTGTAGCTGGTGGGCGCTGGGACGTACCTGTGATGCTAGATTATGTGTTACATCTGGGTGGCATACGATCTAGATTGTCGAGCAAGACACAATTAAGAAGAATATATCATACCATTGAACTACAGCGCAGCCGCAGTCGCAATGCAGGAGTTCCGTGCTGATTACTTGGCCAACAATATACTCGGAAACCGAAAAGAAACATCTTCATCATTTCTGCACACAAAAGTAAAAGTAAATAGTACTGCTCTCTTTTTTCTCCGCAGCTCCGTTATCCTCGCCTGCGTCTTCTTCTTCCTTGGCTTCTTTTGCTTGCTCTTTGTCCGCCTCCTCTTCGACCTGCTTTTGAGTTTTTCGTGCTTTTGGCATCAATTCTGGTCGCGCAAGTTGGTCTTCTAGCATGCTCCGCTCAGCGGTCATTCTCACGCGAACCGGAGGATACTTTTGTGGTATGATTTCCTTCACAGCATCCTGCAGAGCGACATCAATGGAATCCTGTTCTTTCGTCCCCGCTTCGCCGTCTGTCGAATCTGCCGTAGCACCTTCATCTGGGGTCTCTGAGTGTTGATCTGCAGGAGCTGCAGCATTTTTGTGCCATCCAAATATCCTGGAAAACTTATGACCGACTTTATCGACCATCCATCTGAAGGTAGAGGGAGACTCTTGACTTGTTGTTACAACCTGATCATCATCCGTCGTAGGTGGCTGGCCAGTCGAATCAGCAAAAGAAGTTTGATATTGATTGTTGTTGTTCTTGTTCATAGATCTACTGCTACTAATCGGTGCATGTCGACGCCACTCAAGCTGTTCAGCAGGTATGAACTGCGTTGGTCTTTTCCTAGAGGACGAAGAGGATCCGCGCTCAGCTGGTGGTGCAATCTCGAGAAATTTCGTGACATGTATCTTCTTGCGATCACCGGAAGCAGCCGCAAGATGAACTGTCTGATGTGATCCAGCGTCCATACTGGTTGGCGGATCAACTCCCTTCTCCTCCAATCCGAAGTCCTTTGCAGTCGCAAATTCATGGACGTCGTCCTCAAGTGCAAGATCCAGTTCCCGCGAGAGTCGCCGCTGGGATGTGAAGTCAACCTTGCCGTCGGATGGTGCTGATGGCACAGTTCGGGTTTTCTTGGCTCGTGTGCTACTTGCGAAATCGGATGTCCGGTGATGCCGCTTAAGATGATCGCTTTTTCGTCCTAAGAATTCTTGCCCATCCTCGTCTTTATCGTGGAGACCGTTCTCTTCAGCATCGAATGTGCGCTCAACCTCTCTGGTGCTTTTATCGTACTCCTCTAGCTTGGTGAGAAGCTCTTTGCGTTCGGCGCGAGTGAGACCCGGCATGTCCTCGAGAACTTGAACCGCTGTCGCGCGCGCTGTTTTCCACAGTATTTCGCTGCCGAGATTCACCTGCATGGAACGGTCGAGCTGTCCAAGTAGTCGCGCATGTTGCAACGTCTCCAGTGCGTCTGCGCCGCCGTTCTGCAAGATCGTTCCGACATCGAGCGCAGGAAGAAGCGCCGGTGGTTGTGGCGCCTCTTTCCCACCATACGACGTACTATTCCAATTCGACGATCCTGATACTTTCGATTTCGTGCTATCTGAAGCCGTACTGGCTGAGAGGCCCGAGGCTGGCCTGTCTGCAACAGCGCGTTTGACGTGCTTGTTGAACAACTTGACAAAAGGCTTCAACGCGTCAGGATCTAAATCGGCAGCTGGAAGGGCGTCCCGTCGTAGTACACCGGGTGGGTCGTAAGTATTCAAAGGTTCTGCAGCGAACGCAGAGAAAGTGTGTTGAAAATGGGCGTGGTTGATCGTCATCCTTTTAGTGTTCGTTCATTTAATCATAATCTTGCACAGCTAGTTAGAAGTTACTTACTCAGAATATCATTCATTGTTGTGAAGTTCGTGAGGGTAATCTACCTCGTTCGGCTTCATTTTTAGGAATTCCAACGCGAACAGGAACATTTCATCAAGCAACGAAAAATAACGGGAAAGAGCTCAAATCCTCCATGTGTGGATCTGGATCATGCACGGCTGAATAGCTAACCGCAGGTTGACCGCCCAAAGTCGCTAACAGACGCAGACGACTTTTACACGTTCGTCTCACTATAAAGAGCAACCGAGACGACAGGCCACCGCCACGAGCAGACGACATCTACTATAAGAAATTGTGAGTGAACTACGAGCGATTTTGTACTTGGGTGATCTTGTCGTCGTGGAACAATGGCAGTCAGATTCAATCGAAAAGACGAAGCACACAGCGTGGACCGAGTGGCTTTTTCCCCTAGTCTACCAGAGAATACAAGACGAAATCCAGTAAACCGATATTGGCAACCGAGGGCAAAAGAACTTACTTACTTAGTAGACAGACAACCGCTGCAGCAATAGTTCGGCCATGGCCGCTCGATCGTCGAGATTGTTGTCGCGACTCGTCACAGAGTAGCTCCATCTACGGAAATCAAAAACAAGAAAGATAGCCTCGATGACTATGACAATCACAGAGGCGCGAATCAAGATGCCACGGGTATAATGCAACAAGATGCTTCAAAAAAAGCAGTTTGTATATGGTGTTGAAGTAAGACATAGTAACCTTGTAGTCCGTGGATTCTAGTGTAACCCTGAATTGCTGGAGAACATCTTGGCCCACTGCATCTGCGGCTCCCATGAGATCTTGTTTTCGGGTATGAGACGATGAGATCCGACCTCTGCAATTGATCGCTGCAAACCCCAAACAGGATAACCTTTTTTAGCAAGGGAACAAGAACGCGTGGAAGTATATTATGTATGATCCAAGGCTTGGAGCTGCCGGCACCCCCCCACCCTAGCGTAGGCATAGGGGGGGTGTGCCTGGCGTAGGGGGGGGGGTACCGGCAGCCCCGGACCCCTTTTGGAGGCGTCTGCCGGGTGTGGGAGGCCTCAAAAGGGGACCAAGTTGCCTCCTTTGCCCCCTTCCAGGTGCTTGGCTTTCCCCTAGAGGCCTCCGACGTAGGTGGAAGGCCGCAAGAGGAGGCAAGGCGGCCGCCTCCGCTCCCTCCCCGCTGCCTGGCTGTTGCCTACAGGCTTCCGATGTAGGTGAGAGGCTTCAAAAGGGGCCAAAGGGACCGCCTGCGCCCCCGCCCAGGTGCCTGCCTGTGCCCTAAGTGCCTCAGATATGCTTCGCCGCCGCAGCAGTGCGCCGGCTATGGAAGGCCTCCGACGGCGGCAAAAGGCGAGGGGCTGGACCCCCTGAGCCGCGCAGCCTGAACCCTCCGGGCCCTTGGTCATTGGCTTGCTTGCTCTTGCGACCGCCCTCGGCGGCCTTTTACCCCGGAGACCTCCCGCCTGCGAGGGTCAGCCGAGGCCAGGAGGCCCCTGAGGAACCCGCTGAGAGGCCCAAGGGGAGGCCCGCGCCAAGTTTGGACGCCTTCCACCACTTGAATCCGCGGAAATGCGCGCGCGCGCGCCACCACAGACCAGACCACAGGGGGGGCACCGTCCAGCCCTAAAGCATATATATTGTAACATCAGTAGGTGCTGCTGAATCTGAGTATCATAATAATTACCAACTGTAAAACTAAGACACTTGTTTCATGTTCACTTGGCGGACACACGATCGTGATACCTTTTCCTTCGGACAAGCGTATAAGCTCATACTATGGATATGCTAAAATGATGATAATGATGATGTAGAACTCGTAATGGTACCCATATCACGCAGTCGATCGAAGCAGATACGCTTGCATTGCCAGTCCATATTTCGACAATCTTTGCACTGCGAGTAGTGAACATCATCTGCAATCGTCATCCAGTTATCTCGATTCTGGGTTTCCGGGCCGTATGCATAGGGCAAGGGGAAAGGACTTTTCATGACCCTATGGTTTTCCTGTACGTTATTCTGCAGGTACCTAGAGGGCATGACTTATCTTCATCTTCAAAACGACAACAAGGACTCAGCAAAGCGGGAATGAAAGTAAAGACAAATAACGAAAAGAGACAAAAATTGAAGCACACACATGATTCGACACACGGATATCTCATCAAGAAAATGTGTGCGATTCTGACTGAGTGATGCAGCTACGATATCTAAAAATAAAAAAGTTGACAACTAAATAGTAGCGCCGAGTACAGCCAGGCGACGCTCATATTAAACGTCCACATGCCGAACATGAAAAAGCCGACTTTCCGGTCATACTCGGTCCACATGTGAGCCCATACGCGATCTGAAATTAGTGGTTAAAAAGCGCCGTCTAGAAGTACGCTGGATGTGCAGGATGTATTTTTGACCCACATCGATCAGCGAGCACGTCCACTTTCAACTGTAAGTGCCAGAAAAGACGAGCATTTCCTTGCGCTGCTAGCTACTGAAACAAATGGGGAGGAGTGCGACCTTGTTTCAATAAATTTGAATACCGTTTGGATGCAGATCCATCACCCACGCTCGTCGACTATAAAACCGTGTCCACGTTCCGAAGATATCAGCCCATCGTGCGAATTTTTGTCTTGGTGTTTCGCTTGGTTCTACTATCGCTTTGCCCGTCGAAAATGACCTGCGGCCCATGGTGCGGGCAATCCCTCCTCTTGTCGCCAGAGCCAGCATTCTCGGACAAACTCTGTCTCAAAGCTGGAGCTCGTATGTTTTTCTCCGTAGGTAATCGGCAAGGCGGCTCTCGATCCGCAATGGCAGTCCGAATGATCGTATCTGCGCCGGAAGAAGAGCCCCTCTCGGGTCTTGTCCTCAATGGGACGTAGACGATACAACCATGTTATTTCACGACGATGCAAACAACTTTCTCAGGATACAACGGGTTCAATCGACATCAGAAGCAAACGCATTTTCGTAGTAAGTATTAAGTACAAAAAGGATGGAGGACGCAACAGGGAATTTGTTTGATCAGATACAGATGTTTAAAAAGTCACTCAAATAGATAACAATAATATAGGCAATCACGACGAACGTCTGTTTACAGTAGCAGCTATACAGAGACAGGAGAAGGAGATACAGATAGGTTCTCGGATACTTACTTCAAATTCCAACGCGTGTATTTTTTGCGTTCCATGGAACTCCCTCTCAAAACAATAGACTTGAGAGGACAGTGTTGCAGCTTGGCAACACCTACGTGCAACGGTACTTCAAAAAACTACTTACAGATACAGTGATTCTTTGATAGCATTCATAAGTATTCATTTGTCTCACATTTTCATCTTTTCATATCCCGGTCCAGCTTTTACTTCACTTCCAGCCAGCATAATCGTATCTTTCATTCTTAAAGATATTGTCAACGCGAACGCTCCAGGCCTTTCATTCTTAAAGATATAGTCCATCCCACTCGAAAAAATAATGCGTCTCTCAATCATCAATCTGCTCGAGGCGGGCTTCTCTCAACTTTGCATGAAGATAACAAGAACTGTTTAAATGTATCTATTTAATGTTTAGTATCCGCCCACGCGCTCTACCAAGTCTGTAATTCCGCGGAGAAGTGGACTACAGGTTATCAACACTCGAGAAAGCGTACGACTTGTTGTACTTGTACCTGCTAAGCACAACGTGTTGAGAGGTCCGCCCACGGAAGCAGGCAGCCACGTGGTGGAGCTTGATTTATTCTTAGTGGTGCGATAGCGATCATGCGTTGCAAATTTCATAGCTAGAGTGATGACCGTCGTCCTCTTGCGATCTTGTATGCAAAGAAGAAAAAAACGAAATGTTGAGCAGTTCAGCCGGAGATGATGGCTGTATTTGTTGGGTTCGAATTTCTACATAAGTACTTTTGCATCCTTTCATTTCTTTCGGGCGGCATCGTTCCACCTCCATCTAGTATTCATTACGAATCTAGTACTTCGATAGACGGTGACTCGCATCGGACATTTTTGGTTTTCTTTGAGCCTTACTGAGAAGTTCGGACAGGTCCGCGTAGTGTCCGCTCTTCATTCGGCTTGATGCAAGTAGAAGTATTCATGATGGAGAAGAACTAAAAAAGCTTCTACCTAGAACTACTTGAATACATAACCGGTGAGTAGTTTCAGTTTCAGATGAAAATATCGTCCAAAAAGAGTGTGTCATCAGTGATGATATGCAGTGTGAACAACATAATATGACATTGTCGTGTGAAACACTAGGGGACTTTTGCTAATTCCCGCTAAGGAGAGAGAGAGAGGAGAAATCCATGTCTGGATTCGTTGAGTGACACCCATGTCCGACAGGCTCGAAGCTGCACAAGGCAATTAACCCACCGTTTGCAGATTTCCGCCAGCCTGTTTTGCCTTCTTACGCTCCCCTTTCGCAACAGCGTGAAAGCCACTCTTAATAGTCTGGCACGTTCTGTGGTGTGGAATACGAATATGATAATCTTTACTGCCTGTGGTCTACCATTCAAATCTTTTTTCATTTAACACGCATGATTTACTGAATGAAGTAAATGATTATTTCTTTAAAGAAATTGGTCAGAGGAAAGTTTCAAATTCGAGAGTCTTATGGTATGCTACTTCAAAGAATTTCAAATAGTGTACCTTGACGCTCCGCAATTCCGGCAGCTGATCACGTGCAATCGGGTTGCGTGATCTCTTCCCAATGTCGTGTTAGAACTTCTGCACATCGAGCACATGACATACTCTCGAATATACCTTTTATTTTTGAGAAAATGGCGATGCGAAGAGAATACTTACTGATGGAAATACACGATGACGATGAAAAAACGTGCAATCAGATGTAGTTTTCTTAGAGTAGCAGCTTTGGCGACTATGCACTGTCAAATTTGCAGCTACGGCTAACCCGCGATAAAGTCGTGACATTTGAAGCTTTATGAAATTATCAATCCCATCTTCAACAAACTGATGAAGTCTAGTATAAATTTAGAAGAAGTACTTCCGCAGCAGCGACTCGATATTTCGGGGATAGAAGCGACCCTTGAGAATGAATTGCCCCTCACCTGCCGTTGTTCCGTCGCAACCAAGTTCTGCAAATACATATGACATTAGGTGTTCTGACGATCGGTTCATTGAGTCGCAGATTTTCTGAAAGTTCATCCATCCGGTCCTTTTTGCTCCGACTCGTGCAATCTGTTTGATGACAATTTCGAAAACGGAATGCAGATAAGTTTCGTCTTTAACAACTTGGTCCATAATTTCATTGCCGTAATATCAAAATGAGGCAATTCAAAAAACAGACATGAGATTATCATAAAGATTTCTGATTTTGAGGTAGAGGTTATCGCCGCTAGAAAGTAACAATGAAGTACCTCTGGTGGCGTGAGGGTGTATTTCTCACGAACACCGAGACCACCATGATTGCTATCGATGATGTCACGGATACGCTGGAGAAGCTCCTCGTAATCGATTATTTCGCCCGCCACGAACTCTGTTTCAACGAGCTCCACCTCCTCGACTTCCTGATCGGGTTTTTTCTCCTTCTTTTCCTTCTTCTCTTTCTTCTTCTTCTTACCGAAGTCGAGGATAGGTTCTTCTTCTTCAGCAGGTGGCATCTTGAATGTAATACTTGTTAGACTTACCTTAATGAATGTAAAATATTCGAAGTTTTACTTTGTGCGTCGTAATTAATGTGATCGAGATTTATGTTGTCGTAGTATATTCGGGATACTTTGTCTCTAGTCTTGCTTTTGCGATATTCTCAACAATGCATGAAAAAAATTTCGCTGGAAAATTGAGTAGGGTGGAAACCATTTAGAGGATTGCGAGGACATCGGAACAATAGAATCCTTGCGTACATCAACAGAATGTTATGCCGAAATTTCAGGTGATCAGATCATGTTCTTTCCTTTCGATCATGATAACAGGATCAGAATAAGAACTGAATTTCCACTGCCATAATACATTCAGAAGTGTTATTTCATGCATGAGAGCGTTAGTCTTGCTCTGGTGTAGGCGCAGCGTTTTATCATTTTGCGACCAAAATCTACGACCAGATGCTCTTGATTTAATGAACCAAAGTGGATCGTTTTGATTTTTGCTACAGTGAGGATTCACGTTTCAGTCATGCATTTGGATTCTGAAATTGCTTCTTGTAGTGTCGACGCAACCGAAAGTGTGCCGGTGAAGATCGTCTCTCACAAAGGAACATAAACTTTCTTTTTCTTCTTCAAGAAGGAATATGTGACTCCTCTCTGTGTCCCTGAAGTAACTGTTGTCGTTGATATTCTTTTAGCCGTGGAGTAGGAGTCGGGTTCAGACAGTGTTGTATTGCTGACGTAGATCAAGAAATATCATACACATAGCTGGCGATATCGGTAGGTAAGGTCATTTTCTTTCGTCAGGCATGCACACGATGCCTGACATCCTGATAAGTTTTGATTTTCGTGAAGGGTCACAACTGTCCATTGCCCTAGACAGCAAATTTCTCTGAATACTGGAATATGCGAATAATGATTGCTTTGGATATCACTGAGCAACAATATGATGGATCACTTGAATGACTATCACTTCATTTCAATATGCAATGGAATTCTCGTAGTTGTGTACAACGAAACTAACAAATAAAACAATCACTTTCGACTACGACTTCGACTTTCGCGACGAATGCCGAGCAATATGCAACTTCTATTCAGGTACTACGTACATCTGCGTTATTACCAAGATTTTTGATGGTGTAAGAACTGCAAGCAGTTTCGATAGTTTTGATTCTCACTTTATTAAGTTGGCGATTCTCGTCGCATGTTATGCTCTGATTGACGTTGCATCAACAATGGACTAAAACTATGCTCTATGTGTCCTATCATAGTGGTTATGGCCGATGTTTATAAAGCAAATAATTACATGTTCGAAGCGTGATGTCTCTATCATGATGCAATGCGTCGCACCTACTTTCTGAAAAGGTTGAAGACGTTCAAGTTAGATCTACTTAGTCACCTAGACCTCGAAGGGAGTCGAGCATCTCCTGCTGTTTCGCGAAGCGCAAGAAGACCTGCTCCAAAGTTGGTTCCCCGAGTGAAAAGTCCTCGACCATTCCCATGGAATCGGCCAGGCACCATTCGAAAATCGGGCTCAATACGCGAGACAAATTTCCCTGCTTTGCGGCAAAGTCCGCGGCTCCCACTCCCTGGTGTAGTAAATTTAGAAGTGAATAATTGAAACGGAATAAAGACTGGTGGTAACATGCTGACATCAATGTTGAATGCGCGTAAAGATACAACTTCTGAAGATGAAAATCAATATTATCAAAAAACTTTTACATTCGTAATGTCTAATATGAAAATGTGGATGAGCACAAGCACCAACGCATACGAATACCGCGCATGCTGCAGTATGATCGACACCGATTCCGAGTACAAGTCTGCCGCGGCCCGCGCCAAATGGCATTTTTTCCAAGGTTGTGATCGACGGCACGTTCTCCATGCCATGGCTTGCCAAGTGGTCCTTGATCGAAGTAATAAGGGGAGTCACATTTCCTTCAGGAGCCTCTACGCCAGAGGTCCTCACCTCGTTCACTTTTTCCCCGTAGCTCTTACGCCGATGACCTTATCGTGATTGGATAAATGAAACTTCGAGGAATAATTGATATTGAATCGGGACGTGGACACTCAGACAAAATATTGAAGAAGCAAATCGAATGATGGAACCCCAAGTCTATGTCTAAGCCGTCTAAAAATCACAAATTGATTTCAATACTGGTTGAAGCCTCTTCATCTTCATCGAAAATTGAGTCCGAGTCTTTGAGAATGAGCTCTAAGTGATAGCCGCTGCCACATTTTAGAGGTCTTCATCGAAGTGGGAATAGACTAGGAAAATCCAGGACTAGTACGAAGACAATTTAAATGTTGTAAACGATTATAGCTGTCTCGTTAGCAACGAAAGACAGCAGCGAGACAGAAGAGATTCTTCCGCCTCTCCTCGTCATGTATTGAAGCGACAGCAGAAGAGCCAGAACATCTTCTAACAGAAGGATATCAATATTATAGTCAGAACCTCTACTTCTGGCAGATGTTGCACATGCAGAATATCCTTACGAAAACGAACAGTTCCTTAAATAAAGCTCCTTGATTCGAGACGTCACGCCGAAGCATTGCAATCGACCGCCAACCAAGATTGCTAGCTTGTCACACGTCGCGTCCGCTTCCATCATAGAGTGCGTCGTTGATATGACCGTCTGTCCCACGGGTCGGTGTATCAGTTTCGTCCAGAGAGCCCGTTGCGCAACAATGTCCACCTATATTTCATCACTTCATTTTGTTTCTTGCTCAAGGGCCAGACGAACAGGGTGAGAACTACTACTTGGGGAAAATATTATCTCTAGTTATATCTATACAATACTCTGATGTGCAGCACAATTTTGAGTTTACACCCAAGGAATTATGGAAGCAAGAAGGAAGGTTGGAATCGGAATTACAACATCAAGGTGAATAAGAAAAAGAATAACTGACAAGTTTGATATAACTACCAAGAACTTGGAGGAATGAGTCTACCATTCTAACCTAGAGCTAAATAATATAGACTAAAACTTACTCAGATGAGTAAATTATATATCATCAATTATATGCAGCATTGCTTATACCCCCGCCGACATTTCGTCGAAGAAGACCAGTTCCGGATCAGTTATGAGTGTGAAGGCGACAGAGAGCTTCCTCTTCATTCCACCTGAGTAACCTCCAGAAGGTCGTTTCGCGTCCTCTTCCGACAAGCTGACCTCACTCAAGAATCGCTGAATGCGTTCTTCTCCCCAGTCTCCACCAGTGAGAAGCGGCTCACTTTCGCCGCCTGTTTTAGACGAGGAACATCTACTCAGAAGTAAACCAGGAGATGGAGGCGCAGTGTACTTGAAGATCAGTCGCAGAAGATTACAGCATTTCTTTGACATTATCATCCTTTTCGAAGCTACGTAATGCACATCGCTTCGATTTTGGAACAAGAATTCATGTTGGACATTAAATATGTCTATGGCCGGTTCATCTAAACCTAATTTGTATTTGAGTTGTTGTACTTGTTTGGCATCGTGTGTTAGAAGTGCCTCTTCTGTTCACTTATCACCACACCTAGCATAACTGCCTCATCGCTTGCAGTGCGAGCACGCTCCGCAGTCCTCGGATAGTATTGACCTGTAATTCGCGCGTAGAGACGTAAATGGGCCTCGGCTGAAATTTTGGGCCAAATCTTGTCGAATTGAGGACACAGTCCGAGGATCTGTCTCGCGTAGGCAAAATCGCTGTCAACATTTTCGACGTCATCGATGACAATAGTTCCCGTGTCTGTTAGAGCAGGAAAAGGGTAATGGAAGTGGTCGTTCTCGTTGAGGATATTACTGCATACTCATTGGTGGTCAGTTGTCTGCATACTTATCTACTCAGCAAGGATAGACCAGAAAAAGCGAGAGAATCCCGTTCTTCTCTGCGCAGTTCATCTGAAACTGAATCAATTTATTCCCCACGACCTAATATGATTTCTACCTCTAAAAAATTCATGATAGAAAATTCGATCGAATTAGCCTCAAATCTGGTGGTCCAATCGTCACGTCACCGCTCAACATGTTGAACAGAGTCGTTTTTCCCGCACCGTTAGGTCCTAAAAGACCAAAGGACTCGCCCTTCTTCACGCCAAACGAGACACCAGCAGTGGCCCAGAACGGGCTTCCGCGGCTATCGTAAAATCGCTTGCGTAGGTCTTTCACGTAAACCTTATCATTCGCAAGAACGTCGCCCATATTAGCTCGCATAAAGGTATCTGAGATGGAAAAATTAGTACTAAGCCTAAGGTACTTAATCCTAATATGGAATGATTATGATCTGTTGAAAAGGGTGGTTTGAACTGCTCTGCCGTTTTGTGCTTCTAGTTCTAGTCCTGCGTAGGTAGGCAGATAGTGATAGGTGGATGCATAGGCAGATAGGTGGATAGATAGACACGTAGGTACACAGATACTGAGCCTGGTACCTTGATCGGGCTCATTTGCCTGTCGGTCTGCAGAGGCCGAGGGATATGGAGACGCTTCAGGCAAGCTGAGGATGCGGTTTTCTTCTGTGACCACATCACCATCACGGGCGTCCCCTTTGACACTGGCTGGAAGCTCATTATCCGGGACTTTTCTACGGCCACGGCAGAAAACTTAAAAAAGAAAACTTTGACTGTGGGACTTGTTGGGGGGCATTTCCAACTTCATCATGGTAAGAAATACGTCAACCAGGAGGAGTCCAACAAGAACTGAGGCAGTAGTGCTAGAGACGCTGAAGCTGAAATATTGCAAGGAAGTTTTTCTGATTGGTTTGGACGTCGCGCTCCAGGCCACGCCAAAGTCTCTGCTTCTTACTGTAGTTTCGGTATCTACAACTTATCAACATATTTTGTCTTGGTAGTAGGTGGTCGTATTTTACCTGAGTCTGTCGCAGCATCAGCAAGTGGAAATCTAAGATTGATTGTACTACTCAAAACTAGGAAAGAAGCTAGAAATTGTACTGCTGCTCGAGATGTCGAATCTTGGATGTCCTGTAGATAATATTAAGCGAGCGGCCTCCCCACTTTGGATGATTTAAAGAAATTGCATCCAACTGAGAATGACTTTTAAGGTTGTGCTTACTTCCTTCACAGCGGATCTAAACACGCAAATCAAGTCGTAACATGCGTTCCACGGCAGGCAAGTGAGAAAGAACAATAGCGACACGAATATCAGGTTCCAAACTGGCGCCCACAAGAATTTGATTGCCAGTGGGTAGAAAAAGTTGTCACCGCGGCAGTCGTCCGATGGTCCGATAAAATCCGGCACCATTTCCCATAGCTTCTGGTTGTCCAATACGGCGATGAGCGACACAGGGAGCTCTCCACAAGTTAGACCCAAGGACTAAGTACCCCTATCTACCCTACGCCTATGAATTTATCAAAATAATCAATGGAATTGGAAAAAAAGCAAAAATATAACTTAAGTCCATCACTCAGAGAAAAAACCCTCTTGTTCGAGTTTGGAATGCTATGCAAATACTGTATTTACTGGCTACAGAGCAAGGGAAGAAGCCTCTTCAATAAGAGATGCTATACTTACTTCCGACCACAACGTCGATAGTCGTTCTTTGGAGGTCATATTTAATAATTTCTTCCGTTTCCGTTGCGTTGATTGGTTTCATAAAAAAAGGTACCAGTTGGCGCTCCAATCTGCGTGTGTTGGTAACTTCTCCAAAAACCATGAAAGGGATAGGGTAGGGAGGATTCAAATTCATTGAGTACCCACTTAGTGTAGCAATTTTTTTTGCCCTACTGTCTACGGCCGCGGAGGAAGCTTGGAGGGGGCTTACAGTTGTACAGACCAATCATCTACCCCTTGGTAGCAAGTTTTTGTTTCATACTATTATCTACTGATAGCGTCTGAATCTAACGGAGCATTACAACTTCCTCCCTTTGATTTTCGTCCAGATACAGCATCAGGCCAGATACAGCATCATGCTGCTGTGACTGAGAGGTCAGTCTGTAACAACGAATCATGAAGCTTGTTAATAGATAGAGAGTCGTCTAAAAATAATTATCATCATACGGCGTATTAATATTGTTCACGATAATATATGTTTTTTTGTACGATACATTATACAACAGTGCCAGCTAGTCCTAGTGCTAGAAGTGATCTAGATGGAGGATCTATACTTTCACATAAATCGATTTTGACGTGTTCGTTGAGGAGGGTGCTCAGTCGCCCTCGAACATGCTTGAGTAGTGCAGCGTCGCGCATTAGCGCTTTTAACAAACTTACAAAAAAACGAGCATGAGCCTGAGGACCAGGGTGCTCCTCAGTAATAATATTTTATTCATACGATTTATTATGCTTTTGGAGGATATGATGTTGATGGTATCGGTATGCTTCGCTTTCGTATACAATTGTAACATAATTTCAGATGTTCAGCTATGATTTATCATAGCGGTAATCATGATGATCATGATCATGATAAGGATAATAGACAGGGAATTGATCTTCATCGCAGTCCAATCGTGTTCTTCTACTACAAGTACAAGAGCAACTGATTTCCTGCGTTAATATTCATCAAACAAGGGATACACATTCCTGATAGATACTGTTATTTGGTATGACAGTCATAAATGCACGTCGTTCGCAACATCGACCGAAATCATTTGCACGAATCGCGGGACCTGTCCCTGTGCGTCGCCTTTAATTTCAAAGCTTGCTGCTTTTTCCTTCATGAGACCGAAGGGGTCTTCGAGGTACATTCGCAACTTGTCAAAGCCGTTTGTGAAGACTTGCTTCACCTTCCACTGGTTGTAAAGGTGCCGAATGGCCGCGTCGACTGCAACACCGGGAAAAAACACGGAGAGAAAGAGGGAGACCCACGAAAGCATGCGCACGTTGCTGTATTTGATTCCGACCTCTTGCCCCTTAAAAACTTTTCGACAGAGGAAGTTCTGAACAGGAGCAAATTTGGTCTTGTAGCCACGTTCAACGTTAGTCTGTTCTCCGGTCTTGAGGAATTTTTGTGCGCCATCGAGACCCGTTTTCACAACCCCATTTATCGTATGCGCCAGGAGAGGCACGATGCCTGCATGTCGATCGACGTTTTGTTTCTCAAGCTCTTCTTTGTATTGATGAAAATCCTGGGAGAAATAAGGGTTGTTCATTGGGTCTGAGGGTCGTCCAGTCTTGCGACCATTGCTGTACACGAAGAGCTCAGTGACTTCTGCTTCTACAGCGCGAGCTATGCTCGTAGCAGATTGGTCGTCGGAGCCTTCCATGCTCTTTCCTATGATCTCCTGCAATTTTTCCGTTGTTCTGGCCGTCGTGCTCATGGGGCTGTGCGTAGCCCTAGCCCAGGTATTGAGGTCCCACAGATTGCGAGCCAGGTTCTTCGGCGGTGTCGACCCAATCGCTACAATGCGAGTAGCCACCCGGTTGTCATCTACGGCCGCAGTTTTTTCCTCTTCCGCAGCGCTAGCTTGGCCAGGAGCGGTCGAGGTTGGCGTTCTTAGCAAGGGGTTTACTTCATCCCTGGACCTTCCTCTTCTAGGTTACACCTTTTCCACCCTCCTAATTCATGTATGTTGTACTCTGAATGTCAATGCTGCAGGTGCAGTTCTTTTTGGACAAAATAATTATAAGAAGGCGGGCTGATGAGATATCCCAAGTCCAAGACAACGAGATGCGGATAATTATTATTATTTACCATAATGTTGGTGAGCTTGCTTGTGTTTCTTGTGCGCTACGGCTGATTACTTTCTTCGCATTTACGACAACGTCTTCCGTCCAAAATTTTGCAAGCAGATGCGGCTCGGAGATCACGCGCACCCCAATCGAGTAACAGCGAAGATGAAAGCGGCTATGCAAATTGCTGATGCGGAACAGCTATCTAGATAGAAGATCTATTGAAAGTAGTTACACTGCGACAATCGATCGATTTCCAAGAAAATTCAAATACCAAAATCGGAAAAAACCTTTAATTTTTATGATTCTTATGAGCGCGCGGACACTTTAGCGTGTTGTATACGGATCATGGCATTGGCAACACTGCTACAGCCTAGAACAAAGAGGAAGAGCACGTAGTTGTAGGAAGTACTTTCATCATTGCGATACTCCAGTAGCTGTGATGGAACTCCATAGCCATAAGAGAAGCAACATGAAGTTCAATTAAATTTAGCTATTCCCTCTTGTCTTGGGATGAGGTCGTTGAATTATTTCTTAACTCGACATGGTGATGCTAATATCGTGATGATCATCGTGTTCTACTTCTAGGAAACTATAATATTCAACATTATGATAAAGAAGAGACTGTAGCACAACCGCTAGGTGATATTACATAGATACTGGGCAGAGCCACTTAACCCGCTGCTCGCTTACACTAGAATTCATTTGTAACTGTATGAATACACCCACTCCATATGTGAAGAGTTCCACAAATGCGCCTTGGAAATCAATGTCCCCGTACAAAAAACTCGTATGAATGTTGTAGAAGCGGAGGGGACGGCATAAGCCGTTCTCGTCGTGCTCGTTGGATTAGAGGTTTTGACATTGTAGCTAAAATATTTTCAAGTGATGTCCTCACCCTAGGATAGTGGTATTTCTACGTTGCTGTTCTTACTCGTCTTCCACGAGCCAAAACTAGTAGAAATGCAGCGAAGAAAAGGATAAACGCCAAGAACCCACTCCCGTAATCGGTCTCGTCGGTCAAATCATTCGCAGGGGCTTGTTCCAATTTCTCGGCTGACCCGCCTACCGCGATGAGTTTCTGGAGCTTTTCATTCTTAACAAAAAGTTCTTTGAACATTTCAAAGAGAAACGACGACGACAAGCTGGAACGCAATAGGGATAGGTCAGGAGGTGGGTACTGCAGATGAAGATCATAGCCTGGACCTGCTTTCTCCAACTCCACAAAAGTAGATTAGACCTTCCTGGAATCCATCTTGAAAGTCATTCTGGACCCTTTTCCCCTTGGACGGAGGTCCAAAATGCTTCGGAAGATTCAGACTGATCTCCGGAGGTCTTAAGTAGAGGTAGTTTCCTCGTGTGGCCAGAAAGTCGCGGTCCCTAGCGAGAATGCGCCGTCGTGGCGCCAAGAGGTGCTGCCGTGAAAATAGTCATTGGCGCGTTGATCGTGCCCTTTTGGAGGCCAAACGATGGTGCCATCGCCGACCGCGGCAAGAGTTCATATTAGAGGAGCGCAACAATGTTCATTTCCGTCTCGTCTTCTCTACATCTTTTAAGATTCGTAAGGAATCGGTATCGGATACAGTAAGGAAAGACCGGCCCGCCGCGATGGAAATGAATTATCGTTGTAAGCCTTAAAGGAGTCCGAGTCGGAGTGTGCTTAATATCAAGAAATGAAACAGCTTTTTCTCCTTCTTTGACACGAGCTTCCTGTTTGGGTAAACGCTCGTCCCCGCCAAGGTCAGAAAAAACACGGCAAAATATCATGAAAGCGAGTGGAACCGAAAATCCCAATATTGCCAGAATGTCGCGCCCACCTCTGGATATGATTTTACCGAACAACATCGCCCACATATTTGTCGCTGGAATCATGCTGAGAAAGATCAGCAACACAGCTGGCATCGCTTGTTCCTGAAAAACCTCGACCAGGGTGAGTAACATAATCAGGAACGGAACCCAAACGAAGAGAACTGGCGACAAGAGGAAACTGCAGAAGTTGGCACAGTGGTAGGCAGCGGGGGACAACCCGTGCATCAATAAATGCTGAAAGATACCGTCTTCGCGCTCGCGGCCAAGCAAATCGGCAGTCGTATCCAATCCCGCCAGCTGGAGTACTGCAGGAAAAAGCACCGCGCCGATGCCCACCGAAACTACGGAAGCAAAGAACTGCACACCCGAGAAAGGCTGCCCCTTCACGGGCTCCTGATTCATCTTGTTGAAGACCAAGACAATCACGAGCACAAGACCATGAAAAAGCAGAACTGTGACATAGGTTCGTTTGTCAGGCAGTAACTGCTCGCCTAAGCGAAACTTCCAAAGAGCGCAAAATTGACCACAAAAACCCAAGCACCGAGGGCGCAGGCGCACCACGCCGCTAGACATCGCTGGATCTTCGTCGCACATTTCAATTTCTGTATCGCTTGTCTCCGTGGTTTTCTTCGCGTTGCCTTTAGCTTCACCTTCCGCAGAAGTTCTTGCTCTTAGAAATAATTAAACTTAAATGAATAAGATTGTTGTAAAAATTTCTGTTTCATCAACGTCATATCAAACAGTATTCAGCAGAAATTCTTAGTAGAGCCATTCTCTAAGATCAAAACATGTGGTCACCGTCACTCACATAAACGCGGACTCGCATCTTTTGGAGGAAGCGGCCGGCTGCTAGGTTTTAACACAAACCTGATTGAACAAAATGAAAACTAATCGATGTTGTACAAGCAAGCTAAGTCTACTACTTAGTGGCTAAGGCGAACTAGCTTTGGTGGTTCCCCGCGGGTAACACCGGTTAGCACATTCCATGATCTATGTCTACGTGCATCATCAACTACATTGGATTCGAAAATATATTCCTATTCATAATTTATTAGTATAATTAGTGTTTACAGGTACATCAACGGACAGAACTGCAACATCTATGTATAAGTAGTTACTATGTGATTCAAGTTCATATGGTCTCATGCTGGCCGTCAAAGTACTCCAAATCGTGTTCGTCGCGATGTGCGCGCTCACCGACGGTTGAAAAAACCTCCTCCAGCGTGGTCATCTCGAGCGTGGCTTGGACGCGCGAGTCGCCCTCCAGTTCGCTTAGGATTTGCGGGATGCACCTGGCCTTCGACCACGGAATGGAGAAAGATAGGAAGTGCGGAGCCATCTTGGGGTTGCTGACGAACAGACGACGCTTCCCCAGATCGCGATGTTGTCCTCCCGCCTCCTCCGCAGCCACAGCATCCAGCAAATCTGTACCACGCGCTAACTTTTCACGGTATACCAGTTCCACGTCTTCACTGCCACGCGGCGTCACGTCCCCACCCTCAGTTTTCAGCGTGTGTACTGCTGCGTGCATGGCGACAATCTCCTTGCCGATTTCGATTTCTAGGATGCGCTTTGCAGCAGCTCCATCCGACACTGCTTCTGGTTTGACTGCGATGTGCAACCAATAACCGACCCCCCATTGGTGTTTCCCATATTAGCGGAGGTATTCATATTTCTATGGTATGTATTCGTTCAGTTTCAGGTTGCCAGAATTAATCGGGCTGCTGATTCAAATTCTTTCACAGAGTCAATCATTAAGCTACAGATCCATACATGTTGTAGTTGTACTAATAGGAACACCCAGGTATAGTATGAGTATGTCTATGTCCTTGGTTAGCATCCGCCACCCGGGATAGACGAAATACCCATCAGTCATGCCAACAATATTTCTTTAAGTAGATGATCATGAAAAACTAACTTCGTTGTAGTCTTAAAATTCTGCGCTTGTTCCGAGAGCCATCACACGACCGCGACTGAGAATAACCTTGCGTGCGGCCAGAAGGTCAGCCTCCTCCAAATAGTGGGTCGAAAAGACAACGGCGCGGTTTTCCTCCTTCACGACGCGCTTGAGCATGTGCCAGAAGTCGCGCCTTGCTTGGGGGTCCATGCCGGACGTGGGTTCGTCCATCAGCACCAGCGGAGTTTCCCCCAGTAACGCGCAGAGCACCCAGAGCCGTCTCTTCTGCCCCCCGGAGAGTTCCTCGCACAAACCGTCCAGCTTGCGCCGAAGTCCGAGCCCCTCTGCGTACTCCGAGATTTTCGCGTCGATCTCATGGGGGTCGCGAAACGGGTCCCGAAACTGCGCAAACAACATCGCGTGTTCGCGCAACGTGAAACCGACCCAAAACGGGTTCACCTGTGGGCACAGGGATACTCGCTGCTGCACTTCGGCGGGGTCCGTGCGAATGCTTTTGCCGTCGACGTATGCATTCCCATCGGTGCAGGGAATCATGCCGACGATCTGCGACACCATCGTCGTCTTGCCAGCTCCGTTGTGACCTAGTAGTCCGAAGATTTCGCCCCGCTTCACTGCGAAGGAAATCTCGTCATTGGCAAGCGACCGCTTTCCGGCAAAACTTTTGGTGAGCTTGTGCAAAACGAGCGCGTACTCTTCAGGATTGCTCACGGCATCGGGAGGCAAGTTTGGATCGGTGATCGCGGCTCTTGACTTCTCGTCGTCGACTGTTAATAAGGAGAAAGCAACGTCTCCGCGCTCGCTCTTCAGCCGTGCGTTCCTTAGACCCATATTAATAATAAAAGATCCACATCCATCCTTCTTATTTGATATACTTTTCTTTCTAGAAGTTCATCAAGTTCTACAGAGTAAATGTAATTTTTGAATGAATATTCCTTCCGCTTTTGGAGCAAAACTCTAACAAATATGATAATGATCATCTTCAAAGAACTTTAAACTGTCAAAGAGGTTACGCTTACGAATACGGATTCGTGAGGTCATAAACTTTGTCGCCAAAGTAGTATGCCGCACCAGAAAATGACATTCAAGAGAACGCACACGTGGTCCAGTATGACGGAAGCCCGATACTCGCCCGATGTCTCCCACATCTTGTCTGCCCCAATGAAGCGCATCTCCTTAACAAGCTCGCTCGCGTCGTTCCCGTTCTCGGAAGGCCAAGTAGCCTTCGGGGGCCTCAATTCTCCGGTAGCAGCACACCAATAGATAGAGTAGAGGTCAGTGCCCTTTTCTTGGAACGTCACTGGCGGCGCAGAGCTTAAGTCTACGTTGTCGTTGGTAAATACGGCTTTTCCGTCTTCTGTTTTTTGGACGAGTCCGCCACAAAAGGCGAACCACACCGCATAGTAGGTCTGCATTCCGCGGATTAGGATGCGCATTGTGCCGTAGCCGGGGACGAGAATTCCAAACAAGGCATTTCCTGCGAGATTCACCCCGGCCAGATCCGTCGAGGGACATGTCGTCATAGTCGCGGCCTGGTCTCCAATGATTTGCAGCACCGTAGCCCACATACTGGCTCGCGTAGGCGCCAGGAGGTCCAAGGCGAAGGACACCGCGACTCCTAGTGTCGAACCGAGCACTCCGATTGTGTTGACGTAGCTCTGGAACTTCTCGCGAGTAGGGGCCTCCACGGTACAGGTTGCGGATACAAAAAGTACACCAAGGATCGGAAACACGAAGGGCAGACACGCCATCACGGTTCCCTCGGCGTACATCACGTGGTCGCCTAAGGCATACTGTGGCTTTGTCCAGCTTTCCGTGTAAGACACAATCATGTACGCTGTCACCAATTGAAAAGGTGCAAAGATGAGATACCAAAAAACGAAATGAGCGCTCCAGTACATGCTGCGTTGAACGCCGTACACCAGCTGCATGTCCATCATACCAGACTCACGCTCAGAATAGGTTGCCTCGGCAATTGTCATTAGCAGGATTTTTTTTCGCATGTGTGCATAAATGAGTTTGAGTATGATCACAGCTCGGCATAATGGTCGGCACATTATCTAAGCACTGACGCTTGTTGCCAAATTAATATGTTATCAATCAAGTTCAACTGGAGTAAGCCTCATCGTCGTCATCATCATCATCATCATCATTATAATTGAGTTCTTTCTACGTAATGATATTCTTTGAGTGTACAGCCTCAGCATTTTTGAGTTTTTGTTTATTCTGTTACTGTTTCAGAATAGTTAGATTAGAAGAGTTCCAACAAAAGTGAATGAATCTTCATCAACGTTCAATTGTTACCTACCGGGCTTCATCATGTCAAGTGAAACCCAAAAAAAGCTAGTCATAACGTTGCATGAACAAGGCGGATGGGGGTCACGGAAGCGAGAAGACCGGAAAAAATCATGCTCGAGGAGAACCATAGAAACGGATTCATCCGTTGTGCCTCTGTTTGTGGTTGTAGCGGAGGCTTCGCATGATGTGGCTGTTTGCCAAAGGCATCGGGGTAGTTCTTCTCTCTAATCTGATCGGCTCTAAACTGTTTATCGCCCAGCTCCCACAAAGCGATAAAACATGAAAGAGGTGTACGAAAAAAACAGACAACAAGTAAATCGTAGAAATTCTGCTACTTGGAGCAGGAGTACAAGATATAGTCCCGCAATTAGAATTACCTTTGATAACCAAGGCAGGCATAGGCAATGCCCCCATTTGTTCGAAATTATGGTAACGCAATCAACATAGAGCAGGACTATATGATATATGTATATCTATATATTTCATAAGAAATCAATAGCAAGGACGATATAAAATATAATATCATCTAGAAAAGAAACCAAATTTTTTACTACTCAGCCAGCAACTGCAACAAGCTGTTCATCAGTCAGTCGTTGCTGGGGTGCTTCTTCTTTGCCAACTTAGTTACTCAGTAGATGAGATATAATCATAAATATGCATATGGCATGAACTCAAATCGCTAAAACTAGGCGAATATAACGATAAGAGGTACTAGTTGAAGTGGTGCAAGCAATGGTGCGAGACAAATTCAAATTGATAAATATTAACTGCTACAATCAACTTACTTGGAGAGACAGGCAGCTACATGATCATACACCGTAGTCCCAATCGAAGCGTTGGTTGAAGAGGCTGGCATCGGATGCTTAGAGAAGTTTTTTCAAACCCACCTCGAAACGCATCCTTCTTCCAGCTGCTCTAACTAGTACTCATGTTCGGAAAGAAGACGATGCTCGTTTCGAGATGGATTTCCGGGCGAGGCCATAAAGTATAAACCACATCAACGAAAGCACGCCCAAGAGAAGCATGAATATGCCGGGGAGAAAGGCCGAGCACAATCCGCCGCATCCACCCTGAAAGCTGGTGCGAGCGTTCTTCCGAAACAAGAGGCCAAAGTGTCCCATCTTTACGCGAATGCAATCGGTGCACTGACGTTTACGCTACCGCAAAACATAAGTTACCCGTCCGGTTTTGAATCGCAGCACCAAGCGACCGAGTTATAACGTGCTACTTGCATTAACATAATAATGCGAGCTTAGTGATTCGTTCTATGAGTGCCCTCTGCTAGAAACACTTCCACGTCAGAATTGCCGGTGTAGCGATATCTGAAATCTTCGAGGATGATCAAAGTATTTGTATTATATATTACACGACCCAAAAATGATTGAAGGTAGTTACAAGAAATTCAAGAAATATGAATGAGAACTACGTCATGAGACAGTTTGACAAAGCTAGCACAGAGTGAAGGCTTCGCATGAGACTACAACTCAATCACAAATATATACTGAAAGTGTGACAATGACAAAGCAACATACTGACATTAATAAGGATCGTCCGCGGATGGGAATATGTTGAAGGACCGAGTTTCGTGTAGAAGTGCAGTGCATGGTGCTGCACTTAACCAGGTAAACATCATTTTCGGGCTCTTTGTCTAGTTACAGAGGTCGTTACCATCTTCACTTCAGTCCTCCTAACCGATGCTTCAACACAGTCAGTCTCAACCGATATTTAACAACAACTACAAGATACCGACACAGAGATTTTCAAAACCGTATTTGGATGTCACCGACTCTTCATCGTTATATATCTTTTCACTACTAACGTTCTTCACAGCATGCAGATCTGCCTCAAACTTCTTCTGCTTTAGATATCCGAATCCGAATTCATTCATTTACTCAGGGGACCTCCGCGAGAGTTTTTTTTTTTGTAGTCCGAGAACGCCGAAAGGGTGATCCCAGTGTTGTCCGGTCGTGTACCTGCCGGCGACGGGTGGAGTGCATTGGCCTCCTTATACTACCGCGCACTAATTGCCTACGAGCCCGTCGATTATAAAATGGAGAAAAATCTAGGGGCAAAGGAGGCGATTAATTAATTACTATAAACCTCCACCGGCTGCCAGCCGTCCCACTCTTATGCGCCGGCCTACAAGGCACGAGGGCAGGGCCGCCGACCCTGCTTACTCTTGACTAATGCGCAGGCATCTGACAAGTGAGCAACTAGGTATAGATGTCTACTGGCCTAGCGCCCTAAGTGCCGCACGTTTTTCGTTGTTGGGAGTGCACTAGCCTAGTTTTTCTTATCTTCACTGCTTCGCGCTCCCTCCTTCGCCCCGTGCACCATCCTCAACCGCGTCCCGCTTCCGCAATCGCCATAAAATAACCAAAAAGACAAACAGAAACCGGAGGGCTTACTCCAACCAAAGGGGCTACCCTATGCCTGAGAGCCACAACTCTGCTAAGAGCGGGCGGGAGATAAAAGGATCGGCGAGGGAGAGCGATGGGACCGTTGAGACGCTCTCCCCCTTTTAAATTAAGCTGCGAGCAAGATCCGAAATTTTTCTATTCTTCCCTGCTTCTTCTTTTTGTCCGTAAACAAGTCCGCGCCCCTCGGATCACACTTAACAGAAGTCGAGAACACTATCGGCCCCAATCAGTTTCCAAGAGGCGACTGGCGGGTCACCAAAATGCGTAAGGGTCACCCAGGTAGGTAGGTGGCATGTATGCACTTCGGTTTCACTCGATTCTCAACAGACTTTTTGCCATTTCATCTTGCCAGGAGTTTTTTTTTGTATGCCAAGACCGCCGGCAGGATGATCCCAGTTTCACCCAGTTCGCAAACCGGCGGCAGGTAGAGTGCATTAGCCTCCTTCTATTACGGAGGCACTAATTGCCTACGAGCCGATTTTAAAATGATGAAAAATAGGGGTAAAGGAGGTGGAAGTGGGTTAGAAGGGTTATATAAAACCTCCACCAGCTGCCCAGCGTCCCGCTCTTATACGCCTGTCTTCAAGGCACGAGGGCAGGCGCAGGGCCGCCAGTCCCGCTTACTCTTGACTAATGCGCAGGCAGCTGACAGGTGAACAACTAGAAGTAAGTGCCTACTGGCTTAAAGCCCTAAGTACAGCATAGCTTTCGTTGTTGAGGGAGCTCTAACCTAGTTTTTCTTATCTTCGCCTCCTCGTGCTCCCTCCTTCGCCCCGTGCGTCCTCAACTGCGTTCCGCAATCGCCAAAAAATGACCAAAAAGAAAAACAGAAACCGGAGGGCTGACTCCTACCCAAGGGGCTCCCTTATGCTAATACTAATAGCGGGGGGGGGAGATGAAAGAATCGGCGAGGGAGAGCGATGGGACGCCCTGCCACTTTTAATCAAATACTAAGCTGCGAGCAAGATGATCTGCAACTTTTCTATTCTTGCGTCCTCCTTTTTTTGTTGAAAAACTCTCCGTATGCAATTTCTCGTCTCTCGTCTCACACATAGCAGAACTCTCGAACACTCTAGACCCCAAGCGAAGCAGTTTCCACAAAAAGGCGACTGGCGGATCACCAAAATGCTTAAAAGTCACCCAGTTAGGTGAGTGGTATCTATGCACTTCGGTTTCACTCGACTCTCAACAGCTAGTAGCATCATTAGCTTTGTAGCATCATTAGCTTTGAATAGAATTTTTTTTTTTGTTACCTGGGTCTTCAATTCTCGCTGTAGTTTCATTTAATTACCCGAGCGAGAAATGAGCGGAGACCGGGCTCGCGGCTGCAGTGACTGCGCCACCACGTCCTGAGACGATACGTGGGAACAGCTTACCGAAAAATATAATCCATGATAATACCGATTGGAGATAATGGGCAGATACCGTGTATTTTGGTACTGTACCCCGTTCCAATTGAAATTGGCCGGCTTCTCAAAGAAATGTCGGACACGCAGCTTCTGTTTCTGAAGGTTCATTTTGATTTCCATCACAGTCTAGTCTTCTGCACTATGTATCAAGAATATAAAAAATATTACGCAGTGTTGTTCCTAAAAAAGGAACTCGATTCTTACAGATACCTAGCGTAGTGCACTCTGACAAGAAACAGAAAAAGGAACGCTGTCGTACTCAACATCAGAATTACGGTGAACCATCTGCTCATGCGAAAGAATACCTGCCCATGCTCTAGAACAGTTGTGATCTAGACTGCATGTAGCCACCGGCTCGAGCCCTAGCCCGATCACTCGAGAGATTACCTGTACTACAACACACCACTTACACCGCGAATATCAATCAAAATAATTTCGAAAAAATAAGTACTGCATCAAAACTCAAAATTTCTTCAATCAAAATCAGTTCGAAGTATCTTACTTAATCTTAATGTACAATACAGACAGTAACTAACACGACGACACCCACAAAAGTAGTGACGATTCACGTACATAGATACCATAATCGCGTTATCTAAGCTCAAGCTCTGTTCGAATTGTCGCTGACGACAAGTGCATTGAAAAACAGTTCTGAAGGAAATTCTACTACTTTTCATTACTGGCATCGATTTGTGTACAGATAAATATGAGTAAAATTCGCGCATTTCCAGCGTTTTTATCTTATTCGTTTTATGCCTCGGTAGCTAACCGGCCATGAAAGCCACACGACACGACGACAATTGCTTGCCACCAGTGGGGAAAGCAAAAGGGCATCCTCCTCTAGCTACCTGTAACTAGGATGCACTTGGATGTAGAAGTATTGGTTGGTCTTAGAAATTGATATGGCAATTTTTCATGCATACTGGTCGACATGTCAATACTGTGAGAAAAATTCATAGCACATCCGCTGAAACGCTTTGGGTACACGTTGGTTTCGGAAAAAACGAAATCTCTCAAGGTTCATTTGTTGGTACTTGATTCGATGGCTCGTAGTGGCAACACTTTTGTTAGGGTACCTAAGTACAAGGAGCGGCAAATCAAAAACTCGCTCACTTCTGAAGAAAAATGATCACACGATACTGATAGACAGGAGTAGCACAAATTGAGAAACGTCAGGGGAGTGATGGGGATGAAAATAACGGACAAAACAAAACTGCTTCCTTGTCTTTTCTTAACCGGCGTTGATCTTGATATAACAACAATTCAGATCATGCGTTTGAGGGTGCCATGCACGTAAAAATTGCGCTTAATTGGGAGAAATATGCAAGCGATGCTAACTATTCACGGCAGGCACCATTCACGACAGGTCACGCTACAGGTAAGTCTTTATGATAGAGCACTATCGCAGTAGATGCATTTTTAAAAGAAAAAAGAAAAGGCGCTTCGCCAAAAGACTTGAACGGCTAATTTCAGAACGACGAATTCGAATCCAAGGCAAGCCCATGTTCATTTTTGAATGCTGCAAATAACATATTCATATATTCTGGAGACGATGCTCTCTTGCTCTAGAAGATTAAGATAGTTATTTGTTTCGACTATTCATTGTTCATTGACTGGAGAGTATTACTGCCTTGTCTTTTATCTGGAAATAAGAGCCATAGAAAATACTGACAATTTCATTTTAAATGAAAAGAAAAAAATCGAACAAAGTGTAAGAAATTGACTGTATCATCACGGAGCTAAAAACCACATCTACACGTAAGACCACTAACGCCGCACACGCAACGGCATTTGCGAGGGCCTCACGACTAGCTTCTACGACATAAGTCGAATAAGGTCGCTCGTCTGTACTTGTCGTAAGATCACGGTTTGTAACCTTGCCGCAACATAACATCCACGAAAGAGCAGACCTGAATTGAAAGAAGATGCTCGTGGGTGTCTTGAAGCACGCAGAGAATCGATCATAGAAGGCGTTCATCTCTGCCCTTGTTGTTCATGTTCAATATCCACAACGATCATCACACTGGACTAGTATACCAGAGGAGATCATCATTATCTATTTATCTATCTTCTCCTTTTTCATGAGTTGGAAGTATCTCTGAAGATTAGAGATATACCGGGCCCGAGAGATTGTAGAAGAGCCGCTCATTTTGATTGATTTGCTTGTGATAACCTCTATTCCAACGTGGATGGGTCAGATGCGTCAAGTCCGAATACCTGGTAGTTAAATTGATGACTTTTTAGTTCGCTGAGCTTGTTGTAGTCGTTATTCTTATATATAAGCGTCAGTAGAACTAGAATTCATGCAACAAGGAGGTGGCCTTCTAAGTCTACTTAATGTATCTACTTGGTGGTCAGGAGAATTTACTTTATCTGATCACCATTAGGATCGTCATAATCTTAATCATCTTGACCTTGAGCTAGCAAATAAAAGTGTACTCTCCGATGCCCTTTCGACGATTGAAACCTTGGCCAGATTCGACTGAGGCGGGAAGAATAGGGGTTTCAAAATCGGTCCTCTCCTGTTTGATTAGTCCAGTTTTCTTGTCTGTCACGAAAACGTCAGTCGTGTGCGTTAAGGGGTTATACCTGAGGATATTTTCGATTCATTTGGTGTGCCTGTGCGTAGTGGTAGTCTTTAGAAAAACATAAAGTTTGAGGAGGGTGATGCTGCTGAACGAGGACGGGCAAATCATCGGTCTTGTAGGTGGTAGAAGAGAACAACTCCAAATGTCAATGTTGTACAGACTTCCTGCGAGAGTGGGATGGAACAATAGTAGTGTACTAGTAGTTACATAGGACTCATGAAAGTGTTGATGGTGTTGACCTTCAACTTCATTCTTAGTTGGGACGATAGATCACGGAAAGAATGGTACGCAAACATTGGTGGTCTGCGTGGTTTCAGCGCATCCCATCCGAGGCAATATCTGTACGGGAAATCGTTTGTACTCGGAATTCGTGCTATCTTACGCCAATATTCCTGAATATCGAAGATGAGGCAAATCAGTTTTAATCGTATGTTATGAGGTAATCACACTTCTAAGTTACTACTTACTCATACTTGAAGCCGGCAATGAGGAATTTTAGTAAACAACACGGCATTGATGGAGTTTGAGTCGAGAAAAGAAAAATGATGGCAAACCTTGTATTCTTCTTGCTGCTGTGGGCTCAGCTTCGACAGCTCACGTATATCCCAGTCTGCAAAAGCTGGCTTTTCAGGATCCTGCTCGGCCGGGTACTCACTATAAGTCGCTACAGACCGACTGGAAAGATTACCCGCAGATTTTGGCCTTACTCTCGCAGACGAAACATGAAATTGAACCGGGGGTCGCTGGAAATTTTTTGGAGGAAAGAGGGTTGTGCGTCGTTCTCCTGCAGGCGGCAATCTCCCCTCTCCGATCTCTTAGTGTGTCCAAAAAACTATATACTGATTTAAAGTTGTGCTATTCATCAAAGCAACGAGACCGAGATGCTGTTGACTACCAAGAACTAACAAAGAGTTGTGATGTACCTCCCCAGGTCGGTGGCGCGATGCGGGCTTCCCCGCTGCTGCTGATGGATCCATGCCGAAACCGCCACTCGCCAAATCTCTAGGGTTCTCCTTTCTATCCTGCTGCAGAAGTTGCGCGCGGGCGTCGCGTTTGCGATTCGCTAGCGTCGTGCCAAATTCCTCCCGATAATTTCCGCGAGTACCCCCAAGCACGGGGGCAGCGGATTTCGGTCTGTTCGCCACATCCATCAGGTCCCGCGGATGAAAAGTGCCATCCAAATTCGTTTCGGCTCTCGAAGACACCGCACGGCCCGCACCAGCGCCCCCGGCAGCTGCTGCATCTGTTATTACCGGTTTTCCCTGGTGTAGTTTTTGCGCAGTTGCAGGGGCGCTCGAGCTAGAGGCAGCGGCGGTAGCAACTGGAACTGTTCCTGTTTTTGCTCCCGGAGCAGCGCTACCGCTTAACGTTGTTGCCGCGTGATGCTGCTCAGCATGATCTGATGAGTGATGTTCTCTCGCCAGTTCCCGCGCTGCGTGGATAGGACTAGAACTGCGCTTCGCATTCAAGAGTTTGTCTCGCGCACTACTTGTGTATACGTCGTGAATCTTCGGAATGCTCTCTGGATCAATCGGAATGGCAGCATTCCAGCTCGAATGGGAGAGATTGTAGTCCTGGTGCAGGGACGTGATGAGCGGTCTGTAAGGCGCACGCGGCGTCTGCATCTTGCACATTACCTCCGGGTTGTTCAGCTGAATGTCCAACATTGTCGTGGTAGTTGGGTCGTGGTAGCTGTTTCGGTTCTCCTTCTCGTCAAACGTCACGTAGCGCGGATCTTGCCTGTAGTAGTCGCTCAGAAACTGCCGGTTCCACTTGCTACCTCCTCCTGGGGTCCGTGTCTCCATATGCGGCTCGTGCTCCTCTACTGCTAGTGCAGGTTGCCGACCATGATCCTGAGCATACGTTGCTCTAGCTGCACCGCCGGGAGGTGTGTCAGGCTCCGTCGCAGCAGCAGCCCTCATATCGTGCGACGAAGCGGCAGGGCCGTCTTCACCACGGACTCCACCCTTCCGACTGCCATACGCCTGTTGTCCGCGAGGATACCTAGATGCACCAAGATCCTTGTCTCTGCGATGATGGCTGCGACCTGGAAGTACACTGCTTTTCGGTCTAGTGAGCCCAGACGCCATGTTGACCTGCCTATGTTGCTCATGTGCAGCGTTGGGATCCGACGCCATTGATGTGGTTGCTTCCTCTGCTCCGCTCAGGATGATAGCCTCGTTTGCTAGATTTGATGTGGACGAAGCGCCAGCGCCTCCACTTGGTGTCGGTTCATCTCCCCGCGCACTGATGGTTGTCCTGGACTTCCCACCGAGGGGCGCTGTTCGAGGCCTCGCTGCTGCAGCTGAGTTGTAAGACGGTGCGAATATGACCGTGTGTGGCACCTCGTAGTCTGGGGCCTCACGGCCGATGATGGTTTCGACTGGATGGATATGTCGATTGGGCCATCTCGCAGCCGTCACGGCGCGCTCACGCTGCGATGGCACTTTCACGTGACCGCCACGAGAAGAGCCGAGCTGCCCGCCTCCCACAACATGCTGATGCGGTGTGTGCGTTCCCACACCGTGCGCGGAATAAGGGCGAGGATTCACACTCGGATTGGAATTCATCTTCATCTCATCAAAACCGGGGTGATGCGCTGCTCTTTGACTCCTGATATCTGTTCAAAGCTTCAACAAGAAACGTTTGGCCGCCAAGCACAAGCCTTTTCTACTAGCGGTGGCGAATAGGAGCAAGGGTCGGCACTCGTCACGACCGAGTGAGGGGCGTATTTGCCTCCACGTGTTTCTGCTTCGCTTGCACTTGGTAGGCGCTAGTATCTGATTTCTCATAAAGCACGCATGATCATCCCGGATCCCGAGAACGTCCACGTCGATCTGGCTCAAATAGAAATCATACTGATTCTGGTGTTGAGTATTCGCTTTTTCTCCACTACTTCGTGAAAGAGGAAGGCTTTCTCTGAAGATGACTAGTATAGTGACAAACACAAAAAGTACAACTACTACAAGTCGTATTTCTACAAGCATGTTTACCTAACTATGTATAAATATTGTCAATCAACATGAAAATCTCTTGCTACATCAGGTAAGATTACTGTCTTCAACTTCACGTACGACAAGCTAAATGAATCTAGTAACTGATCATGTTCGCGTTCCTGTTCCAAAAAGGACCGTATAAGAAATGCGATTGGGATATCACTATCCGACGCTTATTCAGTTTCTTCTGAGATATGAGAAACTCCTTACTGTGATTGGTGAACGCAGAGATTGCGAATGGAATCTAGTCGGGGATTCATCTAAGTTAATGGCGACGACGACCGACACGTTTTGTGCACCCTGCAGAAGCATTTCACCTCGAACGGCATCGACCGATGATCATGGCTGCTACAGGAGAAACATTGATTGACTTTGATTTACACTGAGTAGTTGTAGATACACGAATCATACGAGACTATGAACGAGGCCATCCGAGACGAATACGCGGAGAAAACCGAGCAGCGATTCGAGACATCCGCATTTGACTATGACACAACCTGAAAACGAATCTAGTGCCCGTGATTTAGACCGCGGACGTTGCAACTAGAATTAGAAATGCGCTAGAATGAAGACGAAAGTCACCGCTGAACTAGAAATAGAATTTAACTGCAACCTAATTCTAATCCCTGCGATCTTTAGTACTCACCAGCCAGTTGTAGCGCTAGCTGGCCGCCAAGCAGATCCTCAATCATGCTGATTACTCGTGTGGCCAATCTGAGCTATGCATTCTTCTTCTCACGAATACGAACTTGGATAGCAGAAATGTGCAGTGTCCTGTGTCACTCAACAACTGATAATCGAATGATTAAGGAGCCGTTGCCGCAATGATGTATTTGTATGTGAGCGAATGCGGGGATGAGCAGGGTGCATCGCAAAGACACATCAATATCAATATGATCAACTGTATATGTGAATGTGTTTGAAAATTGATGTAATTGATTCGTACTTCAACAGCCGAATAGGGCATAAAAAAATTCACAAAATCATGACAGAGACTTCATCCTGTGAAAAAAAGAATAGAATGTGTACGTGAGCTTGAAGAGAGAAATACGGGAGTATACTCATGTTCGATAACCTCTTTTTTTTAGGTTTAACACCAATCGTAAACATCATAGCAAATATCACATCAAAATGCGTCACCAGTTACACGAATAGAAGGATCCAGCACAGAGCAGATCCGAGCCCAAATGACAGGAGGCTCCGTTGGAGGTGCATCGATTCCCACAAGCACAAACAAAGTGTCACGCCTAGAAAATCGCGTAATCAGCAAATGAAAAATAATGAACATCAGGGCGAATGCGAAGAACAAAACGAATGAGAATAAGCTCTTCATTCAGTATCAGTGTTAATTGTCTAACATTAGACATTTCTGTGCAGACTCGATTTTTCCAATCGTTTTTCAATATTAAGAGCAATAAAACTTTGCAAACACATCCCGTCGGAAACCTCAACCTCCAACACCCAAACCCAAAACCTCCAACACCCGAACCCAAAACCTCCGACACAAAAACAAACAAACCCCAAACCC